TCAAATAAGCGGCCAATTACCGGTTTTATCGAGAATCCTCGTTCCCCCCGCCCTGCCTCGCGACTTACGCGGAAAAGGGTCCTCGAGTGGAGTAAATAAAATTTCGACGGCTAAATGGTTACTCGTTTGCCCTGGTCGGTCGCGGTCCGATCGCTGTCCGGTCGCGGTCCGGCCGCGCGGCACGTATTTTTGACGAACGCCCCGGACCGCTGGCAAGAGAAACTCAACCTAGAGCGGGGCAGGAGGGGGTACCGGGGGTACCGGGAGTACCGGGCGCACGGGGTGTACAGGTTGAATGCAACGCGAAGAAAAAAGGAGGACGGAACTCGAGAGGGGCGCGGACGGGAGGGAGATAGGAAGACCTAGGGGCGAGCGGAGGGAGAAAGATGTAAAGATTGGTGGTCTCCCCTTCGACGGCCACCCTCTACGTATACCGGCGAACCGAGGACAAAAATCAATATGAACGTGTAGCCGTTTCTCTTTAATCTGCCGCGTATTACCGAGCAAACCGAAAGGACTACCGGACCGCGGCCGCCGTCCTTTTTCGCTCGCCGATAAAAAAGCGGAGGAGCCACCTGGGGCGCTCCCGTCTCCGGCGGAACTCGAAGACTCCGATTTTCCGGGAAATTCAATTTTCGTCGGCGGCGCGACCCCCAGGTGCGACGTTCGCCGCGGCGGCTTAACCAACGGCCGTGCCGATTACGTGGACCCTGGTTCTCGGCCGACGGCACCGCTGCCGCTACATATAGATTATTGATTAAGCGATAACTCAAGGACTAGCCGGAGTGCGCATTAGTGTCGTTACCGTGCCCTGCGTCCTGCCTGGCCCGGGTACACCGTAATTATTGCGCTAATTAAAGGCAATCCTTCGTCGATTCGCGGCGCGTCGGAGACCGCCTCGAGGAACCCGGTGCGACCTTCGAAACGCCGTTATCCCCGGAATTTCTCGGACTCTTCCCGGATCTCCCCGAATTTCCCTGAATTTCCCTGAATTTCCCCGCCGCGGTCGCCGTCGACGACGGACGAGGCGAGCACCCCCGTAAGTGTCGTAAGTAGAAATCGATACCTGCCTGGAAAGTATCCGTACCAAATTGACCCTGGCAAATGGCACGGCGGGAGTCCTGCGAGGATTCCAATTTTTCTTATCTTTCCGCCTGACCCACATTCGCCGAGCGTCGACGAGCGTCGACGAGCGTCGGCGAGCGTCGTCGAGACGCGGGAACGGCGCGAGGGCGAGATCGCGGGTACTTCCCAAACCCCGGAGTCGTCGCCTCGTTCCGGGTTCCCTTACGGGGAGGGTCCCGAGAATTGCGGAAAGTTGGCCGTTCCTTGGAGCGGGGCGCAATTGGCCGGGCCCGAGTCGAGGCCGGGTAGCGGATTGGTCGCGACTCTTGGGTTTTACTTTTAAAAGTCGCAGCCCCGAGCCGATCGATAGACTATAGACTGCCTATATACCGGCCGATAGGTGGCCGGGGCCGGGGGTGGAGCGGAATAAGCCGCGAGGCTGTATGCGCATGTAAAACGCGCGTATACCCCTTATTCGCGTCTATGTACCGGCCGGGTACACGCGGACGCTCCGAGGAGGACATAGGGATGGTTTTATAAACCGAGGGCATATTCAGAGCGGAGACGGCGGAGCACTAGAGGACCGAGAGGATCCGATGGAGGAGCGACCAGGGCCGGTGAATTTAGAGGAGCCCAAGGGGTCGCGGAAAGGGCCGAGGGAAAGAAGGGCGGATACGATGGGCCTCGAGGGCTCCTTCCTTCCTTCCTTTTTTTCCTCCCTGGTCTCTCTTCCCGACCTCGCCGGTGACCGACCGAACCGTCTCGCCGAAGATTCGAGCGGCGGGCGACCACTCGCTACCACCGCGACCACCCGCGACCACTCGCGACCACTCGCGACCGGGCCGCAGCCAATGGGCGGGTGGACGCAGCTGAGCCATTATTGGAAACTCGTTACATGCACGGTCCGCCGTTACAAAGGGTGCCGCCTCGTTACGCGAGCGCGCCCCAAGTGCCTCCCAGGCCGCGTCCACGAGCAACCGGGTTGCGCGACTCCGTCTTACTTAGCCGACCCCCGAAAACGCTCGTTCCTCCTCGACGACGGCGGGATCCCGCCGACCTTCGCGCCAATTAATAATGATCCGCAAAGTACGCTCCCTCGAAAACGACGCCGAGGGGCCGACCGGAAATTCGTTTCGTTCGCGCCCGCCCGCTTCCGAAGGCTAGCCCCGAGAAATCGTTCGATAACGGGTAATCGTCGACCGGGATTTCTGTCGAGTCGGAGGCGCGCGGTCCGGAAGGAGAAGCCGCGGGGCGGCCGTTGCGCGCCAACGCGCCAAAAGATTAATACCGCTCGCTGCTTTTATTTCGCCCGAGCGGAAGCTCGGGCGACGTGACTTTTTAGAAAAATGGGGAATATCTCTTTCGACGTTTGTCCGCGGTATTAAAGCCCCGGGAGGAAGGAATCGTATCTCGAGAACGTTTCTGCCGGGGTGCCCGGTGTATCGCGGAGGTGCATATATTTCGAGGTATATCCTCGCGCGCCGCCGCCCCGACAATGGCAATACTTCCGATAAAGTTGTACTCCTCTTAATCTGCTTCCCTGGGCCTTTCTGTTCCCCCCGGCGATAAACTTCCCCGAGAGCGGGAAATGTGCCCGCGAACCGACCGAGGCGCGGGAGCGACCACCATTTTGGAACCGCCGGCCCGACCGGAAGCGAACGGACATTTAGGAAAATTCCCACTTCCGCGAAAACTTGGCCAAGAGGAGGAGTCCCCCTCGCGGCCCCCTCGATCGACCCTCGAGGAACACGAAGACGCTTTAGAGGCGCCGACCGCTCCTCTGGTGTTTTAAAACGTGCCCGCCGGAACGAGATACTCTCACCCCCGCGACTCCAACTTCTTCCGCGCCCTTCCGCCTCGACTTCCCCAAACCGTCCGATACGCGAAAAGGGGACAACGCTTAATTATCGAGAAATTGATCTGATTTAGTCAGCGGAGAGGCCGGCGCCACCCCCGGGAACTTTCCCCGACTCCGCACCGGCCGGTTCCCACGCGTATCGCTCTCGGGGCCGAGAAATCCCCCGCGAATCCCACAAGCCAAAGTTTCGCCGACATTCGGGGAGCGCGGACCCCCGCGAGCCGCAGACCGGGAAAGGGCTGGCCGGAATCGGGGGGATGTTTAAAATTGAATTAAAGCGTCCCGAAGAAGAACTCTCCCCGGCGAGAGCCGTCTTCGGAGGAACGCTGCATCCGCTCGACGAGAAATCCGATCCGAATCGGCGAGGACTCGAGAGGTTGGAAACCGATCCCGGAAGCGTCTCTCGGGGGAACGATCTCCGATGATCGAGCCAATGAATTTCGACCGGACCGCCTGGGCCTCTGATTTTTAATAGCCTCCGATTATCGGTCTCTCCTAGAGGAAAAAAGGGCTCCCGAGGTTAATACGCGGCACGATGCCTAAGGGAGAGGAAACCGCGAGAAGAAACGTCGAACGCCCGACGACGCCCGCAAGAGCCTTCAGGAGCAGGAAACGCTCGCAAAGAGGTGCTCTTCCGCTCTTCCGTTTTCGACGGGTATCTCGAGCGGCACCGCTTCCACCTTGCCGCGGCGGCGGACGACTCGGCCAGGGCGGAATTTGCGCGGAGTCTTTCGGTCGCCCGACTTCAAAGACGCCGGGGCGATAGCTATTAATTGCATCGGGAACGAAGTAATTAGTTTTCCGCGCAGCGCCGATATTTTCCCTGGGAACGCCTTAAGAACCCGGCCGCTTTCGGGCGTCTTCCCGAGGTTCTTCCAAGTCGCAGGACCCCGTCGCGTCGGACCGGGAGGAGAGGAGAGGAGCTCTCGACGAGAGACGAGGCGACGAAATCGTACAGTTTTTAAAATCGACCACGTCAATTTCAGTTATCGGCCGATGGCCGTTAAATTGGAAAGACACCGCGCTCGGGGAACATCCAATTATGCCGGCAAAAGAGGCGGGACTCCGCTTCGCGCCCGGGGAGGATAAATTTTCCAGCGCGTCCCCGCAGCCCCCCAAATTCAATTCATTAATAATTAATAAACGAGTCGACGAACCGTCGGTCCGTGACAGATTTTCTGATTACGGGCCATTATTTATCGGGGCTTAATTGCACAAACTCGGGGCGCGCGACCGACGAGGACGGAGACCGGAGACCGGAGCCGGAGGAAGAGTCGGAGTTCGGAGATTCGTCGCCGCACCCGGGGGACCCGGGTTCACGAGTCGCGCATAAAATCGGCCCAGGGCAACGCAAAGTAGATTTCGTCGAGGGTCGTCCGATCCGCGCAGATTTCGGGCCGAAGCGTTCGAGCGCGAGTTCACCGCGACGAAAACCGCCCTCCGCCCCGTTCGTCCGAGTCGTCGTCGTCGAATCGAGTTCCAACGAAAGGACAAAGTATTCCTTTGCTTTTTCCCTGGCAAAGATAGAGTCGGAGCGGTGTTTACGAGTGGCAGAAATTGGTTTACCGTGCGCTTCGCCTCCTGGAAGCGACGCGGCAGCGATATCGACACCGTGCATGAAATTACCGACGGATCGATCGCGCTCCTCTTTGTCGGCGGAAGGTCGCGAAATAATTTAACGATTTTTCGCGCCCGCTGTGTGTCCTCGCGGCAACGACAGCAACGCCGGCGATACCGAAATACGTTCGCGATACGTACGTCGGGGTATTTGCAGCGTAGCGCGACGGAAGGTCGCGGTACGTTGCGATCTTATCGAGCGCACGCGACCGGGAGGGATCCCGCGACGCGAGCCCTGTCAGATCCTTCTTTAAGCGAGGACGTTCCCGTTAAACGAATTCCCGCGGGTTCCGACGAGTTTCCTCTCCTACGTTTCCTTGGCGCAAAAGTCGCCAACCGACGGGCTTCCGAAAGTAAAACGGTCGCCCCCTCGTTCGCGGGGCGATTACGCGATCGATCGACCGAGAAGTCTCGGGCCGGCAGCTTAGATTAGAGCGTTTAATGATGAGTTTGATATTACCATAAGAGTTGTGATACTGTTGGTGGTGCGAGTCGATTCCGGATCCAGGGTGGTGCGTATCCAGCATCGCTTCCGGGTCGGCTCCGCTCTCAGAGCAGTTGCTCAGGGCTAAAACCAAACCGATAGACACCTTGCGTTTGTCTCATTGACATCGGTTCTCGCGTGCTCTCGATTCCGGTCTCTTACCCCCGCGTCTCCCTTTTTCCGCCCAGTTTTTACCTCCTTTACACCAACGACGATCGTCGTCCGAACCAACGCGGTCCGCGTCCTTCCCTCGCTCCTTTTTCCGTCCTACTTTCGTACCCCTTTCCTCAGGGGTGGGTTCCCGGGACGCTCCCCGAGGGGCGCGTCGTCGTCGTCGGCAGGAAGAAAAATTCTCGTCCGAGAATCCGTCACCGACGAGTCCGATTGGCAGGATTTTTACGGATAAGTCGAGTAATTGAAATTACTTTGCCGCGGAACGACGAAAAGCGCCGCTCGCCGAAACGGAACTGTCGACGAAATCTACCTGTCGACGGGGAGGACGTTTTACCTGTTATTTCGCCGACACGTTTGTTTCAGTGATTGGCACTCGGCAGGTCCTTTCCCCGGCGAGTACAATTAGAATTATTGCCTCTTGTCCGCGGAACGAGGTGCCGATATAACGCGTATAGTCGCGCAAGTGAAATGTACCCGTCAAAGTGGAATGTGCTCCTCGTCGACGGGTAGATTTTGTCCGTATCCGCGTTTCGGCCCGTAACTCCTTGTCGGCGATTTCTTTGAGCCGTGGGTTTTACAAAAATGTATTCGCTAAAAATTAAAAATTCCCCTCCATTTTCTCGATATTCCGGCGCGGCGTTCCTCGCGGTTATGGATGCCGGGGGAATAGAAAAAGAAAAGGAAAAAAATATAAATAAAACGAGCAAAACGTCCCATCGATCGAGTTTCGCCAGCGCGGCGGATTTCGAGCGTCGGGTATGGAAATTCCTATCGAACTTCTGCTCGCTGATACGTACGTCCGGTCTTACACGGTACTGCACTCAAAACACGGCGAAACTCGAAATTAGTAACCGACGTTGTCGGGGATGAATTTCTAATAATAATTGATAACTCTCGCGTCCATGGTGTTGACGTTCGGAACCCCTTCGAGGGGTCACGTTTCCGTGCCCTAGCCTCCCGAATTTTTCGACGTATTCGTTAACCCCATGTTTTGAAAGGAGCGAGGGAAGTCGATTCGTAGCGTTCGTCTCGAACGATTAAAAAAAGTTAAGACGTAGAACGAGACACCGGAACCGTTGCAAGGCAAATTTCGGGTGAATCCGTCTTGCTCTATTTCGTTAAGATTGAACCGACGTGACCGAAAAGGGAAAAGCAGTCGTGCCAGCGGCCAAAGTAACATAATAAGAGAGAGCAAGGCAAATAACGGGGAAATCGTGCCTTGAACCAAGGAACCAAAGAAAATTTAACTTAAATTTAAGCCCGCAAATAACGCACAAACGATCGCGCGTCGATCCGCGGCACGCGTCCAACTTATATTAAACTAATCGTAAGGTAACTCAATTCAACCAAACCTTCGAGAGCAGCCTCTTCGTCTCACGGGACTCGGGGATTCGGAAACGAAAAAAGCGGAAAATTCTAATCAACGACCGAATCGAAGAGGAAAGAAAATCTGCGCAGACCAAAGAAACTGCTCTCTTGGGGGATTTGCAATATCCGAAAATCGGCAAACCAGGAGTTCGGGATTCGGGGCTCGGCAGGTCTGGCGAGGAGTGGAGGCATCGCGGGGGAAATCACCTTAAAAATGGGCATTCTCAAAAAATAGAGCAAAACGCGGCAAACGGGTAGAGAGAAAGACAGGTATCTCGACAATTTGGATGCGGTGCGGCTCGCCTAAAATAAGAGAAACGAAAAATAAGGAAAAACGAAGGAAATCGCTTCGTATGGTTCGTTCAATCGCAGCGAAATATCGTATGCCAACGAATTCTTTGGGAATCTCGAGTTCTCTGGAGCTTTCATTTTCTTTTCCGAATTCCTCGCGAACGAGCAAGAGCGGAGAAAAATCGTTGAACGTGAATGTCGCGAAGAACAAACCGGAGAAGTATACATTAAGGGACGTTATCCGGAGAAAACGTTCCTCGGCACCGTGAGTCGCGATACCGACGGAAGGTCGGAGACAAGGCAAACGATTCCTCCCCCCTGGCTCCCCTGGCCTAGATGCGAGGAGAAAAATTTCGGCGAGCCCGAAAAAAAGAACGTAAACGATCCGTCGGTTTTCCCGGCTCCGGAGAACTCGAGCGGGAGGCATTTCCGGATTCCCTTGGCGGAATCGCGGAATCTCGATGCCTGTTCGAACCGATGCCTTTGTCTATCCGTTTGGTTTATCGGCGCATCATCCAGGGGGAATCGGTGCCGCAACTGCCTTCGGGGTGGCATCGAGTCCTACTCGGTCGCGAGGAGAGAAGAGGAGGCGAAGTGCGACCCCGAGTGCGCGGAACGTAAGGTCTCGCCAGGTGACTCGACCCTCGGCCGTCGTCTCGCTGCAAATCTTCCGTGTAGACCCTACTCCTGCTCCTGCGATCTTCGAGGGCGGCCGTTTCGGGGGAGCGACGGAAATCCGAGGGTCAAGGGTCCAAAGCGGCGCCGAATTCGGAAAACCTCCGAGGCGCGGTCGGCGGGGGGGAAAGGGTGGAATTTCGGCGCGAGAGTCCCGGGGAAGGTCGGGACTTTCGTTTTTCCTCCGGGGAAACACTTCGAGAGGAAGTTACGGCGTTCGCGGGAAATTCTTCGAGGAACGGCGATCGATCTCGCGCGGAACGAGGCTCGCAAAGGAAGGCCATCGAGGGGATTTTCACGTTTCGCCGATTTTCCCGAAAGTCCATCCGGACTCTAAACGTATCGACGCCCCGCTCTCGGCCACTTAGATCGCGAAAACGAAGGCGCGATCGCAACGCAAAGCACCGGATGGCTTATCGCGAAGCATACCGGGGTCCCCTTACGATTATCAACGATCCGACGAGGCGAATTCGACCCAAGAGTCGATCGCGAGGCGTTCGACTCGAACGGCGGAGAAGCTTCCGAATCGCGCGAAATTCCCGCCGAGGGTTGCGTTAGCCACCCGAGAACCGACGTAATCCCTTAGAGCGGAAGCCCACCCGAGGGCCGCAAATCGGTCGCGATCGCCGGCGAGTTTTGGAAGTCCCGGGGCGATCCGATGACCGGCAGGATATCCCGTGGAAAGCGAGCACCGGCGCGACGCGGATGCCGAGGGGGAGACGGGACCGGCACGTACCGCGGCCGAGCTCGAACATAATCTACGGACGACGCGGGAACGCGTAAGGTCTCTCTCGGTGATCGGTATCGGATTTCGGCGCGTGCTCCGACAACGGCCTGAAAACCACCCCGCCCGCCCTCCCGGAACCGAGCAGGTGGATAACGAGGAAGAGCCGCGGCTCGGACGCGGCTCGGACGCGGCTCGGACCCGGCGCGACGACGGATTTCGGAATCCTCCGGTACGGTCGCTAACTGGGACTCCATTAAGTTCATTCCGTATTCTCGGCCAGGTAAATAAACGGGCGAGGCAAATTACGGTTCGTGACTCGTCCTCCCGGGTCGAAGGAGCTCGTCGGCGATTTCTCGACGACGGGCTCTCCCCGCATCGATCCCCCCGAGATCGGGACCGAACGCGGCGGGAAGCTAGCCGAACTCCAGGGACCGCGCGGTTTCCCGCGCGCCGAGAGGGGGATCCCCCGGGACCTCCGTCTCGGGACGAACGAACGAGTCGGCCGACCTTGCCCCCGTTTTCCGTTTCGATTTCGACCCTACCCCGAACCGTGACCCGCTCAAATTTCCGCCACTTCGGCCCGCGGGACCGCCCTCCGCTTCCGATCGACCGGATCGAGAATCGAGCGAAAGAAAGTCGACCGTCCGGAGCCCGTCCGGAGGGGCGACAAGGAGCGGCCACGTGTGGGAAAGTCGGGGCACCACCTGTTAATGGCGCGACCCTCGGTCGGGCGCTCGGCCGACGGGGACGCCCGGAACGCGTCAGCCTTGTCCCATAATCCCCGTACGTCTTCCCGGCCTCGGCGACAAAGCCTCGGTGGCCAAGGATGGAGGGACGGAGGGGCAGCGTGGACGCGGCGTGGCGATGGCGTCCGCCGAGGTCGCGGCTGCGCCCTGGTCGCCACACCGCGTGACCGCGATCAATACCCGCGCGCGCTGTTGTGTCGGGCAAAGGATGTCGAATCCGAAAAGTGTTATTCCGCGCGTCTATCTCCGAATGATATGGAAGGGAACGCCTCTCCACGTGGGGAGCACGTGTGCCGCGCGGGCGCCCTCTCGGCGCGCGGGGTGCCGGGGACGGGAGGACTCGAGGACGGCGAAATCGGTGCGGAGCGTGCCGGGGATCGAGGGTAATCGAGGGAGATCGAGGGGGATCGAGGGGGATCGAGGGGGATCGACGGCGGCCGCGGGACGACCGGGAAGGTCCTCCCGCGGCCGTCGAGGGAGAGAGGGGCTTCCGTCGGCCCGAGACGGAGCGGCCCTCCGCCCGGGAACTAACCTGCGAGCCTGAGGGCGGACATTCTCTGAAACTCCGGCTCCTGCAGCCACTTCCACATACGCCGGAAGGTCTCTCGGCCGCTCTTGAGCTTGGACCAGGGCTTCGGGTTGCGCAGCAGGTCGCTGAGGGTGCCCTGGCTGCGGCAGAGGACCCTCTGGGCGAATATCGCCTGGGGGATGCTGTACCTCTTGAGCTCGGCGCTGATCCTCTGGGCGAGCTCCTTCGTGTTGATCTCCTCGACCTCGCCGGCGCCCGAGCCGGCCGAGGAGACGGTCTTCATGACGACCGAGGTGTGCTGGACGTGCTGCGTGTGCGCTATCGTCTGCTGCTGCTGTTGGATGGACTGCTGCTGCTGCTGCTGCTGCTGCTGCTGTTGCTGCTGCTGCTGCTGCTGTTGTTGCTGTTGCTGCTGTTGCTGCTGCTGCTGCTGGAGCTGGGTCTGCAGGGGGGGCGGCGAGGCGGCCGGCACGGCGAGCGCGGAGGGCGAGTGATGGGAAGGCGCGAAGCTGGCCGCGGCCGCCGCGGCCGCCGCCGCCGCCGCCGCCGCCGCCGCGGCCGACGCGGGCGGCGAGGGCGGGCTCAGGGCGGCCGGGCTCTGCTGCAGCCGGGGCAGGAAGGCCGGCTCGTAGTGCGGGCTGGCCGACTTGTGGGGCGAGTTGAGTCCGCTCTGGCTGTAGGCGCTCTGGGGCGACAGGGGACTCGGCTGGAGGCCCGCGCCCGGCGAGGGGTAGTTGTGCGGCGGCGACATGCCCATCGAGGGCAGCTTGTCGTAGGCGTAGGGCGAGCCTCCCATGCCGAGGCCGATGTTGCCGAGGCCGTTGTTCTGCATGACCGCGAAACTCCCGGAGACCCCGCCGGGGGCGGCGTGGCTCGAGTAGACGAACTTGTCGCTCATCGTGGAGATCGGCGGGAGCGGCTGGAGCGGCGTCAGCGTCGCGTACGAGGAGCCCGGGCTGAAACCCGGCGGCGACATCCTCTCGGCGACCGAGGTCAGCGTCTGGTAGGTCGGCTCCGGCTGCATCGCCCGGAAGTCCGTCGCGTCGATCATGCTCGCGACGGAAACGCTGATGCCGGAGGTCGGCGAGAGCTTGCCGGGACTGAGGAGTTCCGAGTCGGCGTCCCGCGAGTCCGCGTCCGCGTCCTGGGGCGGCACGATCACCGAGAGGGACTCCCTCGCACTGGCCCTGCCCGCCGGCTCCTGGGACGAGGACGGGTCCTCCGCGGCGACGGCGAGGTCTCGCTCCTCCTTGACGCCGAGCGCGCCGGCCGCGAGCAGTTCCAGCGGGAGGCTCGCGCACGCGATGTCGGGGCTCTGCGAGGCCGACGACATGCCCTCACCCCCGTCCCCGCCCCCACCTTCGCGCGCCTGTCGGCCGCCCCGACCGCCGCCACTGCCACCGCCACCGCCGCCGCCGCCGCCGCTGCCGCCGCCGCCGCCACCACCTCCACCTCCACCTCCACCTCCACCTCCGCCTCCACCTCCACCGCCGCCTCTACCTCCACCCCCATTCGAGCCGCCCCTGGCGCCGCCGCCGTGATGGCCATGCGTGGAAACCGCCGTCGGGGAATCGACCGAGTCCAGTAGGTGCTCGCCGTGCGATCGATGATCGGCTATGTCCCCTATACCTTCCATTTACGCACATCCAGTTCGGGTGGCGCCCTCGCCGTGTCCGCTGCACTCCTCGACGCACGCCGTCACTGACGCGCGACCCGGCCCGACCTCGACCCCGACGACGCCGCCGCCGTCGCCGCCGGCGACGCAGCCCCCGCCGCGCCCGACCGAGACGCCCCGCCGAGCCCGGCTCCCGTTCCCGCGACCGACGTCGACGACGCTCCTCCACGAGGCCGGAGCCCCGGCATAGAGATCCGATCGCACCACTGCCCCGTACGCCGAGCGCCCATGACACACGCGGAGCGAGTGAGGCCGCGCGCTCTCTCTCCAAGGAGCGGGACCGTCCGCGCCGGGCGAGAGAAAGAGGGGCGACGACCGCTGCCCCTCGACTCCGCCCCTGCGCCCCCTGCGCCCCCTCCCGCGCCCTTCGGCGCGCACCCCCGGCGCCCACGTGAGCGCCCGCCGCCGACCCTGCGACGACGCGCCGGCCCGCTATCGATTTTCCGATACCCCGCGACCGCGTCGCTCGATGCGCCGATACGCCGCTCAGCCGCGGGCACCCGCGGCCGCGGCCATCTTGGACGCGGCCCGGTCGATTCGCCTATCGAGCGGCCTATCGAGCGGCGCCGCGATCTCCGCCCGCGCCGTTTACCGTCTCCGGGACGTCCTAGGGCTCTCCTGGTCCGTCGATACGACGAATCGATGACGGCGCGGTGGTTGCGGCAGGACTGCCGCGGTCTCACTCGCGCGAAGCCGGCAGCCGCGCGCGCGCGCGCGCGGCCCGTTCTCCTCTCCCTCCGGCTCGGGATGCAGGGCGCGAGCCACGCGAGGACCCGGGGTGCGAAGTCGCGCGTCCTCGAGATCACGGGTCGAATCGTCGGACGACAGTGACTCGCCGGCCGATCCTTCCGCCGTTTTGCCGGAACCTTACGGCTGCCCCTCTTCCCCGCCCCGGCCGCCAAGTTGCGCAGCTCGTGTCTCGGACCCACGCGCGCACTCGCCGGCACCCGTACGCGTCCGCGTCCGCTCTCGCTTGCCGTCGCGGTCGCGGGGTGCGCGCGCACCGGCCCGCCGCTCTCGAGGACGACTCGCTCCGCCGGGGACGCGGTGACGCGGAAGTCGACCGACCGACTTCCTCCTCGGCTCGAAAACGATTCGCGAGACGTTTCTCGTTCGCGCTCGCCCCTGACGAGAGCGAATTTACGGAAATTGGGACTCGAGCGCGAGTTCTCCCCGTAAACTTCCAACTTGCGTCCGTTCCGCGTCGGTCCGAGTCCGGACGAGAGAAATCCAAGATGGCCGACGGCGACGGTTCGACCTCGGGCCGCGTCGCGCAAAAGGCGGGGAAGGCCCGAAAACCGGTACGCCTCGCAAAGGACCGCTCTCGTCAGCCCTCCGGGACGTCGCGACGCGATCCGACACGACGGAGACCTCGCTTCCCCTTGCGCCGCGATCGCGATCTGTCTCGTGCAAATCGCTCCTACTTTCTGGGACCGGAACCCGTCTCGTTCTCCCCTACCCCCGCTCGGAGTAGACCAAAGTACGGGCGTCCTTTGGCATTTTTCGTTCCATTCCCTGAAACGTAAGGACTCGGCGAGCGGCTTTACCGAGCCGGTCGTGCCTGGCAGATTCGCCCTTTTGCCTCTTGCGCGACTCTCGGGCGATCGGCTCGTCTTTCTCTCTCTCTCTCTCTCTCTCTGTCTCCGGCTCGACGTTCCGGACGCAGTCGATCTCCGTCGGGCGCGTGGACGGCGCACGCGCAGACGGGAGAGCTGCGCGGAGGGGTGAGATCTCGCTACGGGGATCTGTAACGAACTCGATACTCGGGACGGGGTGGGGGGACCCCAGGGGGTGGCCGAGAGGGTGGCGCGCCGCGCCCGGGGCCCAGGGCCGAAGCGAGGGAAGAAACCCGCGTCGTCCTCGACTTGGCTTTTCCGACGAGAACGGTGACCTCGTCGATTTCCCGGCACCTCCGCGTCGAGAGAGCCGCGGACATCGCGCGAAAAATGGCCAGGACGCCAACATTGCGAATTCGGCCACCGTTGTCGCCCCAGGAAATTAGAGGCGACCGCTGGACGTCCACCTCGTCTCTCGGAAACGAGATTTCCTTCCTCGAATCGATCGAAACTCGGCACGCGAATGGAAAAGCGCTCGCGGTGGCCCAAGATGGCCGCCCCTGGGGGCCGTCGGGGCGGCGAGGGCGGACGCGAGGGTGAGGGCTGCGATGCAACGTCGATATCTCGCTCCATACTCGGCGTCGCGGCCCCGGAGGGGAGGGGCGGCCGGCGAATAGGGGAAAGTTCCACATGGGTAAAATAATCGATAGCGCGGCCGATGTGTAGGTGTCTCGTTAGGGGCGAGCCTAGGTGTAGGCACGGCCGTCTCTACGAGCAGGACGGAGCGCGCCCGACGCGGGGAGTCCCTGTACGCGCGGGACAATAAGACGCCGTACATGCCGGATTCGAAACGGGGGAATTATTTCCGTTTAAGGCCTGGCATTTTTCAACGGAGGCGGCAGGAGTATCGATCTCGGAATCGACTTCCCGCGAACTCGAAGTTCGAGTCGGCGGGATCGTCGAGAGATACTCTTTCCCGTCCACCTCGAGGTACGACGCTTTCGCGTCCTCGAATTTTCGACGATCCAGCAGGCTGCCCAAAAGTTCGACTCGGTCCGGAAAATCCAAAAACCGCGACTGCGCCTCGATTTCGATTTCGGATCGATCCGTCCCCTTTGCGAGGTCTTGGGAATCGCGCGCCACGTCCGTCGCCATCGATGCATCGATCAGGGGTGGTCTGGACGTTTCCGTCCCTTTGAGACGAGTCCGACGCCTCGGGAACGATCCCTTTCGGACGCGCTTCTCCTATGAAACGATGTTTACGGTCATACCGAGAGAGACGGTCCTTGGTCCCGACGTAGTCGCGAGCTCGAGCGAATTCGGCCGTGCCGAAGGTGTCGTGCGACGTAAATCATTTTCGAGGCAACGGCGACGTATCGTTCCCCTCGGATCGCCCGGTGTTCCGCGGGCACCGGTTTTAAATAGTCGGGACGGGCCGGGCGGCGATTTAACAGTTAGTCCAGGTAGTCGCACCCGTCTCTCTCGGGGCCCAACATATGATCGGTCGGGGTCGAGCGCGCTCGCGAAGTGGGGTAACCCGGGCAGGGCCCACCTGCCGCCAGGTGCGACCTCGGGCCATCTGCGCGAGCCGAGGGGTCCGCTCGGCGGCGCACGCGCCCCGGCGCCCCTTCCGTGACGGCGTCGCGCACGCGCCTTCGCGTCACGCCGGATGGGTGCCGGATAGGCCCCCGATGGGCGATGCCGGTCCCACTATGGTCCCGCTTGCGGGGGACTCGGAGGGACCCGATGCTCGAGGGTCGACGTTTTCCGCAGTTTATTTATTTTTTTTCCTTATCTGGATCTACGGTACACGAATCGGAGGAATAAAAGGAGGACCTAAACGTTTCTCCTTTCCTATGGAACGGTCCGCTGACCACGTTAGGTTTCCCTGACGCGTAAAGACGTTAAGGGACCGAGTACTTATCGCGGTACCAAATGGCCGTACCTACCGTCCAACGATCCCCCGACCGATCGATGGCGGTAATCCCGCACCCGAGTGACCGCGCTCGATAGGTGGCAACGTGTCTTCTTTCTCGTCTCATTTCTTCCGAGAGTGCTTCCAGAAGAACCAGCTTTCTTGCCGATTTAAAGCGAATTACGATATTAACGTCGGGCAGAGAAAAAATGAAAGTATCCCCGGTTCGGAGAGCCCGGTCGTGGAACTTCTTGCGACGCGAGCGCCAGGGCCGCCGCGGCCGTTTCGGGTACCCGATGCGTCGCTTCCACCTCGGGACGAGGAGCGAAGCGCCATCTCCGGACTAAACCGATTACTTCGTTTACGATCGTGCTAGAAAAAATACATCGACATCTGCCACTTACGGAAAGTACTCGGTGCGTCGAATTATTCCTCCTAGATTTTCCTTTCGAGGAAGATCCGGGTAGATTGCGGCGGTTGGCGATGGGAACGATCTTTTTCTTTTTTCCCGAAAAAGTGTGGAACAAACGTTGACGTTAGGACCAAACCAGGGACCACGGACGAAATCACGGCAATATCGAGGTAAATGAAACATCGAACGGGTCGTCGTTGAAAATATTTGCGGGCACTCCGCAAGCGGGGGTGCGGGGAAACGACGGCTGTCGGTACACGCGGAAACGCTAGTGCGTTACGTTCGCTACCCCCGGAGTGCCAGGGGAGAAAAAAAATGAGATTGACCACTCGTAAACGCAAATCTCGCGCCAGCGTTTTAACTTCATTCGATGCATTAGGGAAGATTAATAAATCATCGAATGAAAGCCCCCGACCGGGGCGATACCCCAAATCTACGTTTATCCGGCATTTCTCTTTAATGACGCTTCGAATTAATTGATGGATTTTCAATGGATTCGCATTGGAACGAATCCCGATGCCCGTCGTGTCCCTGCAGCCGACCGTCGATTCGTTTCGCCTGCTACTTACTTTCGAGAGAGCCATAAGCATCGAAACTCACCTCCCCGAAAAACGGGAGGGACTCGATGGAAAAGTTCAAGGTCAGCGCAATTAAATTCTTTAATTGTTGTCAGTCGGGTTTCAAATACACTGTGTTTCGATCGCGTTTATAATATATATCTATATATGTATATAATTATGTCTACGTGATACTCTCTCGATATAAATAATGCGACGCGACGAGAAGACGGGAAGCTCCGTCTGGAAAAAAATATTCACGATGACAAAACTACTCCGTTAGTTCCGCGACCTGGGTAAAATTCCGATCCGTGTCGCGTTCCGGGTGGAGAGCTCGCGCCGCGCGACGAGGCGGACCGCCGTTCCCGTCGCGAGGGACGCGGAGCGATCTCGCCCTTAATTACTCGTAAATGTGCGATCAAACTCCTCTAACGCATCTAAGATGCACACCCATGCTTATGTATATGCTCCTCTAATTGAAATACGTATGCAGCACGATAATCTATCCTGGCTAGTCGCGTAACGCGCGGGTACGCGTATATGTGCGCGAGCGGGGGGTGATTCGCGTCCCGGCGTCCCGGGGAACGGCTCGCCCGATGGCGGAAAGGACGCTCGAGACCGCCGAGAAGGGGGAGAAAAAGAAGCCGCGCCACCGGGCGACCCGGTCGGCGATCCAGTCGGAACAGCGACCTCGCGGCGGTGGTCCGGTTCGTCCGCCGCGTCCGATCGGTCGGGACTCGAGAATCTCTCTTCTTCGGCTGGCGACGACCCGGGCCCCTACTTTCTCGAAAAGTGTAAACGTACAAAATTACGAAAGTAATTGGTCAACCACCGACGGCGAGTCGAGGGCGAGGATCTCCTCCTTCGAGCCGTGCACGCGATACCCTCGATTCGCTCCTCCGCCACGAATCCGGGAAAAAGAGACTCTCCGGACTCGCTTTGCGACGTCTCTCCGCGCGCTTAGGCCGAAATCGACGTCCTTCCTCTTTCGTCTCTTTCGTCTCTTTTCGGGCTCGGTCTCGGGCCCGAAAAGTTCGAGTCCCAGGGACTCGAAGCGCGAGATACGGCAACGTACGCGAGGGCCCGCGGTGTACGTTTCCGGATGCTCTCGATACCGCCGGTACGGAGCCCGTTCCGAACCCCCTTAAATATCCCTTGATATGTGACATTAGCGCGCCAACGATCGCTCATAAAACGCGAGATCGTTTAATCGGCTCGAGAGGAAGGAACGATTCCGCGAGAGACGTCAAATTCGAGGCAAAAAGGAGACGGTTTCCTTGTACGCGCCTCGACGATCCGACTTCTGGAGAGATTCCCTTGAGCGTTTTTCAGATCTTACGGCTATGCTCGGTTAAACCGTTCTCGTAGAAAATTATAAACTTATCTTAAGAACCGCTCGAAGGAGTTAATCGGATATCCGAAAGCCTTGGTCGTTCCTCGGAGGAGCCTTTTCGTTCCGGGGCATCCCGACGACTCGCGGCTCGGGGAGACCCGGGGAGCCCCGGAATCGAGGAAGCATCCGTCCGCATCGATACGTTGGGAATCAAAGAATACGCTCGACTCTCGCGTCGTCCAATTCCACTACCGTTTATGTTAAACCGAAAAAGGGGAAACCTCGGCCTCCGAACGCCGTTGAACGCCTCGCTCGTGGCCGAAAACGCGGCTTTGAGGAACCTCTAAATTCACGACGCCCTCGCGTCGTGAATTTAGAGGTTCTTCAAAGTTGACCCGTTTCTCGGCTACGACTTCCCAAAAGTCGTCCGCACGTTTAGGCTCCTACCCGCAAGGCGCACCTTAAACTACAGTAGCCTGGTAAACGGTATAATTTTGATAAATCGTCGTAGAAAGGTAAGGTAGAAAAATTCCACGGACAAAATTGAACACCGAGTAGCCCTTCGTTTCCAAAATTTTTCCTTATGCGCTTGGAAACAAAATGGCCAGGTAAAATTCGAAAGATTCCCATGCGTAGCTACCTTCGTTTTCAATTTTTCCCCCTTTTTTCTAATACGCTCGAGTCTCGGGGAAAATGTAAAACCTTCAATAAATATTCAATTGGGCTACTTAGTTTAGGGAGCATCTAGTGTATGACTCTTGTTTAAGACAGTACTGGCTTCCTCGCGTTACATCAACGGTTTTCACTCCTACCGAACCATCTTGAATCGTCCGCACGATTATCGATATACGAAAAACACGTTGCATGTACAATAATGTAAAAAATCCACGCTCGAAAGGTGAAATAATTAACCGGATAGACCGGCCGAAAAATCATTTCGCAATCGGTTTAAGACGAGATAATTCAGTAGTTCCCCCTCTGGTACAAACGCTTTGGCTAAAGACGGATTCCATTTTCGTATAAAAATTACGATCAATAAGTTCTCGGGCTAATTCGTGGATTAATCGAGGTCCTGCTCTATCGTCGGGAGGATACTAAGACGCCTTGGCACTGTTTCGCTTGCCATCGTTTGGTCGGGGTCTCTAACAGATAGTTTCGGATGGAAAGTCTTGCTCTTCCGAGCGATTTTTCTGAATACGTTGTTTGTCGCCTTGAAAAGGGTTCAAGAAGAATAGAGATCTTAGCGAGAGAGACAGCTTCGCAGGGAAGAAATGAGATACCGCATTAAAATGCCTTCCGAGGTACAGGTATTGCAGCGAAAAACGAAATACACTCATGACCACGACTTAGACTGTTCAAATGCACTTAACTGGTACCCACTGTGTGCGGAGTCAATGACTAAAGCCTTCCACGCTTCCGAGATGAGAACTGCTCCCCGACAAAGAAATTTGAAAAGATTTAGCCATCGAAACCATAATATTCGTTCCGGCATGCATATCGATATATTCCAACATCCATACGGCGGGTGGGCGCCGTTCGTTAATATATTCATTACGCAAATATCATAGTAATGTTCTCTACGGGAACGTTTTTCTATTAATCTTTCTATGCGGTACATTAAAACGAAGCGACTTGCTCCTTCGCCCTCTCTTTGATATACACCCCTTTTTACCACATAGCGAATAATTTTATATCACGCGGGTAGAACGTCAGTATTAATTAATATTAATACTCAATTCTCTCTCAAAAGTGCGATTTAAATCACTCGTGCACCGAAAGAAATGTTTATCCGATTCAACTAAAGACTTGGTTAAACCAGCTTAACGTTCCTCTCAGCGTTTGTGTATACGTATATCGATATTTTATCCGAAGACTACGAAAAGCGTAGAATACTGCTGTTCACATTGAACACATTGATTGCCATCAAAGATACAATTATAACTAAAAGTGTTATGGAAATTTCGTATAGCAAAAATCGTTCCTCTGGAGAAGGGATTAGGAACGATCATAATTAGCGTCGCCTTTTCTGGACTATTTTGAAGAAAAAACGCGACGCTATTTTTGGGCAAATTTTTGGGCGAAAATAATGGTAGCCTAGCGGATTCCGAGATCAATTATTCAGAGTTAATCGCTTCGTTCGAGCACATCAACGCATTTGTCTTCGCATCCTCTTTCCTCGTGCCAACCTTATCTATACGCCATGTCCTTAAAGTATCTCGATTTAAAGCCTTCATTACAACAGAGGACGATTAATATCTGCCAACCGGTCAAACGGGGATTTCACGATCCTCCGATCGCGGTACGTAATTCGCGGAAATAATTATTAGAGTCTGATTAATACCGGGTGCAACAATATGTATAATATGTATAAAATCGCATTCCTCAACCTGCCGCACGGTTCTCCTTTACTAGTGGCTTTCTCTCTCTCTCCCTCCCTCTCCCCGCTTCTATTTCTTTCCCCGTACGTCCCCCTTCATTCCCTGTACATCCTCTCCCTCGTCCAGTCATTCCATAAACAACTTTCAACTATCGTAATATTATTCAAGAAATAGAACACGAGTATATATATATTTATATAATATATATATATATATGTATAAGTGTGTACTTTGTTAGGTGTACGGGCTATTTTTTTTTAATACGCATCTCGTAACCGTTCGATAACGACAAATATTTTCCCTTCTCGGTCGCGCATATTTTTCTACAGGTGTACTTCTCGAGGGTCTCGACGTCGCGAATTAATTACAACTAATAATCGTCACGCGTGCTCTCGCCATTAATAATATTTCTTATTTATCTCGGTCACTCGCTCTCTCGTTTCTCGCATTCGCTCGCGATAAAGAATCGTTATTAAAATTTGTATATTACGTAGGATGCTGCAAACGGAGCGCTTTCGCGGGTTCACATCCTTTGCCACACCCACAGCCTCGGAAGTTTACGTTTAAGTCGTGGTATATACTATACTTATCGGTTTATGTATCCATACGTACGTAACGTGCATATATTCGCATGGACCCAGTAGGGTCTGGATTCGTCCTACGTCCGCCCATAGAAAAGTAGGGACAGATTAAATAGAAAAAACGTTTAAGCCGAGGTCGAGCCGGTTTTCTCGCGTCCAAGAAAGTTCCTCGAGATAAAATTGTAATTAGAAAAAGACGGAGTGGACCAGCGACACCAGGGTCGGTGGACGAGAGACCCTGCCGCATCGCTACCGATACATGTCGAGATGGACCGTACAACGTGCCCGCGCGTTCAACCGGTAGGCGGTTAGCCTCTGCACGAGTGGCGTGAATACAGTAAAGCCGGTGCCGGCGTCGTCGTAAAAATTAATTTAGAATCGTGCATATTAAAGTTAGAGCCATTGGTGCGCGCCTACTGCTGCGGATGTGGCCGGACGAGCTTCCCGGTCGCGCGGCGGGACGGAAGTCGACTCCGAGAATCCACCGAGCGCCGGAAGTTCCACTGCCGGTCGGCGATCGCCCTCCTCTCCCGCGTCTTCGGCGAAACCTCGTCGGGCGTCGCGACGCCGAGTTAGACCCAGGAATCGCCGGCCGACACGGCGGTGGAACTCGGCGGGACGCTGACCGTCGGGACGGGAGCTTCCTGGCCACCGATTCCGATCCCGTCCCCGACCCCGACCCCGACCCCGACGCCGACCCCGACCCACTGGGAGGCCGACACCACCGGGCCCTGACCGCCCACCACCTGCGCCTGACCCTGACCGCCCACCACCCCCAGCTCATACTGCCGTTTCTTTTTCTTCTCCAAGTTGACTTGCGCGTAGAGCGGCTCACCGGGTTTTGGCTGCTGCAACACACACGAGCCAACATTAGTACCAACGAAACTCGCACGGGGTCGAGGGTCAAGCGCGAGACCGGGGCGGCGTTCCGCGTCGGGAGCGATTTCCGGAGCGATTTCCGGAGCGATTTATAGAGGCCCGGGGCGACACCCCTCCTTCTCCGCGCTTCCGTTAATTCTATCGCGATCGGTTGAGCGTCTGGGTGCGGTGTCAACTGAAGTACCTCGTTGGCTGGAGTTGTCCGGTATTTTTATTGCACACGTAGCAACACGTTACATCGTTACATCTCATAAATGGGCCGTTCCGCTGGCTTCGACAGCGTCCGAGTTTCGCGTCGTCAACGTGGAAAAAAAAACGCTGCCCAAGTTTACGCGAACGCAGAGCGTTTTTTGGGTTCACCGACGTCGACCGGTCGGACTCGTCAAAATTAGTTCCTGACCAAATGGACGGCTATACGCGTTATCGAATGTGCTTCCGTGAGAACGGTACCCAAAGTAATTCCTGCCGAGCGACCCCCTCCGTGGTCGCTTGCTGGGCGCATCATTTCTTTCGGCCACTGGTTCGGGTCGCCGAAGATAACGGAGGTGTCCGGGTGATCCGGTTACAGTGGACCAAGCGTACAGCGAATAAATACCGCGTTAATCGATTCGAGTTTTGTTAACGGATGGAAAGAACAAAAGTGACGGTGATTCTCCCATTTTTGCTTTTTTCCTCCTTTTTTTTTTTTTTTTGTTGGATTAAGTAAACCGCTAAACCCTGCATTAATTTCAGTCCGTTTAATATGGTTCTCTAGATTCGCTTACTTATACGTTTATATTAATTGGAATCGCGAGATCGGACCTCTATGATGCCACTCCGAAGTCCACCCGAAGGACCGAACCCTCTACATTTTCAAGAATAATTTCGGGGGCAAAATTATCGTTGTGGCAGAGGGTCTAAAAATCCACGGAAAAAACTTCTTTCGCGCCATCGGAAATCGAAACATGAAAAATTAGTGGCGCCCAAATACCCAGTTAATGTAGGTCAGTGGATCCGACCCAAAACCGCGGAATCCTAATCCGCCCCGATTTCGCTTGGTTACGATACAACTGTTATTAATAATAAACCCAAGATTCCTTGCACCTTCTCTTTCCGCCGCATCAATCTCCCGCTCGTGTGTAGGACGTGTCTCGCTCATGCCAAGAATGAAATTAATGAAGAACGTCGTTAGAAGAACGCCGATCTCGCGTAAAAAGACGACGGCTAGCGGGAATTGGCAATAGACTTATTGGAATTGACTTAGTTTACGTGCTAGTTTTTATCTTTCCACGACTGAAATAATTCACGGGGCCCTTGTCAGTCATCGCGCCGACATCCAGAGTCCTGGACGCACATTTTTCTAATAGCTTTTCAAACGTAAATATGACTCGTATAAAATGTAAAAACCGAACGGTACTTGTTCAACGTCGAAATATTTTTTTTTCTTCGACTAATTCTTTAGAATGAAACTCTTCTTTTCGATGGAATGGAATTGAGTGCACTTTTCCTTCTCTAGATAAAATCAGGACGCGCATTATATGTTATACTTATATTTATATCTTTTCATTATCTAGTTCTCTTATTAGAAAATACTGTATACTAGCTGCAGGGCACTCGATTTTCGTAGAAAAAATCACACCGATTCGTGTAATCGGCGTCGTAAAAATTTCAACTCCAATACTTTCGATTGGTGGAGATCTGCAAATGATTATTTTTTTTTTTTAAGTAACGTTAACAACTTATAAAAGAAAAAAATTATTCACATTTCGCGTTGAACTTCTCAAAGGATGCAATGACGTGTCACTTGGTGAGATTCGCAGACGGTGCCTCAATAAGTAACAAAGTACATTTCGAAAAGCTACGAATCGCGACTACGTGTAAGTTATAAAAATGTCGGTGAAACACACACAAGTGTTACAAGGTGAACGAGGTCCACGAGAATCGTGACGTTGACTTATCGTAAAGCAACGACGCATCGCCGATTGGCAACGTCATTCCCTCAATGTACTCTTCCCCCTTCCTTTTTCCTTCTCCTTTCCGTCGCAATAATCGTGACGTAATATCACTCGGGTCTAGTTCTATTTTCGAGAGTCTAATGACTTACGGGGTTTGTTGGGAATACGCAAACGCCTCCTGCGGGTGGCGCGTGTGTTCCTTGTTTGGGATACTGCATATCAGACACTGTAATCTCCTCGTTTTGCTGTTGAGAAAATAAGATCCACTATATCGCCGCTCGGCTAGGGCGAAATTCGCGATTTTAGGTGAAAACAGCAACTTTTTATCGCTTTGTCGAGAAATTTTTCTCTTTTTAATTCACAATTATTTATCCTTCTCTTAGTTCATCATACGCGGGTGACATGAAAAATATTCAAATCGATTTACGCCGATCAGGATAGAATTATCGTTTTCATTTGACCCCTCTTACTCGTGCCTCATTTGGTGTTAGATATAAACTTTGGACAACTGATTTCCATAAAGAAAAATTGCATGACAATGTAATAGACTTACTTGAAAATGATTTGCATGGCTTCTATTCGTGTCTACTTACAGGTGGATACATCGTTGGTCGTCCAACATTGTTAGAATTCTGGTTGGCCCTCTGAATGGTTCGATCTTCGTACCGCGTGCTGCCTTGACTTGCCATTGGTCGATTCAAGGTGCTGCAATCGTAACTACTTTTGACATAGCAATAAAGTGCTTTAAATGAAATCGGGACTCTGCATTTAGGAGCACGAAATAAATATTTGAAAACCGATCGAGGAAATGAAATTAAGAGGTACGGCAGAGTCCCTGAACTCAATATACGTAACTCAGGGTAAAGAACGCAATTCCGAACATTCCTGGACTACTCTTCCCTTCTAGAAAAATCAACCGAGTGCGGGGGATCGTCCAGGGAAATCAAAAGAGGCACCTTTCTTTTTAAGTAACTCAAAATAATAGAACCCGAAGAGATCACGCTTACCTATTGGCATTGTTCGGTGAATTCGGGCCGGAGTTTCGCGCGGCCACGGTTTTCGTAACGAAGTCCTGTTCCTTCCACCCGTGTTTCTTGTAAACGTCTCGTAACTCTTGGTGCTGCCACATCGTGAATAATACTTGTCCTGCGAGAACGGAAATCAGTGCATCCTCGATTAACCAAACCAAGATCTCGGACGCTCGTTCCTTACGTCGAGAGCTACGTGAGAGTGAAAAGAAAAGGAATCAATCGTTACTACCCACCGGCAAATTTGAGAACACGAGGCGTATACTTTTGTCGTTGCCTCGTGATATTCATGAGCCTTTCTACCCCGCCGGCGTCCAGTAGCGACCTCGAGAACTCGGCGTTCTTCTTGATAACCTCGTTCAATGTCGCGAGGACTGCGGCGATGGTGTCGTCGCTGGTGCCCTGGTCGTGCTGGGCATTCCCAGACGGTAACTTCTGGATGAGATCCCTCATCGCGTATTTCCCTATTAGCTCCTTATTGCGCTGGTCTATCGCCAGATTCCTCAATGCCGTAGCAACGGCGCAAACCACTCGATCCACCTGAAACCCAACGATGAGTTACGTTTATTTAAAAGATAACATTCTACGTTAAGATTAAATATGAGTCCGAAAAAGGAAATGGCGATCAGCCTTGGACCCACCTCCATCCTCAGCAGCTCGACCAAAATCGGAAGTCCCTTTTCCTTCCGAACGGCAGCTCGGATTTCGATGCTCGGCTGCCAGTAGCAGGCTGCCAAATTCTGAAGAGCTCCCGCAGCGGCCTCGAGCGTTTCCGGATTCGAGCAGGATTGAAGTAGACTCAAGTACGACTGGACGACTTCCGGTTGCCAGAGAAGCTCCATTCCTTTGACGGGCTCCGTTCGGGGGTTGGTGGTCCTCGCGGTGGTCGTCTCTTTCTGAACGACCTGGCCGTCCTTCTTCTTCTTGCTGCCTCCGAAGCAACCCAAATTCTCACCTAAGGCAGAAACACAAATCAAATCATTCTCCTGGTTGTCTTGAAGAGGAGACATGGCGAAACTTCACTAGGGACAAGTTCCTCTAAAAAGGGCAGTTTCCATTATTTTACATTCTTTGTTAACGCTAAGCGTCTCCCAGGATTCCTCCGAAAAATCGCAATATCGTATGCGGCGGTACCAACATCATGAGAAAAAAAAAAGAACGATCTTCTTCCCTTTCAACGCTCTCGATGCATCGCAGGTCGACGATTTCCAATCGACCGGTATCTACCGTGCTACCTGCTCGCGAAAAGCATGCAAGATCCACTAGCGATTGATCAACGATGTCTAATTTACTTGGAAGTATTGCAATGACGTCTTACCTTGGCATAAACTGTATGCTAAAAAGATTGAAACAGATTTTAATTCATGCCAAATCCAACCGAACTTTTTGCCTATTTAGCCTGGTGGTAAACTTACGTTAGATTAAGAAGATTAAAGCAAAAACTAATTGGAAATGATTGTATCTACCCGACGAAGGAAAAAAAAAAGTGCCTCTAAAAATAGGAAAGGGGATTCTCAACAATTCTGAGACTAAGTTAGAATTTATAGCATTACCGAAACTACAGCATGTCTATAAAAAAAAAAAAAAAAAAAACGAAGTAAAATTCATTAAAAGGGTAAAGCTACTTCTAGCCGAATTATGCACGAGCCCGTACCTAACGCTTTTAATTTTATCTTTTTAAAACTTAAAGATATTAATAACCATCTGCAGACAAGATCATTTAGCTGCCAATTTAACAGATCTCAATCGATTTTTTCTATCGTGAATCCAAGAGGTCTTTCTCGTAGAGTTGATGCAACTGACCTCGTTTTCCGTTCGTTCCAAATGCACCGAGATAAGGTGCACTGGCTATTGGCACTGACTCCCGTGTTGGTACTTTAATTCAATTCTTATTGTATAACATGCAACGTTGTGGCAAACGAAGGTTCCAGCGCATATTAATTTAACCTCTGATTTTTCTCCAGATACCAAACGAAAATGAAACCCACGCTCACGACAACGAGAGAAACTGGCGTTCCGTCCTTTTCGCAATAGGCCGATCACTTTAAACTTCGAACTCATTCGTAGCATATCCGTTTCATGTATTGCTCTGGACCGATGTTCAAAGTGATCACCCAAGAAATAAATGCGACATCAAACACATACGAAGAAAACTGCACCGATGTTCACCTTTGGCAGGTGCGGCTACCCTGTTCTGCACGGCGGATTGGATGGGATGCTTGTCGTAGTTAGGGTCCTCCACTTCTTGGCACCTGTAGCTGAGGTTCCTCAGGATGCATACGCAATTCTCCACGATCTTGTTGCCGATGTTCGACTTCTCGATGGCGGAGCGTACCACGTAGAGCAGAGCGTCGACGAGACCATCGCATTCTCGCAGCTTCTTCCTCGCGTACTCGCCGGCACTGGAGACGTTTCTGAGGACTCCGGAGGCATTTCTAAAGACGGTCGACCAGCAGGTCTCGCCACTGGAAGAGCTGGGGTCCCAGCCGCTGTGGGGGATGATAATGTTGTTCACCACCATCGTCACGCCGTCGTCGATGATGGATCTCTTCAAGTCCTGGAACCACCGTTGACGCGATCGGCGTTAATCTTAACGTTCCAACTAAATTGAATCGTCGAATACACTTTAACGTCGCCGTATCGATCCAAATAGAGAAACGTACTTCGCAGGAGGACAGGTTCCAGAGAACACCCGTGACGAGTTCCTTGACGTCGGCATCGGAGGTCCTTCGCAACAAGTTGATAAGCGCGGGGACCCCGTCGGCATTCTTGATGGCGCGTTTGTTCTCGTCGTTCTGCCTGCCGTATGAGAGATTCCTGAGAGCGCCACACGCGTTCCTGTAGACGTCAGGGCTATCGTGGTCCAAAAGTTGGACCAAGGGCGGAATGCCGCCGAGGCTACGCGTCTTCTGCTTGTTGGGGTCATCCATGTAGCAGAGATGCTGCAGATAAGCGGCCGCGTTCGCTTTGATTATGTTGTTGGGATTGCTCAGGAAGCCGATCACTTCGGAGAGGTTCGGGTCCCTCCATCGCATGGACTTTTGATCGTCGTCCAATGGGCTGGCCATCCCTGGGACTCCCGGGTGTCTGGCCTGGAGCCGTTGCAGGTGGACGTCGTCCTCGAACATTCCCGGAGGTACTCCCGTGGGCAGAGCCACGGGATGTCCTTCGTCGTAGCCGGGAACGTCTCCCGGAACCGGAACGGGGCCCACGCCCACGGCCGGTCCATATCCCACGGGACCGTACGGCGAAGGGGACACGTACCCGTAGGCCACCTTGCCCTCGTCTGAGAAAACGAAAACGGTTCGTTAGAATTTCATCTCTTCCGTTGCCTTCGGACGCAACTCGCTTCTTACCGTGATGCTGAGAGGGCTCGCCCGAGTCATCCATGTTCCAGGAGTTGCTGATTTGGTCTGAGGGAACGAAACGCACCACCGATGAGCGACGCGTGCTCGATTCGCCTTAAGACGACGTTGCTTAGTTACTTGCCCGTAGCTAAATACACGTACCGTACTGATCGCCATGTCCACCGGGGCTCGAAGTTATGCGATAATGATCCTGCAGTCCAGGGTTCAGTCCAGGATCTATGTCGTTGTAACCGCTCTCCAGGTAGGGTGCGCCTTTCCGCAGGTACTCTGCCGAGCGTTAATCGTTTATTTATTCAACTCGCCGGGACTGCGGTCCGTTGTTACGTTACGTTCGTCTGGACGGCACCGCGTACGGCCGAAATTGCGTACCGTGTGGTGGAGAGGCGTGGCTGTGCTCCGACTGACTGTGCGGACTGTGAGGTGAGTGGGACCTCTGTATGTAGATCCCGTGCGGCCCCGAGTACCCGGGCTGGGGCGGGTATCCCAGGTAAGGGTCGTAGTGGTCGAAGCTGACCATGTAGGGGTCCGTTGCGTATCGCGGGTCCGCGTGCTGGTACTCCTGGGACATCAGAGGCACCGACATGTAGCTCACGGCTCCAGGGTCTGGCTCCATGTGCGAGACCTCCCTCACGACCTTGGTCACGGTGGTTACCTGAGGAGAAGAAAGGAAAACGAATGACTTCGATCTCGCCCGCAGCTACGTCCGGAAGAGCCCCCGAAAAGCTTCAGACGGTTTTCCGCCCCGGTTAGTGGGTTTAGCATCCGGGCAAGGGGGGTGTTTCGCGCCACCTTGAGGACGACGAGGAGGAACCATAAGTCACGACCGAGGTGTAGACGAGGTGGCGTCGTACTTACTTGCTGGGAGGTTTGTTGTTTGTGGGTCCGGATAAGAAGGGGATCTTCCTGCACCGAGAGGTGGGACGAGTGCAAAGAATGAGTGTCCGCTTGTCCGTTACTCCCATGGTAATCGGTGTCGCTCTGTCCACTGAAATCGTTATTATTTTTTCTTCCTCTCTACCGGAGAATTTTTATTTAAACCGAGCTCCTCTTTTAACACTTACGTGTACTGGGGCATGTCGGGGCCTTTCTCTTGAAGAACACGTCTGTAATCATATTTTTTTTCAAGCGTTACTCAACGTATCCATACAAATTCTACACCGTAGAATTCAAGTTGCTTCCGCAAACTGATCAAGCAGTAGGCGTCAAAACATCGCGTTCCATATCGTCAAATGAAATCATTTTCACCCCGTCAACGGTACGGACCTTTTACGGGCTCGGAGGAGTTATCGGAGCGACCTTAAAATCAACATCGTTTGGGAATCGTTTGGAACGAGCGTTAAAACGGCTTTAACGCCGGTTGCCCGTAAAAGTCCATACGGTCTGCGGTGGCGGACATTTTTAACGAGCAACTGTACATCGCAATCATGGTCCGCGTCCTAGCGTTAAAAACAAAACATTCCACAAGACCAGCCGAACACATAGCACGCAACGACATCGACTACCAACCGACTACCGGAAAGGAACGTATCGCCCTCGACAAAAAATTGCCAAATTAACTACAGCGCAAAAATCAACGGTCGACGAGCAAAACTCAGCGATAGCAAACGCCCGTTTCCTTGAAAACGCATGCACGGTCATATTCTCCTCTCGCGGAACGGCGATACGCGGTATATATATGGATGGACTCGCTAGGCGCGGAAATAGGTGACCGCAACGAGACAAGATACGCCCCCGAAACTCTGAATTTCCCTTTGAAGAGTCGCCTCGCGAAAAGTCGTATGGAAAAGCTCCGTTGCGGTATCCCGCGGGGTCGACCTACCGTTCTCGAGATATTCCCCGACAGGGCGGACTACCTCGGGAACCGTCCACCCCGTGGAACGATCGAAGGGAACTCCCTTTGGACTTTGCCGTTCCGATCGGAGGGTTCGCGGGGATCGTTAGCGCCGCAGAGACTCGACTCGAGGTAACTATTTGCACGGGCAAAACTGGGTCGGGGAAACGCGCTAACAGCCCCGCGACGGCGGCGTCGTTACCGAACGGGTCGGGCGTCTTCGAGGGCCGAATTCGAATTCCCGCGCCAAACGAATGCCGGAAGCCGCCCGACCCTTTCGTCGAGCGCAAAACTTATTCCGGTTTAATCACCTCTGCGTGATCTCGGTGCGCGTTATGTTGTGCTCCTGCCGCTGCTCGATCCGCCGGTTCACCAGCCTGGTTTTAAATCATTAACCATTATTAACGAGGTCGGCCGAGCGGCCGAACGCCGTTCCCGATTCCGAGATGCATCGAGTCGACCTTCGTCGGTCCATTCCCGCGCGCGGTACCGATCGGTAGCGATCTAATCCATTTAAAGACCGGGCTCGAACGAGTCACGGGCCAAATCGGCTCAGCGAGCTCGAAGGACGCGTTTCTCTTTCCGTCGCCCCTGCTACGCGAGACCTTCGACCGAGATACGCTACGGAGTTAGGAGCTACTTCCCTAAGGAGTCGTCGACACTTACAGACAGGAATCCACCAGCTGATTGCTTGACATACCAGCTGATCCTTGGTATTCGCTCCCGTGCGGCGGATGTCCTCACCTGAAACAGAGGGGAACACGAGTTACGTCCGCGCCAGGCCGAATCTCGAACGCGCCTCGAGGAGGGCACCCGTTAGCTCGCCGACAAAATATCATTTCTCAATTGCGCGCGTAATTGCCGCCGTTATTGGGCAATTAAGCCGCAATTCCCCCCGCGACGGAAACCGACGTTTTTGTAAACCACCGGCGTCGATGGATTACCGGCAGACGAACGTCGCGGGTTCGCGACTCCGAATCGTTAACGCGAAAAAAAAATAAATAAAAAGGAAATACGTTCCGGTCGCCGGATAAATAATTCCGCGCTTCCTCCTCCACCCTGAAAAAGGAGGCCGTCCGCGGCTCGGGTTCCACCGCGAGAAAGGTAGGAGCGTTAATGGCATTAATCGCATTAATTCGCCGGGACGAAGGGGAGGTAATTAAGGCACTAAACGATACGAAGGGAAGAGTCGGGAGAGAATTCCAGGCCCCGGACCAAGGACCCCTCGGGGAGACACCGCCGAGACCTCGAAACCCGACACGCCGCGAATTAATCCCGCCACCTCGGGTTTCCGCGGATACGAGAGCGACTTCGCCTTTCCGCTAACGGTATTCCTGCCTCTCCATTAAGCGGTTTCGACCTGGAATATATCTACATTTATTTATTTATTTATTTATTTATTTACTGATTTATTTATTCGCCGACGCGGAAGCGGATCGCGAGGTCGTCGCCGGGTTTCCAAGGTGGACCGCGTCCGCGAGTCCGCGCCTTGCCCGAGTCCTTCCGGGTGATTTTGAAAACGAAAACCCGCCGTATCTCCGGGGTAAGGTCGGTTTCTGCCGTAACGACGTACCCTCGGACCGTTCCGGGCTCCGCGGCGCGAAATATCCGCGCGGAACGAGCGGGATCGCGGTTGAACGAGTAACGGGTATTCCAGTTTTACGACAACTGCGTAAACTCCCATTAACCATCGCCGGTTACCGGACCTCCAAGATCCGTCTCTTGCCTCTCGAGTTCCTCTTTATCAAAGAGGTCGAAATACCGACTCGGGAGGACGACCCTTCCGATTCCCGAATCGGACTTTCCGTCCCTTCCACGCTGACCTCGAGATTCGGCGTGGAACGTCGCGGCCGGAACTCCGATATCGGGTTCCTTCTGGCTCTTCATCCGCCGAGCCATTGTTCGAATTATTCCGAGGATGTTTATCCGAACGAGCGCGACCTACGGTTTCCGACGTACGACCCCCGGGTCGAATTCCCCTTATCGGGGCGAAAGCAAAGAAAAGGCGGAGGGCGTCGTGCCAAGACGGTGGCGGTCCCGCGCGTTCTTCGGCGAAGGCGAGGCGTCATCTCGGGGCGAAGCTGCCGGGAAAGGGAGCGGGGAAAACGCGACGGAAGGGCGGGAGAGGGCGCTTCGGCCCGCCCCGAGAGCGGAAACATCGATGACGCGACCCGCGCCAGGGCGATCGATGAGGCAGAGACCGATAAGAAGAGATAAGGAGTTCCGCGGCCGACTTCGGGGGCCTCTCGAAGGACCGGAGGGAGACGGAAACGAACCGACGGCTCGGCACCGCTCGAGGTGGCGGAAGAGGAGCGGAGACCCCCGTCGACGTCCGCCGATGACTCGGAGGGCCGCGTTCCGTCGACCCTTTCCGCGCGAAATGACGTAGTCGCTTCGAAACTTCAATTTTCGACTCCGAGAGTATCCCGTCGTGGAATCGCTCCCGAAGTCCACGGATAATTCATTCCTCGCATCCTAATTTCCAGCTCGCCCTCGTCGACGCGGCTAATCCACAATGGCGGCGCCGCGCGGTGGGATCGTCGACGATCGCTTAGGAACGTGCCCTCGCACCCGCGCGATGACTAATCGGCGAGAGCCCGAGACCGACTCAAGGAAGACGAGAGGATATCCATTTCCTGCCTCGCCGGCCGGTCCGATCTCCTTTTTCCGGGACGCCCCGAGCATCCGCGCGATCGCGGCCCAATGACTACCCTGAACGTCTTCCCCTTCGATTCCGAGGCGATACGTACGTTTTACGCAACGTAACGATTTTATTCGTCATTAAAAAAGATGGAATAAAAGAGGAGGGAAAGATAAAAAAGACCTATACTTTGAAATCGCGCGACGTTAGGTCCCGGGGGCGGGTCGAGGGAACCCGTAAAACACTCACCAGTGGGTTCGCAGATCGTAGGACCCGAGAGTGAGCTCTCGCGCGGATCGTACAACCGTAAAGCGGGACGTGAAATCCGCGGATAACGGTGAGAAATACGAAAAATCTCTCACGTGCGATAAAATCGTGTCGTAATCGTGAAACTACCTCGTCGTCGCCCATGCCGGCAGAGGTGTCGCCACGACACCCCGGAATATCCACGACCGTCGAGAAGCGTTTCTCTCTCTCTCTCTCCCTCTATATATATGTGTGTCCCCATCTCCCACTCTCGAAATGTCGGCATAAAACGTTCCATCGGAAGGCGTGCGAACGCTTTTCCGAAATCGAGATATAAAAACCCGATTTCGCGTCTGGCCTGACCCCCTTCGTCCGTTTTCCCCGCGTCGACGAACCGCTCTTCGGTGGACGAACGTTCCTACCTTCGATACGTTTCCGCCCGGTATGACAGAAATATCACGGCACCTTCGGTTCCGATACTTTCTCCACGTAGTAAAAACCATCGCGGTGGATACCGGCCGTGTTCCTTTTGAATTCCCTGCGACGCCTTCGCGTGCCACGTCAGGAAACGGTAACTCTCGATATCAGCGATAAGCCACAGGGAATTAGCGGCGGTTTTCCTCGGCGTCGACGCCGGACAAGCGCCCGAGACGCGTACATCGAATTTTAGGGACGCGTCCCCCCTCTCGCGATTCCTTTATCCGACCGAGGCCCCGAGTCGAGATCCTCGGTACCGATAAGATCGCACGTGCCCGAACTCCGTTCGATCGAATTCAACAAGTTTATCCCCGATGGTATCGCGTCGAAGACCGCGTCCAAGTGGAACGAACCGACGAAGAGGATTTCGCTAGATCTCGCGCGATTTTTTATGAAACGTGAAAAAAGTCAAGAAATCAATGGGAAAATCGTCCAAGGAACGACTCGCAACGTCGTCCGGCAATTCCGCTGGAGCTGCCCCCGGCTCCAATGGAAATGTCAATTAAGCGCTACGCTCGACCGACCGACCCCGAACTTCGTTAATTGATAATAATCAAGCGGTACACCTGCGAGGCGACACGTGTCCGCGAGGCGGGCATTTAAAGATGGCGGTCTCGCGGTAACCAGCTGATTCGAAGATGGCGGCGACGCCTCGCGAGGGGGATCGGGGCGGGGTTCCCCTTCGGTCCCGGGGTTACCGTGCGACCCGATACGCGTTCCGCCGTTTAATAACCGTTTGACGCGCATTTCCCGACCTCCTGGATTAAGGTCCCGTCCGATCCCCGGTGGAACCGAGGTCCGGAGAGGCGGGTCGCGGAACTTACCGCGACGGCGCGAACCCTCTCGCGTGATTTCGATATTTCGATGTAGTGTCGTTCAAATGGCCGAGGAAACTTTGGACCGCTTTGTTCTCCTAGTCTTATCAAGAAATAAGAACGTAACAGGATCCAAAAATTTCCAACGCTCGTCTGCCAGCTTCCGTTTTGTTAAACGCTACCCTCGGGTCTACGGACCCGATCTACGGAATTTCCGGAACGGAGGAAGCCGTGGCGCTACATACCTCGTCCGGAGTTTTTCGCAGCCAAGGTGGTCCCCCTTACATTCCAGAGAGTTAAGATAATCCGCGCGCTTTGGTCCGAGTCGCGGAAACTCGCTCTCGGCGCCCCGCTGATTTTCGGCAATTCCGAAGCGTGTCGCCTCCCTTCTCCCTCACTCGTCTATGTCCATGTCAGCCTGCTGCAGCCTGCTGCAGCCTGCGGACAAAAGATGTCACGTAGAAATCGTTTTCTCCCCTTCCTGTCTCTCCCTCCCTTACAACGTCTAACTAATTAATCTTGGGTGAAACCGTGGGGGCAATAGGCGAGAAAATAAGGTATCTCCAGAAAATTCGTATTGCTTTGGGAGATTTAATTTCATTCCCGATATTGTTCGAGGTTAAAGAAACTCGCGGAAGTATCTCCCGGCGAGGATTAGAGGGGACAAGAGGACTCCGGAGTGTCCCGCGATATCGAGGATTCGATCGGCCGCGGCGGGTTTCCTCGTTGTTTGCTCTCGGTTACGTATTCGATTGCACGCGTCTACGTACACCTACTCCAAGTGTCGACTGCACTTGTCGATAACTTGAAATCCCGAGAAAAATTCAAGTCCCTCGACCGGGGCGATGCACGGCTTTTACGATTGCCCCACCACCGGAGTTTCGTTGCCTTTCAACTATCGCGTCACATTTATCACCTGTATCTTTCTCTACATCGTTTAACGTATTTAACATCAAGGAACGGAGGCGCGTCAGAGGGTGACAATTAGGCAGGACGTGCCTGAAATAGATGGGCAAATTTTAAAGGCGAATTCCACTCGTCTTGAAGGCGAGTAACGATCGATTCCGTTAATTCTTCCTTTCCGAGGTGACGCCGTTTTACTGGAACGGACGTGAGCAAATTAAAATTTTTCGTTTCATTCTCGATTGCGCTCTATGTCAGTTATTCGGCAATATATATCCATGAATCAAAGCGTTAAATTGAACGGCTGTTAAACGGACTCTGCACTTTTTGGACGAGGAATATCCGTTTCTCAATGGTATACCCTGGAATTGCAACCTCGGCAAATGTTGAAATATGACCGACTAAAGTGTATATAATTTGCTGAAATTTGCCTCTTGCCCGCATCCAAACAAAATATCCAATGAAACGTTGGCTTGGCACGTTATATCGATAGTAAGGTGAAGAAGCGAAGAACTAAAATATTTTTTCAGTTTCTGACCTTTTATTAGGCCTTCGAAAATCAAAGTCCCTGATGCTACGATTCTGGAAGCACGAGTCCGACCAGGCCGTTCCAAATTATCCGGTCGAATCGAGTGCCTCTTAGAATCAGAGGTTTGACTCTTGATTTTATTGCATGTCTTCGTTGAAAACGGCTCCATGTAAAAAATTAATCCATGCTCCGTATCGTAACGTTATACTACAATCCGCTCCCAAGACTCTTTTCGAGAACATCCAAACTTAGTCCAAACCGAAACGACGAGTTTCTCCGATTAACTTGGACCATCCGAGCCTGTCCCTACTCGGAATTTATCCTTTGTAAAATCTTGTTTACTGGCTGTTCGACGAAACCCTGGTCCACGTCTCGACTAAATGCACCGATCGATCTCGAGCATCGTCGCCTCGTAAAGGAAGACTTTTGAGCTTATTTCGTAGACTCCGATAGGGCAGCTGGACCAATTCGGTCTGGGACAAGATCCACGAAAGCGTTCGGCCGTTGCTCAATCAAGCTCTCGACGACGTTCCTAGGAAAGGGGTTAAAGAGATATCGTTAAAGATAGTTACCAGGGTGGCGTCGCGGCCGATTTGGTGAGCGGATCGGGCTCGAATGGTTCAGCCGCTCGTCGGGCCCTCCGGACCCAGGTGACGCGACCGGCCGAGTCCTGCCGGGGCGGAAGGTGCCCTCGCCGAGGCGGCGGCGCACATTTCACGAGGCCGAAATTCCTCCGAGGTCGCGCCCACGGTCGTCCTCGAACCGTGCTCGAGGTGCCCGGACGCCTGCGGAGACGGCGGCGGAATCCGACGGGCGGCCCCTACGTGGCCGTGGCGTTCGGGTGTCGGCGCCCTCGCGTCGCAAAGCTCCCTCCCGGTGCTCGCTTCGCCGGGCGATCGCGCGGCCTGGCGGCAGATCCACGTGCGACCCGGACCCTACGCCGAGGAAGCCACCGGTTCTTCTCACGGACACATCACCGCCGCGAACTTTTCGCCTCCGCCTCGCCAACGCCTACACGATACACATTGCAAGCAGAAACGACGCCCCTATAACGCCGTCGGCGGCGGTGCTCAATCTGGCGACTGCGTTTCACGTGGGGGCGCCAGGGACGCTCGAGCCTACCCCCGCGCTGCGATTGGTCCGCTCTCGGCCAATGGAAGCGTGGCGTCGAGGCGGGTAATTCGCGTAGAGAGAAGATGAGAGCAGCAAAAGGTATTAACGAGTCAATTGACATTTTTTTAAAATACATTACGTAAATTAAGTAATTTACTGTAGAGGAACAATTGTCATATTAAATTGCAGTGTAAAAGAGTTTATGGTCATTAGTGCATAAATGTCCGATAGAAACAGATATAGGAAGTGCAGAAACATAAAGTCCCGTTTTCATGTCATTTACATCATGTACAAAACTCGTGACGTAAATACCTAGTAACTTATTGTACATACATACAGAAATCTGCGTATCTACCTAGGGTATTTTGCTTGCCCATCCTGCTGGCGCCATAGCTGTGCAATGATGACGTCGTGACCCTTAGTACACGTGCGCAGAAGTTAATTAATGGATTAAATTTGTTGAAAGGTCTGGGAGCAGTAGTAATGTGTAACGTTGGCTGAAAAAAATATGGTACGGCTACGAAAGTTAACACAAGAATTAACATAACCACAAACGTCCTCGATAAGGCATCCTAATCTCCCAAGAAATTTCCAGAATTTTTCAGTTTAACACATCTGCTCGTTTTAGGTGGACAACGATACGATCAGCTGTGAGGACATGACCAGTGAACTGCATAAGTCCAGCGAAACCGATGATTTGGATAACTCTGACGAAAGCGACAGACCTGCGGGGGAGCGATGGGCCCCCGTGGGGGCTAACGATGGAGATAATGATTTTAGCGACGAATTCAAATATTCCACTTGCTTAGAAAAGTAAGCTATTTGATATTATTAATACCTTGATGAATATATTAGTGTTATTGTCCCTATATCTTGGTATGACTTAATTGAAAAAATATAACATAGATTAGAGAAATATATGACGGACCTAATTGTCGCGTTATATGGGTAATACCATGTTCGTATTCTTAGGATTTGTAAAAAGATTGAATTTTTCAGTATTTCATATGACATGGAACGGTTAAAAGTGTTAGAAGAAGAACAAGAAACGCTCAATTCATCCTTAATTGCATTAACGACGCACTTTGCTCAGGTATATTATATTTTCCTAAGTTTTGGTTATGCCTTTTTATATGAGATATTTACACATTTTTCTGTAATTTTATAGGTACAGTTCCGACTAAGACAAATAGTAGATGCACCTACCGAAGAGAAAGAAAGTTTACTTAAAGAACTAGAAGAATTTGCATTCCGAGGCATTCCCAATGTACCCAGCAGTCTTAGCTTAGATAGTCGGTCGACTACACCAAGCTCACCGATGCCGTGTAAACAGAGTGTAAGCAAAAACGTATAGATATTTCTTTGTTTCGTCTTATTTTAAATAGCCAATCTTATTTTCAATTTTATTGTGTGACTTCTTTCTAGTACTGCAAATTCTTAGTTCACAAGATGATGCCATTTCATCTATTATGCTTTTTTGTTCTGTCTGTAACCCTGAACTGTTCTTCATAGCTTTCCCGTATGACCTACAACTTTCCATTTTTATTTTTTCAATAAGCTGCTTGTACTGAATTCTTTTAGCTTATTTTTCTAGCTTTTACATTGTTTTATATCTCAATAAAAATATTGCGTATTCCTTTATGTTCGCCTTTTTTATTTTTCCACTATACTTTTCATTTTCCACATACATACTCCTAATTCCAACACATTTCACCCACATGTCCTATTTACCTGGATTTGTGTATCACATTATTTACGAAATATAATGTAAAAAAAAAGCAGTTTCATGCAAATATGAGATATTGCTCAAAGAAATGTGTAAAGTTAAGACTGGTCAATGATACTAATATGAACAAAAGGGAAGTATTGTATTATTCATTCTGAATTATGTGCATACAGCACCTAGCAATGATTACACACATATCTTCTAAGTAGTTCTTTCTTTTCGTATTCAACAGTCTCTGGGAATGCTAAGCGATGTAGAGGTGGAATCTAAAATGGCTCTACAAAGGTCTAAGCAACGAGAACTAATAAGCCAACTGAAATCTCAATTAGAAGATCTGGAGAAATACGCATATGAAACGGGGGGAGCCGATGTGCCGCAGAGTGTCCTTCTAGAACGCCAAAATGTGATAATCAGTAAGCCAGATTGCTACGGTATGCACTTCTCCATTGAAAATTGTCCTTCATGCATCTTTTGAAATAAACTTTTAGATCACTTAAAAGAAAAGCTGAACTTCAATTTTGATGACTTATGCAAAATGCCTTTGGATGATCTACGGTGGCAAGTAGATTGTGCATTCCGACAAGTAAGTACATTATCTGTAAAACAGATTGACTCCAACTTAATGCGTATCTATTACTCATTTTGTATTTACCTGACTTTTACTCTTGAATTCACTGTCAACAGATCGTTAGCCCTCTGAAGATGAAGGAACAACTCGTTACTCAATTGAAGACCCAGATTGCAGACCTAGAACGTTTCATAAATTACCTTCAAGGTGAAGTGAGTCCGGAAACTCTGGCATGTACCTGTGCGTGTCCAGTACACAGCTCCGCATTGGGCACCTCGACTTATGCTAAGAGATCCTATGAAAGAAAGCTCAATGAAGAAGAAAGCAGAACAAAGACCCTTAACACGGTTCGTAAGGTCATGGCTCTCTTGCAGATGTTCCTTGTGTCCCAACTAGGATGTGGCAGCGAACGTAAAAGAAGCTCTACAAAGTCCTTCCAAAATTGGAGAGAATTAAGGACGAGACTGGACATTGCCGTCGAACACGTGCTGGAGATCGCCGCAGAGACGAACCGGGAGGCTGAGGAAACCAATGAGGAAAATGATTATTCTTCGGACTCGGAGTTCCCATCTTCTAGATGTAGTACCAAACTCACGTCGGCAGTCAGAAAACATCTTGCCGTTTCTATTCGAGACTTGATGCAACATGGTCTCGTCGCCGATGTGCGTGCCAGTAGTGTGGTTCCCTTCGTTGGATGTTTCCCCCATAGAAGTCCTTCTTCGACGACTTTAATGCATGCTTGGGAACTTGTACTCAAGTATTACGAGATCAAACATGGACAGCGATACAACTCTAGTCCGGCACAAAAACTCTCGCAGAGCTTCAACTTGGATCTTATTGGAGAAAGAGTATCGTCCTCGAAACAGGTTAGACTTCTTCGGGCATCTTTTACCGCATATTGTTTTTTTTAATGGATATCTTTCTCTTATTATTGCGTAATTGTATTTCAGAGTTTACTAATGGTTATTGGAAATATTATTGGTTCCCATACTCCTTACAAGAGGAGCTACGACTCGCACTTTAAAGCTTTCATTTGTGCAGGACTAAAGTAAGTAGGGTATTTTAGTTTAAGTTTGTGATGTTTTTGTTGCAGTTTGTAAGAAATAATTCCATTTCTCTTTTCATGCAGTACTAATAAGTTGGTGGCTTGGTTAAAGCTGATCTTGCAGTGTCAGTATCTCCTGGAGAACCATTACACATCTTGGAGTTACGTCGTCAAAACTGGTACGCTGTTGAAAATATACTTTGCAATTTTTAGTGCTTAATTTTAATATTTTCAGGTTTCCAAGACGCTTTTCACACTCTTGATCGACTCACAAACGTAAAGTTCAATCTGCCCGTTGACTTGGCTGTACATCAATTCCAGAATATCAAGGATGCTTTCTAAACAGAATCATACGAATTAGATGAAACATAATCTGAACGTAATCGACTGGCTCGTGATGGAATGAAAATATTAAAATACAGTATAACAAGTTGATGAATTTTGTTCCTATTTGGAACAAAGAAAATGGGCTGTACACTGTGTGTCCGTTAATCAGTTGCATAATTAACGATTGTCATTTAATGGACACTTGCTGAATACCTATTAAATATTTGTTCCACGTTAGGGCATCTAAGAAGTCTCGTATGAGTTAATAATACGTTTAAACACGCATCACTGTGAGAGGTACTCAATGTTTTCAGTTATTAACGCATACATGCCTAATGAACTAAATGACATTGACAGTGTTTTACCAAAAAATCTGTAAAGCCTTTATATTTTGTTCCTGTATGTACTCCGAGATAGGCCAGAAGATTGTTACTGCCGAGCTACCATGAGGATTTTCTACCAGCTTATTAACATAACGCTTTATATTGTTCAATGACATGTACTTTAGTGTTATCTGTAATATCCCTTAAATTTATAAGTACGTAAACATATCGAACATTGTACGCCATTGAAAAAGAATGTCGACTTATTAAGCCGGCAGTCTCCTCGGGCCATATGGCGGGACAGTTAATAACGACAATGTACACTGGCGGTCACGAATGGCTTCCTCGTGTACACGGCACCACCAGGTGGTGGTTTCAGATACCACGTATCGCAGCAGCGACAAGTTTAAATCGGAGAGAAGGCTGTAGTGAATGTTTATAAGAAATCGGAAGTTTGTAAATAAAATTAATTATAGGAAACGTACTAAAAGTTCATTCCGCAACGCATTTGATATATTTTATACATTTTTTCTTATAACTGCCAACCGGAACGTAAAAATTATACGTTGAACCAGAGAAGAGTTGGGAAATTGCTTATGGGCAGAGTCGCGCAATCGCGTCCTGTACTGTTCCCCGATGGAGGATGAACGCACTTGCCACCTGATACCCTCCAATGGCTGCCCAATTTAAGGATCCTCCCAGCACTGAACACGATCGCGTGACCCTGCTCGTGAACAATCTCCCAACTAATCTCCGATTAAAGTACGAGCTGACAAAAGTTTACCGACTTATTAGCGAATCAGCTGGCAGACCCTCTGTATCAAAGTTTAAACAGCTTTTACCCGCTCGTACCTGTCCATACCCACTGGCAAAAATGTTAATTTCGTGATTCGGTCGTTTATTCCATATAAAAGTTGTATATCTATAGAAGTTTCACTACATTCAAAAGTAATTTTGTAATTGTTTCTTTTGAATCCTATGTATGAATCGCTTTCCATCGGAGACTCACTTGTAATCCATTTTTATTTTCTTGGCGAGTAAACACTTCGAGAGGCCTCAACGTTCCACGTGTATAAAACGCTAGTGTATAAAATTCGGAGGACAACCGACGTCGATTGTAACGAATAAAAACGCCTATAATGATACGATATCAAAAACCCCTTTCTTGGTCAGCGGCAGTTATGCATGTTAACATAATGGTTCTACACAGAGGTATACATGCAAATATAATTCTTAATACTTGTACAGCAAGGCTCATTAATACAGTCCCTAACTTTAAATAAAGATTCGGAAGTTAATGGAATCGCCTTTTTCTTGGTTCGCTTCAAGAAAAATAGAAATATCACAACACCGCGATTATTTTGTCGACTATTCATGAGTGTGCTTTAACTAATATTAAGAAGAAAACTAAATTAAATAGAACGTAAAAACTCAATAAAAAATACCCATCGATAATTGGAAATGTATCGAGTAGCACAATCTGTTCAATAATTCAATGAATATGCGAACAGTCTCAGAAAATCCTGTGTATATATATATACACATATAACAGTAACACAGTATACATTTACTTAACGTCAGTTACCTTAAACATTTCTTACATAATCACGCTCAGATATTCTAGGTTTTTGGTGTAGCAACGACTCTAATACCTAACGATCATGAAAAGGACCAATCCCGGTTCAACAATTATCTTTGCTACAGTGACAGCGAACAGCTAATTACTGCCATCTTAGTTGAGTTGACACATAATTTAAAACAATGTAATCACTTAAAGATTTAAGTATCCATTCAATGATAATTGCGTAAATCAATTACGCAGCTATTGAAATAAAATAAAAAATAAAGGAAATTAATAAATTAATCGAAATCTGCTTATTTTTTGGTTTCAACCACTCAGGCACACTTACAGGGCGCCGACAAACCTCCCACCCTATTTGTAACTTAGTATACACGCAGCATTTATATTACACATATTTAATCTATTACATCGATTCACAATTACTTACATTTTTTTATGGGCCTGCATGACATTCTTTACAGGCCAGGAAAATTTGGTCTGAATGAAAATTCTAGGCGAAATTCCTCAGTCTCAATCTCAGTCTCCAGTAGGGCTTCGCACCAGAGCACTGGTATCGATTTAAGTATTGGGCTTTGAAGTGATTACGGCGGCCTTAAGTTCTTTTTTTCAAAAGTAAGCAATTTTGTCAATAAAAAGAAGTGACCGCATTTCAGAGCTCGAACATTAACTTTTCAAGATAGACCTTAGTCATGAATTCGAAGTGGTACACTGTCGGACTTGTTTTCAGCCTCGAGTTCGTGTTTGATATTGTCGAGCATCTCGTATATCGTTCTGAAGGTAGGTCTATCATTGGGTCTTCTTTGCCAACAGAGCTTCATAAGTTCGTAAATATGTCTCGGAGTGTTCTCGGGGCATTGCAACACGTTACCTTCTTTGATGTATTTGACGACTTCCTCGTGTGTCATACCGTAGTATGGTTGAAGAGCGAAGCTAAAAATTTCCCACAGACACACCGCATACGCCCAGACATCAGACTCCACGGTGTATTTATTGTACAGTATACTCTCCAGTGGCATCCATCGGACCGGTATAGCATCCTGTTCGTCACCTTTGTAATAATCTTGCAAATAGATCTTCTGAGACAGTCCAAAATCTGCTATTTTAACGATCATCTGGTCGTTTATCAAGCAGTTTCTTGTCGCGAGGTCTCTATGGACGAATTTTCTATCCGAAAGGTACACCATACCGGAAGCGACCTGTCGAGCGATGTTTATCAGGTCCATGTGAGAGAGCCGAGAGTCTGTGAAAGTTCCGTCCCTCTCTAGGCTGCGAACGATGTAGTTTCCCGGTGAGCAGGAACGGAGAAACTCGTTCAAATCTCCTCTGCCCATATACTCGAAGAGCAGACACATTGGACGCCCCAGGGCACACACCCCAAGAAGCTTGACGATGTTCGGATGATCAAACTCAGCGAGGAGACAAGCTTCCCTTTCAAAATCCACTAAAAGATCATCCGATGCTTCCTCCTTGAGCATCTTCACTGCCACATTGGTAAACTCCTCATCGGACACCAAGCCAGGTGCTTTCGCTTGGAAGACTCGACCAAAGGCACCTTGTCCTAAGTCCCTCACATAGATTATGTTATTTCTAGGGAACTCGAGCTTCTCCAGTTTTGGATTAAGTCTTGCCCCGGTCTTGTGGTACGCTTCATTGTTTGGTAACTTGTCCAAATCGATATTCACATCCTGAATAGTTTAAAAAATAATTTTTATCTACATAAACGACGCAAAGGTGACAAAGAGCTTCGACAAGAAAATACCTGGCTTTCGGTTGGATTGTATCCCTGATGTCGCTTGTGAAATCTTTGGCACAAAAGCACAGACAGCAAAGCAGTAACCGTAAGGACAAATCCAATCGATGATATTATTAAGATGAATCTTGGCGTGAAAAAGGTTTCCATTGTCAAATCCTTTGGGTCTATTTTTATAATTGAATTTGAAGAATTGTCTAAAAAGAAGTTTGCATGCACATGTAATATTACAGAAAAATACATATGGCAGCGAATATTTATTTGCGCTTTTTGAACGAACTCGTAATAAGAGAAATACAAACATACCGCATACTGGGATATCGCAATGTTCCCATCGAACTATGATATCCGTTGTGAAGCACCATGGCATGGGTTCGTCACCGCCTGCATTGCGGCAATAATTTTTCCCATTTCTAATTTGAGGAAAGACATTAGGCGGTTTATCATGACTGTGAGGTTCTTGAGTATTCCATGACTGGCAGTCGAGGCCACCTTTGGTTTTGTTCATGTTTCCTACATAAAAGCGACCATTGTCTTTAACACAGTCATCTGAAACACAAGCACATGGAAATTAAATTTTACAATTATAACAATAACGATATTAATTTATGTTCAACTTTTTTAACGGTCGTGCTTTACCGGATCTTAGATCTAAAAGTATTACATACACGTCATCAGATCTTCGTTCATATCGGTCAGATGAATGTGCGAACAAGTGGGCTTGTCTTTGCCAATTTTAGGAAGACTCTCGCATTCGGGTAGAGTAAAATGCCCTCGAGATCTGATATAAATATCCCGCTGTTTGTTATCTTCAATGATCGCCCAGTCATTGAAACAAAATTGTTGACGCACCGCCATGCAGTCCTCGTAACACAAAGGCAGACCGACCGAATTAAAACATTGCGGGAACGCATAAAAGCAAAGCATCTTTTCCGCAGCCGAGCGACAAGGTTCTTCGAGCTTCTGTATCAGCTCCTCCCATAGATCAGTCGTAATACGTTCGTTCAACGATCCACCAGGATTATCTTTAGTATCGTTGAACCAAACTTGACCCGAACCACTGAGATATTTTTTGCAAATCTTCCCGGTATAAATGCTGCAATAACCCGTGCTCTCCATTTTCACGTGCACGGAGTCACATGGCAGGACAGTTCCAACAAGAAATAAGATCCAAAGCACCATGATCCGTGTACGGTCCGGTACTACGTAAACGTCGAAAGTCTCAATAGCATCTTATGACATCGAAAATGAAGGGCATCGACTTCGCGCACGTTTTTCCTCCTTCATTTCCCTTTCGAGGCTCTCGTTCCTCGGAAATGCGTTATATAGAGGAAGCTTTTAATTCAAATCTTCGGGACAATGATACAAGGGCAGGACATCCTTTACGAATATAAAACGAAATAAACTTTTTCGGCAAAATATCGGTCCGAACGAGTCGGTAACCGTAGAGGTTATATCAGTCCCACCAATTTTCCGAGACGGAAGGTGGCCGATTTTTCATCAAAGAGAATCACCCAAATTCGCGGTGAGACTCTTGCCAGCCGTCTCTTCTTTGAATAACTTTCCAGCCACTGCTCGATCGAGAGTTTATTCGTGCCAGGTTACCGAGACGGTGACGTCGACGACGTCGGTTAACCTCTCGCCGCGTGGACGGATTCGGGCGCATCGTCTCAGCCGAAGTTTCATCGTCGTCTTCGAGTAACTCGGAAACGATCACAATCGCGAACGAGCCGTCGCGTTCCCCTTGTTCACGGGCATCGCTCGAATCCGCTCGAATCGGTTCACCGAACCCGTCTCACGAAGACGCCTCGACGACACTTTTCACTGCTTTTCACGGTTTATCCGCTGAGTTCGGACGCGACCAGAAGTTCGTTCCTCGAGGAAAAAGTGGGACCTCGTCCGGAGCAACTCGGCCGCCGATCGAAAGATGGCGTTGGATGGGCGTCGGATGGCGTCCTCCGGGATCGGAGCTGGTCGGAACTCGTCGGAACTCGTCGGAACTCGTCGGAGCGGCGCGCGCAGCGGCCGGCGTCCGGTGGGGCAGTTGGACCGCACAGGCGCAGTGTCGCGGTGGGCCGTCGGCCGAGAAACATCAATGGGAGAGCGGAGCGGAAGATGGCGGACCGCGAATCGGAGGTGCAGCGCTCTCCAGGCCGGACCGCCGTCGAGGAGGGCATGAACGCGACGGTAACGGTGGTGAACAACGGGCGGGTGCCGCAGCAACACCCGCCCAACGCGGAGAACCCGATCGGCCAGGGTCCGAGGTGCGTCACCATCTACAAGACGGAGACGGGCTTCGGGTTCAACGTACGCGGCCAGGTCAGCGAAGGCGGCCAGCTAAGGAGCATCAACGGCGAGCTCTACGCGCCCCTGCAGCACGTCAGCGCGGTCCTGCCCCACGGCGCCGCCGAAAAAGCCGGCGTCCGCAAGGGCGACCGCATTCTCGAAGTGTAAGTCCTCCCCCCTCTCGCTCTCCCGCCCGCGTCCGGCCCCTCGGCCTCGCGGCGACCCGGTCGAGGGGACCTCTCGACCACCTTGGCCATGAGAGCCGGCGGACCCCGAGTTCGATCCGATTCGATTCGGGGTATGGCGTGGGCGTCGTTCCCGTGTTATTTACGTTCCCTTCCTCGAGGCCAATTAATATTTATTGGCAATTGTAGCGTTACCGCGCTCGGACGTCCCGAGGATCCGGAGTGGCTTCGAAAATTCGTTTATCGTCGCGGGGCGTCCTCGGGGTTCAAGGTCGACGGTCGATCGAGGAGCGGGTAGGAGCCGGTCGCGATGGAGTCTCTTTGTCCTCCGCGGCGTCGCACCCCGGCCGGCACAGGCGTTGGTTCCTTCCGATCCAAAGCTCGGCCGGGAGTTATTTTCTCGCGCGTCTCGGTTCGTCGGAATGCCGACGCGGGTTGATTTCCGCCAGGTCTAAAATTGGGCACCCGGAAGCCCTTCGCGGAGCCGATCCCGCGGTCGGCGTCGACCTTGGCATTCGCGTCGGGCCGAGCTCGGACCCCGATAACCTATCCGACCGATCCAAGGGCTATCGCCCGCGTATCGGATGCTTCCGATCTCGCGCGGATAAGAGCCGCTCCTTCGGAACGGGAAATCGACGACCCGATGTCGCGACCTTGGTCGCGGGGTGTCCCCGGAAGCCCCACGGCGAGAAAACCTTTTAGACGCGCACCCCGACACGGTCGACTCGGATGACGAATGCTCGCGCTCTCGAGGAGATAATCGCCACCCGGTGCCCGGCACGAGGGACGGCTATCTCGGCCACCGATATCGCTCGTACGCAAACCCGATGGATAATTGTTATCGCTCGCGTAATAGCTCCTGGACAGGATCGATCTCTGCCCTCGATCGGACCCGCTGGACGAGGGTGCGGATGCTCTCCTTCCGTCCCCTCCTCGAGGGAGGCGAGCGGGGGAAATGCCGGAATTCCCTTTCCTGGGTAAAAGTCGCGCGAGTCGCCGTTCTCCGAGAGGGAGGGGAATCGGTTTTCAGCCCGTCGCGACGCGCGGCCTTTCGCTTGCGGAATTCCAGACCAGTCGCTCGGGGAGGTCGGACTGCCGTGCTCTTCCTCGTCTCTCGAGACGAGAACCCACCGAGAGGAGGCCCGATCCTCTCGGCGACGTCCGCGGGCACACGGAAATTCGCGCGATTAGTCGGCCATGTTGACGTGCTGCGTAACCCCGGGTAGATTCGTTTGGGTGGAGGATCGGAGGAGGCGAAAACTCGGCGCGGCTTCTTCGAGCGTCGCCGATTCGCCCCGGAGGTAGGCCGGTCGTCGTCGAGAGGGGCGGGAGGCGTGGATACGACTAACGATACGCTTCTCCGTCGCAGAAACAACGTCAACGTCGAGGGAGCCACGCATAAGCAGGTGGTCGATCTGATCAAGTCGGGAGGCGACGTCCTCGCGCTGACCGTCATCTCCGTGACGCCGCAGGAAGCGGAGAGGTTGGAGCCCTGCGAGGACCTCAGGTGAGGAAAGCCTGATACCATCTCGGTGGGCCGATCCGACCAGATCCGTCCAATTTTCAGCTACGTCGCGGTGGACTACAGCGAGAAGAGGTCCCTGCCGATCAGCGTGCCGGATTACCACGTCCGGGAGAGGAAACACGAGCGCTTCGTGGTCTTCAACGTCCACATGGCGGGACGGCATCTGTGCTCGAGGCGATATCGGGAGTTCGCGGCGCTCCACATGGCTCTAAAGAAGGAATTCATCGGGTTCAATTTCCCGAAGCTGCCCGGGAAATGGCCCTTCCAGTAAGTTTCCCTTCGCCCTTCCGTCGCGGACCCGCCAGAGGAGGCGGTTTCTTAAATTTTCCTTTCTCGTTCCCTGCAGACTGAGCGAGCAGCAGCTGGACGCGCGGAGGCGAGGGCTCGAGCAGTATCTGGAGAAAGTGTGCGCGGTCCGAGCCATCGCCGAGAGCGACGCGATGCAGGAGTTCCTGACCGACCGACTCGACGAGGACGGCGACCAAGGTCCGGCGGTGGACCTGAAGGTCCTTCTGCCGGATCGCGAGGTGGTGACGGTCACGGTCGCCAAGGCCGCCTCCGTCAAGGACGTCTACGACGCGGTGTGCTGCAAAGTGGGCCTGGACGCGGAGACGGCCAAATACTTTTACCTCTTCGAGATCGTGGAGTACAATTTCGGTACGGAGAGCGGCACCGGGACTAAATCGATCCGAGCTCATCGAGCGCCGTCGTAACTTTTCGCCTTGCAGAAAGAAAATTGCAGCCCCACGAGCACCCGCACACCTTGTACATTCAAAACTACTCCACGGCCAGCGCCACCTGCCTGGCGATCCGGAGGTGGCTGTTCAACGTTAACAGGCCCCTGAGCGAGCAGGCGCTGACCTGGATCTTCTGGCAGACGGTGGACGAGGTCAACCGAGGCCACGTGGTCGCTGGGGAGAGACTCTATCAACTGAAGGCCCTTCAGGACGCCTCGAGGAAGCACGAGGTACCGCAACGAACTCCTTCCGCGGCGCGGGACCTTCCGAAAAGTAGTCGTCCGTTACGCGTTTGTCTCCCTGTCGCAGTACCTGAAACTGGCGAGGGAGTTGAGCGGATACGGCGACGTGGTGTTCCCTCATTGCGCCTGCGACTCGAGGAAGGAGGGCCACGTGGTGGCGGCGGTCGGAACGGCGGCCTTCAAGTTACACGCCGTGAAGGAGGACGGCACTCTGGAGTCCCTGGTCGTCGAGTTCCAGTGGAGCACCGTCACCAGGTGGGAGGTGGACGAGGAGGGGATGGCCTTTTGTTTCCAGTACACCCGTCAAGAGAATCGGCCGCCGCGCTGGATCAAGGTCTTCACCCCTTACGTAAGTGTTCGCCACCACCGAAAGACCGCGACGTTCTCTCCGTGGATTCCTGGACTCCGGCACCGGGAAAGGATGGTTTCGAGGATTGTGTGTGTCCTTTTGTTCGCAGTATACGTTCCTTTCGGACTGCTTCGACCGAATAGCCGAAGAAGCCAAGTGGGACGACCCGGGGGAATGACGGACCATCCGATACTGAGAACACTCGTATCGTCCACCCGGTGGGTTCGAGGTCCACGCGCGTCGCCAGCAGCTTCGTTACGAGTGTCGATCGGTAGATGATTAGTCGTCCGTTTCGGTCTGATATCCTCGGGACTCTCTTCTGGCTTTAGGGAAACTTTGCCGATTTAAGCGGCGCATCGATTTTCTACTAGGTGTGTGTCGGCGTAAATGGAGTTTCGCTACCTACCTTCCCCTTTCTTTTCCCTATCGCGCGGATCGGATTACCGCGAGAAAGGTAAATAGAGATAGGTTAGGCGCACCGTGCAACAGGTACGATCGCGCCGTTAGCTCGCGACTTTGCCTAGTTACGATTTCTTCTTTGGCCTACGAGTATATACACGAGTGTATATTAGAGAGAAAAAGATAGAGTGGGTGGATCCCTGGCGGGAGAGAGCGAGAGGGAAGACATCTTAGTTAGCCTAATTATTTTCGAGAGACTCCCGACGTCCCTTTACGAAGAGAGTAGTTAAGAGATTTACGAACGAGTATTGACTACTAGGTTCCAGATTAGCCTTCTCCGCGCATTCGGGGGACCGATAGGGTGCCCGTCATCCGCGAACTAACCTACCCCAGACATTCCCAAATGTCGACAATACCCATCTTAACCGATAGAGGCCGAGGTTAGGAGCGTGGTCGTAAGCGAGTAAGTTCGCCGTTCTCCTTCCGTACGTGCAGGTTTGGTTTATCGTTTGTTAACTGTTTAAATTATGATCTCGAGGATACGGTTCGTTGGAAGCAAACGAAGTAATCAGGCGGCAAGGTTCGTTTGTTCGACGCTCTTGATCTCGGTCACTTCTTAACCGTCTTTACCTCTAGCTCGGTAAATCTGTAAATAATAATTAGTAGATTTAACGTCCTTCGACATTCCCAAATTCTGCGATTGGCGAGTCAGAGATATCAGGAAACGAGTTATGAATTCCCCTTTCGTGATGCCTCGATGCTTCGTACCACTCGTCTGCCGATTAGAGACGATCTTTTGTGATAGAATCGGCATAGAAATTATTATTTTAACTAACCAGTCAGAGTATAATGCAGCTAATTTATTGACATGTATAGTTAATTTGGTGGTCCTTCTCGCGTCATGAGTCATCCTGTTAATTTCGTTTAAATCGTTCCATGTACGTCCGATTTGCTTAATCGTAACGTTTGCGTCAGTTTAGGTGTAGGAGAAAATCATAAATCATTCCTGGATGTCTGAGATATACGCGAAAACCGCGACCTGTTGAAATCCTTTTCTCAGGGCGGGACGGTACGCCACTATTGTACCTTCTCGAATTAATTTTCTAACAAAAGGGATGGTAAGGATTAGACAGGAAAGGGAAGAATGGGGAAAATTAAATTTTCACGGGAGATAGCATCTCGGGTATGCCGGTAAAAACGATCATAACGATGACGAAGGAAACGTTAGAAGGGACAATTTTAAAAACACTATTCTCGGCAAAGAAAAGATACACTTATATTAGAGAGCGCAAGCAAGAAGGTAAACGATATAGATCTATATTATATACACATATAAATATTATAATTGTCGTTAATGTTTTAAAACTTTATCGAGACGGAATACCGATCGAGAGGGGTGCACGTGCAGCTGCAAGCGCGTGATTCGGTGGTCTGTCCGGAAAGGAGGGAAACGGTTTAAAACATTAGTAATAATAGGAGTATAATAAAAGGCGAGTGTGAAAGCGATCGTGGGCGTCGGTGTGTTAACTATTCGAGGAAAGTTAAAAGCATGGCTGTGCTGCATATGCGAGGACTCGTACGTACGAAGCGAGGAGCGTAAGAGCGATTACGTGAACGTGCAACCGATAAACCAACGATCGAGGAAGTACAATAATGACTTGCAACTCCGTTTCTTGATCAACCGTGTGTCCTGATAGCCGTTTTAATCGATCCGTACTTTAGCGATTGTTGACTCGGCGGTAGGACCTTTGTGATAGTTGAAACTTGTGTCGGGTAATCGCGTCCTCGACGATTTTCGCGACCCTGGTGGCTTCGCTCGAGGAGGGTACATGGAATTTCTGAGCAGGACGAACCCATGGAATCCGTCGATTTGAAGTTGACAAAGATATCGCGCCTTAATATCCGTGTACCCTCTCAAGCGAACCAGGAGACCCCTGCTCGAATTAAGCCGAGGTATCATTACTTCCCCGTACTCTTTGCATGCCATCGGATGTACTCCACCCGATGACAAGATTTCCCCGTGACGTGGACGGGGCGAACGCACCCTTTCTGAACGGCAACTTTGTACTCGCGAAGGGGAAGAAAAGCGACTTTGGAACGGTACTCGGGCCGTCTCACCTGCAGTATATCGAATTCTTAAAAGGACCTAGGAACCGTTTACGCTCGACCTCCCCGAGAAGGTTTCCATTTCATTCTTTTGGTATCCCCGAACTCTATGCCATCGAACAACTCGGGCGATCGGTTGTTCGAGCCCGCCATTCGCTCTCAGCGGTAACGAACGTCAAGCTAGGTAGTCCATAATTTAATTATCTATATAATACGACCATATCATTACGATTAGCCGTTTAGTCGTAAAGCAGTTTTAACGTTAACTAATTATAATTACGTTACGTAGCGCCTCTTCGCTCCTCCCTTCCCGTTTCGCCCTTTATCGTTTTCAGGACGTATTTACCTTGCCCTCTCTCGAAATCCATCGCCGGACTTTACGCGTAGGGCTCTCTCACGGTGCTTACCGAGTTACAGGTCTCCATTAAGTTTCATACTGTATATCGACACCGATGTAAAGGCAAATAAAACATGTCAGTGATTCCGTATGCGAGAGGGTCGAAAACGTATTGAAATTGATTTCGGGTGAAGGGATGGGGAGGGGAGAATAAAAATCGGAATTCCGTGATTAGAGGACGAGGCGCGACTTCTTCGGTCGTTCCGGGCGCCTTTTCATAGATCCGCGCGCGGGTACTCATACGCGCACATCGCGCCGCATGCGAGCCGCATGCGAGCCCCCACGCTGTATGCGCTAGCCGATACACAGAAGTCATGAGACTAAGAAGATATCGCTAAGTGGTCGCCGATATACGCCAAGAGAAGGCGAGATCAGTCCGCGACCACCTGTGCCCCGAGGTAGCGGCTGCCGAGATCACGGATCGCGAGGAAATCCTAGGACCGCTCCCTTTTTTTTTTGTCGCCCCGAATATGGATCGAATCGGTCGGAAAAGGAAACCCAAGGTACGGAAGGCTCGCGATCTTGTCCAAGCCGCGGGCTACGACGCCGTCCTTTGGTTCGGTAATTTTATCCCTTTAACGCGATCGTTCTCGATTGCTTTCATCTCATTCGCCGCGCGAGATGCCGATTGATCATGGAAAGCGCGTTCGTCGAGAACGGGAGTTGGGATTTTTTTTTTTAATTTTTTTAATTGCCTCTTTGTACATTTTCGGGGGACAGGGGTTAACCGATCGCGACGGGCCAAGATAGCTTGACGGATCTGGGAGGAAAACGGAGGGGCACCGGAGGAATCCTTGAAAGGTGCTCGAGCGACGTTGAATTCTTCAATTATCGTCCCAGTCCGAAAATTCCCAGCATCGCGTCGTTTGCAAATGTAGAAACGTATACCGAGGAGTCGTTTTTCGACCGAGTTTCAGTTTCGTCGAGTCCTCTCCCAAAGTCTGACGCGAATTAGAGTAAGAACGCCGGCTTAGGGAAAAATCTCTCTCCAACTCGTATCTTGCTCGTGTTGAGTTTAACGTTAGAAGATTATCAAAATTATTAAAATTTGCAGAAAGATCCGTTTGCACCTCGCGCAATGGAAGTCTGCCTTGCGCGAGAGTAATTACGAGTTGGCCATTCCGTGGATGAAACTAATGTTGCCGTAAAATGCAGGTCGGTCAGGAGATATTTTTAAAAAACGGACGTAACGATCTCTTCAATGCCCAAAGAAACATAAACAATCCGATCTCGTAAAGAAGCCCGCAACGCGTCGGACGGGCGTTAAACGGCAGCCTTAGATCACCGCGCGATTCTCTTTCCCGGCTCTTTGTTTCTCCCTGTATACGGCTTTGTCCTCGTACTTGCACGAAAAGTTATGCAATCGTTTCGTCGGGCATTCGTAGGTATTCGCTCATATACCGGTACGCGATCGGTGCAAAGGTTCCTTCGAGCCTCGAAGGGCGCTTTCGCGCCTTCCTCGACTTGATCGTCTCTCGCAACCGTTCTCGGTATCCTCAGGAAAAGCAGCGGCTTATCGACCGAACCACCCCGTCGTTATCTCGGTCCAAATAAAATTCTACGTCCGAATTCGATAGCGAATCACGCGTACCGCGAAGACTCGCGGGAGCGGGAACGATCACGAGTGTAGGATAATCGGAGACATCGAAATTTATCGTGAATTTCGGTCTCGATTGCTTACCCGATCACCCTGAAAACGTCTGAACAAACGATACGTGATTTTTCGAGGAACGGACGAATCGTTCGCTTCGCTGGTAGATTTTAGAAAACTTTTGCCGTATCGGCAATTCCTCCTCGGTGTCGAGTGGAGGAGAAGAAACGACGAGGGCAATCGCGGCGCGTCACCGCGAAGGGAACGGATCATTTTGCGAAAAGAAAAGAAAAATATTCCCGACCGCGTTTCGTTTTTTTACGCGACTCGATTTACGAATTTTTTACGCGATACGAATTACGAATACGATGTATTTGGTTTTTTTTTTTGGTTGATTTTTCCGACCAACCTTTGACGCGTCTCCTTTCCGCCTCGGGGTACGCGCGAAGAACGCAGAACGCTCGTTGCTTTTCCCGCCAATGTAGGAAAATAATCAAGGGACGTAAGCACCGCGACTTTAACGAGTATCGCGTGTCGTCGGTCGGTCGAGTGCACGTCTCCGTTACGATAACAATTCCGAGGCAAACAATTTTTCCCCTCGAACGAGCAAGATCGCGACTCGTTACGGGCCACCCTAACGAGTCTCGTTACGTTATCGCTGATTGCGTCTCCTCGATCGGGAAAAAAAATGTTCTACGATCCGGTTAAGAATTCGGTCTAGGAGTCGAGAGGCGTCTCCGACGGTGCACGCGGGTGCCGACGCGTCGGCGAGCGGACTGTACGAATCTAACGAGGCTTAACGAGGTTCGCTCCCACGTCTCGACCGTCCTCATTCGGTCCCTCTTTCCGACCGACGCAGAAAGTCCTGCTGTCCATCGTCGACCCTTGGGACGTGAAAGTGGCCAGCGTCGACCCCGGGAGGTTCGCCAGGAGAACGAGGAGTTCCCTCGCGTCCGCCGACTGGCCCGTCGGGACGCCGACGCCCTGGTACAAGCCCAAGGCCGGATCGAGGACCGGGGCGGGATCTCCGGACCGGAGGGACCTGGTTTCGCCGACTTGGGACGACGGGTGAGAGACTCCGGGCTGCACGGTCCCATTTATTTCCTTCTCTTTAACCGTCGTTCAACACCTTACGAATCATCGTACAGAGAGACGTTCGGGGACCGAGTGACCGATTTCGCTTTCGAGAACGGAAGAGCGAAAGAAGAGGGAACGGGCCAGGAGCCAGGAAGCTCGAAGGACGCGACTTCCAGGGTCCGTTTTGAGAATGAAAAGGCTCGCCATCGAGATCTACCCGACGGCGCCTCCACTCCGAGAATTTCGAGGCCACCCGTAGGTGGAGTCGTCCAGGCGGACGCGTTCGAGGGCGATCTCCGCGAAGAGGAGGGAAATGTCGACGAATCGAATCTCGGAGTTTCCACCGATGGACGGAGAGTCGGTCGCGGAGAAGTTAAGGAGTTTCTGACTTCGGGAAACGGCTGGCAGAGTTTCGAAATAAACGACCGGCGAGATGTAGAACATCCTCCGTCTCTTCCGCCGACAAACTCGTTGCGTTACGAGCCGGACTCGTTGGTATCAATTGTGGAACAGCTGGTACGCACCAGGTAGATCGTCCCGGACAAAAAAAAAATATATCGTCGCACGACTATTTTCCGTCGATAACTCGTTTGTCCTTTCAGGTATAGTCCCGGAATCGAGAGACGGTCGAGGTTGCAGCGACGAGCGTCCCATCGGTCCTTGAAGAAAGTCCACTCGCACGGTTAGTCCACGATACTTTAATAGGCGATATTCCACGATCGATGGGTCTTGTTCCAAGCGGGAGAACGATCGAGCTCACGTGGGGACGAGAGCTAGGTCTTCCGGTATTTTCGGGTTATTGGGATCGTTCTCGAGGAGCCAGTTTGCCAACCACGAGATCGGATCGTCCGGTTTGGTCTTGCAACACTGATCAAAATAGACGTATCTGTTATTTTTTTTTTAATTATCAAATTTTTATGGCGACCGTCGATAATTACCAAGGAGAGGCCCTCGACTAACACGGGATTAAGGACTTCCCACAAGTAATCGGCGGCCGCGACTTCTTTGGGCAAAGGCTCGACGATGACTGAAGGATGAACGAATTTCCCATAAATATCGTTCGTGAAAGAAACGCCGAGACTGCAGCGGACGAGTTATTAAATTACAGCTTACATTCGGGGAAAAAGAAATGGATCTCTCGTTCGGCCTGCTCGCGATTCGCGCTTCCGTGGACGGCGTTTCTGAATTCCTCTTCTTCCTTTTGACCGTATCTTGCTCGAATGCTGTCGGGGTGGTACAATAGAGCTTCCGCGACCTAAAAAAGAATATCTTCGATTTTTCGCTACGACTCGTCCCTCGGGAGCGGACCCTACCTTTGTCGGGCCGATTATCAATCGCCAATCCTGAACGGCCTGGTGCTTTGATAAAACCAGAACGACTACGGGACCCGAAGACATGTACGAAACGAGACGGGCAAAGTCGGGGTGCCCGTAACGAGCGGAATAAAAATCCGCGACTTGCTCGGGGGTCAACCGTAGGTATCTCCTTTGGAGCACCTCGAAGCCCTCCTCGAATATCCGATACTCAATTTCCAGTCGGCATTCCACGGCTTCCGGTTTAATTATCGCCAAAGTGCCCTCGACGTCCGGTTCTTCTTCCTCTTCCCCCTCTTCCTCCTCTTCCGGGTGGAAAGTCCCGCAGGGACGAAACCTAGGCGAAACGCATGGCTCCTCCTCGTCGTAATCGAGGCATTTAAATTCTTGGGGATTTACGAACGTGTACTGAAATAAAAAAATTTTTTTTACCGATGTACCCATCGAGGCAGCGACATCGTCCGAAATATAAATTTACGTTTCTCGTCGAATCGCTGGAGCACTCCGAGCTGAGCGGTTCCCTCGAATCGTCGTTATTGGGCAATTTTTTGGCTTCCAAGGGGGGAACCTCGTTCTTTATCCAAAAGTCGACGTCGGCGGGATCTCCTACGTCGGGAGAAAATTCCTGGCATTTTTGAAAAAGTGACAGCGGCTCCGATACACTTCGACGGACCTCTTTGCTCACGTCCTCTTCGCTCGCGGTGGGAGATCGCTCGCACATTATTTCGAAATAAGTCGAGAAGTGGCAAAGGCATAAATTACTGTCCTTTTTCGTTTTATGGGTGCACCCCGGGTCCGATCGATAGAATCCTTCAAAATGCGAAGGTTATAAAATCCAATGGAAACCATTCCAGATCTTCCGTTATTTTTCCCCTGAAATTTGTAGAAAAATTCAGGACAGGATCTTTTAACTCGAGGTCCGCGTAACAATTAACGATAAATTTTACGCCCGAGATTTGATAGCGATGCCATGTACCGGATGATTACTTTGATCTTCAAAGGCACCGACGCTGCGCTATCGCGACACGTTTTTAATCGAAGGTTTACTTTCCGACAGCCATTTACCGGGTGCGTACTCTCAAGGGGGCTTTAATTAGGCACGTGCTTGGAACATGACCCTTTCCTTCGGAATAAACGGTAAAATAGATATGAGAAAATTCACTTCAATCGTGTCTAGGACCCGAATCCACGGTACCGACGTCGCCGAGGAATCACGCCGTCCCCGAGTCGACGAGAAATCAAGAAACGGGGGCAGAGGAATTTAGAATCGATAGCTTGCGAAGAACGTCGATCTCGATGCCGAGCAAGCTCAACGCAATGGATGAACTCGGAACCGAGAGCCAAAAGGTAATTCAAGGCCTTTTCCCTCTCCCTTGCTCAAGAAATCGTACTTCTGGAGAACGAGGTCGCGTCGATGACGATCGCGAATCGACAATATTTTGAAACTTGTTACGTTCCGCGTCGATGCCGAAATCGTCACCGTTCGAGTTCCTAGTGGGCCGCTTTCGAAATTCGGGACCCGGGCAACTCCGTTATCGATGGAGGGCAGGGACGATAGATACAGCTCGATCTACTCCCTGGAAAGAGCTCTCGCCGACTTTGGGAGATGCAGACTGAGTTCCCTGGCAGAGGTGCGTCGAATTCGCTCGACTCCTATTAACCGAAACGATATACATCAGGGTACAGTCCGGAGGAAAGAACCGCACTGGAAGCTTAATTACGTAACGGTGAGCGTCCTCCCGCGAGTCCTGCATTTTATCTCGACGGAATAAGATCCAGTGCTCGTGGAGGCGACCCCGCGAATGGACACCGTTTCCCTCCTTTCCTAACCGGTCGTCCAATAAAAGTATCTTTTCCGTCCAATAAAAGTATCTTCGCGACGCGTCGAAGATGACGAGTCGGCCGGAACTCCCGGTGGCCGTTGCATCCGCTCCGAGATGAGGATCCCGAGTGACGACTACACGGAGTCGAGGAAAAAAGTGTTGGTCAAGGTCGCTCTGAAATTCCATCCACCGGCAGCGGTGTCACTTTTGCTAGCGATTTCCTCCTCGTTTGACGTTCGATTTGCATTTTCAGGGCGTCTCCTCGAGGTTCGCGAGGACCGAGAGCGACAGCAGTGCGACCTTCAGCAACAGCGGGTCCACCCCCAATGGAAGTCCCTTGGGATCCGAGACCGAGGACGAGAGGGACGAGGAGGAGCTGGCAAAGTGCGTGAGAGTTATCGCGGGACGCGTGATAACGAATATCTAGGACGGCTCGCCCGGATTAAAGAGCGCCCGGTTGACTAGGTCATGGCTCGCGAATGTACGCCTCGAGAGCACCGGATCCCCCCCTTGGCGCAGATCGCGATAACCGATAACGATGGTCGATCGCGACGCGCGTGGCTACGATTTTCCCGAAGGTCGATCCTCGAACGCGACGGCGAGCGATATTTTCTTCCGCTTTGATAATCTGGATTTGTTTTCGAAAACGTGGCGTGCGCATTTTCGGAATTGAAAAAATTGCAGAATTCTCGCCGCGCTTCTCTCTTCCTCGAGCAATCCTCGATCGAGGTCGAATAAGAGGAAAAAATTGTGGATCCGACGTGCGAGGTTCTCGATGGACCGTTTCGCGGCCGACTGATTTTTACCTCGGGGCGTTGTACTTTCCAATACGGAGGAAGCATCGTCGGTTGACTTCGACTACGTCCGAAGAGAGTATCTCGAATCTAAAGCTCGTTCTATCGCTTCGGGGTTATCGCGTTCGTAAACTCTCATCTCGTCTGGTGTACGTGGAGCCGGGACGTACGCCCACGGCGGGCATGTCGTAGGCATTTGCAATTACATTTCCCGGAGGAAACGTCGTTCGAAATTTACCTCCGACCCCCACGGCGTTGAAATTTAAACGTAAATAAATAAGTGATCGTTCCGATGAATCCGCGCCGTTCGACGTCGAGTGCAACGAGAGCGCAGAGGAACTGCATGGGCCGTTATCCGATGCAACGGACGGTCGGGTAAAGTCGAAATCGAAGAGTAACCGAACTCGAGGTCGAAATGATTCCTAGATACGATGTGGGTAGTGCCGTGTCTTTGCAGAGGTACGTACCGCGTGCAGGCTTGGACTCCGTTTCCACCTAGATCTCGAGAGAAATATCGACTTCGCCTCGACCGAGGAAGTTGCGGAACCGATCGCATGTCGGAACTTTTGACCGCGGCTGGAACGGAAGGTGATTTCGATTCGTCCCTTCAGGGTTCCCCTTCAGGTGCCGCCCAGGAGGAAATCGACCGTCGTCTCCCCGTCGGCGGCACAAAAATTGGGAAACGACGCGATGGATATCCCGGGGGTTCAGAGCCCGAATTCCACCATAACGAGCGTGAACAGCATCAGCAGTCTTCTGAAAGAAAAGCTCCAACTGTCGATCCCTCAAGCCCTCCGCAGCAGCAAAAAGCGTCAGAAAGCCGATTACAGGTACGCCACGGGAGATCGCTCGTCCCATTGTAGTCCGCCACCGTTGCGTAAGAAATAATTCTCTACTCTTTTTAGACTCAGAGCTTTCGTGGGAATGCTCTTTCTCTGCGTTGTCTTCCTCGTGGGATTCGCTCATATCTATTACACCCAGCACGTTCTCCAGAGAGCCTATTTCGACAAGTTCAGGTAATTTCGTGCAACTTTCGCGATGGAATTGATCGCCGGGCACTCGGTAGTCGGTGAATTCGTGGCTCCACCAGGAAGTATCCAATGAATTCGATTAAGCCTCGTTTGGACGGGCGGTTCGCTCCCCGGACCGACTCGACGCGTTCAAAAGTCCTTCTGATTTTTTTTAGGAATCTAAAATATTTTTCTCGTGGAAAGGCAAGTGCATTTAAATCGTAGTTTCATGAATTAAAGGAAGGTTTCGTCGAACGTAACAGGTTTAACAAAAACGAGAGGGTGATGCGAGTGTACAGCAGCACGGGCGCCGAGATCGTAGCCGCTCGTTTGGGGGAAGGAATTCCCACCGAAACGGGAGTGTTTCCGTGTCTCCCGCACCACCAGCGAGCGGGCTCGGTGTGCTTGGAGTGGCTGCAGCAAACCCGCCTCTACCTGGCCCATTCCGAGCGAGGAGACATGCACTGCTACCACATCACTTGGCAGAGCTTGAGTCCGTACTACGATCCCAAGGACTGCTTCGACTGGTCCCCGAAGAGGGGCCACTGGTACGGAGCCGGCCAGATCCAAAACATGGCCTACCCCCTGGAACAGGGTAAACTGGATCCGAGCCCGTTCGTCACGGGAGACATCAGGAAGCACCCCTTCGGCAACGTGCTCAAAAGGTATCCGCTTTCCCTCGAGTCGGAGGCAGATTTCGATCGATCGATTTCCGTTTTACAGATACTTCCTCAACTCCAAGGGAGCTACCGTAATGGTGGATCCGGAGACTCCTCTCTACGTCTCCATAAACGCGAACCGGACGAAGGACTTTTGCCTGCAGGCAAAGCACGACGCCTTCGCCTACATCAACCACCTGACTCCCTTTCCTCGGCTGAATTACACGATATGCGCGACCGACAACATAAAGAGTCTGCACTCGACCATCGCCGAGAAGTCCCTCTGGGACGGCTTGAAGCCGGACGAGTTGAATGCCGTTCATTCGCTCCTGACGGAGCCAGTGTGGCAGATATCGCCGACCAACGAGGCGGCCATCTACAACTACACCGAGGACGTAATCGCCCTGGGATTTCTTCGGCAAGGACACGTCTTGCTGAGCGAGGAGTGGCAACCCAGTCCGGGCGACTTCGTCCTCGACGAGTCCCGCTTCCCCTCCATGGAGGAGACGATCAACATCATACACAGGAGAGGCTTCAGGATCGTCTTCACCATCCAGCCCTTCATCTCCACCGAGTCCGTCAACTTCAGGGATGCCGTGGCGAACAGGCTTCTCATCTCGGAACGGGGCAGCGATCCCCGGATACCGGCACTGACGAGGTAAGACACGTCGCGGCCGTAGGGAAGGAACCGGGAAAACGGCGTTCGAAATCCTCAGGTACAAGCAGAGCAACAGCGCCGGGGTCTTGGACATCACGAACAACAAGACCATGCCCTGGCTGCAGAGCAAGCTGGAGAGCCTGGTGACCAAGTATCACGTCGACTCGTTTTACCTGGATCTGGGCACCGGCCACGACATGCCCCATTATTACAAGTGCGAGAAGCCCCTGATCAATCCGGACCACTACAAGACGCTCTTCACCAAGTCGATTCTGGGCTCGATTTCGGTGATCGGCGTCTCCGGAGCCATCGTCCGACCCAAGGCTCCGGTCTTCGTGTCCCTGCCTCCATTCCCCTCCTCCTGGAAGGCGATCAAGACGGTCATCCCGACGGTCCTCAGTTACGGGATGATAGGGTATCCCTTCATAATGCCGGGGGCAGTGGGAGGCGACGTGGCGCTGCCGATGTCCGATAATAACCCGGACAACGATTACGAGGTCAATCTCCCCGATAAAGAACTTTACGCCAGATGGTTACAGCTCTCCACGTTTTTACCCGTTATCAGGTAATTCCCCCGCGATCGCTGACCACTTCACGGCCCCTTTTTACGGTTTCTCAACGTCTCTCCTCTCTCTCTCTCTCTCGGTCAGATTTACGCATCTGCCCAGCAAGTACTCGGACGAATCCATCGTCGAGATGGCGAAGCGGCTGACCACTCTGCGGCAGAAGACCGTGACTCCGTTGCTGAAGAAGTACGCGAACGAGACTCTGGACTCGGGACTGCCGATCGTCAGACCCCTGTGGATGCTGGACCCGGCCGATCCCGCCTGCCACGTCGTCGTCGACGAGTTCTCGGTCGGCGAGGAGCTGATCGTCGCTCCGATTCTTTACTCGGGAAGCAGGCAGAGGGAGGTCTACCTTCCCGCCGGAGTCTGGAGGGACGGGATCGACGGCAGTCTCAGGAAAGGCTCCAGGTGGATCCATAATTACAGAGTGGCCGAGGACAAGGTGGCTTACTTCGTCAAGATGCCCGACAACACGAGGTTTTAGAGCTTCGAAAGAGTCACTCGTCCGAGTGACCGCGGGGAGCCTCTAGGAAGAATTAGAAAATGCCCACGCGGACGTTCTAGGTTAAATAAATTAACTCGGGTACAAGTTAAAATGTTTATCATAAACCAAAGCTTACGTTCTATTGTATCATTACATAACAATATTTGCACCTGAGAGCTAGATTACCTCCAAGTGTTACACCGGTTTGTTATGCGCTTCGTGCTAAAAGTAAACCGTCCTTACCGTAACTGCAAAAGAGTGCTTATGGGTGCTCTTTGTCGTTCATCGTAAAGGTTCGACGTTTCTTCTATCGCATCATAGCCTCGGCGTTATAAAACAAATAGTTTTACGACGTTCACCCGAAACGTTTCACGCTACGCAATAAATAGAAATTCAATAGACTCGGTTGAGTTTTGCCCGGAATACTTTTCTTACGTATTAGCTCGACCGAAGTTACCGCTCCACGCATTGCCCGTTGCACCGAGGCGGCGACTCGGGTTAAAAACTGCCATCTCGATGTACGATAAAATACCAAGAAGCAAGTAGATCGATAGGATGAACCGCGGTTGCGGTACATCCGAAGTTACAGCGACCCACGTAGGAACCAGTTAGTTTAGATCTTGCTGGCGTAAGTTGCACATCGACAAGGATTATTTTTAATGTCGGATCGCGCGACGAAGCGTTAGTTTTCCGCGCCGGAACCGCGTTTGGAGGGCAACCGGAGGCTGCTCGGTCAAGTCGAGAGTGGCCGCGTTCTACTAGCAAAAATTGGGCACTCCGTAAAAAACAACCAGGGCGGCCGCATCGCTCTACGCGGAGACGTAGTCCTCCTCGTCGGTCGAAAAGAGAAATTGCGCCGATCAGGCTGCACGATCTAGGCCTTAAGCTCTCAGGCGCACGCGGGTACTCGGATGGCTCTTCTTTTCCCTTTTAATCCTCACCTCGATTTAAATGCTGAACCGGGGAAGCGGAGTCGAGAGCACGCTCTAGGTTGGAAGGGAAGAGGGAACGGACAAACGGAACATCCGTACACGAGGGTGTCTCTCTTCGCTGGCTCGGCTTCGAGGAACGAGGTTACCGACTCGCAGCTCTAGGCCGAACCCGAGAAAACCTCGAGACCCACGACGTCGGTAAGCACGATCGGGCAAGTCGCAGTTTTCATCGGTTACTCCTCAACTGCTATCGTGCGGTCAATTCAAAATACACGTCTTGCGGTCAAACGAAAATAAAGGTTGAACGCTTTACACTTTGAAGCTTAACGTGAAAGATCTCACGATAGCAATTTGGTGACTCGAAACGACATCGGTCGAAGGTTATAGACTATACGCGCCGTATAACTATGGCCTACGCCCCGCGGTACAATTATTCGCGATCGATTCTCGCTTCGGCGAACGATCCGTCCTCGAGCCCTCGGGGCTCTTCGTTCCGAGTCGCTCGCTCGCTTCACGCTCGCTTCACGCCATCAAAATATATCACGGGTATAGCTGCCGAATAAATAATATTTCTTATAACTTAATAAATAATGTCGATCGTTCGGAACTCTTTCGCGAAACGACGCAATACTCGAACGTTGTCCCTCCCAGAATGGATCGACGGTCCCGCAAGGATCTTATCCCTATGCTTCCTTATTAAGTTACTCCGTTGTTCGGGAACGCACGATTACTTTGCGGCTTTTCTTTTAACGCGGAGGATGCCTAACTAGTCCAGCCTTGAAATGCGCCTCTAATGCAGAGATCGAAAGAGTCCCCGATCACCCATGCTCTGGCGCATTTTCCCGTGCACTCGTTGCAATCGACAACCAACCGCGGACCCTCCTCCTGCACTTTGCTAGGATCGGAATGAAATACCGAATTATCCGTTACACTCGTCGTATTTCCCGACGCCCTCGTTAAAATAAATTATATCAAACGATCGACTCGCGTCGCTTCTCGCGACGATTAACTTAACTAAACCGAACATACATGCTCGGCACCACTTCGATCCCTGCCCTAATACTTATGCGTTAAAAAGCGTTTCTCGTGAACGGATCGACTTCGCGACTGCAAGATTTTCCGCGAAATTGCAGAGGGAGGCAAACACCGAGGGTGGCCGCGATTTCCGCCCCTCCGGAATGCCCCGGATCGCCGCTCGCATCCTCTGGCCGGAGACCTCGGAGTGACCGACCGAAGCGAGCCCCGGAAATTGCGTCTCGCCAAAAAGCAGCTGGAATGTGCGAACCATCCGGGAAAGGTGGTCGACGGCATTAACGGGACGCTAACGAGCCTTGATCGTCCTTTCGGAATTTCCACGCAGTCTGGGAGTCCTGCAACAAAAGGACGATCTCTTGTTCCACGAGTCTTAAAACGCGAGCGTCATTGCCCCGGGCAATTTTCCGCCCGTTTCGAGGAAGAACGGGTTTTCGCTATGTAAAGAAATTAACGGCAAAATGGACCCTCCCTCGATACGACCAAAGTCTACCCATGGAGACGTTCCGACACGTGCGGAAACGGGCGGTCGATTGTCCAGGCTCGACGCGAAAACGACTACGGAGCGATTCGTGCTCGCCAGGATCAAAACGTTTCAAGCTACGTAAAGACAGTTTTGAAATGAAATTAAAAAAAAAAAAAGAGAAAAAAAGAGAAAAATAAAAATCAGACGGTACACAGCCGAGAGATGCTTTCGTGTACCCGAGGGTCGCTCGAAAGCACGATCATACTATACACTGACATTGAGAGCACCTAATGGAATAAGTAACCAGGCTGGTTCTACGAGTTACGTACCTTGTTAATTTGACCGGGCCATTGGTCCTCGACGGCATCCAGAAGACCCAGGGTCCAGGTCCAAGTCCTCACCTACGCCCCAGCCTGCCCGGTACTCGAGTCAAAGCGAACGACAAAGAACGACAACGCGGACTTCCAAGGGGATCGACAGAGACAACGACAAGAAGCGTGCAGGACCGACAAGGACGAGTGGACGGTAGCCGACGAAACCGACGGAACCGACACGACCGATATCCCGGCGGAAGAAAAAGGGCGAACGGTTATAAAATAACTTCTTTATTAAGGTATCAAGGCACTCCTCGTTATCTGACGTTGCTTCGGGGTCGCGAGTTGCAACAAATGTACAGAGAACCATCGAGAGGGAGGAATACGACGAACTGACCCGATCACACTTTTCGATCGTTTCCGAGCCACGTGGACGTGGGAAATCGTTGCCATTCGGCGGAGGGCGTCGCGGCAATCTGAAGGATGGAAGAAACGCGATCGTCGGCCCTTGAATCTCTCTTTGACTCTTCGACGGAGTCGAGTAAGGTCGACCTAAACCGGGCCGCGACGTTTTCCCCCTGAACGCGGAGCGCGATCTCTTTGCAACGAAGACGACGAGCGTTATTTCGTTATCGATGGCGTCCATTGTCGCGCACTCGCGGAAACGGGTGATCTTTTTTTTTTCTCCTCGCCGATTAAACGCGCTAACGAGCCGTGGTGATAAATACTTCGTACAAGGCCACGGGGCGCGATCGCATTTTGTCCGCGTCGAATCTGGATCCTTCGCCGGAGTCGGGAAAAAACCCGCGAACCGGACCTATCGGCGCACCGATTAAGGAAATCGGACCGTGGATCGAAGACAGGAGGCAATCACAAAAACGTAGGCATAATCTAAATGCAATCGAGGTCCCAAGACTCGGTCGGGAAGTGGCGGCTTCGCGCGGAAATGCGTCGCGACGAGGAAGATCGACGATTGCGCGAAATTCATATCTTTTTTTTATTATTTCTCTCTATCTCTCTCCATCTTGGGTTAAAGCGAATCCTTGCTCTCATCGCGGAGGTAAAATATACTCTATATAAAACGGCTAAAAACTCGGAGGGGTCGAGCAACGAGCCCCTGGGAAGCGCGATCGGATCGAGATATTTCCGAGTCCCGAAACGACAGTCTCGCGATTTTCCGTTCTTCGGCGATACGGAGGAAGAACATTCGTAATAGTAACTTCTATGCCGCAGTTGGATAATCGACGCTCTACGGACGTCGAGGGCCCCACGTAATTATTAAATCGTACGACCGTTCGAACTGTCTAAAAAATGAACGGCGCCCCCTTGGGTCCGCGAAGAAATAGAAAATTGCTCTTTAAGAGCAATTTTCCGGGGAACGAATAATCCAGCCAATTTCTCCTCGACCTGAATAAAAATTGAACTACCCCCTCGCGCGCGTCTCGTCCCCGCGGGAGATGCGGCGTCGCGCCGTGGCGTGTCCGAGACGATCGCCCCCGTCAACGCCTCGGGGCGAGCGACGCGTCGAGGAAGCCCTACGCCGGCGCCGGCGCCGCCACCCGGATTAGCGCGCCCGAGGGAACCGGACGACGGAGGAAAAGCCGAGAACAACGACGACTCTCGGCCCTGCGCCGAGGGTCGGGATGCGACGAGCAACGAGGCGAGCAACGAGGCGAGGCGAACGGGGAGCGTCCTACGAGGAGGAATGGATCCCGAAAACGTGAAAGATCTTGTTCTTAAAGCCGGGTCTGTTAGGACTAGCGTCGTGGTGGCCGGTCTGTCCTTCCTGGAGCGCCCTCTGTACCAACGGCAGGGAGCCCTGTTATGTCGTGCGTGCCGAAATCGCCGGAACGGTCGTTTTTCATCCGGACAACGAAAAAAGAAGAAAAAAAAAAAGAGAAACAGAGAGAAAGAGGAAAACAGGATAGTAGACGAGCTAAAAACGAGTGGTCAGGTGCGCGCTACGAGCATGCTTTGTGCGAGACTAGACTGCGTACCAATTCGGACCGTTCGAGACTCACCTCTTCGTGCTCCTGCTCGATGGTGGCCAGGCTGGACCGGGAGCCGCGCCTGGCCGAGCCCTTGTCGTCGCCCAGGACGTTCTGCACCAGCTGGGCCGCCCTCGCCTGTCTGGCTACAAGATCCAGAGCCTGCGGAGAACGATACCAGAGGTTCTAGAACGGCCGAAATGATGACAAATCGTCCGACTGTCGGGAAACGAGGCGCGCTCGGTGGGGACTAGAATTCGTGCAGGGGACCATCGAGCAAAATCGGAACGCGGGAATTACGCGACGATCTATCGCTCGACACTCACCTGCTGGACGTGCTGCTTGGGGGTAAAAAAAGATATCGACGTTTCGTTACTAGTTCACTGTGGTCGACGACGGGGGTTACCTCCCGATCGGAAACGGCACGGGGGTCCGCGTTTCCGCATCGAGGGTCCTCGGAGTACGAGTAATCGGTAATACGCGCCTGGTCGACATTTACCTCCTTCCGCGATCTGACGGCGCAGTCGTCGAGCGTCTCGGCGGCCTCGTACTTTCCCTGCCTTCGGTAAAGGGCCGCCAGGTTCTTCAGGGTCGTCGTGACCGTGGGGGAGTCCACCTTGGCGGCCTTGTGCCAACCGCCGTACTCGCCGTAGGGGGCGTTCTCCTTGTTTCGGTTCTTGTTCTCCTCTCGCTCCTCCGCCACCTGGTTTGCGTCGGAGATCCCGCGAAACGAACACGCGTTATATCAGGCTGGCCTCGCACGTCGCGGGTCTTCGAGAAACGCGGAAACGTCAGGAAAACGGATTCACCTGCCAGATGGGCTTGTTGTCGCTGTCGATAGCACCGAATTCGCTCTCGTGGGCTCTCGTGAGGACCTGCTTGTAGAGCACCTCGGCGTCCTTGAACTTGCCCTGCTTGAGGTAGCACGAGGCCAGGTTGTTCTTCGTCTTGGCGACGTTGGGGTCGTCCGGGCCGAGCTTCGCCTCGTAGATCTCGAGGGCCCTCTCGTAGTAGCGCTCGACCTCCTCGTACTTACCTTGGTTCTGGCAGAGCAGGGCCAGATTGTTGAGTTGCTTGGCCACGTCCGGGTGGTCCCGGCCCAGGACCTTTTGCCGGATCTCGAGGGCTCTCTTGCAGAGAGGCTCGGCCTCCTTGTACTTGCCCCGCTTGCCGTAGAGGACCGCCAGGTTGTTCAGGGTCGCCGCCACCGCGGGGTGATGGTTGCCCAGAGTCTTCTCGCGGATCGCCAAGGCGTCGTTCAGGAGATTCGCCGCCTCCTTGTACTTGTTCTGGTCTCGGTAGACCAGCGCCAGGATGTTCAGCATCGTCGCCACGTCCGGGTGGTCGTGACCCGACGTCTTTTCCAGGTCCTCCAGAGCCTGCTTGCAGAGCGGCACCGCCACCTCGTAGCGGCCTTGGCTCGCGTACTGGATCACCAGGTTGTGCAGGGTGCGCAGGCGGGCGGGGATCTCGTAGCCGGCGTTCACCTGCTGGGCGAACTGCGACGGCGGGGTCGGCGACATCGCTGAGAACGAGAACGTTACGTTTCACCGACGCCGTTCCGGTCCAACGGGCGAGGACCCGCGGGGCCTGCGAGGAGTCCTCGGGGCGGTCGAAGGTCTCTTCCTTCGAGCTCCCCGAGGAAACGGATCCTTCCGCAGAGCTCGCACGACCTCGGGAGAGGAGACGCTCGCAGCGGGCAGGTGCAAGGTGCTCCGAACGAGGTAGAAGCCGTTCAACGTACACTTACTGTTTCGCTCGTCGGCCTCGTCGTCGGGGAAGAGGTCCACCACGGGATCGTTCTTCGGCCTGTCCTTCGCGTTCTCGTCGTCGGCCGGAGGATCCGGATCGTACTGCCTCATGCTCTCCATGAACTCTTCGTGCCTCTTGTCGACCTCCAATTGAGCGACCTTGAATATTTCGTTGACGTGAAATAAAATCCCGCTGGGACGCGCCACCGAGGGCGAGAAGAAGAGGAACCCACCGCCTGCTCGCTGGCCTGGAGCTTCTGCTGGGTCCCGGCCAGCTCGTCCCTGAGCCAGGCGTTCTCCTGGCAGAGCCTCCTGACCTGCGTCCTGAGCTTCTGCTTCTCGGCCTCGACCATCTGCAGGTGGCTGGCCAGGGCCATCATGACCTGGGCCTCGCCCAGGCCCAGCTCGATCATCTCGATGTTCTTGGACAGCAGTCCCGCCTTGTCCCTGGCCGCCGGGCCCCCCTGGGACTGCAGACCCTGGAGGAGGCTCTCGTGCTCGACCCTCAGCGCGTCCAGGCCCTGGGCCACGGTCCTGGCACCTGCCACGATCTCCTCCTGAGTCATCGCCGTCATCCTGCCGATGTGCTCTATCTTCTTGCTGCGAAGGAAGCGGAAGGATCCATCATGGGAACGCAAGAGGACGTTTTCGCCGGTACCAGCCGTATTCCTCAAAAAGAGACGACGGGAAAAATTGGAAAAGCACTCGCGAGGACGGAGACTGCCGGGACGCGCCTCGAGTCCGCGACGTTCCGCCCCGGCTCGGTCGAAAGTCGGTCTCGGAGCAAAATTTCGCGCGATCTCCTCGCGCCCCGATCGAACCGATCGCGGTGGATCGTTCGAACGTTCTCGGCCAATAAAATAGGCGCCCCGAATAACGATTAAGAGAAAGTTAATTCGGATGCGAGCTTACCCCATGTCAGGGTCGCGCGTGAACCGAGGGAATCGACGCGACGGTTCAATAAGTCGGCGCAGGCGCGGCCCGAGGGGTTCTTATGCGACATGAAACACGGACGCGGGGCGCGCAGGTGTACCGAGGGCCGGACGGGAACACGGTCGGCGTAAAACCTCCGGTTTGCGCGAGAAACTCCAAAAACGCGAAATGCGGCGAAAACACCGTCCGGACTGAACGAATGGTTCCGCGCTGGGAAGAGGATCGCGAGAAAAGCGAGGACGGGTCTTCGAGACCTTGACCTCCGAGTTCCCTCGCGGAAGGATGGTCCCCGAGGTCAGGGTCTTTCCGGAAAAATGTATGGACGTCTCCTTGACCTCCCGGAGCCCGGAGAAATTTCGTGATTTTGGGAAAAATCTCCCGAAACGAAAAATCGACCGCTCGCGAGAATGCGGACGAGGGCAGCGCTTTGGAAAATAAGAAGAGCGAAACGTCACGTGGGGCTCGGGGCAAATTGCATCCGACCGAGGGGACGACGCGTCAAGGAAAGGGTAAACGGCTCCGGATCGCGCGTCCATCCGCGGTCGGCGGAAGGAAGAAAGGCGTTCGACGTCCCCGTCCTTTCTCCTCCGCCGAGCTCGCGACGGAATCGCGGAACACGTGTCGCGGAGTGCGACGGCGACGGAATGCAGGAGCTGCCACGGAAAAAATGGAGAAAAATGGAGAGAAAGGGGAAAACGAACAGCACCCGCGGGCGTTCCCCGCTAAGAATATACTTTCCCCCGATGAGGGTCGAGGGCTCCGATTCGCCCTCGCGCGAAAACCTTCGAGCCGGTTGACTCACATCCTGTAAGCGTTCAGCGTCTTTGACATATCCGTGCGACCCATGAGGAGTCGGCCAGCCCGGCCTCGGCCTTGCCTCGAGTTCCGGAGGATAGGAGCGAGGGCCCGGTCGGGGCGAGAAAGGAAGGATCGGATCAGTCACGGTAAAAGGGTCCACGTATGTACATGGTACGGGCACGCGTCCTCGCGGCGTTGCGATCGGCCCCTGACTGCCGCGTCGCTCGCGCTCGCGCACCCTTTCGGCTCTCTCGGCTCTCTCGACCCCGCGTCTGCGCGGCCCGACGCTCTCTCTCTCGTTCACTTTCTCGGAGACGAGGCGACGATGCAGCGAGGAGGACGTGGATCGACGGGGGGGTGGTTGAATGGTCGCGCGTGGTCGCACCTGCAGCGGGGAGAACGCGAAGAGAGACAAAGGTGGCGGTAGTTTGATTACGGTTCCGATCGACTCGTCGGCTAAGATGACACCGGCGATTCACGGAGAAACAAAGTTAGATGTCACTCGACGAACTTCCGCTCTACTTCTCACTTGTATTTTAACGAATTCACAAAGTCCTAAGATGGAATCAAGGATGGTCACGGTCGGTGGGTCTTCGTCACGGCGCGCCGCGGGCGCTCGCGGAAACGGATTAAAAGGATCGACTTCCGGTCGCACCTGGCCGCGCCAGAAGGCGTGGCCGACGAAAAGGCGCCGCTCGCGCTCGATCGATGGACACTTTTATCCTCTCCTGGAGGTCTGGACTTACGCGTCCAAGGAGCAAGGTAGCGTGACTCACTTCCGAGAACGGTCCATGCAGGGCTGACCCTCGGCGGCTTTCAGTGTACCATCACCCGGCTGCAAAAAGAACCGTCCGATGTTACATGGAAGAATCGATGCACGTCCGCGGTCTCATAATTTGCCGATTTCGTCGTCGGACCGATCGGATTCTGGCAAAACGCGCGGCGCGGTCTCCCCTGTCAAGATTCGGAGTCGCGCAGACCTCGACGACGACTCGACGAAACCACGGATTTCCTCCTCTTGCCGCGCGACGACCCGAAACTTCGAGATGCGTCGATTCGGCAAGGGACGGGACATCTTCCGCGAGAAGTCGACGCGGCGACGTCGAGGCAGGACTCGCGTGGAAATTCGAGCGACACGGATCGCGGCCCGATGACAGAGGTAAAATGGCGAGACCGAGGAAACGCGTTTGGAAGCTGCGGGCACGGGTTTCGCCTCGGAGTCGACGGGGGAGAGGAGGAGCGAAGGTTACCTTTTGCGCGGGGACGCTTGCGTTTACAGGAACGTCGGGAATTGGCGACGGAATCCCTCGAACAACGGAAACTTCTCCGAAAGTCTCGGCAGCGCAGCAACGGCCGTCATCCAATCGTGGAGCACGACTGGAACCAGAGGGCGCCACCGCCGCGGGTCGGGTGTAACGCTTCGGACCCTAGCGCCATCTGCGCTCGGACCCGCCTCGACCGGCAACTAATCCTTTCGGCGGGTGATTCGACCTGGCTCCTTCGATGTTCCGTCTTCCCTTGGATCTCTAGAGTATTTACGCTAATCGAGAACGGACGTAGCCACTGAATTCCAACGTCGCGACGTAAAGTATTCGATGCGATTATTAAAAAGAGCGGTAAAACCGCCTCGACGGCGCTGCTCCCGAAATCGAGGGGGTCATAAATGTAAATATCGGACAAAGTCCAAACGCTTCGTTAAGAACGATTTCCGTACGATAGGCGGAAAGCCGTTGACCGCGAATCGTGGCCGGTACTAGCTTCTAGCTTCCGTCCATTTTTGGGAAAGACCTCCTTCCAAAGCTTTTCCCCTTCTTTGCGTAAAGTAACTTTATTCCATTCGATTGGTTAGGTGGTAATCGACGACCCCTTCGCCGTCTACGGCGGCAGGTAATTTCAGAGAATTTCAGAGAATTTCGGAGAACGTCGAGCGCACGCGGGACGGGAAAGCCGACTATCGCCCGGGTTGGTCGAAGTCGAGGACGTTCTCCCACTCGGCGGCCAATCGCAGCGGCGGAAGGAGACCAATCGAAACCGCGGTCAGTCGGGCACGAGTCGCTCCCGCGGGAAACGGACGAATATTCGCGTCCTGGTGCTCGAGTGGGCCTCTTCTCGCAAGGATGACTGGCCGACGGTTCCCGGGGAGTCCTAAACTTTGACGGATCCTTCGACCGTGCGGAAGGACCGGATCTCGACGCTCCTGACGTTAGGTGAGACCGAGTGCGCTTTCGGATGCAACGGATCGCAATTTCGATTTCGATCGGAGGGTAAAATGGTCTCGTTGGAGTATCGCGAGTCGAATTACTCGACTACATTACTAAGTTACAACCGGTTTGAGTAACGGTCCCTCGGCCAATCGCTCGTTCCGATTTTTAATTCCGCGTAACAACAATTTTTCTCGCGATCGTGGCTCTTTCGTACTTCGATCCCAAACGAGAATTCCGGATGAATCCCGAGGACTAAAAATCCTGGACAATTATCGACAATTACCCTAAATTCTTTCCTATCCGGGAGAGAGATATCGCGGTGCCCAAAGTGCAAACGATGAAAAGCGCGTTTCGAGACGATCGGAGGGAACACGGATAAGAAATGGCTGACGCGCCCTGGCGATGACTCGGCCACCGGGGATAAGAGGATTTATCTATTGCGAAGAGTCGGAGAAAGAACGATCGACTAGCCGGAGAAGGGCCCCGAAGGTCAGGATGTGCGCAGAGGCGACTCCAAGACGAGCTTCGCGGGCGTCGGACCGAGAGTCGGCCGCGTCGCGTCTAATCGGACGAAATTGATAATTGGCGGGTATTTGAGGACGCGCAGGTTGGTAGACTCCTGGAGTAACGTAAGATTCTCGGGGCAATAGCTCGGACGAGGAGAACGGAGGAGGCAACACGGGAGAGCGTCCATCGTCTCGTCGGTACGTCGCAAAGAGCGCTACCGTAAACGGGAATTATCTCTCGTACCATCTCGAACTGCCTTGGGACGACGATTTTTCCCGTCGTCGCGGTCGGCCGAGTCTCCTGCACGAACCGAATTCGGCAATATCCGCGAAACCTGTCGCGGAAAGAAAATGGAAAAGGAAAAACCGCGACTACGCCTTCGCGTTTTCGCTGGAACTCTTTCGGACCTCTCGCCGCGAGTCTTCGACGAATCCACGCGGCGGAGTCGATTTGGCCATAAAGAGTTCTCGATGGGGGAAAAAAATGTGCGGAATCATCTTCGCTCGTGCGACTGGAAAAAAAAAAAAAGGAAGACGCGGTGGGAAGAATCCTGAGCGGAAAATCGGCGGGATTTCGGTGGCGCGACGAAAAGATTTCGCGGTTCGACGGTTCTCGGCGATCCTTCCGGACGGTTTTACGGGTAAATAAAGAATTACGCAAAATAATGGGCCGTAAACGCGAAGCGGATCGACGACGTCCACCCGTTGCATAATACGTGGCGCTCGTTAACGCGGAGGCGAACCGGAGGCTCGTTGCTCCGTGAAATAGGATTTTGAGTGGTTTTTGAGTAACTCGCGAGTCCGCGGGATAGACTTCGGCCTCGGCGCGGCTTTAAACTCCCCTCGTGGGGCGACGGAAAAACTGGCGATCGTTTCGTTTAATCTCCGTTTTCAATTAGCGACGAAATCGTAAAGGAAAGAGGTGAAAAAAAAAAATAATACGAGTCCGCGGAACCGTCCCCGGCTCGACTCGTCGAATGGGTACGCGAGATTACGCAACTCTCTTGCACGGATCCCGGATAATTGCTCCCCTGCGATCCTCGGACCGCGACAAACGTTACGGCTCGCGTCCGGAAATTCTATCCGCGCGATCGCGACGTCATCCGAAATGACCGGAAACGGAAGGAAGCGACGCGATCGAAAAGAAATTCCCTTGCGATTTGCCGAGATACGCCGAGCGACATTAGAGAAACTCGGGCGTCGATCGAACTCGGAGAACGTCGCGGACCGAAGAGAGTTGCGACATACCGATTGCGGTATTTGGAAAACATGGCTCGGTGGTGTCGCGTGGACTATTAAACCACGCTAGAGGACTTGGGGCGGTACTTTTGCTCCAAATTTGGAAAGGACCCCCAGGAGGCAAGCGTCGAACGAGCCGGAAAGATAAGCTCTCGTACTCGTACCCGAAGAATCGTCGATATTCGGCTCTCGAGAACGCGGTCTCCGAAAGTGGGTGCCTGGACGACGGAAACTGCGGTGCAGGATAATCGTCGCACCTATCGGTGACATCCGGCGCGCTTTAATGCAGCTCGTTTCGGAAAATTGCGGCGACTCCTCTTTTGTTTTCCGGCTCGTCCGCGAAAATTGCTAGAAACTTGGAAATTATCGCGAGGATCGAGATTTCAAGGGGATTTCTTTTTTTCCGAAATTCCAGAAAATCTCGGAACGGAATTCAAGATCGATTTTAGCGTTTGCTTCTTCTTTTTTTTTTTTTTAACTCGTCACCCAATCAGCCAAGCGCGGTCGGAAAGATCATTCGGCGAACGCGATCTTCTTTCCCCCGTGATTTTACGATCTCGGGTTGTCATCGATTCTCGCGGCGTTGAGCAATTGTCGGCACTCGTCATTGTTAATCGGTTCCTTTTTTCCAATTCTTCGGCCGGAAGCGCAGGGAAGAACGACGCAAACCCCTCTATAGCGAAACGATCTTTCGCGATGCCATCGAGGTGCGCGCTAAGTACTCGAAAACCTGACGATCAAATGACACCGTTCTCTTCCTCTGTCGGGCCAAGGGGACCTTAACAGAAATCCTCGCCGAGGCCACGCGGCCATTTTTTTTATCACGCGCCGTTCCGATACTTTGCATCGCATTCTTTGGCGTTCGGCTTATTCGCACGTCGCGTTACGTTAAACATTCATGGAACTCATTAGACTCTCGGTGAATACGCGCACGAATCGATGCACCGAGCGATCACTCCGGTGACGTCTCGCGACTCCGTCAGATTTCCTTTCTGATGGCGAAAAAAATCCTCTCCGCTAAAAGAGGCACGGAACTAATGGGAATTTTTTGGGCTTAAAGGACAGACGAATGCGGAACGGTGGAAAGAAGTCGACCGTTCGAGGTGAGCCCGCGATATTTCCTTCGAGCCCGGAGGCATCTTTCAAGAACGGCCAGTTGCCCCGACACCGCGGAAAATGCTGCTGCTCAAAAGCTTCTTCAGGCGCATCGCCAAGGACTTCCGGCAGAAGGAGTTGCTGCCTCTGAAAATGATATTCTTCGTCCAGGCGTCGAGTAAGAAAGAACGGATTTCCTTCCTCCCCGGGAAAGGTTTATCCGGCGATTCGGTCGCTCGCGAAAACGAAGCATGAAGCAAAATGACGTCCCTCCGTGTTGCAGCCCTGTTCGTCCTGTATCCCTACTTGACCATTCACATGAGAGAGCTGGGGATCAACGTGGAGGAGACGGCGATAATGAGCGCGGTTACTCCATTCGTAGCTATCGTTATGCCGCCTCTGGCCGGGTTGGTCGCGGATCGAATCGGCAATTTCAAGGTAAGTCGGGGACGCCTAGACCGTCCGAAAGGAAAGGAAGAAGAGACCCTCCTCTTCGAATTTCTCGCAGATCTTGCTGGCCTTCTTCTCTGGAATGGGTGGAGCGGCGTCGCTGCTGCTCCTCTTGGTGCCGGTCGGCCGAGTCACGGTGGACTTCCCGGACAGCGCGGTCTTCGACCTGGGCTGCACCGGAAGCGAGAGCGCGATGACGTACACCATGAGTCAGATTCATCCCTGCGAGACTCGACTGCAGCCCGAAGTCGCGACGAGGCTCGAGAGCTGTGGGTGAGCAAGACGAAACCGGGGGTGGATCCGCGAGAAACAGGGGACTTTCGTTTTCGAGCATCCGGCGAAAATAATGCCTCTTACCTTCCTGTATTCGGAACGCAAAACGGGACATTAATCTCGCGCCGCGACTTCTTCGGAACTCGCGAAAGGCGCGTGAAAACCCATGGAATTCGCGCAAAGAATCGAGTTCCCTTTTCCCGTTCTCCGAAGACCAGTAAACCCGCGCTTCTGGAAACGCCTCGCGCGATCGTGGAAATCGACCGCCGGTTTTTTCGAACCGAAAGACAAAAAGGCATTCGCGCGTCGCTACCTCACCGATGAAAGTGATTCGGAAGTTGGCGCCGGCCGACTGCAAGAACTTATCCCGAGGTTTTGCTTTCGTTTCATCGATTTTGTCGGCACGTTTTTCTCACTGAAAATTTGGACGGACGATAAATCGCCTCGCCGACTCGCGTCGATGTGGCAAAACGTCGATTCTGCTTACGCGAAAGGTGTCGGTATTTTTCATGAGCGATACGTTCCGCTATGAGAATCTCATTATAGGTAATTATAGGTACGCATGTCACGTAGATTTGCACGACCAAGGAGATCTCGAGGCAATCCTCGCCTCGAGGTTCTACACGGTGAGACGTTACGACACGTCCACCGGACAGAATTCCTCGTTCAAGTACACGATCTCGAAGAGCGACCTGCCCCGGGTAAGACGGCGACCTCTTCTTCACTCGAGAATACCTCTCCGAGTCAATTTTCCTTTCCCTTTTTTTTTATAAACGGTTGAAAGTCGAACCTCGTTGCAGGAGGTGGCCGCGGTGGACGACGTCAGGGAGCACCGCAAGCTGACCAACAACGAGTTCTACAAGACGTCCATTCGGCAGCTCTCGAAGAGCACCTTTTTCTTTCCGACCAGCCAATTGTTCGAGTTCAATTGTTCCCAGATCTTTTCGGAAGGAAGGAACACCACGGAGGAGGAATTAATCTCCGAGGACCGAACGTTTTGCACCTTTGGGCAGTTATTGCCCGACGTGAGAGTAAGTTTTTCACGTACTTTCGAAGATGTTTCCCTCGCAAGTTTTGGAGATTTTATTTTTGCTTCCTTTTCAGGGCAATGCCAGCGAAGAATTTAACTCCCGCTCGTACAAGTCGATACTGAAGAGTCTGAACGCGACGGACATTGATTTGCTAGAGGAGAAAAGAAGGTACCGGGTTGAAAAGTTAGCATGGAACAGCGACGACCCGTACCCCGTGATCTGCGAAAATCCGGATCGAATTGCCCAGAAGGTATCGTTGAGCTTGCCACTGGTCAATTACACGACAGGAGGAGATCCTTACAAGACTCTTCTCATCGAAGCCTGCAGTAAGAGATGCATCGTGACCGCACCTCGTAAAGACGTTTGCGCAAATATGCAGACCGAAATCGAGTACGACGTTCGGTTGACCTTTTGGCTTTATCTTGCTATCAGAGTGTTTATAGGTAAGGACGAATTAGTTTTATCGAAAAGTTGCATCGTCACAAATGAAGCATTGAATGTAGAGCTTTAACGTCGATCGTTGTCTTTAGGAATGATCGGGGGGACAGCATTTGCCATGTTCGAAGGCGCCTGCATAGCCATACTGAGGGAGCAGAAAGCGGATTACGGTTTGCAGAGGATTTATGGCAGCATAGGTGGGATGATTTCCTCGCCACTGTCGGGCTTAATGATAGATTATGCCAGCAGCGGAAAGGAATATACGGATTTCAGGTGGGCATTTAGGCTAAGAGTTTTAAAGCGCGCCCAGCATCCTCGAAAATTGTAATTCAAAGTTCGTTATCCCCGTTTTCAAATCTCACAATTTTTTCAGACCGGCATTCTATTTGTATGCAGCGCTTAAAATCGTAGGAGGAGCTCTCATGTTGACTATTAACCTGGAATTTAAACGGCCGTCAAGTAACGTTATCAGTGACGTGATCGGCGTGCTGAAAAATATCGAAATCGTGGCTCTGCTCATCGCATGTTTTGTATTAGGTAAGCCGTTTCAAGATTCGATGAAATGAGCATGAAAAAAGACTTGATTCGGTAGTCACCTAGTGACTAAACTTCTCCATTTATTATGATCTACTCAGGCACGGCTTGGGGTTACATCGAGTCCTTCCTATTTTGGCTCCTGCAGGATCTGGGTGGGTCCAGATCATTGATGGGAATTACTATAACGGTTGGAGGAATTGCGGGTGTTCCTTTGCTCGTCATGTCTGGGCCAATTATCGAGAAGATTGGACACGCCAATGTGCTATTTGTGGGATTCGTCTTTTACGCCATCCGACTCTTAGGTAAGGGGCAGTTCGAATATGATTAATTACTGCTCCAAATTGTTTCACATCGGTGGTTTCAATTATATTTCGAAACCTATCTATAATTAACGTCTAAGATTTTATTATTAATAATCGGTTAATTACCATTATTTCAGGGTACTCTATGATATACAATCCCTGGCATTGCTTGATTTTTGAAGCTATGGAATCGGTGACTTCCTCTCTTAGCTTTACAGCTGCGGTGACTTATGCTGCTAGACTGTCAACCACCACCACTGACAGCTCGATACAAGGGTTGCTGGCAGGCTTATACTACGGAGTTGGTAATGAAATCCCTGGTTGACTTAGGAAAATATATTTCAGTTATTAAAAGAAGTATTTAATGTTCAGGCAGGGGCTGCGGCAGCTTGATCGGAGGATATCTAATGAAAGCCTTTGGCACTCGTCCCACCTATCAAATCTTTGCGGTCGTATCTTTAGCGACCGGCGTAATTTACTACATTTTTAACATGGCTTACCTGAAGAAGCGTCCTCAGGTCGAGGGTAATGACATTGTAAAGAAGAAGCCCAAGCCTCCGAAGGACACGGGTGGCCTGGAAAATGGAACTATCGAGATGAAAGCCTCAACGAAAGACGGTGTCAACGAAAAAATCATCGCTGGAACGGAGAACAAGGCTTTTGCCGATGATTCCGAAAAAGAGAATCCCGAGGTAGATTCCAATGAAATCGAAACTACCAACAACGCGAAAAATCTAGACAAGATCGAGCGGATTTCGGATAAGAAGAGAAAGAGCGTCGATCTAAAAATCGTCTCCGACGATCACGAAAAAGATGGCCCTCGTAAAAGGATTTTAGACAGTGGAGTCAATAATCCAGCATTTGAAAGGGAAAAGGACGGAAAGTACGACGTAATCGTCGAAAGAGAACCGGAAATAAAGAAATAACCGGATGGCCATTCCGAGGGTTTCGGAGGACGAAGCTCGAAAGTGTCCTAAGGTGATTATTTGCGAAACCGCGAGTTTTGCGTTGTACAGTAGTCTTAATGCAACTAGTGACGGTACAATTAACGGAACGTTGATTTTTTTTTTTAATTTATAAGTATTTATGTTTCGACGTAGTATTGCTAGACGTAAGACCTTCCCCGTGGAAACTCCGCCTCGCACCGTCAGTCAATCGAACATGATTATTCCTATAAGACGGTTTACTCTGTATTTATTATACATTTAACGGTAGTTAAGGTTTTGATCGCACCGACGATTGTGAAAAATCCACTTTTAGAACACGTCACTTTGACTTAATGAATCATTGGGAATTGTATCGTATATTTTATATGCGTTTATCGCACGTTAGTTAGAAATTTCTTACCTCCTAAGGGAAACAAAAATGTAGCATATGTATATTTTTATCAGTGAAGTGTGTTGAAGATTAAAAAAAAACATCAAGTAATATCCTAGGTAATGGTAACGAATAAATTTTAAAGATGTTCCTTTCACAACTTTACTTGCACGCACAAATGGTGAAACGTACTTGCTACCTGCCGTAGCTTAATTTATATTAATAAACTATCTTCGATGAATTTACAAACTTCTCGATTCAGTTCCACTTTTTCAATTGAAATGAAAGTTAAGTAAATTATGCGATCCTTTTTTTTTTAACGGAGGATATCTTATCGTTATCCAGAGGTGGTAGAAATTTCGAAACGTTAATAACGGTCTCGTTGCAGTTTGTCAAGTAAATTAGAGCTTTTTCCGAGTAATTAGCACGAGTTCATTGCCAGGGAATATGTTGTCCATCTCTCGAGACTCCGAAGGTCCCTCCAGGCAATTTCGAAGATTGCCTTTTAAAATTATATTCCTCAAAAGGCAATCGAATCGATTCTTTGTAATGTGGCAATGAACATTCAAATTAATAAATGAAAAAGGGACAAGGTGGAACTCAACGGATGCAATCGGTCAATAAGGTCCCAACAGGCTTCCATTCGAGAACAGTTACGAGTCTATATATATACGAAGAAACCTTCTCTGCCGATCATTCGTTCAGCAGATCCGAGAGAAATGTTTCTCCAATATTTTATTTTCGTATCGTTTGCGTATTTGGCAGGGTCAGCCAATAAACCAGAAGTGACGTATTCAAGAGTGTCAAAAAACGGTGAAGAAAGTCACGAAACGAAAAATTCCCCCGTTCTTTGGACGTCTAGGTAAACATTTCTTTTCTACACGGTCTTTCGTCGTTTCGATTTTGATATGCTAAGAAATGAGATTACTTTTGAAACTAGTTCTTTCGTTGGGACGCAGAAAATAGAAATAAAAAATTATTTTCACGAAAGGTCTTCCTCTTTTTAGGTCTAACAATTTAACCACCGTTCAACAAACTAAGGGCAGAGGCGTGCAAGGCATAAGCATAACCGTGTCTCCGATTTACGTGCCACCGAAAACTCCTCGACTCGGAAATGGGGAGGCCGTTGATTATCTCCCTCCCAGAAAGTGAGTAAATGAATAAACATTCCGCCTTCATTCCCTTTGAATGCACGGCCGTTTCTCCGTTTGCCGTTAAACTCTGTTGAGTATAACGATTATTGTTTTACGTATTCATTTCTTCCTTTTCCAAGGTACTCTACGATAGACCAAGAGGCTTTATCAAAGATCGAGGGTTCCTCGTCCAGAAGAAAACCTCAAGACCGATTTTCTCCGTCCGCGAATTTCGATAACGGGGGGAAGAAAAATCGTCCGACCTCGTTGAAGGATTCGGGCGCTTCCGGAACGCCGAATTTCGGAAGTGCATCTTCGGGAATTACCTTCTCCAAACCAACTTACCTTGGGGCCGGGGATTTTTCCAATTGGGAATCCGATTCGAAGCCTGCCATCTCCGTCGATGGTTATTCCTCGATGGATCCAAACTCTAAAGTAAGCATTAGGATAAAAATAAAAGTACCTTCGTCGGCTAAATCAAACCTATTCCGTTTCGGAAGATCCCAGCTTCCTACGTTCCGGAGTCTGACCCTTTCGAAGCCGAAGGACCAGGAGGTGGTTTCGATTCGGGACCAGGATCGAGACCAACGAGCTTCGAGGAGGATTCTCCTCCCAAAGCGAATAACTACGGAGAGTTGGATGAACCACCTTTCATCGATGATTCTTATTTTCACGAACACGATCATCGTCCTCATCGGCCTGAAATCGTTTACGATCGGCCTCCGGAGCTTCAGCATCATTTTCATCATCACGACGACGAGCAGGATAACGATCATTCGGAGGAGAACGATCAACGGGTGAACAAGAGGCCGTATTCCTATTATTACATCGGTAGGAAGCTTTGGTACATTCCCCTGTACTTCAGCATCTACTTTATCGTCTACATAGCTGCCTTGGTGTTGAAGAGCATAGCTAGACACAAGATCGACCTTCCGGAAAATCTACACAACGCGGTGTCCCATCACGATCACGATCATCATCACGAGAGAAGCGGTGGGATGCAAATCGACACGCCTGGATGGATGGATGGAACGGTCAGAGTTTTGGAAAGTATCGAGAACGCCGCTAAAAAATTTGGATGAAAACTCACGGGCTGACCGATCGAGTTGCCGGTTCCGATCCTGGAGAAAAGGAACGGAGCTTAATCCTGTCGGGACCTTCGAGCCTCGATGAAGCAAACCGTCACGTCAGCGAAACGTCGGCCAATCGTCGTCTCCCCGGAAGCGCGGAACGTTTCAAGTTATTAGTTGTAAAATATATTAATATTCTCCCGGCACTCGCGTGCCGATAATTGTAAGGATTACGAGCTAGGAGAAGCTGTGTAAATAAATTGAAACCAAGTCGCATGAATTGTTTTCTCCCCGTTTCGTTGATCCTCATTGCGTCCAGACAACATCTTCAACGAACGATTTCCTCACGGCGTTATCATTAATTTATGAAGTTTACTTTACGAAACGCGAGTATCGAAAGTAGGGCCTCCGTTTCCATCGGCAAATTCCTTCGTTATCCTGTCTTTGAAAATTCTTATCCCCGGGTCGGAGAATTCTGGAAAGGCGGGAATAAATTTAATTTTAATTCCAAAAGCCAGATCGGAAGAAAACCAGGAACGTATAATCGAGATCTTGAAAAATTCCCGCGGAATCTCGAGCATTCCGGGACAACAACGAGGAGGGCAAGAATGCATCGTGGAGTACTTCCGACCGAACTCGCAACGGGCCGAAAAGTCCCTATAATTATCACCTCGCGATTAGAGTATCGTTTCAACGGGACTCGGTCCGGTCCGTTAATTGTACGGTCTAATATATGGCCATCCCAGATATGTCGCGTTTGCACGGTCTCGCGGAGCATCGCGTTACTTTTTCCGTGGCACTTGGATCGCGAGCTCGCGAGCTAGACGAGGTCAATTTGTAAAAAATATTCCCGGCGGGGGAGGAGCGGAATCTTCCTATCCCCTGGCACGGCTCGCCCGGGAGATCCGTAACAATTAGGACTTTTAGCGTGGCGCAAGGGAGGTTTGCTTAACGTTTCTCGCGTTACAGTTACGGAGGTCTTCGGGGCTCGACGGAAGAGACCTCGACGCCCCGCGACTCCTAGGCAGTTCCTCGTGGAGTCCCCCGAAGCGCGGTCCTCGAATCTTCGCGTGCCGGGACACAGCCCACCGCTTGCGGGAGATCGCGAATGCCGCGGCCGAAGGAGCCCTCCGCGACGAGGAGGTTCTCGAGGGTCGACCGCTCCCTGTGATGCGGCGCGACGGCGGGAAAGGATCCCCCGACTCGAAGCTTCCGCCGGCGAATCCCCGGGGCGTCTCCGGGCAGGCTTCGGTAGGTCGCCGCTTCTCTCCGTCGCCGACGAGGAATGAGACCGCGTCATGAATTTCAGCTACCATGAAAGGGGGCCTCTTCTTCCTCGTCCTCGTCCTTTGGCTCTCCTCGACCTCGGCTTCGGCGCTCCGCGGCCCCGCGCCGGAAGGGGACGTCGATTTCGCGGCCGCGTCGGCGGAACCGGAAACGACCACCGCTCCGAGAAGCTTCGCGGTCGCCACGACTCCGAGAGCGCTCAGGTAATTATACGGAAAGCGTCCTTCCTCGTGGGGTCGGATCGTTACCGTCGCCTCGATGTGTTCGGACAGACGGGAGTCCAACGGGGACCGGGACCGCGAGGCCGAGGACGGCGACGACTACGAGGAGGACGGCGACGGCGCCGCGAGAGCCCTGGCCGGCCCGAAGTCCGACCACTGGAACGGATACTACGACTTCCTGATCAACGAGGGAAGTTACAAGTTCTGGGCCGTATTTCAGGTGAGCACCTCGCAAGGAACGTCCTCCGAGGCGAGCGTCGACGACGGACGACGACCGACGATGACTCTGGCGTTTCTTCCCGACAGCTTGCCACCGCCGCTCTGCTGATATACAGCGGTTTCGCGGCCCTCTACTACGCCAAGGTGAATCCCCCCAACGCCGACGACTACGAGGACTACTTCCTGCGCAGACGGAGGTCGGCGCCCGCGGAGGCTTCCCTCTTCCTCGGCCTCGGTCCCGAGGCCTTCCAGAGGATCCTCGAGGCGGTCGAGAGGGAGTCCTAAGGACCGAACCCGTTCCCTCCCTCCCGCGGTGCGAGTCCTCCGAAGGAGCCGATTTCCCGGCCAGCGGGGGACCGCGCGAACGGCACGAAAATCTGAATAAAGAATTACAGGCCGGGACGCGGTCGTTAAATATTCAGCGGATCGAAAGGTAATAAAAAATGTCGAGCGATAAATCGGAGGGAGGGGCGACGCCCTTCTGGCGGGCGTCGGGAGAAGCGCCGTCGAGGCGAGCCCCGGCATTCCCCCGCGTACTCTCGAAGGGACCGCCGAGCGACGCGGAGACTTTCCGATCGATCTTGGCCGCGGGCCGAATCGCTCGGCCCCGGGGACCGACCGGCCGAACCCGCGGAACGATAAAAACCGTAATTTGCGGCCCGACCGGGATGGCTCCGAGATCGATTATCGCTCGCGCGCCGGAAGCGCGACGACGAGAGCGGTTCCCCGAACCCGCTCGGGACGCGACCGTTCCCCCGGGATCGGATTCGAGAAATCGAGAGTCGCGGGTCGGTCGGCCGTTCCTCCCGTTCCGCGCGTTCCCGGCCGCGGAACGCTCCTCGGAATCCGCCAGGCATTCCACCGCTCGGTCGTTTTTCCCATCGTAACGCTCGGGACCACTCTTGCTCTCTTCCCTCGGCCGGCCGTCTCGTAGCTTTGCGGATATTCGGGAGCAGCCCTTGGCCTCTGTCTCGCCGCGCCACGTTTTGTCCTTTCCGCGACTCCCGCGAACCCGCGGAGGTCCGCGGCCAAACGGGGAAGGCCCCGAAAAGCGTCGAGGTTCGCGTCTCCTCTCGCGGGTTCGCGAGGAGTCGGACTATGCGAGCGGCGGCGAGGAAAAGCCGCAATCCGTCGAATAATTACCTTAATGGGCGCGCGACCCCCGCGAGTCGAGTCTCGTCCCCATCGCCGTCCCCTCGGCCGAGACCGACGAGGTCGAGGACGGGTCGCGTCGGTCCTTCTCTCGAAGTCGCTTCGTTTGAAAATAAAGGCAAGAAAAAAAAAGAACCGGCACGAAATCTTAAACCCGGAGCGGCCGCGGGGCGCGACCGCCCAATTACGCGGACCAGGTGCGGATGTCGAAAATGGCTCGACGCGAGACCGGGGGCGATCTTCGAGAAGCCCCTCGGAGTCGATCCGGATTTCAGCCAGAGGCGGGATTTAAATCTCTAAGGTCAACGGCTGCGGGACGAGGGAGCGAGCGCCTCGTCCGCCTCCCGGGCATCGATATCTCCCATCGGTTTATATCGCGATCCGAAAGACATTAACCTTGCGCGCGGTTGCCGCGCTCGGAGGCGAGGTCCTCGAACCCGCCCCGCGTCGAGGAGGAGGACGAATTTCCGAGGGAGAATTTGGAAAAAGGCGGCGGTACCCTCCTCGCGAGGCAAAAAGCCACCTTGAGATCCCCTCGAGGTCCCCTCGAGGTCCCCTCGAGTCGGCCGGCGCGGAGCGGCGGGACGAGCGACGCCGCCGGCGCGCTCCTCAGTCGGTGCCCAGCCGCCGCCGCCGCGAGACCTCGGTCGTGCCGACCGTGCCCATCTTCGACGCCTCGCACAGTGCCCGCGAGGGATCGTTTCGTCGGGACTTCCAGGCGGAGGCCTTCGACGCGGAGCTCCTAGAGCGATTCCGACCGCGGTCGGAAGGATCGGAGCGAGCCGGAAAGGGGCCAAGGGGGAGATGGACGGGGACGTCCTGGGACTTTGAGGAAGCGCGTCGAAATGGCGTCGATGTGCGGGAGCGGCAAGAGTCACCCCGCGATGACCACCGGAAGCTTCTACAGGAGCGGGGCCTACCCCTACCAAGTGAGCGACCCTCGAAGCATTCCGAAGTCGGCGGCGTCCCTTGCTCCCCGGCCCCGAAGGGAAACCTTGGCCTTGCCTCCGCTTCCTTTCCGCTCTCGCCGCCGGGACGAACGGCCGCCTAGAAACCCGTTGGAGGATCCGTTTTTCGGCTCCTCGTAGCGAACGCGAATCGAGGCCGCTCGCCCGGAATTCCAATTTTCCCCTCGGTGGCCGGAAAAGGAGAAACGGCCGGGGAGGGTACCGCTATTCCCCCGGCGGGAGGTGGGTCCTCTCGAACGGGGCCCGCGGTCCCGTTAGCGCCCTCCGCTTCCTTCCTTCGCCGAGAGTTTCCCGGGGCGGCGCGGAAAAGGGACCGCCATTTTGAGCTAGAACCAGCCACCGCGATGGCCGACAGTTAGGTTCAACGGACCCGAGTCGCCTCCTTCCCCGCCACGGGACCGCGGCGGCATTTTTTCCTCCCGCTTTCGGCCGGCCTCGGGATGGGTCCCGATCGACTCCGAGGGCGACCTTGAACTCCGCCGGGGAAAAACGGGGAGGCTCGGGAACTCGTCTCGTCTCGGCGAGGCCTTCTCGTTTTTCTCGAGCGGCGCGCTAACGGCGCGAAAGCGGTCTTTTCGGAAGAGGCTCCGAGAAATACCTGGAAGAGCGCGGCGAGAACGAGTCGAACGAACCGGAGCGCGTCCTTGGGAGATCCTTGCCCTCCGGGTCACGGCCCAGTGGGCCGACGATCCTCGCCCTCGGAGCCGCTAGTCAAGCGCCCGAGACTCGGGAGACGTCCAAAAGCCGCGACCGCTCGCGACCGGCCGCGACCCGAATGCGGACCGTCGTATCTGGAGCGTGGCGCGATCGCGGTGACGCAACGAGACGCCGACTCGAATCTTCCCGAGAACCGAGCGTCGCGCGTCTCGGCGCCGATCGACCTCGAGCACGGCCGCGAGGCGGGGACTCCTCCGCGACATCCTTGCACCACTTGCATTTTAATTTCGATCCTTGAGCGGCCCGAGGTCGGAGGAGCGCTCGCCGATTCGGTCGCGTTCCAGGGAGTCGGCGACGTCTCGTAACGGTAGACGCGGCGATCCTCGCGGGGCGTGGGCCTTCGAGGTACCGCTAGGCGAAATTTTATCGTTTCGTTCCTGACCGAGGTTACTCGGCCCGCGTAACGGGAGACTCGGAATTCGAGCCGAAGATGCCGAGAAAGTATCGACTCCGGGGCGCGTTTTTCGTTTCAGAGCGACTTTTATCTGCCGCCGAGGTCGACGTGGTCGACGGTGCCGGGGGTGCAGGGGGTGCCGGCGCCCTCCAGGAGCAAGAAGGGCAGCTCCAAATGGAAAATCGGCAGCGCGGTGCTAATCGTTACGGCGATGCTCGTCTTGCTCGCGGTCCTCGCCATAGCTGGACTGGCGCTGTGGATGGGAGGTTCGTTCTCGACGGATTAAGTAGACCGGTGATAACCCCCGATGAATCGGCGTCGTAACGACCGCTTTCCTTTTTCGTTGCAGCCCTCCGGACCGACTCCAAAAACGGTGAGCGGCGAGTCTGGGATTTCACGAATCCGTTGACGATCGGCTCCGCGAGTTGGCTCGTTCAACGATCGTCCCTCGGTCCAGTCGTTAACGTTCTCGCGTTGATTACGATTTTTCAGCCATCGTGGGGTTCTTCTGCAGCTTCAGGGTCGTCCGAGGAGAGCGATACAATCCGATGCTCAAGTTGAACACCAGCATGGTGTTTCGCGAAAAGGAGCGCAAGTACAAGAACATGGTGAGTCGAGGCGCGGCAAAACCTTATGCATGTTTTCGGTCGTATCGATGTCTAATGGGAAACGCGTCCGTCTTTGCGTTCCCAGTTCGAGTTGCTCTTCAGGAGGAGCATCCTGGGGGCGGCCTACAAGAACGCGGTGATCGACCGATTCGAGAACGGTACTCTGCGAGTCTTCTTCAGGATTTACCTGGACCGCAGGAAGATCCCGAGAACGATCGCCAACGTCGAGGACGCGATCGTGGACGTCATAGCCAAAGAGACCTACTCCTCGTCGTCGCTCTTCGAGTCCATGGAGCTGGACCTCGGCAGCGTCACCGTCAAAAGTGAGTCCCCGAACGGGAGCGGGGCCGTCGATTCGCGACTAACGCCTTCGCGGTTTATTCTTCAAGGAATCGATCGGGAGACCGGCGGGAGTCTAAAGAGCGGCCCGCAGGCGAATCAGCAAAGGAACGCGATGATCACGAAGAACGGCCTGCTGAGACCCAGCAGGAACAGCTCGCTGATCACCGGCACCAGGAGTAAACCGAAGCCGACCAAAATCGAGCCCGACGAGGCCGACATAGACTTCGGCAACATCCCGACCATCCAGGGAACCTACAAGGCCACGAAGTTGAACACGACGAGCGGATCCACGCCCGAGGGGGCGACCACCGTGGAAGTCGCGCGAGCTCCGACGAAAGGAACAAAGGAATCGACGACGACGTCAACGAGTCCCGGCACCGATAGCCCGAACGTCGTCCCCTCCCCGGCGAGTCGTCGAAGGACGACCGCGAGCACCTCGCCGCCCGTTTCGTCGACGACGCCAAACGCCAGCGAGCTGTTCAGCCCGGAATTCGAGACCTCACCCTGGAAACCGATAGTCCCCGGCTCGATCGACGCGGAACCGGGACCGATTCCGGAAACGGCATCGACGGGAAGACCCGACCCGGTTCCCGCGGCGGAGGACCTTTACCTAGGAGAAACGGCGTTCCCCAGGGACAGAATAGTGCCTCAGGAGATGGTGAACTTTAGGGTGAACGGCAAGTTCAAGAAGGATCCCCCTCGGGTCCTCGAAGAGGGCGCCCCGTACCCGTCGGAGGCCATCGAAGTGGCCGGTCGACTTCCCGAGGAGACTTACGACGTGCACCTGAGGACGTCCTCGGGATCTCCGGTGACGTCCTCCGGCTTTCACGGAATGGCGGCGGAAATCCAAAGTCCCTCCCGGATTCGCCAAGGCGTCTCGGAAACGCGGGAGCGGCCCGGTTGGACGGAAACGGTCGGGCTCGATGCCTCGACGACGGACTCGACCACTCCGTACACCTTGCTCGGTCAGATATCCGGAATCGGGGTCGCGGAACCCGTTCCGGAGGCCGAGATCGACGCGGAGGGCAGAAATCGTTTCTCCGATATTGCCGCCGAGAGCGAGGACGCAAAGGGGGTCGAGGAGAATCCGAGGGGTCCCGTTTACACGAGTTACAGAACCCCCGACCTAAACGGCGCGGCCAGACCCATCTTGGTGGAGAACCGCGGTACCGCGAAACCGTTCCGGCACACGATCCCCGTCGACAAGATCACCTTCGTTCTTGATCACCTGGTCGACGCCGATGCGGCCCAGAAGGATCGCTCGTCGCTGCCAGAGACGGTCGACGACCTCCCCGTCGTCGTCCGGCGCACGACATCCAACGGGACCGAAATCGACGAGACCACCGAGATCGTCCGCTTGACCAAATTGGAAACGACTGGATTTGGAAAAGTCGACGCCGGAACGGACAGTCCGGACGTTATTCCCTTTTCGGAGCTCCCCTCGGAGGACCGGGCCGGAAACCCCGGTGCGACCCCCGCGGGAGGAGAAGAGACCGACGGGGGTCCTTTGAACGTGACCCAAAGCGGGCTTTCGGAAAATTCGACACCCAGGAACTCGACTTACGTGGAAGTCGACACCGTACAGCACGACAACGACCGGAACGAGGACTCTTTGCCCAATGGCGACCCGCTGGAGGCAAAGCCCACGGCGAGTCACCAGGAAAAGAGAAGGACGACCTACAACGACACCTTGAAGGCAAACGTCGTCGAGGATCGCGCGACGCTGGCACCAGCCAAGAGCAACAGCGGGATCGGCAGACCCCTCAGGCCCAGGCCCAAGATCGACCGGGACAAGTCCACCAGGATCCTGCAGAGCGCGTCGACGTCGCGAGACGTCGAGGTCGCCATTTTGGAGGACCTCTTCGGAGGCCCGCGAGACGAGCAGCGGAAAATCGAGAGGGGAGGCCCTTCGGACGACGTCGCCGCAGGTGCGAAAGGGTCGTCCTCGACCTCTTTTCCGAGGACTCGCCGCGACCGACTTGGATCGTTTTCGGCTTAGCGGCCGTTCGGTTCCGTTCGCTTCCGGTTTACGCACGCCCCGTCGAACTTCGTGACCGTAGATCTCGAGTAGGGAACTAGATCCCTGAAGAAAGAACGGCGATCTAATCACTCGGTATTTCCAAATTTAGAGACGGACGACGAGGGAGCGACGACGCCCAAGGCGAAGGATTTTCGGGAAGAGGTCGAGGTCGTCACGTCGATTAGCACCGAGATCGCTTCCGAGGCGGACGGCGAGCGAGTCGTCCTGAGGCTGACGGTGACGAACTCCACTTCTTTGCCGGAAATCCACGATACGTCCCACCTGACTCAATCGAGGGAGGTCGAGGACCTCGGAATCGCGGAATCGGAACCGGCCGAGGGCCAGACCGACGGGAGGACTTCGAATCTCGAGGAGAGCAAACTCCTTCTGGAGAAGCTGAAGCAGCTCGCCGAGGTCAGGACCGGCAAAGACCCCGGAAATTCGGCGAGGAATCTGACGAGCGCGAAACCGGGCGGCCTCTCGGAGCCCCTGGATCCGCAGGATCGTCGCCACGAGGTCGACTTCGAGGCCCTGAAGAAGATAGCCGAGGTCTCCACGGGGAACGGGACGGGCCCGAGAAACTTCTCTTCGAGCGTCACCCTGAGCCGCGACGGCGTGCGGATCTTGACGAAGATCCTGAACAGGATGGAGGATCCCACCACCGAGGGAAACCCCGTCACCGCTCCGGGTAAGACCTCGCGCGTTGTCAAAAGACGCCAAAGCCGCGAGTTAGATATTTTCCGTCGGATCGATGTCCCTTCCAATCGACTCCTCGTATCCGCAGAGAAGTGCTTCGGATTCCGGTGCGAGGACGGCAAGTGCTTGCCCTCGAGTGCCAGGTGCAACATGCTGGGAGAGTGTCGATCGTCCGAGGACGAAGCCAACTGCACTTGCGCGGACTTCTTGAGGGCGCAGTTACTGGATCGCAAGATCTGCGACGGGACGGCCGACTGCTGGGACTATTCGGACGAGACCGGCTGCGGTAAAAATCGTTTTCCGGACTCGCCCCGATTGGCTTCCCGAGGGAAAGAAATAATTGACCGACGATTGCAGAATGGTGCAGGGAGGGACAATTCGTGTGCGGCAACAGTAGATCCTGCGTGGACCAGGAAAGAGTCTGCGACGGCTTCAAGGACTGCCCCGGGGGCGACGACGAGAAACGCTGCGCGGCCTTGATCGAGGATTCGGAATCGAGTTCCGGGGACGCGGAGATCCCGTCCACGCTTCCGGAAGAAATTCGTCAACCTGGCGCGGGACTCGAGCGACGCGAGGTCCTCCCTTGGAGGGCGGAAACCGCGAGGGACCGAGAGGCCGTCGACTCCGAGACGAAGGGGAGCTCGGAAGGTGCCGGGAGAATTACGGGGTCCGAGGCCTCGAAGGGGACCCCACGGCCCGGGGAAATTCTCGACCGACTTCCCGAAGACACGGGCGAAGATTCCGTGGCCGGAGTGTCCGGCAGAGAGATCTCGGAAAACGCGAAGAAGAATCACGTTCTCCGGGCGAACGGGCCCCCGTTGGGAGGCGTCGACGTCGTTCCTCGGGAAGCTAACGGATACGGCAGCAACGGATTTCTGAGCGTGAGGAAAAACGGCAAGTGGGGGAAACTCTGTCTCGGAGGAATGGAGAATCTCCTCCAGGAACGGCGCGCTATCTGGACTATCGAGGACCTGGGTCGAGCCGTGTGCAAGGCGATAACATATCGGTACTATTTGCATTCCACTCGTTGCCCCGGGCAAATCCCAATAATTTTCGGCATTCCCTGATTTAATTCGATATCCGTTGTTGCAACTCACGGCAGCGATTACGAGAGAGTGGAACGCGTCACGGAGGATAAGAAGTCTGGATCAAAGAATCGACTGTACTACGGTCTGACCCACAATGAGAAATCTTCGGACAAGAGCGGCTTGACGTTCAAACCTTCCGACTGTCCCGGTGGGGAGGTCCTCAAGGTGAAGTGCAAGGACCTCGAGTGCGGAATAAGGACTCAGCTTCCCACCCAAGCCAGGTATCGTCCAGAGTTTCAAATCGATCCTCGCATTCCCGATCCCGGAACGCTCGTCGAAGACAATCGTCTCGCCGTTACAGGATCGTCGGGGGTGGAAGCTCCTCCGTTGGCAGCTGGCCCTGGCAAGTGGCACTGTACAAGGAAGGCGATTATCAGTGCGGAGGAGCCTTGATCGACGACCGGTGGATCGTTTCCGCGGCTCACTGCTTTTATCGGTAAGTTTTCCGGTAATGCCTCGACCGCGACGCCGGCCAGGACGCGTAACGGTTGCCCATCGTTGCAGGACCCAGAACGAGCACTGGGTCGCCAGAATCGGCACCACCAGAAGAGGAAACTTCCCGAGCCCTCACGAGCAGATCCTCCGGCTGGATCACGTGTCCTTGCACCCGGACTACGTCGACAACGGTTTCATCAACGACGTCGCGCTCCTCAGGCTCGAGAGGCCGGTGACTTTCAGCGACTACGTCAGACCGGTGTGTCTTCCGGAAGTCGAGCCGAAAACGGGCGCCGTGTGCACCGTCACGGGCTGGGGCCAGCTCTTCGAGATCGGGCGGATATTTCGTGAGTCCATTTCCACGTCGGATAGGTCGGATCCGGGACAAGTCGACGAATGCTCCCTTTCGATTTTCAGCCGACACTCTGCAGGAAGTCGATCTGCCGATGATCTCGACCGAGGAATGCCGAAGGAAGACCCTGTTTCTTCCGCTCTACAGGATCACCTCGGGCATGGTGTGCGCCGGCCTCAAGGACGGCGGCAGAGACGCGTGTCTCGGGGACAGCGGAGGACCCCTGGTCTGCCCCGGACAGGACAACCGATACACCCTTCAAGGTACCCGCTCGGCTCCTGCCCGAGGCGACGACTCTTATTAAGGTCCTCCATCGTCCGTAGGTATCACTTCGAACGGCTACGGTTGCGCCAGGCCAGGCAGGCCAGGAGTCTACACGAAGGTGTTCCACTACTTGCCCTGGATAAGACGCGTCACCGCCGAAGCCGAGGAGAAGCTGGCCCCTTCGACGAGTTCCTGCAAGGGCCACAGGTGTCCCCTGGGCGAGTGTTTGCCAAAGTCGCGCGTCTGCAACGGGTTCCTCGAATGCTCCGACGGAAGCGACGAGCGCGGTTGCGCGTCGAGTTAACCAAAGGATCGACCGATCGACGATCAGTGACGAGGGAAACGTTCTTCCATTTCCTCTTTTCGTGCTGCTCGGCGCCGACGCGAGACGCGACCAAGAAATCGACCTCTCGAGGAGAGAGAGATCGACTTTGGAACGCGGTCGAGTATCCTCCCGGTGATGGATTTCGACTCGCCAGACTTTTCGATAAAGAGAATTTTCGATAATTTTATATGTCATTTCTTGCACCGCGATCGCGGCAACGATCCAAGTTACTTTCCAATTCGCGTCGTTGAAACTTTGTGTCGGTATTATCGATTCGCGACTTCCTTAAGCGCGTGGTCGACGCGTTTCTAGAAAATCGAGGAATCGACATAGAACCTGGCTTTACGATTCTTCGTATCCGAGAAGCGAGAATCCCAAAGCTACGGTTGGCGGACTCGGGGGATCCTCCTTCCCACTGATTCGATCGCCCTCGACGAGATATTTTCCCCGGTAACGGACTTGGTGGCAATCTTTGCGCCGTCCAATCGGCAGCGACTGCTTTGGAAAGGGTCTCGTCGACGTTGTACATTCCGTCCGCCATTTGTCCGTGTATATACGCGAACGTGTCTACCTTAAGTATTAATAATTCCTTTTTATACCTCTCCAGTTCTTAGAGACGAATAAAGAAGGACCGAAAATCCTGAATGCGGTTAGCCTCGAGCAACTTAAACTCCTCCGCCTCGTATTTCCGGCGGGGACGATTAATTGAAAAAAAATTTTCGAAAAATAACCACGTACCCTCGAGGAGCCAAAGCGTAACTTAAAAGGAACGGGGGGAATCAAGAAATCATTTAGGCAACGGGCGCATCGACGGGCAGTCTTTCCCCGCGGAGAAAATAAAACTGGATCGCATGAGGGAAATACAGGAGACGGCGACGAAGTTCGGAGTGGCACCCCGTCCAAGTTTACTTCACTCGTTACAATTAGTCTCTCCAGTCCGTAGAAAAGGAAGAATGGTCGGTCCCCGCGCCCGACTACGCGTTCTTACGTTGACGGAGACGTCCCTCGGCGTTGAGCATCGTATTAGAAAAAAAGATAATAAATAACGATAGGTCAGTGAAAATTCCCTTTAGGATTAATATCGTTAGAGCGAGCGGCGTACACGTAGCTGTGAAATGTTAAGGGGTTCGCGATATCGTAGGCTACGGACGACACGGAGCTCCCTCGACCCAGCTCCGATTTAGCCCAAAGAGTCCACCGCGGTCGTGCTGAGGCCCTTCTTGCCGATGGTGGTCTTGAACTGCTCCGGGATCGGGTACTCCGACTGCAAATCACGTTAAAACGGTACTTCCTTTTTCGCGTTCGCGACGAAAGTCGTTTCGGTAACGGGACAACGGTCCCGCACACCGTTTCGGGTAACCGGAAAATAATCGACAAGACTCACGTAATCGCCGTTTCCTTTAGGCACCATGACGTTCATCTCGCTGGACTTGCTGCTGATGAACTCCACGTCCAGGGACTCCGGGCTGAGGTACATCTGACAGCCGTCGGTCTTGTCGATCGAGATCGTCGGCACCTTTCCCAGCACCTGTCGCCGGAACGGAAGTTTAGACCGAATCGAAGGCTCCTTCTCTATCGAGTACTTTTGCGATATTGCGGCGCTCGTCTCGGGCACGACTCGTGCATCGGAAGCGCGTCCGCCCGTTAAAGGAATAAATCGAATAAATCTCGGGAGGTTACGTAGTCGCTAGGACGACAGTCATTTTCAAGTAGTTCGAGTAGTTGCGAGTGTTTCGGGCGATCGGTCAATCTGACAGGCCCGAATCGAAGCGAGACCACCCGGTGCCACCCGGGAGCGCGGGGCCTTCGAGGCCGAGTCCTTCCCGGGATCGCGAAAATGAGCTGGCAATTCGGTAAGGGCCGACCCGGACTCCCGGAATTTTTGCGATCGGGTCATTCCGTAACGCGTAATCGTGCCCAGCGGATTTCACAGGTGGCAACGTCGAGCCGGTAAGGACGGTCTGCGAGTTCGATTGGACGGAGTGCCCCTTGGCCGTCGCGAATTACGTCTGGTCCGAGATCGTCACCGAGGTCGCCGACTGCCTCGCCGACGAGGCGATCTTCTGGAGGGTAAGGATCTCCCCCGAAACCGGCGCGTCGACCTCGGCAATGAACGGTCCAACGTTACGTTAAGCTGCTGGTCGCAACGGTCGTCGCCACGATGCTGCTGCAAGCCGTCTACCGCAGGGCTCGACGGACGGATCAGGCCCTATCGACCAGACAGACCCTCGACAAGGTTGGCTTCAAGGTGCAAGACCTGGAGCTAAAGGTCAACGTGCTCTCCTACAAGGTGCAATACGGGACTTGGCCGTTGCCCCACCAAGTGCCCGGCGAATCGGAAGACGAGGCCAGCTGGAGGCTCCGCGACGACTGGACGAGACGCCTATTTCCAAGGTGAGCCATCGTCCTCCGACCTCCCCGGTCGATTTTATTCCAAGATCGCGTCCCTTTCCAGACCCGGCAGAGGGTCCTCCACGCCTCGGGGGAAATTGACCCGTGCCTTGCCGGAAACTAAATTCGCGTTCTCGGAGCTTCGCCTGGGATCGTATCCGGCGAGATCGAGGGCGAGCGGCGAGAAATCGTGGCGTCGCCCGCCCAAGAACGAAAATCTCGGCCTCGCTCGGGAGGCGCCGAGGTCGGGGAAAAGCGAAACTCGGGCGCAACGGCGTCGAGGACTCGCCGAAACCAGGGACGACCGAGATCCCTGCGGGAAATTCGCGAGAACCGTCGTCGAGTGCAGGAGGTTCATGGACGAGCTGAAGAGCAGCAACAGGAGTCTGGGTCTCGTCGAGAGCTCTTCGGGAATCAGCGGGAAGCGTACTCCAAGGAACGCTACCTCGGAGGTAGGCCCGTCGTCCCGTCGATATCGACTCACCGAGCAATCGGCCGATGTCGTTCCGATTCCCGTAACGTTTCAGCCGGAACGAGGGTGTCCGGGAAGCGGCCGATCGACGTCACCTCGAGCCGATCCCGTGGACGCGTCCGACGACGCCAAGAAAACGAACGGAGGATCAGAGGAACGTCAAAGAAACGGCCGCGGAACGGATTCGCGATCGTACGAGAACGACCCGAACGCCCCGAACGGCGTTAAACCCGCTACGAGTAATCGGAACGAGCTCGAGCTCGAAAGACCCAAGTCCCTGCCGTCTAGCCTCCGTATCGACTTCCGCATCGAACCGATGCCGAAGAGGATCACTCGCGACGTCCTCGCCCCGCCCCGGGTCTCCACGCGAGAAACGCTGCTGCGGGTCAAGGAGAGACTAGAAAAGTTGCATAACGTGTTGAGGACCTACGAGACCGCGGAGGATCCCTCCAGGATCGACGCCCTGCGGAGCAGCGCGAGAGCCTTGGAGGAGTTGGACGGCTCGCTCGCCGAGTCCGGGGGAGGCGATCGCCCGGACAGCGACGGGACCGACGAGAGTTCGCCGGATTCCGTTTTGCTGCTAGGGCCAAGCATCTTCGAAATTCATCGCGAGGCCACGGATCACCGGGAGAAGCCGGAAGGCTCTCCGAGGGGCTCCGAAAGCGGAGGCGAAACGTCCGGAGACCGTTCGTCCGATCGCGGCGATCGAGGCCCGACGGATTTACATGGAAGGGACCGCGAGGACGACCAAGTTCCTCAGGAGCGGATGGAGACGGAGACGGAGACGGAGGAGGCGTTCGAGGGCCGCGACTCGGACGACGAATCCACGGAGACCCTGCTGGAAGAGGCCCTGCGATTCAAGAAAGCCCTGTTGCGCCAGCTGCAAATGGAGACCGAGCTCGATCCGGACCCCGGGACGTCGAAAGCGGACGGGGAGGACTCGTCGCGGCCGAAGGTGGAGAACCATTTCCAGTCCAAGTTGCTCGACGTCATCGCCGAGGAGCAGTCCGCCAGCAGTTCCACGGAGAAGACCGGCAAAATTCGCCCGATGCCGCGGATCACAGAGAGACGGGTCGACGAGAGAAGCGGTCTTTGTCTTCCGTCGAGCAGCTCCCTCGTTGGCCTCTCTTCGGGGTCTTTAAGCGCGGTTAGAGCGGAAGAAAGGGGATTCGCCGACACGAGCAGCTCCGCGGAGGACGCTGGAAAGATCTGTGCGATTCTGGCAATGCCGAGAAGGAGGAAAGAGGTCAAGGAGATGGAAAGGACGACCGCTCGTGCCAGTAGCTCCACCGAAGTGACCGAAAATCTTTCCACCGCGCTGGAAATACCGGAGAGTAGAAGAGGGGCGAACGCGGAGAGCTTTCCCAGCCTGCCTAGCTCTTCGAGAGAGGACGGTACCTCGGTGTACGTCTCTTCGGAATATTTCGGCACGATCGATCCGAAGGAAAAAGAGACGGACGCTCGGAAGCGATCCGGAGGCGCGGAGAAGGAAGTTCCGGAATCGAATCGAACCGGGAGACGGAAAACGAGCCGGGAAAAAATCGCCGAGAAACCGAAAGGCGGGCACGAAACGGCCGAAGAAGAGGCAAGGAGGGAGGACGACGTCCCCCTGGAAGAGAATACCGAGAACGTGGAAGCCTCCACGGAGGAGGACCCCGAAGACGTGCCGGAAGACGAGGAGATGGAAGACCTGGTGCTCGGGAGTATTCGAACCATGAGAAAGTATTCGGAAGCGTATTCGAAGGTTCGGAACGAGGACATCCTGGAAACCACGAGAGCGATCCAGGACGACGAGGATCAACCCGACTTCGGCTCGGGGTCGAGCCGCGAGGAAAATCGCGGCTGCCGGGACCTTGAAGAGGGATCTTCCGTCGAATCTTCGAGATGTCCCCGATCAGAAAAGAAAGACGCCGAAGACTCGGAAACCTCGAAAGGAATGTCGAACCTGACTTTGAGAAGGAGACCGGGTCGGTTTTCCCTGGCGGACGCGAAGATCGCCTCGGAGTTAAAGGACAAGGACGATTTTCTCGTCGAGCACTCGAATACTCCCGAAAACGTGGGTTCCATTGACGATACCTCGAGCAGAAGAGTCGCCCCCGGAGAGGAGGAGGCCGGGGAGAAATCGACCGGGGGGCCGAGCCGCGACCCCGAAGAAGCGAATTCAACGCGCGAGGTCGAAAGAGTTGCCGTTACGGATTCTGGCGACGTTTCTTCGGTATCTTATTCGACGCCCACGGACGCGAAAGAGACGAGCGACGTCTACTGGAACGTGGATAAGAGAGAGGAAATCTTGAGCGAAGGACCCGGCGAAAAAGACGAAGCGGCCAGCCCCGTGACGGCACGCACCGCCATTCGTGTCAACGACGATCTCGATTTCCGCCCCGAAAGTCGCAACTTGGAGAACGGAGGAACCGATTACGAGGACGAGGTCGCGGAGGATTCCACGTGTTCGGGCGACACGTACTCCTGCAAGGTAGAGGACGAAGACCTCGGAGAAGCCTCGGCGGGAAGGGAGAACGTCGACGCGGACGCCTCTCGCGTGGCAAACGATTCTAAATCCAGATCCTCGGATGATTTCTTGGATCGGGCAGGGTGCAAGATCAGCGAGGAGAATCCTTCCTCGGGGTCGCGATCCAACGTGCCGTCCCAACCCAGCAGCTTGTACTTTACCGACGAAGCGTCGTGCACGGAGATCGAGTCGGAGGCTGCCCGTCGGTTCGGACCGGAAAGGGAAGCTCTTCGAGACCCAGGGAACGAGTCAAGGGACGCGGCGAGCTGCGGGGAAGAGTCCTCCGACGCGACGACCTTGAAGGCACCGGGGGAAAGCGCGAGCGACGGCGAAGACCATCCACCGGTCTCCGTCCACGTGGATGACGGTGCAGGAGAAATGGAAGCGACGGATACCGGGCTCGCCGACGACATTCCCGAAGGGAGGCGATCTCCGGCCAGCTCGTACACCATCCTTAGGAACCACTCGGGCGTCGCCGATGCTTCGGCCCAAGAATCGGCCTCGAAGGAAGAGGACGCGCGTCGCTCGATCCAGGGAGTCGACAAAACCGACGGAGAACTTATCGGCTATAACACCTATAAATCGACGGAAAAAGATTCCGCGACGCCGACGAAGGGAGAGATGCTCGAGTCCCTGGAGAACACCTGGCCGAGCAGCAACGCGTCGTCCTGTTACGAAGTCGCCAGCAGTCGAGCTTCGACAACGTCCAACAGCCCCGGTCTGTCCTTCGACAAGAGCATCCTTAACCCGCCGACGAGTAAGCTCGAAATTTCGGCACTGGCAAAGTCCACGAGAAATTGGAGTACATCGGTGTCGATAACTCGTTCCGCTTGGAACTCGAAAGGAGACCTCGGCAGCCGTGGGTCCGCGACCTCGAAGAACGGGGACGCTCGTAGACCGAAATCGGAACGTCTCGGAAATCCATCCGCTCTAGGAAAATGCTCATCCAGCTCAAAACCAACGTCGGCGAGGCAAATCTCTTCGACGACGAACGGCAAACGAGAGAAATCCTCGGACAGCCCAAGAACGACGCTCGAGAAGGGGCCTTCCTCGAAAGGAGGTCCCGGTCCGGATCGTCGAACGTGGCCCGGGAGTAACTCGAATCCAAAGAGTGCCGACGAAGGTGGAACGTCCGAACGTCGGACCGGCGTATTACCGAGAAGGTCCAGGTCGTACGTGACGCCTCGTCCCAACGACAAATCCGGCGATACGTCTCCTCGCTTGTGTGGAATTTCTCGGAGAGATGAAAGATCGCGATCAGGGTGCGAATGGGATAGGGAAATCTCTCGGATTTCCGTCGAACGATCCTCCAACGGGCTGGAAATCGAGACTCATCGAACGCGGACGCCTTCGAGGTCCTGCATACCCGTTTTGCGGAACAGAGCGACGGCGGGAAGTAGAAACTCGCAAGAAACTCGCGGGAGAAGTCCCAGGAGGGGGCCTCTAACGATAACCGCGTCCACTGCCCGGGAGGACGAGGCCCTAAGAGAAAGCGGAGACCTCGGAAAAATCGACGCGCGAGCAGAAGGTACCGGGGAAACCAAGGACGGCGACGTTGATTTCGGAGCCGGGACGAGCGCCGAGTCGGGGAACGCTCGCGAGGGAAAGGACGAGACGAGGAAGGGCTTCGGGACCACGAACGAGGACGGATCCGCGCTGGAAGACGTCCACGCGAAAGTCTTGGGAAACGAGCGCTCTGCCGATGGGTCCAGAGACGCCTCCACCGTTATCTACGTGAACATCGTCACCGATAGGGAGCAAACCGTGACCAGGGTCGTGGACCCAAAGAGGTTTCTCGAGTGCATGAGAGACAGGGAGCTGATGATCCAGGTGGTGGACGATGGTCATGGCACTTTTTCGGGATCTTACCGCGGAAACTCTTCCGCGGATCCCTCGGACCACGGAACTGGAAAGACACCGAACATACTGGCCGTGGTCTCGTCTACCGTCGATAGAAGAGACGACTCTCCCGATCGCGAGAGGAGCGGAGCCTCCAACCCCCGGGGTTCGACCTCCAACAAGCTACTCTCCGGAGCGACGCTGAAGGGCTCTTGGTCCCTCCGAGTAGAACCGGGAGTAAACGTCCCCGGCAAGAGCTCGGCCATCGACGTCAGCACCTCGATTTCCGATCTACCCGAAGATCCCGGAGAAGGAAGCCTCAGAATCGTCGAACTGCCCGGGGAACTCGCCAAGAAGGAGCACGCCGAGTTGCCGAAGACGCTCGACGGAGACCCCGGCCTGGCGCAGCTCCAGAGAATGCGCAAATCGTGCCACGAGCTCGGCCTGGGCCTTCGGGAATAGGGATCCGTGTCCGTCCACGGGCTTCGAGGAGCTCGCCGGCTCCGGTTGTCGGGCCCGTCAGAACTTTGACTTCGAGGGTATCGTCCCACGGTAATCGTTTTCGACCCTTACAGTTTTGCTACGATATCCTTTTATTTTCGAGTCACATACCTCGTAATTACCGTATATTGTATTGTACGTTGTATATAAATATATTTTTTTGAGTAGCTTGATAACGTCTCCGGGGTCAAGCCGGACAAGACCCCGACAAGACTCGAGCCGTTCCGTCTGCTCTCTTTCAAACCGATAAATGCCCGCCGCGTGCCGAGCGAACGCAGAGAAATCAATTGAATCACTGACCTGCATTTGCACGCTTTGGCAATTTACGAACTCGATGCTGGAGACCAGCGAATCGAAGACAACGGACGACTTGCGACAGGAATCCATTACCACGGAGTTGACTTTGCCCTTTATAACGAGGGTGCTGTCCTGGCATCGGTACACGTAGACGACGTTATTCATCTCCGCGTTTTCCACGAGCAGATCCCTGTTGCCCTTTTGATACTCCTACCGGAAAGATCCAAAGCGCTTTAGTTCGTTCGATGGAACGTCAAAGGACAACGAGAGGAAGACACTTACCACCAACCATTTTTTACCATCTCGAGTAAACACGGGGGGTTTGTCGATGGGCGCGTTAGCGGGCGGGACGGTCTTCCCGGGTAGACCCGTCCCCACCTCGTTGACCACCGTAGCCTTGAAGGGGGCCGGTCCGGTCCTCAGGGAAGGGTTTTTATGCGTCTGCATCTCGGAAGTGACCTTCTTCAGACCTGAAAAGACACGATTCCTCGAGACCCGTAACTCGGAACCGACCCGGTGCGGCAAGGATCGTCGCGCTTACTTCTCGTGATTCCCTCCCCTTGATTGATCTGCGCGAAGAGGGCGCTCCTGTCGTCGCCGATGGCGAGGCTCGCGACGTCGCCCATCGGCATGGAGGGCGGGGGCGGCGGCGGGACTCCCATTGGTGGGGCCGGGGGGACCGTTCCGCCCTTGGCCCACACCAGGCCCGTGGTGTGGTGCTGACGGACGAACTGTTGGAGATCGGTCAGGGTCTGCACCCAGGCTCTGCACCACTCGACGTGAGTCTTGTCCCTGCGTTCGGACGGAGGTCAGTGCCGGGTAGGAGTTGGTCGGAGTCGAGACTTACTTCTCCTTCCAGTCCTTGAGGACGCGGTTGGTGTAGAACTGCCCCGCGTCGTTCATCTCCTTGACGTAGGGAGCCGGGGCGGGCGAGACCGCGACCCATCCCAGAGCAGGGATGCTCTCGCTGACGGCCGAGAGGTGGTTGAAGAACGCCGAGCCACGATGCTTCTCGCGGAACTCCTGGATCCGCTGGATCTGGGTCGAGGTCGGCGCCAGCAGGGAGACGTGCTCCGACTGGCTGGACGGGGCCGGCCGGCTGGACGCCGTCTGGAGGAACTGCAGCTGGATCCTGCAAGGACGGGAGAGCGAGTCGTCGGATCGGCGGCAAAAGCGTCGACGGCGGTACTCACCGGAAGGCCTCCTCGACCAGGTCACCGTGGGCGGCGACATCGCCGCCGATCTTCCGGCTGAGCTCGAGGTACCGCTGTACCGGCCCGGCGACGACGTCCCGGTATCCCGCGACGGACATGCCGACCGCTTCGCCGACCGCCCGGGGCGGCGAGGGGGGGGACCTCGCCTGAACCGCCGCCTCCTGGGTCTCGGGGGGCACCTTCTCCAGGCGCCTCGTCACCTTCTCCAGGCGGATCACCAGGTCCTCGAGGTGTCCCTCTCGATCCTCGGTCTCGCAGCCTTCGACGGAAAGCACAAATCGGTCGGCGATCGTTGGAATCCGATGGACGACGGAAAGAGGAAGCGCCTCGGGATCGGGATCGGGATCGGGATCGGCCGGATGGATATCCGGATTCACCTCGGGAACGTTAAATATAGCCGACGGGCGCGAATAGTCGCGTCAACGTCCACAGCCGCTAGGTCGGCCACTGGGTCGGTCGTGTCGTAAGCGGGCCTTAACGGAGATATAACCGCGTTATTAATAATCGGACCTCGAGAATCGAGATTCGGGGGAACGGGGCACCTTACTCGGGAGAGACGCTCCGAGGACGTCGAGACGGTCGAGGGCCGTCGGAGACGGCGCTCGTCAGTCGCAACGGCGCGAATCACCCGAGGAACGGAAAGACGCTTGAGAGAGAGCGCGGACCGGGTGACGCGCGACGCCCGAATCCGGAGTCTACTGGCCTATTATTAGTGGATCCGCGGAAACCGAGGCCCGCGTGGGCGCGGATTCCGGTCGCCCCGTCGCCGAGGAGAAACGCGTCGACCGCTCGATCGAATCGGGCTGGAGGAGGGAACGGAGGGGAGAGGGCGAGACGCGCATGCAATCGACGGAGAGAGTCGGTAACGAAAGATGGAGAAGAGCCCTAACCGGCGTGAACCGTCGGTCCTAGGGGGTCGAACCTCACTCTGTGCGTCGAGGAGTCGCGGGCCGCCTCCAGGAGGTCCGAGAAGAACCTGTGGCGTCTCAGGGCGAGCTCGTCGCGCGCGACGGGCGTCGCGGGAGGCTCCTGCATCCCGGCGCAGTCCTCCTCCTCCTCCTCCTGCTCCTCCCGCTGCGACGGCCGCCTTTCGACCGGGTCCGCATCTGCCGTGAAAGGGCCGCGACGGCGCGCCGATTATTATCACCGCGTTGTGGTCGGTCTCGACCTTGCGGTACCTGGGAGCGTCCTCCTATCGTCGCCGTCGACGGACGCGGCGCAGGCCTCGAAGACCGAGTCGTCGCCCTCGTCTTCGGGCCCGTCCTCCACGGTCCTCTCGATGTACGCCGGAGCGCAGTAGAGGGTGTTCCTCGGAGGGCCGGCCTCCCTCGCGACCTCCCCGTTCATCGCCGTCCACGAGATCGCCCCCGGGTTCTCTTTCGCGCCTCCCGGGTCGCTCTCGACGGGCGTTCCCCCTCCCGACTCGGACTCGATCGCCGCCGACCCCTCGTCCGGCGTCGGCCGGCCCTTCTTGCCGTTCTTGCCGTTCTTGCACCCGCAGCACCCGAACATCTCTCCCGCTCTCTCCTGCGGACACCGTCCCGCTCGTTAGAGGCGACCGGCCCAACCCTGCCGGCGGGAGCGAGAGCGGCGGCGTCGCGGCGCCGCGGCGCCCGCCCGCCCGCCCGATCGACCGTATCGCGATTGCGGCGCGCAATCTTATCTCGGGGGACGTCGACGGTCGCGGATCGTCGCCGAGGGCTCGCCAAGGTGCGTTTCATTTTTTTTTTTTCTTCTTTTACATATATATCCGAGTAGGACAGGAATTTTTTCCCATTTTCGTGGGATTACGAGCACCGTCGCCGAGGAGCGACCTCGATCGAGGATCGGCCGGCACGCGTGCGCGGTACCGTTACCGCGAACTACCGCTGCACGGTTATGCCGGTGTCCGAGAAAAAAAGCCAATCGGCCGGTTTGCCGGATCCGGCTCTCCGGCATCCTCCGGGACGAATCAACCGCGGGGAAAGGAGCATCGCGAGCTTCGGTCGAGAATTTCAGATGGCGGAAACTTGGCCGAACGTGCGCGTCCAGCCGCAATTGGCGCGAAGGGCCAAGTCGGAGGGAAGGAAGGACAGAGAGAGGGACAGAGAGAAAAGGGCCGATCCGTTCGGGCGCTCGAGTTAACGTTAGAAATGCGCGGAAAGACATCGACGACCGGTCGTACTCACGACTTTTCCAAAGGTTCAACAAGTCTTCGTAGGCGTCCGGAAACGTTCCGGAATCGCAACGTCGCGGTTCCGCGTGCGGCATGACGAATCTCCGTCCCGGAAGGACTGCGGACCCGGCGATATCCAATGAACGGTGACTGACTCGATCGATTCGCGCGATCTCCTTTTTAAACTCCTGCGCGATCCCACTTTTACTCCGTTGGGTAGGAGAGTCGAGACAGGGGGACGCGTCATTAACGGTATTCCTCGTGTATTCCTCCGTCTTACGTAAGGCTTTAAATCCTTGGCCGAAGATTCCTTCCCGGCACCCGACGCGAATCGCTCCTCCGCCCGAAAAATGATTCGCGAGCGTAGGGAAGAGTCGATATCGGTTCCCGGGGTGGCGTGAAACGGCCCCTGCGCGCGTGCTGGAAAAAACGTCGCTCGCGCCGGGGAAGCCGGACCATTTTTTTTTTTTCCTTCGGAAGCATCGAAATCGGACCAAAGAGGAGCGAATCGAGCGCCCTCCGTCGCGACCTCGTCGAATCGGTCCGACGGGCGCAGGCAGGCGTCGGCCTGGCCAGCTGTCAGAACCATGACTCAGAGATAACTCCCGAGCGAATCCCGCAATGGAAGCCCAACTCGATTCGGGACGGCGCGGAAACGTTGCCTGGCCCATTTTAAAGATAGGAAGATGGAATCAAATGACGGGGGTGGCAAACGATCAAAAGCCGAGAAACACGAAATGCCCGACTCGTGCCATGTTTTTGGAACGGCTCGTACCTAACCTAGCGGCTGTGACTCTTCTTCGGCCGGATTTCGAGAGGCCCGTCGAGCTACTTACTGTACGTGGATGCAGCCCCTCCGTAGAGCGGCCCAGGAACATTCGCGGAGCGACCCTCGGAGTGACGGGAAGCACGGGTGTGCGCGACAAATTGATTCAAAAAGCGACGAAAACGACTCTTCTCCCCAGGGCTGGTGCGCACTCTTGGGCGTCTGCCGGACGCCGGAAAACCCGGAAAACCGCGGAGGGAAGACGAGAGTTGCCACGGCTGGGAGACTACCGGCGATGCGAGCGCCACGTCGCGGATGTCATGGTACCTGGTGTGTCGATTCGCATGGGGAGGGTGGGAGAAGGACCAAACGGAACGAAGGACATCGGGTAAAGCGCCATCTTTCGTTCGAACAGATTACTTTGAGTGTCGTTTCAAAAATGCGACAAAGGATAGATCGCTTTTTGCCAGAGATAAGTTGAGAGACAGAGATATCTACCAGGAGTCGTTGGCGGTTCACGTACTCGTGATGGTAGTGCCATACGAGTGTTGATGGTGGTGGCTTACCTACGCTTACCGACACTGCTCGCATTTGATGGTAAGGGACGAACACTCGTGGCGCCCTCTACGACTTTAACCTTAACTTATCTCATTTATTTTACGGGAAGGTGAAATTTTAATATCCGAAATTGGAATATACAAAGGTGTTATAAGGAACTGCGCATGCGCATGCCGGGGTCGGGGACCCTATATAAGGCCGAGCGCGCGCTCGGAGCATCAGTACCCTTTGGTCTTCCGAAGGGTAAACATCGGGTTACCTGCTTGTACCGTAACTGGTTTAACCCCAGTTTTAACCTACGGTTAAATCTAACGGTTAACCCCAGTTTTAACCTATGGTTAAACCTAACGGTTAACCCCAGTTTTAACCTTCGGTTAAACCTAACAGTTAACCCGAGTTTTAACCTGCGGTTAAACCTAACGGTTAACCCCAATTTTAACCTACGGTTTAACCTAACGGTTAAAACTCAAACTTCGGTTAACTTGGGTTGTGAAACCGGACCTTATGGGAGACATCCCCCCTCCCTTCTGTTCCCTTTCTTAATATATTTAACTTAATTTATTACGTTTGTAAAGGGCTTCGGTGCGCAGCAACCTCCACGTGGTGAGCCTGGGGGACCGGTGGTTTCCAACTATCGTTGAAAACCCCCGGTCCGCAAATAGCTGCGCGAGTGATTCCACTAAACGTGTTTTTTTTTTTTGTATGACAGTAGCTTAACGTAGTTAAAAGTGGAAGCACTCATTGCGTGCGTGCGTAATTGTAAATTGCGGACAGGAAGTTGTCGGGTACGTTTCCATGCAGCTAGTAATTCCGGATTTGCATACTAACCGAAGTAGATTTTTGCAGGTACGGCATTGCCGTACCTTTAGTGTATCCGGCAGCTTCCGTCGGCACCTAGTACGTCGTAGCTAAGCTACGGCGTGCAAGGCTACCTGGCTCAGGTTGTCGGTTGCGCGATACGTTGTTTCGCTCTGGCGGCATCCCGCGGGGGCTCTGCCTGCTGTAAGCCGGGACAAGCCCGTCGACTGAAACTCGTATTCGCGGGCCGACAGCCGAGCCGGGTTAGTCGTCGGTGACGGTGGAAGCTGCTGGATTGTTCGCGTTAGAAGTAGTATGCCCTTCCGGCAAATTATATCCGTAATTCAATGCTAACTGGCAAGGTACTCGGCGACTTACCCTGTACTCTGCGGCGAGCGTTGTATGGACGGATGAGTATGGTATGCGAGTGGTGTGTTGTATGGACGGATGCGTATGCTATGCGAGTGGTGTGCTGTATGGGTTATGAAATCCTGGTTCTGCGAGTTCCTGGGACGCCAGGAACTCAACGGAACCAGGTGCCTATGCTTAGGCGGGTCCCAATCACAGCGGCCTCCTCGTGGCGGGACCTGGGGGATCGGTACCATCCTTATGGGATGGCACCGATCCGCGAACTAGCTGTGAAGTAGAATTTAATTAAGGCAAAATTTCACTTTCTCGTAAAATAAGTAAGGTAAGTGAAGGGTAAAGTCAAAGTGGGTGCCACGAATATTCTTCCCTTACCATCAAAATCGAGCAGTTTCGGTAAGTGTTGGCAAGCCACCACCGTCAACAGCCGCAAGGTATTACCATCACGAGTACGTGAGCCGTCACGGCTACTGGTAGATGGCACCGCCATCGTAAGTGCACGAGCCCCTACCAGAAATTCGTTGCGCCGCCCTTGGGGGCAAAAAATGGTGAAAGTTGACGTACGATACCAGAGGGCAGCACAGGATGCGATTGCACGAACCTGCCCGTGAGCAATATCCCAACTCATCTCTGTATCTACATTGTGACTTTCGGTAACGTCCAGGGTCTCGATTGGTCTCAATACACCTGTCATAAGTGGTAACGTTAGATCTTTGCCGTTAATGTAAACTATTCATATTTATTCAGTAAGTAGTCCCCTTTAATTGCGGTTGTCGTGATTCTATGTATTAGTTACAGCATCAAAACTTTGTATATTTAACGATCGATTGTTTGTGGAAGAACTGCAAAAACCGCATGAAATATTTTTTTATTTGTGTAAAGGAGGGATTTTGACAAAGTAGAAAGGAAATATATTTCTTGAGTAATTGGAGAATCGAAAAGACAGAAATGACGTCCAAGCTGTTATTCTTTGAACCAATGGGAATTCTGAATACCATACCTCAGTATCACGCCCTACTTGGTGTCTTTCTGATTCTTTGGATGCTAGTTTTAATAACGAAGCGCTGGAATGCTAGAGAATGCGTATCGTTTACCGAAGATGAAGTTCGACGAAAGTTAGCCGAATGGGAACCCGAACCGTTGATATCGGAGGTTCCCAAGGACCATCCTTCTCTGCATCCAAGACTCGTTACATCACGTGTTGGCAAAAAAATAACGGTTAATAACAGTGATTGTCTAAATTTAGGAACCCATAATTATTTGGATTTTATTGATAACAAAGAAATAGAGAAACGGGCCATCGAAACCATTGAGAAGTATGGTGTTGGCTCTTGTGGCCCCCGTGGCTTTTATGGGACTGTCGACGTTCATCTTGAACTGGAAGAACGTCTAGCCAAGTTCATGGAAGCCGAAGAAGCGGTACTTTATTCTTATGGATTTAGTACGATTGCATCTGCAATACCAGCATATTGTAAACGTCGGGATCTTGTGTTCGTGGATGAAAAAGTGAATTTTGCAGTTCAAAAAGGGTTGGATGCATCTAGATCCGTCATTCAATATTTCAAACACAACGACGTGCGACATTTAGAAAGTTTGTTACAAAATCAAGTCAAGAAAGATGAAAAGAACCCAAAAGCAGGAAAAATTAGAAGGTTTTTAATTGTCGAAGGAATCTACATGAACACGGGAACGATCTGCCCTTTACCAGAACTCGTTGCTTTATGCAGGAAGTATAAACTACGAATCTTTGTCGACGAATCTATTTCGTTTGGTACACTCGGTAAACATGGACGAGGAGTTACCGAGTTTTACGGAGTGCCTAGGCAGGAGATCGATTTGATCATGGGTATATATATATATATATATTTTATTTTTGCAAAGTGGTCGCGAAATTGGCAAATTATCTAAATTGATTTCATGAATTGTTTAATTAATTTCAGGGTCATTGGACTGGGCAATGGGTTCGATCGGAGGGTTTTGCGTTGGCTCTTCATTTATTATCGATCACCAAAGGCTGGCAGGTCTTGGCTACTGTTTCTCCGCATCTCTACCTCCTCTTTTGACGGCTGCTGCCATTACCTCGTTAGATACACTAGAGAAGAAGCCAGAAATCCTAGAACGTCTGGAACGTAACTGTCTAGCCTTACACGCTGGATTGAAGAGGATTAAATATTTTGATGTACCCAGCTTGGCACAGTCCCCACTAAAGCATTTGTATTTGATCGCTCAGCTGGAACATGACGAAGAGCAGCTATTACTCGAGCAAGTATCCAGAAAATGCATAGAGAATAATTTAGCAATTATTACCCCTGCTTACTTGGCAGTGGAGAGGGAACTGCCGAGATCGAGTATAAGAATCTGCGTGTCCGTTGCACTGGACGACAATGACATTTCATTCGCTCTAAATACATTAGAACGATGTGCAATCGAAGTTCTGTCCGATAAGATTCATCTAAGATAATATCTAATCTAAGGTGAGACTGTGTTTAAGATCGATACTCTATGACACAAAGCTAAGATTCCTCCAATTCCTTGAAATTTACCATCAAAATGAGAAGATGCTTTCGTTTTATTTTAATTTTATAATTTAAGCGAATGATTTTCTTAATTACATAAGTGTAAATATACCGGTAGACTACTTGCAGGATGAAATGAGTATGCTTTATTAGCCACGACCAACAAAAACGACCATTAGCAAGTCAATGACGAAAGTGACAATTTTCAGTCATATTTTTAAAAACCGCAATGTGATTCTACATTTTCTTGTAAATTTACAAGACCGTTTCCAAGCTATTTTCTCCTGGATTGGACTTAGGCTAATAAACGAAGTTCACAATGGCGGACGGATACAACAAAGGTAAGTTAACTACGGCAGCCCGCTGCTTATGTATTCTCTGTCGGCTTTGCGTCATCGCCGTATCGCGAAAACGGTGCGTGGAAACCGGTTAAACGAATAATGCCTACCAGAAGAAAAAAAGACGATAACGATTGGCACCCATTTTCTAAAGAAAAGTAATTTTTGACATGAAACGGTAAATCGATCGTTGGCGTAATTGGCGTAATCGTAAACGATTCCAAGGCAGCAAACCCTAGAGATGCATGCTTCCCTTCCACCGGTCTAGGAGAAATATTGAGACAGGTTAAGTTGGCGCTTCCAATACTCGAGAAGAAGACAGACATAATTATAGTATATCTACTTCCGAAATTTATTTTAGATTTCATGATTTTCACCTATTCTCATTCATTAGCGGTTCTAGTTTATTTTGTTGATCGATCAAAATTGTTGTTCGTGCGTCTTCAATTTATTTTATATTTTTTTTGTTTTCCAGTAATTCACGTCATGAATAAAACGGCGAACCGCAGGAAGCAATTGGTAGGGGATACGATAAGGAAGGACGATGGGTGATCTGGGACACGACGAGAGTCACTGGCCTCGAGTTGACATTGACCCGATTCCATGACGATTCGTTCTCGACCGCTCCTCTAAAATACTTATTTTTCATTCTTTCTTTAATACTCTTTCAAATTTCCCGCTATATATATCGTTAAACAAACCGTACTTATTCGTAAACAATACGTAAGCATTGAAGGTAAATGAGATTTAATTCATTATGCGTATCCCAAGAAAAAAGAAACTTTTCGCGTTCATATTATCATTTAAACGATAAGAAACGCATCTTCTCGATGTTCGTTCCTCTTAAACAAAACAAAGGATGAGCATGACCAGGATTTACTTGGAAATCTCCAGATCGGGCAGATGAGCTCAAGTGGGCGAACGGGAACTCGAGCTGACGAGATAATGGGCCGAGGTGCTTACGATCATTCAATCGGAACTTTCTTGCTCCTTCGCTCGCTCGTGACGCACGTCTGACGTCAATCGAATCGGCCGGGTCCGACCTCGTCGGCCGAGTTCGTTCGGTTGTGGCTCCAAGCGGACTGCGAGGCGCCGCCGACCCCGTTCGCTCCTCGTTTTCCCTACTTTTACGTCAATCTGACCACTGGCTCGACCGTTGCCTCTCCATGCCTGCGCAATCTCACCGCGCGAGGACGCACTTCCCGTTAACGTCCGACTTCTTTCCGAAAGGCCGCGTCGAACTACGGAAAGACTTGGTCGGAGTCATCAAAGATATTTTTCGAACCAATGAACGGAATGAGGCCGGTTCTTTAGAGGACCCGTCTCCGTTGCGAGTGCTTCGAAGTTTCTGGCCGAAAACAGGATTCGTCGCGAAGGATAGGGAATTCGGGCTCCCGAGAAAATCTACGAAATATATCTCGGAACCTGAGCGCATACCGGACAGATAATAGCGTCCTTTTTGCGACGATTCGACAGGTTAGTTCTGGTTAGTTGCCAGAAATACCCTCGGAGGGCATCGTCGTCTCCAAGATGGCTGCCACCATTAGCGAGCTGGACGCCAGATGCGCGAGCATCGCCCCGGTCGCACTGGCTGCACTTGTTCTCGCGCGAGATGTGTCGGGTGTTCGAGAGTCGGCAGGGGAGGACGCTATCTCGGACGTTTAAGAGGGACACTCAAGAATCGAGATCATGCGGCTTGGAAGTTTTATTCGAGGGTTGTGTTTCCTCTCCGTCCGGTTGGTTCGATTTCAATAGGAACACCGAGGAAGAAGAGCCCTAATTTACCTTGATGAGGTTAGGAACGCCGAAGAACACAAATCCCACCTTGAGATTTGAAAGACTGAAAAATCGTGGGCGATTCTCGGAAAAGGAACCAAACATAAGATTTTGAAATCTGGTACGCCCTCGGAAAATTCCCTAGCAAATGTAAAAAAAAATTGGTTCGTTTGGAGATAAGTATTTTAGTAGCAAAGTTGAAGCACATCCTGTCGAGGACCTTCCTAGATTCCGTAGGCACATTCCTTAGTATACTTTGAGCCTCTTATCAAAGTGACATTCAGAGGTGTTCAAGGAAAGCGTAGAGTTAATAGGGACGACGGACAGTCTTTGGAAGATAACGAACGATATAACGCGATCACGATGCCGATGACACGATCGTTTAGCAAAAGCCCGCAGAGCGACGAGGGCATCGAGACCGATCAGGATCGACACATGGGATCCGTAGGACGATACTGGAGTTTAGACTCGGCCCTAGTTAGTGACGACGACGCTTTGCAAAGCACACGGCAAGGAAAGAGGCACAAGATGCGAGTTGCCAGGTGTTGCAGCTACGACAGTGCAGTTCTTAGCGATGACGATCAAAGTAAAGGCATGTATCAAGGATCAAAATATTCGTATCGTCTTTTTTTTTTTCATGTTTTATTGTAAGAACAAAACAAACTGTTCAAATTGTATGGCAACAAATAAGACATTTGAGTGGGGAAATACTTGTCGTTACTTCTTATGCACGTGTTGACTTTTTTAAAATACTCTAATGGGCTAAAATATTTATTTTTTAAGGCTGGGAAAACTCTAATTTCGGTGATGCCATAGAGTGTGAATTAAACGAGGGAAAACCAAGATATTGGAGAACTCCGAGCGTCGTTGTCAGTGACTATTCGGATTATTCCTATTTGGATGAGAAGTACGAGAGGGGAGATTTAGATCCTGAAAAATACGATGGACACGGCGGCACTCCGAGTCAAGCCAGCAGTTGCTCCTGCCTGGACTGCGACGAAATTCAAGAGTTTCAGGATATGACTTTATCCGACGGTCACCTGCCACAAGTGTGCAACCACCGGCGTCATTCGGACTCCTGTTGTCTTTGTCTGGGATCTTCCAGTGGAAACACTCGAAGGTGAAATTTCTGCTCTCCTACGAATTTTGTACAAAATATCATTTTTACATTAACTTCTATAAAAAAATAAAACAACCCTGACCTTAATTCACTAATCATTGATACGTTTCCACAGAGAAATTCTTGACAGAAGAAACTCCTGCTTGGCAATGCCGACGTCTTACGACAGCAAGTTTGATAATCGGCCAACCAGGCTCAGGCCGGAGGAGCTAGGAGAACCTCAAGACAAAACGACGATAGAATTTCTGGACATTCCTCCTGCTCGAAAGATATCGGACTGCTCGACTTGCTCCAGTCTCAGCGGAGATGACTTCGAAGTCACCGAGCTTCGGCCAGTGAAACCATCTCAAGTGAGTAATTTCATCGTAAGCGTGTACTTTTTTTCGGAATATAATCTTTGGCATACGTTCACACGCCGGTGCAATTAAGTGGCCAAGATGACTCGAGCGTCATTTAAACGGAAAACGTTGCTCCTGTCGACGCTCCTAAAACATCTCGACCGAGCATGCCGCGAAACCTCGCTCGACTTCCCGCTTCGCCTCGAGTCCGCTCGGTTTCCCCGTAAATTCTCGCTTACGTAACCGTTCCTCTTTCTTAAACATTGAATAACATCGCGCATGACTGCCGGTTCCATTTGTTCGTCGCAAACACGACAGAAGATCGAACGGCGTGTGGGCAACGCATCGCGTGTCCGCTCGCGAACGATTCATTGAGAAAGACCCGAAGACAATCGTATCCCCTCCTTTTTCCCGGCTGTTCGACGTTTCCAACTCCGCAGAGGAACGAAAAATTGCACGAAACCGGGAGAATCCGCAACGTCGATAATCTCGAGACGATCCAACCGGGTGGCTTATCGGGCCGATTCATCGAGTATCGAAAGCGGGCCGAGATTTCCGAGTTGGTTCGTTCGAGACATTCGGTACCTTAACGGACGAATCGGTCGTACTTTCTCCCGGGTGATCGGCTCGCGGCTTACGGAGCCGAAGGTCGAAGCGATCTCGATCGCTCGCTCGAGCGTCTCTTGAAAATCCGAAGAAGTCGATCGGGAGCGAAAAAGAAGCCCACCGAGCCCAGGGAGATACTCTTTTCCAGGGGAAATCTGGGCGGGGCTGAACGAGGTGAACGAAAATACTCCCGGCGGAGCGCGCCCGAAGGAGAACGCCCCTCGAAGCGACTCGGCCCTCCAGAAATGTCCCTACATGGAGCGACGGTGTCTCGAAAACGTCCGCGGCTCGATTTCGTATTCCTTCTTCTCTCTTTTCAAAGAAACGTCTCCTGGTTACCGCGAACGGCGGCGGTACGACGAGGCGCAACTTTTGCGGTTTCTCGTCGCGGTCGCACGGCTGCCGTCCGTCCGGCCAGTCGGCAAGGGAGAGAGAGAAGCGGTCGGCCGCTTGCGCGCGGTGCTCTCCCAGTCGCTCGTGGACGTTCGCGCCGCGAGCCCGCTCCTCTCTTCGCGATCCTGGCAACTTTTCAAGATACCCCCCGGATACTCTCCGATGGCGACAATCGTGGTGTCCCTCGATTTAAGCGTTATCGCTCGACGAGGACCCTGAACGTTATCGCGTTATCGCGCTCATCCGCCGTAATTCGCAGATCTCTCTCTTGCCTCGATATCTTGGAAATTCTTCGAGAGTCGAGGAGGCACTCGAGAAGGTGGGTCCACGCCGAAGAGCGGATCGGGACGAGAAGAGCACGTAGGACGTCGATAAGGAGCAAGGATGACGCGACGATCGCGATGCCACGGGATCGACCGAGTCCCGCGTTCGATCGGTCTCCGGAGCATTTGAAAGGGACGAGAGGTTTCGTCCGGAGCTTCGTTCTCCGGTGATCGACGAGAAAATGCGGACGATTCGGCGATGCGACCTGTCCGCCTCGTAAGAAGCGGAGTCTCGGGCGGTGGATTCCTCCGTCCGTTCTCGCGGTCGACCTCTCCGGTGATCATGCAGAACGAAAAGAAAAGGTGTCCGCTCCTGGCCGGCGAGGCCGAGTCGGGTCGCCGTCCCCCGGGTGCCGCCGGCTCGCCGAGCTTGAACCTGATGGAACAGCTTCTGCTGGCGAAGATCGAGCGCCAGGGCGCGGAGGGAGACGCGGACGCCCCTTCGGCCGGGAAGGCCCTCTTGTTCAGAACCGACTCGATGGACAGTCAGAACAGCGCCAGTACCTACAACTCCTTCTCCAGCGACTCGGCCCCGTCCGGGTACTGCAAGTGCGACGACTGTCTGCTCGGCATCGTCGACGAGCACCTACAGAGGCCGACGAATCCTTACAGAAATAAGGTACCGCCCCGAGGACGGTTCACGGGGTGCGCGCCTCGTTTTGAGATGTCGTAACGACGCTCCTCGTGCGTCAGCGGAATCCTAACCATCCTTAAACCGGCGTCTTTGCCGGTCTTTGCCGCGGTGGCCGAGTGACCTCGAATCGGAAGCGACGTCACTCGGTTCCCGCCTCGCGAAGGAGAGAGGTCGGCCCACTCGAGACTCGAACTCGGTAATCGTCCCGACTCGACTTTACCGACCGCGAGGAGGATTGGAAACGATCGTCGAAATAAATTCGAGCGGTCGGTCGATGCGTCTTCAACCCGGGGACGCGCCGAGAATTTGGCTCGCGAGAAAGCGAAAGTCCCTTCTTTGCCCGTAATCACGAGTTCCTCTCCCTTTCCCCTGTTGCAGACATCGGGATGGAGGAAACTCAGGAATATCGTCCACTGGACCCCCTTCTTCCAGACTTACAAGAAGCAGCGGTATCCCTGGGTGAGCTTACCGAAGGTCCCCGGTCCCGGCGTCGAGTCGGCGTCGTAACGACTCGTGATCTCGATCGCAGGTGCAGCTGGCCGGACACCAGGGCAACTTCCGAGCTGGCCCGACTCCGGGGACGATCCTGAAGAAACTCTGCCCCCAGGAGGAGTCCTGCTTTCGGTTGCTGATGCACGACGTCCTCAGGCCGTACGTGCCGGAATTCAAAGGAGTCCTGGACGTCCGGGAACCCGAAGAGGTCCCTGGGAACCGCAATTCCGACGGGAACTCCGGGAAAGAGCTCGACCTCGCGTCCGACGACAAGAGGATCGTCGTTTCCTCCTACCTGCAGCTCCAGGACCTCCTCGGGGACTTTGAGCGACCCTGCGTGATGGACTGTAAGGTCGGAGTCCGCACCTACCTCGAGTCCGAGCTCGCGAAAGCGAAGGAGAGGCCCAAGGTATCTTTCCCCGTCTTTTGCTCCGTCTCGCGCGATCGTTTTCCCCGCGTCGACTCGAGGATTCCTTAGACGCAGCGTTCCTTTCCAGTTGCGCAAAGACATGTACGAGAAAATGATACAAGTCGACCCAACCGCCCCGAACGCGGAGGAACGTCGCCTCCAAGGTGTGACCAAGCCCCGCTATATGGTCTGGCGGGAAACCATCTCTAGCACCGCGACTATGGGCTTTCGAGTCGAAGGGGTCAAGCTGGCTCAAGGGGGCTCCTTCAAGGACTTCAAGACGACTCGCACCAGGGATCAGGTTCGTCGAGTTTCGAGGCGTTCGCCAGGAGGCGAGAAACGCTTTCTCGCGGTTCTTTAGAAAATTTCTGTAATCGAGATATCTATCTTCCAGGTGACCGAGACCCTGAAGAAGTTCGTCGAAGGCTATCCCCATGTGGTCCCGAAGTACCTTCAGCGGTTAAAGGCGATTCGAGCTACCTTGAAGGCCTCCCCGTTCTTCGCCTCGCACGAGGTCGTAGGCTCCAGTCTGCTTTTTGTTCATGACGACCGAAACGCCGGCGTCTGGATGATAGATTTCGCGAAAACGCTGCCCTTGCCCCAGCACCTGCCCAGGATCAAGCACGACGCCGAGTGGCAGGTCGGTAACCACGAGGACGGCTATCTGATCGGCGTGAACAATTTGATTGAGATTTTTCAGGACATCAGGGACTCGACTTCCTAATACGTCTTAGGGTTCTCCGTTATTTTTCTTTTTTCTCGCCAACGTCGAAAACGAGGCGACTTATCCGGCGTGAAGTCCTCGTAAAACGTTATACCGAAGATATTTCGGACGGTGCTAGATACTCCGATGACTTTCAGTGACGCGCGACGAGATTCTTCGTGAGAAAGTAGTCAATGAACGAACATAAAGGGAATCGTTTAACCGACCTACGGAACGAAGCCATTCACCGCGTGTACGCAAATCACCCCAGAATGGTACAGTTTCTGAATATTTTGAGAGGAAATTTGAATTGCACATTCCATCGACCGTCTTTCGATAAGATTAACCGAGCCGTAAAATTGTCGAACAACACGTGGTTCTCCACGACGATAATCTTGTCGCCCTTCCATGGTATACAAGGGCAACGGATCGCGATCCTGCTTCCAGGCAAAAATGTGTTCCCGAGGTGCAAAGTGCCTTCGTAGCTGCAATTATTTATAATCGAACGACGTGTTTCGTTTTCGATCATTGGCGACGTCACCGACAGAACGCAATAGTCCCGATGTCGTAATTCCCCTAGTCCATAGTTTGCGGAAAACCGTGTGTATTCATATTTATTTTAACCAGTCGTCGAGTCGGTTCATCCTAGGACAGAGGACGGCAAAGAAAAGAAGTGCCTTCCGAACTCTAACGCGTTCGATTAGAAACATCCAACGACACCGATACGTAACTCAGTGACAACGAACAACTTGCAAGTGACCGAGACGCGATCGCGAGTGGAGCCGCGAAGGCGCGTTAGTAAAATAGGATTATGTCGACGAGACGTCGACCGTTAACGACTGATTAAACGCGATCGACGATCCGCTGGGTACCAGCGAGGCTGGGACGTTAAAGATTGAGATATTCCTCGCGGTTAAGTATAATTAGAAATTAAGGACAAAGCAGTTGTCTCCGCGATAAGTAAAACGAACCAAAGACGCGGCGGTGACGCTTGCACCGCCTAGACCCTCCTGCGTAATTCCTCGCTTTACGAAATAGGCTGATAGAAAGATAGATAGAAAGAGAATCAGGCTTTTAGGTGTAAAAGATAATTTAATACCTAATCGTATGTAAAACTTTATTACTTACGTCCTCGGTTAGTAATCTCCGCTGCGAAATTGACACGAACCCCCCCCCCCCCCCTTGTATAACCCGAATTGTCTGTCACGTGCCCGTAGATAAACTCCCACGACTTTTGAAAAGACTTCGAGCCTGTCGACCCAACCTTTCTATTTTTTCTTTCGAACCGTTTATTCAGATTTTTTTTACGAGTTTTCTCTACACATGGATTCGAGATCGTCGCGACGTTCTCGACGTCGCGAAGATCATTACCTCCAGGTATTCTCACGTCGCAAGACACGAAATTATATTTTATTCATCTGTAATCGTTTTCGACGTCGCTACTACTGGGTTTAGAAAACGATTTCCAATGTATCGAAGCCATGAAATGCATGAAAAATGAAAATATCCTCGCGTGACCGGGACATCCGACACGTAGAGAAACGTGCATCTTGGATGCGCGTTCAAGTTTCGCCCCCGCGAATTATAAGAGGCCGCAATTATTAATGTTCGAATAACGAGTCGGCGACGTCGAAAACGGAGGAAAAAATGAAATCGAGTCGATCGCATCAAGGCGTACCGTACTGGTTACTCCTCGGAGCTTGGCCTTGTAACGACTGTTGCTGCTGCTGCTGTTGTTGTTGTTGCTGCTGTTGCTGCTGCTGCTGCTGCTGTTGAGGTTGCTGAGCAGCTATCGACTGCGCCGAAGATATGGTCGTGGGCGCGATCACCCGGGCATAAACGGCGGCACTCGTCGTCTTAAGACCCGCGGGTGTGGGTATCACCTTCAAACCATGAAGGGTCTTAATGTTGAGCAACTGGCTCGGCAGAATGATGGGCTGTTGCTGGGACTGCTGCTGTTGCTGCGAGGATTGCTGTTTGCTCAAGACAACCCCTCCGGCGGTCCCACCGACTCCTACTCCCAGACCCTTGTTACCGCTGGCCAAAACGATCGGCTTGCCGGCCAGTTGAGCGGTGACCATTCGCACGGTTTGCGGTTGCTGGGACTGCGACTGCTGTTGAGAGCTCACGATTATTTTCGGCTGACTGCCACTCGTTGTCTGGGCTTGAGAGACCACCTGAAACCCAAAATGTTCTCGTTAAGAATCATCTACATATTTTATCAAATCGAGCCACGAATATGAAAGATCAAGAATAAATCGGACTTTCCAGTGTAACGCGCACCTGGTACTGAGTCTGTATCAGCTGTTTCCCCTGCCGGCCAAGTTGTCTATGGCCCATCGCGGTCGTGAGCTTGAGTCCCTTCTGCGCGAGTAGACTCTCCACGGAAATCAACTGGCCGGCTCCCGCACTAGTCAAGACCTTCGCCAGGATTTTCTGCTGCTGTTGCTGCTGCTGCTGATGCGACGATTGTTGTATTTGAACTGCGATCGGTTTGCCGCCTATTTGCGCGATTATTCGTTGCATTCCCGGCGCCTGCAATGATTGTTGCTGTTGAGTTTGGGATTGAGACGACTGTGGCTGCTGCTGCGTGGTCACTACTCGCTGTAACTGTTGCTGTTGCGGTTGCGGCTGTTGCTGTTGAAAAAGAAAAGGGTTGCATCAAACGAAGTATCGGAATTCAACGCGACGGAAATTCCGCGAGGAAGCCCAAGGACGTACTTTCAGCTGTTGCTGCTGCAATTGTTGGGCTTGCACCGTAGAGGGTGACGATTGCTTAATGAATATTGTCTGCCCTTGCAAACCGTGCCCAGTGAGCAACGACTTGATTTGCCCCGAACTGACCAGCTTGATTTGTGAAGCTAACAATGTCTTCCCAGGCAACACATGTTGCTGTTGCTGCTGAGGTTGCTGGGACTGTGATTTCGCATTGGCGGTCTGCAGCACGCTTTTCCCCGCCTGACCAGAGACAGCCGTGATCTGCTGTGCCGTCTGCTGTTGCTGCTGTTGTTGTTGTTGCTGCTGCTGCTGCTGCTGTTGCTGTTGCTGCTGAGACTGTACTTTGGCCGTGGGGAATATCGTCGTAACGTTTCCAGCGACACTTCCCGCACCAGAGACGGGGACCGACTGAGCCGAGTGCAAAACGGAATGACCGGATAAACGTATCGTTTGCAGTCCCGCCGAAGTAGAAACCTGAATCTGATGATGAGGGAAGTGTTGCTGATTCGACTGCAGCAGGCTTTGGGCGGAACTGGCCTTGACCACGGTAACGGGCTTTCCGCTAACAAGCGCAGCCGTAGCCACTTTCTTCGAGACGGTTGGCGAGGGCGTAGCGAATTGACGAAGCTGTTGCTGCTTGACCTCCATCGCATTATCCACGATAATCCCCAAACTCGAAGTGGTACTCGCGAGGCTAGGACCAGGACTGACAGCGACGCTCGTTGCTACCACGGGTGCCAACGCGTTAGCTGTCGTCGTCGAAGCGATCGTTGATACCGTTGGCGGTTCCGTCATCGCTGGCTGTTGATCCACGACAACTCGTTCCTCCGGCTTCCTCTGTTCTTTCCTGAGATAACCGCCACGAACGCGATTCGATCAACAAATTTTAATTATCTTTCCCGACCGAATAATCGAATCTGGCACTCTACCTGGCGATCATCGTCTGGACCTGTAGAACGGGTTTCTTTTCCTTCTTCGGGGTCGTCTCCCTAGTCCCAGCGGTTGGAGATTGCTCCTTGCTGCCGTTCACGGGCTTTGTCGTCGACTGCAGTAACTTATTCCTGGAAGCGTTGCCGGTATTCTTTTTGTTTTTGGCCACGCCTTGCAGCTGCTGGTGGAACATCTCTGAGGGGATCGAGAAAAAGGAATCATCGTTATCTTGGATTTAACCTCGGCCGATTGCTTCTATTCTGACAACGAAGACAATCGACGGTGGAACTTCGGATATCGCCGAAGTACCCACGAAAAAAATTGCCAAGTACCCTTGCTCTGGCGAACGGATTCAGCAGTCGAGTACTAACCGAATTCCGACTCGGAACGGGCCCGATGTAGATACAGCCACTCCTTGCGCTTCGGATAATATCTGACGCAGGGGTCGGCCTCGTAGTGGAGCCGGTCCAGGGCGCCGGACACCACCGAATGCAGGTAACCCTCCTTCTCGGGGCCGCAGTCCGCTTCGCTTTGCTCCCGGATGTACTGCGAGTCCTTAAGCAGCTGACAGATGTCCGCCCGAGTGCCCTCGCCGTTCGGCAGGCGCGCGGTTGCGTCCCTCACCAGTGCCAGAATCGTCACGAAGTTCGGCCTCTCGGCCACCAGCAGTGAGTGACCGCGCGCCTTGGTCAGCCCCGAGCCTAGAAACGGAGAGAGCAGTGTTGGTCGACAATAGCCACGACTTTTTTTTAAACGTATATCCGCGATAGACGATACTAAATATTATGCGATGAACATTACGGGAGTTGAGTTGAGAGCCTTCACCTTTTGTCGACAACGTACCAACGTTATGCTGGTAGATGCCCTTGACAGGGCCGACGACGGAGGCATAGCCGTGCATGCGATAAGTGAAGGCCCTATGTGGTGCCGCGTAGCGCATTCGCTCCTGCCGCCTGAACTCCTCGCGTTCCTCCGGGGTGGAGGGTCGCACCTTCCACTCGGTCGGCCACAGAGCACGGGGTGGTTCCCACTCCGCGACAGCCCCAATGGCGCCTCCGTCAGGGCCGCTGACTTCCGTCAAAGGACTTCCGCTTCTGACGATAGCAGCACTGCCGTTGCCGTTACCGTTGCCACCGCCGTTCCCGCTGCCGTTACTGCTCTGTCGTTGCTGTTGTAACTGCGATTGCTGCAGCGGTTGTTTAACGGGCGCTGTAGCCGCAGGGCCGACGCTGGGAGCAGTGGAAGCCGAAACCTGAGGGTGCCCCAGGGAATCTCTGAAAATTAACGACAACGAAACTTACTTTAACGATTTGCAACAATTTTTTTAATTTTATTTCAAGATTCAGTGCTTTTTTTTTCTACATATATGGAAGCGAAGAGATTAGGAATTTTAAAACAATGGAATGAACGCAAACTATTTTATCGAGAGAATGTCCAAACCTGTGCAAGAGGAAACGCGTGCAGAGAGCGGCCAGACGCGAATCGGAGTCGCGACCGGCGCCTATCCACGCGTACACCCCGCGACCCTTGTTCTCCAGGTAAGGCACGAGTTCTTGTTCGCGTTCCTGAGACTGATCCAGTTCCTGCGAGTAGGTGAGTTCACCGGCGAGAAAGCCCAGGGCAAGTGGAACTAGCGAAGGCCAGGAAGATGCCATGGAGTACCTGCGAGCCAACGTCGAATACGTCATCGGAAATGCAAACGATAAAACAAGTGCGGAAACGTACCAGTCGTTAAGCGGAGAGATCGGGTTTCCTTGCCACTGCGTGACCGCATCCTTCATCTCCACGGTGCTCATGCGATACTCCCCCTTCGAAATAAAGGCATCCCTCAGGAGGGAGAAGAAGGACGCGTGAGTTTCTTGCATCAGCTCACCACCACCGCCGTTTACGGTAATGCCGTCGCTGAGAACGGAGTTCGGTTCCTTGTCTGGTAGACCGATCGTAGACTCCTCCTCGCATCTAAGGGGTAACCACAACAGAGAATTAAATCCGCACTCCTTTTAGCATTTTGCACTTACATCATGAGTGACCTTAAGAATCGGATTTACGTTTGATTAATCTTCTAAAGAATCGACGTAACTACAGAAACAACAGGAATGGATCTCGTCACTTACTTGACCTCCTCGAGGATGTCGATACCGTCGTCGAGCTGTATCGGGATTTGCATCATATCGATGCCATCCAGGTCAATCTCCTTCTTGTCGTTTTCCTCGTCCTCTTCCGAGTCTGGGTGCGTTTCCTCGTTCATACCGGAACAAACCTCCGTTTTGATTTCTCTATCGTAATCCATATCGTCCACTTCCTTTTTTATGTTAGGGACCGGCATCGTAAATGACCTGCCGATCTTCGGGGTCGATGGGCTCCTGGAATAATTAAACGATTAATAAACGACGTTTAATAATGCCCGTCCGAAATAAAATCATTCAAAAGCATCGGTAAAATTTGTACAAGATAGCTGAGGAAACATAGTAAGCTCACATATTCTTTTTCGCAGACAGTCGATGAGTCCTCTCGTACACATCCAATGGTTCCGATTTGACGGTGCAAAGTGTACCGATTCGCTGGTCAAGTTCCACCGAAATGGAATGTTTGTTATCCTCGGTGAGCGAGTAATCGCTGTTGTCACTCTCCTGCTTCGGGGGTCCGGTGTTGAGAACCTTCGGGGCCGGAGGGCCCAGAGACGAGGGCTCCGTTTTAACTCTCCTTTTGTTCCCGTTGGGACGAACGGGGTTGCCGATCGTCAGCTTGTGTTTCTGCCCGATCTGCGCCCTCTGGGTAAGGTCCGCCAAGGCGATCCCTTGAGTATTTAGCTCGGGATGCACCTGAAAAATAAATGAACTCAATTTTCAATCTAAGAAGTTTATGGAAATTCAAAGGATATATCGAGAATATTTTTTATCAAAAACGTACATCGCGACGAGCTCGTCGTTTTTTGTGGGCGATTAGCATCGCACGATACGTCTCTTCGGACTGCTCTCGTAAGAGGAAAGAACCATTTTGGGAGTATTCCGGCCTCTGGAGGGTTGAGAATACGGGCCGAATCGCTTCGTCCTCGTGGCACGACGTTTGGATCCCCCTTGTCGGGAAGTACTGGAGTCGCTTCTTTTTCCGCTGCTTCGCCCCAGCGAACGACTGGTGAGGATAATTCTCCTCGTTTTCAGAGGTTGTGTCCGCAGCTAGTCGGGCGTTTACGCCGAGCTCCGCTCGGAGGGCATTCATCTCTTCTGCATAGCGCAGGTGGGTCTTCTCCTCGACTATGCACCAATCCGTCAATTAACCCAAATTCTTAGTCTCTTAAATAAAATTATTTTCCTTGTCCTCCTTACGAGGAAACTACCCGTTATACTAACCGTAAATCTAAAGTTTTCTTTTGTTTCCACGATGTTTAATAGGCTTCGACAAAATAGATGAGCTATGTAGGATTACGCATTGGTTGATTTAGGGATGTACGTACCCATTGCTGGCTTAGGCTTTCTCCATTGCAGCTTCGATGTAGTCCTGTGAGTGGGATGACTGAAACCCTGCTTGTATGCAGCCGATAGCAAGCTTTCCCTTGACTTAAGGAGTTGCCCGGCGAGTTCATAAGATCGCTTACGCTCTTCGAAGAGGAGCCTCTTCCGTTGAGCTCTGCGTACCAAGGCGCGCATTCTCCTAATGTCCGGTCTGTAGTGACCAGCGGAAAGGTGGTCATGGAAAGCATCCAGGGCAGCCACGCCGAACCTTTTGACGACAGCAATGGTAAGGATTGTTTTAACGTTTCTATGAAGGGGACATTGCTTCTATCACCATTTGTATACCGGTGGTTTTCCCTTTGAAACAGCATTTGTAGAGTTCTCTCTGTCTCAAATTCCTCGTTGCAGTCCTTAGGAAACACTGGTAGCAAATGACGAAGAGACTCTCTCTGTTCGTCGTCTAGGCACTCGTGCCAGAATTTTGGATAATCGAGAAGCTCTTGGAAGATGGACGAGTGTTCGCATAGATCTTGGGGCAACTTCACTTTGGTTCCAACTGCTATGCAAGTTTCCCACCTCTGTAAATGCATTATGTGTTTCCATTCCATTTAAAGTTATAATGACTTCAAACAAAAATGCCGATAAATGTACAGAATCGATAGTCTTACGTGCATGTCTTCATTTTCTTCTCGCGTCATATGCTGAGAATTCTCATCTTCGCCGTCATCCTCCTCGGCGGAACTTTCCGTTCCACTGGTACATCGATCGTCACCCGAATCGTCACCACTGTCGGTAGTAGAACTACTACCACTGGTGCAGCTGCTGCTGCTGTTGCTCCTGGAAACATGGGTGGAATCCTCGTCCTCTTCTTCTTCCGCACCCGAGTCCCCACCGGCTGAACACTCGTCCATCTAAAGTAGTATATACTTACTTAGAAAACCTTCGTAATCCGTGTGACATACTTAACCTTTATTATGGCCATCGAAAGCACTCAAAGAAGCTATCGGTTGCATCGGTTACAAATTCTCTAGACGCGTGGACGCGTCACTGTTTGGCATATAGTTAATAGCAAAGATAAAGGAAAACCACATGCAAACAAACCTCCATTCTACTCTATTCCTCTTCCAAGAAAACTCGATCCCGCACTTTCCTCTCTGTGTTCTCTTCTCTCGAATACCTCAAATTTGCTCGAACTTGGTCAAAGTCGGACAACACACGAGGAAACGATGAGCGAACCGAGGAGCGTTTAACCTTCCGCAGCTGCCGCAAACTCCAGGTCTATCGATCGTCTGTTAGGTGATCTCGTTGCTCGCAGTTCGGCTCGTTACGGCCACGACACTCTTATGTTGCCGAGGAATTTTAGTCATGGCGCCGAAAACGATAGGCTAGCCACGGTGTTTGTATATCAAGTCACTCGGAGTGCACACTCTACGCTGACTTTGATCTTCGCCTCCATTGCTGTAGCACTGAGATGAGTCTTCGACTATATAAGCATAGACTGCTAGCAACCAACTTTACGACGGTCGCGAAGATCTCGCGCCCCCATGTAGCTTAAACTAGCGGCACACAGAGATGAGTTGGGAGATTGCTCACGGGCAGGGTCGCGCGATCGCATGGTGTGCTGCCCTCTGGTTTCGTACGTTAGCTTTCGGCGCAACGAATTTCTGGTAGGGGCTCGCGCATCGCGATGGCCGTGCCATCTACCAGTCGCCATTGGCGGCTCGCGTATTCGTGATGGTAATATCATGCGGCAGTTGACGGTGGTGGCTTACCTACGCTTATCGACACTGCTCACTTTTGATGGTAAGGGAAAAACACTCGGGGCACTTTCTTTGACCTTACCCTTTGCATACCTTATTTATTTTATTCGCAAATATTATTACATACAGGCAAATACTACACGTGGGTGCTCGAGAGGTGAGTTATACTTTATGTACAATTTTTTTAAGCCAATCGATTCTAACACGAATAGAATGAACGAACCGATCGACTTTAACAAGAAATTCTGGCGAAAGCATTCGATCATTTCTATCGATAAGAGAGGAAAGGGAGGAGCCAGGTTTGTTTATTGAATCGTTCCCCTTGTACGATAATGGGTTACGACATCGGTCTAACGCAAGTAAAAGTGGGGACTCGCTCTCACCGTTTCTCCAGGTACTCACCTACTCGGGCGAGCGCAGTTGGCGCGCCACGGCCTCCCGAATTCGTTTCACTCTTCGTCGACACGATTCTCCACCGCGGAAACGTCCCTAGATCATGGATCGACCTTACCCTAATCCGATCGAGGATCTGCGGGAATCGGACTTTTACCACGAAAACGTCAGCTGCGACCACGGCCTCGTTCCTACAGCCATCGAGAACATCGAAAGTGAGTGAAAAGAAAGCGAGATGAGCTTCGCGAAGAGATATCCCAACTTTTTCAGTGGCCAACGTTCATTCGGAGCTGCGATGGATTCGTTTAAAAGGGTCTAGAGAAAGACCCTCCGAGAGATTCCGTTTCATTGCCGTTTCCATCATTGGGGTCTCGGGACCAGGGAAGATCCAAGTTCTACGAGTTAAGCCATAGTCAATTTTACTTTCGGCATTTACCCAAGCGTTCATTTCTAGATAGCGATTAAAAGACGTTGGCTCCGCAAGAAATTTCGATTCGACCTAGAAGAGACGGGTTTAACAAAAAGTGGTTCTTCTCCACCGCGTGCGTCCCGTAGTCGAACGCAACGGTCGAGGACGTCCACGTTCGCAGACGGGCACAGGAGGGAAAGCAGAAACCGCGAGAAATTGACGAGAGCGCAAGAATATTTGACATTTTTTTAACGCAATTGCTCACAGGCGCGCAACTCCGTAGATCCTATGCGCCGATTTCTGGCCGGGGGCCGATCGGGGAATTCGACCTCTTGTTCGCGGTGCAAATCTTTGCCGACCAAATGCGTTGAACGTCCGGCAGGTGTTTGCAGCGGCGTCGGAAAATCTTTCCTAGTGTTCCATAGGGGAGCGGGGTGCCGGGGGAAAACGAACAAATAGAGAAGCTTTGAAAGACGATCGATAGGTTAATAGACGGTATCGATGAAAGATATCCGTCGACGGTAAAAATGTCCCAGCAAACGAACGATCGTTTGTACCGTAAATGCATCGTTGAGAGAGGCCGATTGCGCAAAGAGAAAAGGATGCAATCGGTTAATAATCGGTTGACTCGGCTGATATCTCTAATCGCGAAGTCGTTGACGCCAAATTTGACAGTGATCCATAGCCTACTTATCGAGTTCGAAGCAACTCCGCTCACCTGACGGTTGCGCGCAATTATTCAGCGATCGTTCAATCGCTCGTAATGCACCGTCGTTGCGGCTCTCGTAGGAGCACGAGGAAGCGAGAAAATTGCCGACATTGTTTACGTACGTTCACCCACATTAAACGTAGCGATAAGATACGATGACGCGGTTCCTGTGTTTTCAGGTCTCGCTGCGTTTGGAGCGATCATTTTGAGCATCGGGTCGCTCTTGTGGATCGTAACGCTTTACCTTGCCATCGACGCCGCCTATAATGTCCTACTTCAAGAAGAAACATCTCGTTACAAGACGAGCGCCGTCACTATATTATCGGTTTATCCAGTGGCGAGCCTGTGCAGCCTTCTTGCGATCGCGGTACCAAGGTAAGGATGCGAGCCAACTTTCGGAAGGAAGAATTTTCATTTTTAGAAACCACTCGTTCCATCGACCCAGAGTTCTTCAATTTCCCCTGGGAAAGAAAACGGACAATGGAAATCGAGAACGGCGGCGCAACGTAGCGAGGACCTCAGGATTGACTCCGGACAACCTTAACGAAAAACCACGGATTTCGTCCAAAGGGACCAATCGCGAAGACTAACGATCCCGTCTCTTCCCTCGCTAGGGTCCAGGTCGCGTCGGAAGCAACTACTCAAATTTTCCTCACGATATCCTTCTATCGGCTGTACTTGCTACTAATTGACGTGGGACGAAAGACCGTTTCAAAGCCGCCTCCGTTGAAGCTGAACGTTGGTCCTTGTTGCTGCTGGCCCTGTCTGCCGTTTCCTACCGCGGACATGAACGGCACCTACTTGTCGTGGCTCGGCATTTCGGTCGTCCAGTTGCCCATCGTCCAGGTGACTGTCCTTCGGGAACGTTTTACCACCACACGGTCCGTTATTCCCCGAGACCCTATGAAAGGCAAAAACGACATCGGTCGACGCGTCCGGCGGTATAAAATCGCTTTGAAATCTTTATCCGAAGCTACCTCGGCTTCTCTTCTTAGAATTTGCTTTCCGTCCTTCAGGGATTGACCTACTGCATCTTCCTCTTCATGGCAGCGGAAGAACCGTCCCTGGTGAGAAGATACGGCGTGTTCTTCCAACCGCTTTCGGTCAGCAGCATCCTGCTAGGAATTTACGGAGTGACGGTCACTACCAAGTCCCTGCACGACGTCGCCCCAGGTACCGTGCGCTCCTCCGTTATTTAACGTGAAGTGCTTCAAATGTAACCACCTGCTTTAACGAGAACTTTAACGAGAACCGATTCTGGGTAAATGATCTTTTTTCTCCAGAAGCCGGTCTGCAGCTCAAAACCCTGGTGTCACAACTGGTGCTGCTATTCTCCAAGCTGCAGGGCTTCATCATAAAGAGCCTCTCGGGAACGGGACTGTTCCCGTGCAATCCTCCACTGACGCCTCTAATTTATTCTTATGGTAAATAATGCCGTTTTCCGTATGAAGTCCCGATACGATCGAGGGAAACCGATCTCGGTCGAGTAGGACGTCGCGCGCATAGAAATTCGGGCTCCGACTCGGAAACCCGCTCCGATCGCTTCGTCCTGGCGTCGGTGGACGAGGACGTCCTAAGCCGACGCGGAGACGCGATGGGAATTTTGAAAAGGTGGTGCCTAAGCACGGTCTCGTGTTCCCTTCTCGATTTCAGTGACCTACAACGCCCTGATGGTAATCGAAATGCTGCTGCTCTGCTATGCCGCGAGATTGCTTTACACGGACTCCGAGAAACGGGAAGATTCTACCCGGGCCAGAGATCAGACCAAAGACAAGGAGACCTCGGGGGAAGTGATGAATAACAACGAAGAAAGAACGGTGTAGCTTCGTATTTCGTAAGCCGCAAAGGTCGCGAGGAACGCCGTTAAGAGGATCGCCCCGAAGAAGATGACGATAGTTTCTGGAAAGAAGGGACGAAAGGGGTCCGACTTCTTCCCCTGAAATCCCGAGGGACGTAATTAGGTGTTGTTTCTCCGGTCGAAGTTGTACCTACGTGATCGAAAGCGTTAACGAAAGAGTGGAATGTTCCTTGCCAAATATCACGATTTATTACGTCGCTCTTGTATAGGACGAATTTTACGGGCCACTTTTGAATCCTTTCTCTTTTCCATATGAAATCTCGACGCGGACGGGTCGTGGAAGGTTTCGAAAATTTACGAAGGCTGGATCAAAACCTGCCGTGGTATTGTACTTACGTAACGTGAAAACGGGAAGGAAAGTGTGCTCGCGAATAGATAAGTAAGGAACGAGGACTAGATTCCTCGTCGGCCGTGTCATAACCTCTTACAGGGGCCCGCGAATGGAATCGGTTTCTAAACCTCAACGATTCTCGGCGTTAATTTCCGTTTTGATTCCCGAGCAGAACGGAGAAGACCTGTCCTTCCTTCGCGATTACCCCGCGAAGTCGAGTCGCGGTCACAGGGTGGAGGGCGATAACGTCGCCAAAGGTGATTGGAAGTACTCGACGGATGTCGGGTTGGAACGGATCGGAATCGATGGCGCGAGTTCCCTTTTCCGACTGAAATCGACAGATGCGAACCACGGAATACGTCGCGGAGTCCTCGAGCCGACCATTCGAGCGCGTCCATCTGTTGTTACCCTCGCGAGAATTCGGAAAAGGGATTTTCAAAATGACCGACATATGGCACGCGGGCCAGAGCCGGCTCGGTCCAGATCGGAGGATAAAAGTCGGTCCCCTTTTGGAGGAGAGAGTCGGCGGTTTTCCCTCACCGCGTGGCTCTTCCGGACCCGAACCAAGCGACGAGGAGATCGAGGAGTGGCCGCAGAGTTCCCTTGGGGTGCGGAGATTCGGAGTTCCGAGGAGGTCCTCGAGGTGAATCGGGCCGCGCCGCGACCATATGGTCGCCGAGGGCGGCTCGTTATTTTCGAGGCCCTCCGCCAAATTGCTTGAAAATTGGCCGGGCCTTCGAGGCCGGTTTTCGGGGCAATTTCGTCCTTCGGAGCTTTTCATTTGAATTTCGACCCACGCAAAGTACAAGACTCGGCCAGTTCGAAGTATCTCGCAGAATGCGGATCCATCTTGTCGCGTGCGTCGCGATCGCGAAACGAGAAGAGCTCGAGGCGTTAACCGATATCGGGAATGCGAAAGAATCGATAACTCTACCGACATCGATCGAAAGTTAAGGGAGAAATGCGGAAAATGAAGATCGGGATGACTTCTCGAAAATAGACTTTGAGGGAGAAACGTTTGTCTTGTCTTTTTTTCCTTCTCATCGAATGGTCTTTTTCGTAAAATTTGCTAAAGACCATGGAAGAGCGTCTCCGGGTCGATCGGTAATACCATTATTTACGAATTATGCGAATGTTGTAAGGTCGAGTATAATAATCGGGACTCGGCCAATTTCCGACGATTAAGGTCGAGTTTAATGCGCCGGTCGTGGGTCTAGGAAAGGAACGTTAGACACGTGATGCGCCGATCCGGGGGCCACGCCGGCCAACCTCGCCCCGAACTTCTTTTCTTTCCTTTTCCTTTCTCGCCCTCTCGCTCGCTCTCGGTTTCTGCCCCCGCGGACCGAGGGAGACAGAGGACGACTGGATCCGAAATTTCCTGGCCGACGGGCAGGCGGGCAGGCAGATTAGATCGGGAACGAGGCGAGAATAAAAAGTGTTGCATGCTCGGGTAGAACCGATCAGCCATAACGCACACGAGGAGAGAAGTACCCTTCTTTACGTGGGAATTCGTCTCCTTCCGAAGGGCCTTACGTCGTAAACGGAGTCGCCAAGACCCGCGACCGAGTAACCCCGTGAGGAAGCGTCGCCGTCATAAATGTCGACGCGATCGGTCTTCCTCCGCGACCGTCGGGTTTTACGAGGAAAAGCGGTCGCTTCCCCCTAGAACCGCCTAGGGAATCTCGGGCCTCCACTTTTGAGGTAATCGACCGTAAAACTCGAGTCCCCGGTAAGAGACTTTCGTTTACCGACCCCCACACCTATTCGGACGATTTAATAGAAAAATGGCCGCGGAGGATTCTCCCGAATCGACAGGTGGTTCTCGACAACGGGAAAGGAAGAACCGAAATCTCGGAAACCATTTATTTCAGAGGCCTAAAATTTGGCACGAAGGCACCAAACGAGCGACCCGATATCCCGCAAATTGGCTAGTCCGTGACTCTCGTTTCTTGGGTTTCTCGGATTTCTCGGGTTCCTCGGTGTCGGTTCCGCTTACCCGGCAACGTTCTTCATTAGGATCGGATCGAGTAATTTCTAACCAACCGGATTACCGAGCAAACGGTCGACTCCTTGTCCCAAAAGTGGCAACTTTCTCGTTCCTAACCGTAAGGCCCCCGAATGCCCGAGGGCACGACACCCCTGCAACTTTTGCCACGGGCGCGCCAATCCCCATAAATCGACGGGATTCCTGGATCGTAACCCACGCCAGAGTCCCCGGAAAGGGAAGTGTCCCCAAGACGGAAACGGCGCGACTTCGATTACCGAAAAGGGGGCGTAATTCGATGACGCGAGCCAAACTTACCGAGTCGTCGGACGACTTTGACAGGAGGCAATTTCTCGGGAGAAAAATACCTAATCCATGAAATGGGTTCCAAACCTTGACTAACGGGGGCGGCAGAGGCAATGAGAGGCGAACCATGACCATTTTCCTTCGGGGCGCTCCCCGCTCCGGTCTCGGAGGAGGAAACGCGATTCGATCGCCTTTCGTCGAGCGCTCGACGCGGTCCTGCGGCGGGCCGGCAATAAATTAGCTTTTTGAAAATTTGTCACCGTCCCTTGTGTGGGCTCTTCCGAGTGTTCGAATCGTGCCGCGAAGGACCCCGACCGGGACCGATCTCCGGTTACCACCTGTCCCCTGGGAATGGTCCAGAAAACTCCGGTCTTAGGTCCGTGCCTTTGAGCGCCGTTAATGCCTGCCGGCACAAACGAAATTTGTCTCCGACGTATTCGACGCGAGAAGTCTCCCTAGGAGTGAAATTTTCCGCTTCGTTAGCCTCCGTCGGCGAGTCGGGAGGCGTTCGGGCCGCGGATCCGCGGGACACCTCGCCGGCCCGGTCCAGGTGCGAGGCGACTCGACAATGCGGAGGGGACCCACCGAAGGGGGAGGGAACCACCCCTGGCCTAAACGCTTCCTAGATGAATGGCATCCCGTTCCGACGTTTCTATGCGGCGGCCGAGGGATGCCGGCGAGGCCCGTTTAGCGTCACCCCGCGACGACACCCTGTTTGTACACATCCTGGGCATTGTGCGCGGGGCACCCCGGGCACCCGGGCCTCGGAGGAGGGACCGCGGTCCCGCCCGAGGACTTCCGGCGCTCGAATTCCTCCCCGTGGCGGAAAAGGCGGACGCGGCCATATGCCGAGGGACCGAGCCGACCTCGAGGGATGCTCCGAGGTTCAGGGCGCGGAGTGGGGGCTCGCCCATATAAGAAAGAAGCCGACCTCCCGGGGCGCAGTTGGCCCGAAATTTCGGCAGGGACGCCACGCGACGCGCTTCGAGCGGGAACCGAATCCGAGGATGGCGGCGGCTCGCGCCCTTCTGCTGGCGGCGGCGACGATAGCGACCTTGGCCCTCGGCCTCGGCCTCGACCTCGGGCCCGCGGTCAGGGTCGCGCGGTGCAGAGCCCGTTGTCTGCGCGAGCACAGCCTGGACGGAAGCTGCGACCGCTTCCCCGACGGACGCGAGATCCCGTGCACCCAAGTGAGCGACGCCTCGCCCTTGGCTCCTTCGGGCAGGGTCTAACAGATCCTTTTTGTGGTTGCAGTGCTGGCGGAGCTGCGAGGCGCTGGAGATGCATCGGGAGAGGGCCGAGTCCATGTGCGAGGGTGCCGAGCTGGCTCGAGTGAGTATTTTCGAGGACATTCGTTTCTCTCGTTCGCCTCTCGAGACTTCCGCGGACGGGTTTCGGTCGCCTTTTCTTCTCCCGGGCTTTTAGCGACGGGTACCGATCCCGCTCCGGTATTTCTCTTTCGGGCGATCGTGTCTCGCTTCGTCGGCCGGTCCGACTCGCGTTCTTTCCTTCTAGCTCCGTCTCCAGCTCCACCCCGAATCCGATCGGATCATCCGAGCGCGCCGATCCGTTCCTGGTCCCGAGAGGGAAAGGAAACGCCAGGGCCCAGCTACCTGCCGATTTCCTCGGAGGACCGACGCCCCGCGCGGATAGGGATCTCTCGAAAATATTTGGGAAACGCTCGGTCGGGACGAGAGGGGGAGAGAGAGAGAGAGACGTACTAAAGCGCCGTTCTCGTTGCAGTGCTCGGCGTGTCGGACGGCGTGCCTCTCTCGGCAGAACAGGACGGAGGAGGAGTACCCACCCTCGGCGCTTCCGGCCCCTCGCCGGGGTCCCGTCGCCCTGAAGAGGAACGATGTAGCCGTCGTGTTGCGCAAGGATGGGAACGAGTGGCGAGTGGCGGAGTACCGACCCGGGTCGAGGGTCCCCGCCCTGCACCAGGACACGTGGATTGTCGCGGTCGGCGAGGAAGGCGGCGTCTGGCACTTCAGCTGGGAAGTCTGGGTGCCGACCCTGGTGTCCCTGAAGGAAGGGCCTCTCTTTGAGGCCACTCTGTCGTGGCGGGACGTCGACGATCAGCTCGGGAGGCTGCGGGAGCTCGAGCGGAGGACGCTCGACGACAGGGTTCGCCGATTCTTCCTCGAGAAGTTCGGGAAGAAGATCTTGGGGGAGAGGGGAGGCCGGGACGAGTCGCAGATCCCCGACGAAGTCTTCGGGCGGTTCTTCTTTAGGAAGCGCGAGGAGGGGCGAGTCGAGGGGACGCCGAGGTCCCGAGAGGTCGCCCCAGCCCGGAGGAAGGAGTCCTTCGTCGTCTCCTGGGAACCCGAGGCGGGAGGCTCGATGGGCAACCAAGTGACGGACTCGAGTTCCGCCCAGATATCTCTGCTGCCCGGCGTCAAGTATCTCGTGAGGGTTGCATCCGACGAGGGCCCCGGGAGTTTCCCCATCGAGGTCGACACCAGACCCGACTCCGTCGGGCCGGTCAGGGCGGAGCCGACCCTCGGGGCGGCTCGGCCATGGGTCTTCCTCGCCGCCGGCCTGGGCGCCGCGGCCGGCGCGGCCGTCGCAGCCGTCGTGGCCGTCGCGGTGCTCCTGGGTGTTCGCCGGAAGAACAAGGACGTCGGAGACGGTCCCTTTCCGCCCCTCGGGGTGCGACGGGAGGAATCCGAAGCGACGCGGTGAGTGGACGAGTACAGGGACGGGGTACGTCCTCCGAGGGAAGGAGACGGGCAACGAACAGACTGCATAACAGAGTTCCTATCCGCGACGATCGGAACACCCGCCGAGGGAGGAAACGGCGGAAGATTCGATCCGCGACGATCGCGCGGTCCGTGCGTTGTATTTATTTGTAAATATTTGTATCTGTACATAGCGAGAGCAGCCGGAAAGAAAATAAAGTTTGAGGTGAAGTCGGTGAGCCGAGCTCTCGTGGACTCTCCCCTTTCCCCGCGTCGCGCGTCGGCAATGAAAATCGAGGTTCCGGTTCCGTCCGGGGCGTCGACCCTCGGACGCGTCGGAAAAGTGGGTCGCGGCCTCGAAGGAGTCCCGCTATTCGGCGCGGCCTCACGGGCGCTTCCTCCTCAGTCTCGAGCGGGACCTCGATGCAGGATGATCGCGACGTTCTGGGTCCTGAGCCTGCTGACGGGCGCGAGGGTGCTCGAGGGCGCCGCACCGGAACCTGACGAGACCGGGCCGCGTTCTTTCAGGTACGTTCCCAAGTGGAAGAAGCAGGCCTGCGAGATCCCGGCGTCGCAGCATCCCAACTCCCACTACGTGTGCGACGAGGCTGGGGAGGTCAAGTGTCTCCCAGGTAAAGGTGTAGCGCGTCAGTCCCGAAAGCCGAAGTGGCGCTTTAACGAAGTCCGTGTCTAGGGTGGACCGGCGACCTCTGCGACGTGCCGATCTGCCGGAAGGGATGCGACCCCCTTCAGGGCTACTGTCGTCGACCCTGGGAGTGTCGGTGCAAGCTGGGATTTTACGGCGAGCTCTGCGACAAGTGCGTCGCCCTGCCGGGATGTCAGCACGGAAGGTAACGCGATCGGTCCAACTCGATTCTTTGCGTCGGCTCGCGATTACGTTTGCGCGTGGCGGGGAGGGAACCGTTCTCGCCGATCGGTCGATCGCGACCGAGATCCGCTCGGAGGAAGAAAAATCGGCCTCCCCCGGTAATCGGGCGCGGACCTAACGAGCTCCCGGCAATTCCGGAACGCTCGTTAAGGACTCGTTCCGACGCTCCCCGGGGGCGGCGGGGGTAACCGGTCCCGTCGGCCCCTTGCGTAACGTCGCGGTGACTCGCCGCTCGGCTCGCAGGTGTAACGTGAGCTTCGAGTGCTCCTGCGACCCCGGCTGGAAGGGACTGTTCTGCTCGGAGCCGATCTGCGCCGCGGACTGCAACCCCAGCCAAGGATACTGCGAGAGGCCGGGCGAGTGCAGGTAAGTCCTCGACAGCGGCGCAGGGATCGGCGCGGAAATTGGAGCGACTCCGGATGTCTCTGTCTCACAGGTGCAGGCTGGGCTGGCAGGGACCCAGGTGCAAGCGATGCTCCGTTCTGCCGGGATGCGTCCACGGCACTTGTCAAGGACCCCTGGAGTGTCGGTGCGACCCGGGCTGGACGGGATTCCTCTGCCAAACTCGTAAGCGGCTCTCGGCCCCAGAGCGAGTCGAGTCGGTAACCCCCCTCGTCCGTTTCAGCGATCTGCTCCGTGGGCTGCAGTCGGGAGCACGGGGGCTGCCGTCGACCGGGGACCTGCCGGTGCAGGGTCGGTTGGATCGGGCGGAACTGCACGGAGTGCGTCCCGTATCCGGGATGTGTCCACGGAACCTGTAGGAAGCCCTGGGAGTGTAGGTGCCAGCCCGGCTGGACCGGAGACCTCTGCGACCGGAAGCTCGCCTTCTGCGACGAGCATCCCGGGATCTGCGAGAACGGCGCTACCTGCGTCGACGCCGCCAAGGAGGACGGCGACTACAGGTAAGGGTCCCGAGAGTCTTCGAGGCCCCGACCGGGACGAGACCGGGACCACCCACCGACCGATCGCTGCGTTGCAGGTGCGTCTGTCCGATGGGCTACGAGGGCCGCCGGTGCCAAATCGAGTCGTCCGCCCTCCAGATCGTCCCCCAGGTCGTCCCCCAAATCGTCCCCCAAGTCGTCCCCGAGGAGGAAGCGGAGCCGTTGGGACCGCTGGTGGTAACGGACCCTCCGGAGCCGGGGCCGGAGACGGAGGCGACCGCCGGCAAGTGGCCGACCGAGGCACCCACGGAGGCGCCGACCACCGACAGCGACGCCGCGACCGAGAACGAGGCCTAGCGAGGATCTCGCCTCCGTTTGCTGCTCCTCCTTTGCTTTTGTATCTGTATACATATATTTATTTATTTATTTATTCGATTGAACATTTACCCAGAGGGGAGATGCCCCGAATCGGTCCGGAGGGCGATCCCGCAGAAGCGTTCCGCTTGGTCGAGCGCGCGTTTCGACCCACGCGCGTAACTCGCGCAAGCCCCGCGTCTTACGTAACGCGCTCGCTTAGCCGCTCGCTGCGGCGAGGCGCACAGCGGAATCCAACCGTTCCCGCTCGCCCTCCGCGGCCGTTTGCACCGGATGACAAGGGAAACGGACGAGCGGCGGCGGCGGCGGCGGTACGCCCTATGAGAACGTGACATTTCGGCGACCTAGACTCCCGGGAGCAGCCGTCGTTCCCTCTTCGAGGGATTCGCGCTCGCTCTCGCCCGACGACCGTGACCGTTCCGCCCCGGTCGGTTCCTTCTCTTTGCGACGTCGTTGTCTCCGCGACATGCGACGAGCCGGCGAACGCAAAGTGGAGCGACTGCCGCCCGGCTCGTTTCGAAGGTAAGAACTAAATCTTTGAGGATGGGATGGACTCGAGGGCGAAGAAAATTCAGCGGAGAATGGACGGATGGGAAACCCGCCAAAGGCGAGGATTCCCTGGGTCCCCGTCGACAAAGACCTCGATCTCCCCCGATAAGAATCGCAGCGACTCGTTCGACGCGGCGGCTTCTGGAGCGAATCGACCCAGATTCCGGATTCTGGGTTCTGGCGTAACGAGGGGTTACGTCAGAGGGCGGGAAACACGCGCACCTCTCCGAAGAGGCGGTCGAACCGCTTCCGTTCGACCGCCGAGCGAGGCACCCTTCACCGGATTCCGCGCTCCCGAGAGCTTCGCACGCGAGCGGTGGATCGGCGATGGCCGCTCGGTAAGTGGAAGTCGGTCGCTCGGCGCTTTCGTCACCGGACGCGATCGGCCGTGCCGTTCGGAAGGAGAAGCGGGTTCTCCGCCGAGCGAAACTGGGCCGCGCGCGAACCGGTGCCGTTGCGCCCCTCCTTTCGACCTCGACGCCGACGACGTCGGCGACGCCGACGAAGCCGACGACGCCGATGGCCGCGACCTACCGCAACCTCTTCCGCCTACCTCTCCGTCGCGACCGGAGTCCTCCGGGCCCCGAGCCCGGTCGCGCGCTTTCTACGCATTCACCGTTCGGCGTGACTCACCGGCCGCCGTCTCTCTTTCTCTCTCCTTCTTCCTTCTCGCCCGGAAACCCGAGCATTCGTCGCCCCCGCGAATCGACCATGGACGATCCGCGTCGAGAGTTCTCGCTCGACTCTTTCTCCGAGAGGCGTCCCTCTCCCTCCCGCAATGTCGGTTTTCGCTTCTTCGTCCTCCCGTCTTACGTAAAGCGGAGCGCCCGGGTCGCCGCGGAGAACCGCAACGCAGTCACCGAGGGCGATCAAATCTCCAGGAAGCGACGGCGCCTCGGCTTTCCGAGAGCTCGGTCGAGGACCGTCGAAATGTCCAAAAGCGGGCGTTGGCCGCCTCGCGGAGGCGGTTCCCCTGGTTCCGCGTGCGAAGCCTAGCGACCGTCGTCGCGGAAACGAGAACTGCTGCGCCGGCCGCTTCGCGGTTCGCCCCGCGAGGAAAAATCGAGCACGGTATCGAGATACGCCGAGAGAAAAGATGGAAACGCAAAGGGAGAGAGCGAGAGGAACGGCGGCGGGAAACGGAGCAAGAGGGGGCGGGGACGCGATCGCGCGAGACTATTTTACATGTCGGTGCAACACACGTTGGACGCGTTATACAACCTTTAACGATACATGGATTGTATATTATAAAGGTGGACGGCATGTGCCGTATCGTGGGTAAATAGAGTACGGTAGGTGTGGCGACGGAACGGTGGACGGCCATTGGCTCCTATTGGCGGGGTGGTCGGTCGAAATGAAAGTGAATTCCCTATATAAAGGGTGGTTTTCCGCGAATGCTTTGGACTCGATCCGATCGACCCGCAGAGCCGTACACCCGAGTTAAGGACGCGCACCGTCGACATGAAACTGCTGGTACGTCGCCGACCGCCCTCGCGATAACCGCCGTGTAATCGCCGTGTAACAGTCGCCGTTCGTCCTTAGGTCTGCCTGATGCTGGTCTCGGCGACCTTCGCCGCGGAGGAGAAGACCGTGAAGAAGCGCGGCCTCTACGGCGGGAGCGGCTACGCCGGCGGCCTGGAGTACGGCGACTACGGCGGCTACGGAGGATACGGAGGATACGGAGGATACGGAGGATACGGCCACCAGACGGTCCACGCCGTGACCGTGTCCAAGGCGGTCCCTGTCCCGTACCCGGTGCCGCAGCCCTACCCCGTGCACGTCGACCGCCCGGTGCCCGTCAAGGTAAGTCGCGACCCTCCCCGCCGTTGCCCCGACCGACTCTCCGCTTGCGGCTTCCAGGTCCCGGTTGCCGTTCCGCACCCGGTCCCGGTGGCGGTGCCGGTCCCGCAGCCCTACCCCGTGGTGCAGACCAAGACGGTGACGGTGCCCGTGGACCGCCCGTATCCGGTCAACGTGCCGGTGAAGGTTCCCGTCCCGGTGCCCGCCCCCTACCCCGTCAAGGTAAGTCCCCGTCGAGTCCCCGTCGACCGACCCTCTGACCGACTCGCCTCTTCCTCCGCAGGTACCGGTGGCGGTCCCGCACCCCGTCTACGTCAAGGAGAAGGTTCCCGTCTACGTGCAGTCGTACGGCCACGGCCACGACTTCTACTAGGCCCGAAGACGCCGGACGCCGCCTCTTCGTCTCTTCCATCGCCACCGCGCCCCTCGTTGTAAAATCATAAGACATTTTCTATCGATCGACTCGTGGATTTACTCACCTCGTTTTTCCGTTCCTTTATTCCCCGCCGTATAAATAAAAACGCGACGATTCCTCCTCGAGGCTGCGGCCGCGAAGAGGTCCTCGAGGGGAAGGCGCCAACGGCTTCGAGCACCTTTTCGTTCCTTTGTCTCGCCCGAAGGCGAGAACCATCGGTCGGTCGTCAGGTCCGGGCCGCAACCGGAGTCCCCGGAAAGCCGTCGCCTCTTCTCGGTGACCGGGAGGAAAAAATCATCCACGGCTAACGAGCGAGTCCCGTTCTAGCGACGAATCTTCCGGACGCCGAAAGGTCGACCCGAGGTTCGCTCGTCCTTTTGAGACGCGCTCCCTTTCCGCGGGCGGCGCGCACCTTGCCAAATGTCATATGCAAATTCCTCCGGGCCGATCGGTCGAATTCCGAGGGACTCCCGGACGTCGAGTCGACGTCGTTTTGCGCCAGACCGAAACCTCCATCGAGGAAACCCGATTCCAGACGAGACCGGGTCCCCCCCGTCCTGTCCCTCGCGAACCGCGGAGTCACGGGTCGGGGCCAGGGGGCTGATTCCGTATCTCCGGCGAGAGTGCTCGCGAGAGTTTGTTTACCCGATTCGGCGTCTTCCGAACAAAAAGACTCCTATCAACCAAGACCGAAAGGACGGTGAATGGGCTCCTTCCCGTTCGTCATCGGATATTATCGATATGGCCGCGTAGGTCACGTTAGCCTCCAATGAATTTCAGTCATTCGTCGCGGTTCCTCGTCGAGTACTCTTACGGGAATTATTTTACGTTTTCGCCACGGTGAAAGTTACGCAATCGGGGGAGGTGCTCTCTTTTTTCATTTCCCCTGGATTCGAGTTGTGGAGTTGCGGAGTCGGGCGCCGCCGCGACCGCCGTGTCCCGAAGGGGGCAGAAGGGGCCAGAAGGGGGCGCGCGAGACGGGCGGGGCCGGCGGGTTGCGCAACCACCGAACGCGGACGCGATTTCGGGGGCCACCGCCACTCGGGAGGGTTCGCCGCCGGTATATAAGGACGGATCTTCGCGGGACTCTTCAGTAACCCAGAAGAAGGCAAACTCCGCATCATGGACGCCAAGGTAACCCCCGCGGTCGGACGAATCCTTCCGATTTTCTAAACTCCCGGGTCGCTCGGGCTTCCAAAGGGAACTGGTCGCGTTGGGTAGCTTAAGAGTTGACGAAACGATCGTCGTTGCAGTGGATAGCTCTCTTGGCCCTCGTGGCCCTGGTGGTGGCCCTGGCCGTGGCCGAGGAGGCCGGTGCGAAGGAGACGACGAAGGACAAGCGCGGACTCTACGGCCTCGGATACGGAGCGAGCGCTTACTCTTCTTACCCATCGTACACCATCGGCGAAGGCATCTCCACAGTTGTCACGAAGGAGGTGGCGGTCCCCGTGCCGCACCCGGTCGCCGTTCCGGTCGAGAGGCGCGTTCCGGTCCCCGTCAAGGTACGACGAGGACGGTCGACGAGAGGTGCCCGGAGCGAGGTCGATTCTAACGCGCGTCCCCTTTCGTTTGTCTCGCAGGTGCCGTACGCGGTGCCGGTGGACCGGCCCTACCCGGTGCCCGTGCCCAAGCCCTACCCCGTCGAGGTGACGAGGCACGTCCCCGTCCCGGTGGACCGGCCGTACCCCGTGCCCGCGCCCTACGCCGTCAAGGTCCGGGTTCCGACACCCTACGCCGTCAAGGTGCCCCAGCCGTATCCGGTGGCCGTGCCGCAGAATCTGCTGTACAGCAAGTACCGGGGCGCCACCGGCTACTCGACGTGGTCGTAGTCTGTCGCTCGAGCATCGCCTGGATTTCCCTCCCTTTCGTGCCGTCTGGATCGCGCTGGCTCTACGTCGAATAAAGGATACCCAAATACCGTGAGAAAAAAGCATCCGTTGCAGTCGACGACGAGTGGACACCCCTCTCCCCGTGCCCCTAATACCTTCTCCTGCTCCTCTCTCTCTGCCGCTCGCGAATCGAGGGACGCTCGGATCGTGCCGGTGAAATTTCGGCCCGAAAAGACGTCGAAACTCTCTGTTGCGACACGGCGCATGAACTCGAGGCGGTTTTTCGTCCGGATCGGGAGGAAACCAGATCGGCACGCGGGGCGGTCGCGGATTCCGCTTTCTAGTTGGACGGGGGAAGGCGACTCGGCCGATGCGTTCTACATCCTTTGACATTGAATTCGCCGAGCGCTGGTACGGGCACGGTCACGTCGTCGAGTACCTTTCGTATCTCGTCGTTCCCCGAGTTTCCGGTCGTGTACTCCCTCGCGGAGTACCTCGCATCTCGACCGAAAGACTCTCGTAGCGAAAGCTGGATCGCTGGGAGTGCTCGCTTTCGGCTTCTTTGCTAAATTCTGAGGTGGATGGAGAGACACGGCGTTCAAAGTCAACAAGATTTATTTCATTTTGTTTGGTACATGGAACGGAATTCCTTCCGACCGAGAGACGGGGTCTCGCCGGACGGGGGAAAAAAAGTCAACGATGCCTCTCGGGCGAAAACTTAACGAGGACTGGACGACCCGACCGGGCGGATCAGGGCTCGGCCGCGTAATCGGGCTGGGAGGCTCGAAACCCGGGGTGGCCAGGGTAGCCGGAGTGGCCGGATTGGTCGGGGTAGCCGGGGTGACCGGCCCCGACCGCGTAGACGCCGTACGACCTGGTCTCGTGCCCTTCGTGGCCGACCTCCTCGCTGTCGGACGAGAAACCGCCGCCCTCGCCCTCCTCTCCGGTGTGCCTCGGGTACGGGATCGGGTGCGGGACCGGGTAGTAGACCGGCTTGCTGATCGCCACGGGCTGCGGCACGGGCACGGGGTGCGGGATCGCCACTGGCTTCGGGATCAACAACGGCACGTCCTGGTGCAGCTCCACCGGCACCGATTTGGACACCTCCACCGGCACGTGGTGGGGCACCTTGATTATCTGCGGCACCGGCACCGCCACCGGGTGGTTGACCGGCACCGGGACCGGAATGTGGTGCGGCACCTGCAAGCGGAACCGATTAGAGTCGATTCGAACGCACCCGGGGCGACGCGGGCGGGTCTCACCTTGACTGGGTACGGCACCGGCACCTTGACGGCGACCGTCCTGGTGACCTTGATGATCTTGGTGGGAACCTCGTGCAGGTGAACGGACTGCGATATCAGCTTGGGATGGACGCCGAGGCCGTGGCCGCCGAAGGAGGACAGGTGAGAGGCCGTCGTCGTCGCCGTCGCGGCTAGAGCCGACGCGACTAAAATCTGCAACGAGACCTCGGTTGACGCTTTCTCGCGGCGCGACTTTCTCGCTCCTGGGAAGGATCGGCGCGCTCTCGTTTCCGAGTCGCTCTCGCCTCACCGGGGGGAAGAGCACTTACGAATCCGAACATGTCCGCTGGGTGGACCCTGGACCTGGAGGGACCTGGGATCGGGGGCTGGTGTTCCGGGGAGACGAGCCGCACTGACACGTCCTGGGCGAGCCGACCTCTTATATACGAGGACCTTCACCGAGTGCTCGCCGAAGAAAGCACTCTCTCGAGCTCGCGTTCGCCTAGCCGCCTCTTCCTTTTTTCTTTCCCCCGATCCGCTCACTCCCGGTCGCCTTTGGAGAGGTCCTTCCCCTCCGGAAGTCTCCTTTTCCGTCCGGCGGACCGCGTCGGACCGGATCATGCCGCGCCTCCGCTCCGCTCCGTCCTGCGGAGGACGCGCTCCCTTCTTTCCCTCCGCGACCGGCCGCGCGACCTCGCGAGGAAACGTTTTCCGGAAGCGGCAGGAGGGCGACTCGACCGCAGCTGGGAAGCGATCCGAATCGCGGAGAAACCGGTCCGACACAAAAGCAAAAGTCGAGCCATTATTTCCACGATGGTCTTTCTCCTCTCACTTTCGCGCGGCCGACTCGGAAACGCCGACCGTGGCGAATCGCGAGCGGGAGGATCGATCGAGTCCGAGACGGACGTCGCCTCGGACTCGATAGGTCGGAGCTCCGAGGGACGCGTTTCCCCGATTTCCGGATCGAGTGGACCGACGTCGCCCCTGACGCCCGGCAACCCGGCGGTCGCGCATGTATCTCCGGTCTGCCGCTCGGCGCGTCTACGGCGAAATGGAAGGGAAAGTCGATCCTCTTTTACATTTCCATCGACCGTTCGCCTCTTTTCTCTCGGCGTTTCTTCTTCTCGGAGCGCGCGCGAACGAGCGGCGAGCGAGGGAGGGCTTTTCGAGGAAGGAAAACTTTCCGATCGATTTGCCAACAATCGAGAGCGACGGTCGTTAATCCAGCCGTTCGGCGTTGCTTAATTGACGCGATCGGCGCGGGTCGCTATCGAGAGCCGCGACGAAACGCAGGTGCGAGCAGCCGAGAGGAAGAGGACCGCGATCTCGACCCGATGGGATGGCCCGATGACCGGTCGGCTGCGAGGAGGGACATGATAACTACCGCAGTGGTAAGCGCGCCAACCTCTTTCCCCTCCCGCCTCGCGCTGCAGTGGCCGAGCTTTCAGGCGCTGCTGTGTCTGGGAGGGGCACTCGCCTTCCCGACGCCGAGGCGCACCGAGCAGGAACGGATCGGCTTCGGGATGGCCGGCCGCGGCGTCCTGGTGCTGCGACGTCGGCCCGCCGCTCCCGATTACGGCGACGACGATGGGCTCTGCGTTCGGCTGGACGAGGACGAGGAGTGTCCAGGGAGCACCGCGACCACCTGTAAGTCGACCGCCGACGAGCGCCTCGCCGTCGTTCCGAAGGGTCCAAAACGTCCGAAATGTTCGCAGGTCCGCCGCAGCCGCCGACGACGACAACGACGACGACGTGCGCCCCGACCACCGGTAACCGGAAGCGGCCGACCGAGTCGGGGCCGAATCCGGGACGTAATCGCCTCTCGTTTGTGATGTTCCAGAGGCCGCGAGCAAGAGCCCTCGGCATCGCTGCATCTGCCCGATCGACATCGTCCCCGGCTGCGCCTCCTCGAGTAAGGGACTCGCCCCGGTCGGCTCCCTCGAGACTCCGGCTGTATCTCTCTGCGTTCGCGTCCACAGGTTGCTGCTGCCTCTCTCTCTCCTTGTTTCCCTCCCCGTGCGCGGCGTCCTTCGCCTCGTCCTCTTCCGGGGAGCCGAGAAGGAATCCGCGCGGGCGCCCGGAAGACCCGGAGGGGCAGGCGGACGTCGAGGAGTCCACCGCGGCGGCCGACCTCTACGAGGAGGAGGGGAGGGACGACCGAGAGGAGACTTCGCCCGCGGGGGACCTTGTTCGCTCGGGGAAGGATTCGGTAATGTACCCGATCTTGGTCGCTTCCGTGGACGCGCGGCGTCCCGACTCTCTCGGGTACGCGTCAAAATCTGTCCTTCAGCGCAGAAGAATCCGGGCGTGACGATCGAGACCCTGGCGAGACCCTGGCGAAACCTCGCTTGGAAGGAGAAGCGCAGCGTTTGCCGTCTTCGAAACCACCGCGGAGAAACTTTGGCCGTTCGCGATTCGGAGGATGCAGTCGTCCTTGAAGGCTTCCAGGATCTCCGCCGGAGGGAACGGCTCGTCCGCCATCGGGGCCCGCGGACTCTGACGAATCGAGAAGAGTCGCAATAAAGTGACCGGTCGATCGTCCCTGTGATCGCTCGAGACGCGAGCGAGGATGTTTCCTTTCGTTTGTCTTTCCGCCATCCCGCCCCTCCGGACGACCCGAACGGGTTCGGATTCTCTAAGGCCGGTCTCGGCCTCGTCTTTCAAAACATCCCGACCGCGGCGCCATTCCTCGACAGTCCGATCGCCCCCGACTCTCTTCCCCCGAAGTGGGGAGGTCGATGCCGGAATCCGAAAGGGGAATAGCGTTTTTCGAAACCGACGCGTCCGCTTTCTAAGAGCGCATCCGTTATCGCGACTCGATTCTCGACGTTTCGCAAAGCCCGGCTTTCGTAATCGTCGGGGCATTCGGCCCCCGCGCGGAGGGCGGGAGGGGGAAAAATCGCGCTTCCGCGTTATCGGGTCGGTTCCCTTCGGATGTCTCGATTCTCGCGGATCCTAGAGGTAATCGGCAACGGAGCCGAGAGGGGCGCGGTGCGCCAGACGAAACGGGAGCGAGGGGAAAAAATGTCGCAATTTGCATAAATCGGAGACGCCCGATGAAGGCGACGACGGAATCGTCCTCCGATCTACGACGTCCGCGGGCCGAGGGGGGAAGGGAGTCGATTAAAAATCTAGTTCTGCCAATGCCAACCTATTACGAAATCTCGCGGGAGGAGCATCGCTTCGTATAAAAGGTCGAGATCGCTCGGGATCGACGGTCAATTCCAGGCAAATCGCCATCCGGTCATCATGAAGCTCCTCCTGGTGGTGAGTCCTTCGGTCGCCTCTATATACCGGGAATCGCGCGCCTCGGGACGAGGTCGAGGACGCTTCCGTCCTCCCGTCTTTCCCGCGGCCACGCGCGGAATCCAGCTTGCGTAATTTCTTCCAAAAATTCCCGTCGATTGCGTCAACGATCCTAAACTCACGAATGGCGAGGCATCCAGCTCGGTCGTTCGCTCATCGGCGTTTCGTTCGGTCGAAGGTCTTCCTCGTCGGTGCGGCGTCGACCGCACCCTCGGACAAGCGGAAGAGGGACGTCCTTCCCGGGGATTCTCGGTACAGCGCCGACGGCCGCCCCGGACACGGCTATCACGAGAACGAGATCGAGATCTCGAGGGCGCTGGGTGGATACGCCGGCTCCTTCTCCACCGTCGATCGGCTGGCTCCGAAGACCCGGTACGGACCTCCGGATCACCAGCCCGGCAAACCCATCGGCGGCGACCGCTACCTGGCTCCGGCGGTGGAGACCGTCGCGAAGACCGTCGTCGCCCACTCGACTCCGGTCACGTCTTACGGAACCCCGGTCGAGAAGGCAAGTCTTTCGATTTCGGTCGGTCCCTCCCTCCGGGGCTAACGATCGCGTTCTTCGTCGACAGATCTCCCCGGACGACCAGCCACGAGCCGCAGACGAGCACCTGACTCCCGCCGTGTCCACCAAGTCGGAAGTGCTGCACGAGCAACCGGAGGCGAAAGAGCAGACGACGGTCGTGGAGGCGAAGACCAACCAGGTCTTCCGGAAGGTGGCGGCGCCAGGTACGGCAAACGACCGGTCCCCGCTCCCCTCTCCCCGCGGAATCCTGACGATCGCGCAATTTCCAGAGGGCGGACTCACGTTCGCGACGGGCCTGGGAGGGTCCCTCTACTCCGTCGGCGACATCGGATCCGCGGGCCTGGACCGCTCTTTCCTCTCGGCGGGCCCCTCGTCGTTCCACCGCCACCAGTCGGCGGTCCCCATCGAGACGGTCGACAGCCACGTGACGGTCCACGTGCCTCGACCCTACCCGGTCCCGGTGACGAAGAACGTGCCATACCCGATCCCCGTGCCCCAGCCCTTCGAGGTCCCGAGGCCCTACGCGGTGCGCGTCTCCCAGCCGGTCCAGGTGACCATCGACCGGCCTGTCCCGGTCGAGGTTCCCCGGCCGGTGCCTTATTCCGTCCCCGTGCCCGCTCCCGCTCCGGGATACTACCATGCCTCCCCGGAGCCGCAGTTCCCCTCCTTCCCGCTGCCGGACTTTGGAGCGCCGCAAATTCCCCAGATCCCTTCGATCCCTTCGATCCCTTCGATCCCCCAGATCCCCCAGATCCCCCAGTTTCCGTCCTTCTCGGTGCCGGAACTGCCTCAATTGACGCTTCCCCAAGAGGTTCCTAACGTTCCGGTGGTCTCCGACGCCAAGGTGGTTCACAGTGCCGCTCCCACCTACGGCGTCCCCGTCGGCCCTCTGGCCCACGAAATCCCGAGCTTCCCGGTGGGCGAGTTCCCCCAGTCGACGGTTCACCAGGAGACATCGAACGCCCCGGTGGTCACGGATGCCAGAACGGTCCACGTTGGAAAGACCGAAGTCTCGAGGGCCGGCCAGACGTACGCCGAAAATGGTGGTTACGTTTATTAGGGTGACGTGGCTTCGGTCGTTTTCGTCGAAACGCGCGCAAGAGGCCCGGGATCGTCCGAGGGCTGTCGCCGGTTTCGTCGAGCTCCCGACGACGGGAGCCGAAACCAAGAGAAAAGGGAAACGACGAGCCGATGTACAGAGATGGGACGGATCCCCGTTTTAGCCGCATCTAGCGTCCAATGGCGGAAATTCGTACGCTGGACGAAACGAACTCTTTTTCCGCGTCGGTTCCTTGCCGTAATCGCGGACCCAGTTTCGCGTAGGAGGTATCGTCGAAACGATCCACCCCCAAGGACGTGCCCGTCCTGTCGTCTCTTTTCCATAACGGACCTTTCTGTGCGTAAATAAAAATGATTTATTAGAACCGCCGGATGTTCGAGCGATTTTACACGGAGAATCGGGAGATGGATTCGAGCGTTCGAATCACCACAAGCGACACTTGTCGACGGGATTCATTCCCGAACCCGCGGGGCACTTCCACGCCTGGCTGAATTCTTTCGAGTTCCTCAAGACGCCTAAAAGTCTGACGTGACCTGGACAATGAGGGTCCAGCAGCATCCACGGTATCGATGTCGGGGTATAGTCTTCGCACCACAGCTGAAACGGACGACGGCGTTATCGTTCGGTCGAATCCACCCGGGGAACGCCCCATCCACTTACGTGTCCAAATGCTACGAAGAAGAGCTGCTCGTGAGTCAGATCGGCGAATCCTGGGAGCAAAGGTTCGCTTCCGTGTCTGGCTAACCATCTCCCGTAGGCGAGCAAAGCCTCTCTAAGGCCGCCGTTGTCGGCGATGTTCTCGCCCAAAGTCAATTCGCCGTCGACGTAGAGGCCGACCTGGTGGGGGAGGCCTCAATTAAGCCCTCGTTCCTAGGTCGAGTACCCGGCCCGGCGAGTTTACCTCCTTCTCGTAGTAGCTTCCGTAGTGCTCGACGAAGCAACGGGTCCTCTCGGTGTACTCGAGTACGGTGTCGTTGGACCACCACTGTCTCAAGTTGCCGTCACCGTCGTAATGCCTTCCGCTGTTGTCGAATCCGTGTGTCAGCTCGTGTCCGAGGATGGTACCGATGGCCCCGTAATTCAAGGCCCTGCGCAAACACGTCGGCTCTTAGAGACCTACTCCTCGGCTCGTTCGGCTTCCACTTACTCCAGACCCAAATCGTAAAACGGGAATTGCAGAATCCCGACCGGCACGGCTGCGTCCGCGGGGGTAACGTTAAAACGGTTAGCGGGGCCGATCGTACTTCGGTAAAACGGAGAAATCCGGGATTTGAGATATGTCGGGTACTTTGCCGATTACTTACTTATTTGATTCGCCTGGAAGGTGTGGAAGGCATTGACGTCGGTCGGTTCGGTAACCCAGCTGTCGAAAAACGTGATTCTCTGCGCTTTAGGGAGGAGACGCAACGAACGTTAAGCGGAAGACTTACTAAGTCTCGTTCGCAAGATTCTCCGCTCGCAGGTTGGAGAGGTCCTCGCGACTCCTTTGTCGCACGATCTGCAGCATGTTCGCCAGGTACGTTTCTTCCGACAAACTGATCTAAAAGCGATTTAACGTTACGGACGTCCGATCGCCGCTTGGCGCATTTGCCAGAGAGAGACGAGGACACGTTACGTTTCCGTAATACTGGTCGATCCGTCCCTCGAGGAAGAGCCACTCGGGGTAGCCGATGGCCGAGGTCATCTTCTGGTTCTTCTCCAGGGTCGCGAGTTTGGTGCGGCCGTCCATCCAGTCGGCATCGACCACCAGGGACGCGAAGGCCGCTCTGATGTCTTCGAGCATCTCGCTCACCTTGGGCCCTTTCTCCTCGCGAAAGGTCGGCTCCACGAAGAGCCACGACACCGCCATTCCTGGGGGAAGGCGCAATGAGCGACGCCTTGAGAACCTCGGGCGAGGATCGCCTCGAGGAAGAGGCGCCGCGGGCCTTGGACGGCCCTTCCGGCCCGGACGCGACGCACTCGACCGGGAAACCGGCCTGGCATTTCTTACGATTCCGGCTCACCCATCAGATCGTTGACGGAATTCGCGCATTGCAGCGACCGAGGCTCCCCCACCTCAACGTCCGTTAACCGGGACACGTATCTGGACCAAGCTCTCCTCAAATTCGCCGAAGAGTGCGGCACCAGGATGTCGACGACGACCCACCAAATCATGGTCTCTGGAACGGAATCGCGGTTACTCTCGAGACGTTCCGGCCCTCGGCAGCGATCGGTCCTACCCAGAGTCCGTTTGTCGGTGGAGGAGAGGATCAGAGCGACGTCCTGCAGATATTGGAGGTCGCCTATCAGAACCTTGTCCCTCCGGGAAAGGTCCAAGTTCGGGGTCCCGTCCAGCAGTTCCTCGAGGAAGGGTCTCCAGATCGTCGCCGGGGTCAAGGACGAGTTCGCCTCGGCGACGTAGGCGTCGGTCGACCTTTGCAGCTCGTCCGCCAGAGCGTAATCCTCGTCGCCGAGACTCTCCTCCTCCGACGTCTCGTTGTCGCTATTTCGGAACATCTGCAAGAATCGAGGAGTTAGGAGGAGGCGTTTCCTCGGCCGACTCGACCGGTCGACCAGATCCAGTCTATCGATCACGTACGAGGTACATTCTCTCGCTGAGAGCGTAGATCTCGTCGACGACTTTCTCCACGTCTTCATCGAGGGGAAACGAGCCGGATCGATTGGCGCGGCAAACGTCGTAGGTCCCGTTGCCGAGTACTTCCTTGATGACCTCCGTCATGTAAACCCTCTCGGCCGAGGGTTCGTCTTCCTCGGCCTCTCGAGCATGCCCTTTCGCCCTCTCGGCCCTCTTGTCCAGCTCCCTGTCACTGAACGGATACGCGGATCGGTACCTACTGGTTACGGAATCGACGTTTACCGAGCCAAAATCGGCACCTTGGCAAGGGACTGTCCGTCGTCGGCGGGCCGAGTACTATGACGTTCCTGCTTCCGTTTCTGGGATCCGGGATAATGTCGGAGCCGAAGAAGACGTCCCTCCCGAGAACTCTCTTCACTTTGGCCAACAGCTCGACGTAATTTCCCGTCTCGTCGGTGAACGCGGCAGGAACCAAGGGAAGACCGAGTTCCCCAAGAAGAGCAACGATCGGCTGGAGACCCAGGGAGTTTATGGAATCTGGGGAAAAATTCGACGTGGACGTCACTTCGACGGGGTCGTCTCCGGTGGCAACCGGAGTTACGTTGCCCGACCGAACCCGGGGAACCGGCGGAGGCGCACGCGACGAACCTATATCCACGCAACTGTCGTACAACTTTTTCGCCTGACGAACGGCCCACGGAACCTCGGTCGCGTTCGACTCTCTCCTCAGCAGATCTCGAACGATCCTGGACGTGCGGTCGGCTCGAACGCTGAACCAGGAGTTCGTCGACCTGGAGTCCGGAGTCGGGTGCTCCCGTGGCCATCTTCCGCAGACGAATCTGCAAGGGAGACGAAGGAGAGTCCCACCCGAGCGTCCCCGAAGGCGGACGGCGTTACTCACTCGTAAAAGTCCTCGCAAGGATCCGCGGACGCGTCCATGGATTCCTTCAGGCTAGCAGCTGCGCGACGCAAAGTTGCATGAGTCCTCCGGGGTCCGGGCATGGCATGGCTCGAGGAAGAGGAGAGGAAAGCTCGCTTACCTATTCGCACGCACTCCTCGGTGTCGCACAGCCTCGGTCTTCGGCCGAACCGACCGACTGAAACGGGTAAACACGGTTTAAGGAAGTCCGTCGGCAGAAATCGGTCGCTCCTCACCCAGGACCGAAAGCACGACGACGGCTGCGAGGAGGGCGATCATCGGCACGGCCAGGACCGCCGGAAGGAAGCACCGCGCCTGTTTCCTCTTCTTGAAGCTGCGGAAAGGGAGGAGAGGAAGGTCAGTCCGCGCAGTGGACGCGCGCGCCGTAGGTCGGAGGTGCGTACTACGTGTCCCTGGATTTGACCGGAACCAGGCTCGCCCGACTACCCAGGGAGTAGACCGAGGACGTCTCGACGGGCGGGAAGGACGAGGCCTCCGAGGATTCTGCCGAAGACCGTTAAGAGCGTTAAGAGCGTTAAGAGCGTTTGGACCGCTTGGACCGTTTGGATCGTTTGGACCGTTTGGACCGTTTGGACCGTTTGGACCGTGTGGACCGTTTGGACCGCACAGACCGAACTCAAGCAGCCAAGTTCGTACTCACTGTGTAGGTCGTTCATGTCGAGTGGCCCACTGACCGGATCGAACTGGCGACACCGAACGACCCGGAGGGACAATCGCGCTTCCTTGTATTTACGTTTTCCGCCCGAGCCAGTGGTTCTCTCCGTCGCGCCGTCGTCCACTCCTGGTTGACGCAACGGTCGCGGAAACCACCGACGAGCCAACGATTTTCCTTTAAATGGCCCCTGCGCGTTTCGACCGACGCCGCGCTCGTTTCCCTAGGATTTCCGTCCGAGTCCCGAGGGCCCGTCGAGGCGTTTCCCCGTCCAGGTTGGGGCGGAGGGACGCGATCGACCCGGAAATCGAGTCGAGCATCGGGCGACACCATAGAGGGCAGGAAAAAATAGAGAGAGAGAGAGTAGGGGCGGACTCGAGTCGTTAGCGATACGATTATCGAGGAGAGTCCGTCGCGCGTCGATCGACGATACGAATCGCTAGGACCGCCGATAAGGAATCGATATCGTGAATGTACGAAAACAGCAGGTGCGGGATCGCCGTGGGAACGTGGACGAAACTCGGCGATACGGATCGGATCGAGCCGTAAAACCGTTCGTAAAGAAAAATTCCGCGAGACGTAATCGTAGCCGGTAGCGGGGAGCATGAATTATTCAGCCGATTGCAACCGCGAGCAAACAGCAATTTGCGCGGGGTCGCTCGCGAGGAGGAAAATCGAAGGAAAAAATCGATCGACTGGTCGGACGTAGGGAGCGGGTAGTCGCGACGATCGGCTCGTCGAGGACTCGAGGGCAACCCTTCGAGCCGATCGGTTCGGCGAGAAACGCTCGAACGGAGAGGCCGGAGGAAAAGATCGCGGAATCGGAGCGGGGGCTCGCGTCCGTTCCCCAGTCGTAACGTGCCGCTCGCGGCGGATCCGACTCGCCCCGGGCGGATTCTGCAGTTCTCCCATTCCCTGATCCGCGGTCGGCAATCTCTCTACGGGAACCGGAACGCCTCGGTCCGAATCGCGGCGACTCGGCGGAATTTTCCTCCGGTCGGCCGGGGAGATCGCGGAGATCGAGGAGCGTTTCTCACGTCCGGTCGCGACGCCGCCACGCCGCGCCACCCACGGTCATCAACCGTGTTTGGACGAGGCGTCTCCCTGGCAACTTCCAATTGATTCCCGGCTTCCGGCCGATTCGACGAACGGTCGAGCTATATGCGCGCTCCCCTGACGGGCTCGAGCCCTTTCCGACCGACAAAGCCGAAAGGGAGGAAGGGAGGAGGCCGGAAGCAAAGAACGCTCGACTTACTATCGCGAGACGATAAAAAATCGAGTTTTATTAGAAAATAAATTAAAAGTGGTCCGGGTATCGGTGGTTGGGGGTTGGGGGTATACGCATTAAAGAAGAGAGAAATATACAGGGTTTAGGGGCTCAAGGTGTCGTGGTGTCTTCTTCGATATCACATGCCGCACAGGAAGAATACACGTGGTCCGAATGGGGGTCGGGAGGGGTAGAGAGAAGTACGTCTGCCGGTGGTTGGTCGGTCGCCTGGTCGTGGGTCCCGGGGGTGGCTGGGCGGTCGCCTCGCCACTGGTGCGGATCTACCAGGGGTGGTGTTGCACGGGCTTCACCTTGATCTCGGGCTCGTGGTAGACCTCGTAGCCGATGAGATGAGGGTGGGGAACCTTGGGGTGGTGGAGGGGCAGCCTCACCGACTGGGTGTGGGGGACCTTGACGTGCAGGGGCTGGGGGTGCAGAGGCGGCACTGGCGCGGGCGGGGCCACCTGGACCACGTGGTGGTGAACGGGAGCCTGGAAAATACCGTGAGTTACCTCCTTCTGTCCGTCTCTCCCCTTTCGGGCGCCCCCGAGGGCACCCGGGCCGCTCCGAGCGGCCTCCTCGGCAACGCCGGGTAGAAAGCGTCGAGTCCCGAGCCTTTGCCCGAACGGGGGACCTCGGCCGGAAAGCGGCTCCGAGGACGGTGCGGAAACCCCCGCGAGCTCGTTGGGAGGTCGGCTCCCGTTAGCGTCCGGACAGGGAGAAGAACGAAACCGAACTCGTTTACCTGGTGCACTGGCACGACCTGCTTAACGTAAGTCGGATGTGCAGGTATCCATGGATGCTCGACGGGCGCGATCGGGATCTAAGCGCGTTCAACACAAAGACAAGTTTACATCCGTGGAGAGCGGACGGGCCCGGCGACCCTCTGGACGCCCGGGGGCCGTCGATGCCGTCGGTGCCGCCGGAGGCGGCGGACCCGACATCGCCCGCGATTCCCCTCCGGACCGACAGACCGCGACCGTTTCTCCGCCGTTTGATTCCACTCGACGCCGCGCTCGCGGATTACCCGGCAGACTTACGGCGAGTTGGTTGGATACTTACATGGCCCCAATCGCCCGGGTGCGCGCTCACTGCCACCGCAACGGCGAACAAAACGATCTGCAATCATGAGTCGAACGTTAGCGAGGGTACCGTGGAAACGTAGCGGCACCCTCGACAGGGCCGGGAAAGGGAGCGGGCTCGTTCGCCCAGGGAAAATCGTCCGCGGCTCGGGAGCGAGACGGACCGCGTCGGAATCTAGTCAAGACGGACGCGAACGCATCGCGGGGATCGCAGGAACCGCAGGAAAGAGATCAGGCCGAGAGTCGAGGGGCGCGCACCATCCGGGCCGGTGGCTGTTGGAACTTACGACCAGCTTCATAGTCGAGTTTTTCTTGGGCGGTACGCGGGAAAATACTACGTGTCCGAAGAACCGCAGCGTTAGCTTTTATAGGAGAGCTCTGCCCCGTGGGGGCCGGTGGGGGCCGGTGGGGGTCGGTGGGGGTCGGCGGGGGCCGCGCCGCCACCTCCGCCACGGAGACCCCTTTCACCGGCCGCGTCGCCCCTTCGAACCCCTTATCGGGCGCGCGAGTCCGGGCCGGCGCTCACTCGGGGTGCGGGCCCCGAAACGCGACCGCGACGCGGAAGGCCGACGCCGACGGTCCACCTTGGCACGGTTTGCCGAGCGGTCCCTTTTGGGTCGGCGACTCCCGGCTCCTTCCGGGTCCTTCCGAGTCCTTCCGGGTCCTTCCGGTCCCTCCGGAGACGTCGGCGCGACGCGGGGGACGGGCCCGGAGCCGCGTTGCGCAATCCGGCGTCGGCGTTAGCCGAGTTTACGATTGCTCGTGAACGACGTAAGACGCGTTATCGATCATTCGCGAGAAGGAGCCGTCGCAATTTAACCTCCGGAGCGAGAACGTTTCCGCCCAGGGAATTTTCGCGAAAGCGGCGATGGAAATCGCCTCGGCGCCGCCGGGAGGAGGAGGGCCGCGGGGGCGAGGGATGATTCCGGCGGGAAAGAAACCCGGGAAATCACGCGCCACCGCCTCCGCCGCGGCCGATTCCCGATCGCAGGTCGTTATTACCGACTTCTCCGTTGCGCAATCGCGCAATGCCTCCCGAGGCACCCCGTGCGCATACGCGGACGTTAACGTGCGCCCGCCTCGTTGCAAAATCGTGGAAAGTCGTAGTTCCGCAACGCATCGGGTGCACCCGGGCCCGAAGCGCCGCGACGCCCGGGTCGAGTCCGCCCCGACCCGTCCGCTCTTGCGGCAACCGTTGCGGCACCGCGCCGGTTCTCGATGCAACAAAAGGTTCGACTCGGCTCCGCGTTTCGAAACGAGCATTATTCCAGCCTATCTCGATCGGACGATCCGCGTAATTCGGCTCGCTTCCCGCGGCTTCTTGCGAAGTCGGCGCGTCGGAAGCGGGCCGGAAGAGAAGGGGCGGGGAGCGTTTCGCAAGGCGGCTCGGAACCGACGCCGGGACGGCCCGGTCGCTCCATACCCGGGAAACGTCGCGCTCGCGTCTTCTCCTTGTCCTTGGAGTTTCCCAGAAGCTCGAGGCGTTCTCTCGAGGGCAGAGATCGGCTCGATCGGATGCTTATGGCAGCCCGTGTCCTGGTATTCGACTCCGGCCGAACTGGAGCGCAGGACGAAGGACGAGCGAGCGTTTCGCAAAGCGGCCTGCTCCGCTGACCCGGCGAGCGAAGGACGAGTCGGCGACGTCGGTCGGGCCTTCGGGCCCATCCCGACGAGCCGCGGACGGGCCGCGGACGGGCCGCGGACGGCAACGACCGCTGCCGATGGATGGCTGGTGACGCAACCGCGCGAAAATCGTCTCCCTTCCCCGGGCGCTCGGGGAAAGCGGCTGCGGAGTCGGCCCTCCGCGAAGACCCTAACCGCCAATGGAACGGACCAAAGTTCCCCGCGGCCGCTCGGCTGCTCCAGATTCGAGTCCCAAGGATGGCGATTGCGCGAGTCGGACCCCGAGGCGGCGCGGATTCCCATATTCGCGAGAGCCGAGCCGAGTCGAGCCGAGTCGAGCTTGGCCGGGGCCGGAGGTCGGTCTCCGAACCCGAGGCGGCGGCGTTTTCGGCGTTTTCGGCGCTTCCGGCGCTTCCGGCGCTTTACGCGGCCCGGAAGAGAGGAGGTCCGATCGCGATAACCGGGGGCAACGACGTCGTAAAGAGTGGCGGGCCTCGAGCGGATTTTCCGATGACTGCATCTTCGAGCCGCCGAGCCGCCGCGGACCCGCCGGTTGCGCAATACCGTAAAGGCGTACCGGATACCAAGCTATATGACAATGTGATTTTCAGAACACCAATTATTTTTAGAAAGGGACCGTAACACTAATAACATCTAGCTGAAAAGTTTACCGTGGAATCCGGCAGCGCTTTATGCCTCGCAAGAACGCTCGCGGGAGATAATGCCCGTATTACGCGCGAACGGCCCTAGGTGACGGCCGCGCGGGCGAAACGCGCGAAACGCGCGAGTCGACGCTCTCGAGAGGAGGGTGGAAGCAAACCCGTGGCGGAACCCCGCGACGAAGGGCTGCGCTCCGACCTTGCTCATTCTTCGAAAGCTTTCGACGCAGCCGTTAAAAGGAATTAATTGACGTCGCGTTTGCGCGAGGGCCGTTCTTTCGTAATCGCGCCAAATTAAACGGCAAATAGTCTACGACCCGGGATTTCGACCTTTCCTTTCCCTTTTCTTTTTGCTCATACCGGTCTTGGAGGTTTAACGGCCCCGGGGACCGTACCCGAGGCCTGGAAAAAACCGCGGCGCGCGGCGTTCCAATGGACACTCCGCGTGTTCAAGGCGACGGTGTGCCCGACTTGCGATTAAACGTAAAACTCGCATGCTAGGTCTTTTCCGAGGAACGGAACGTTTCCGATGCAAACCTCTAACGATCGCGTCGTTCCCTTCGGGACGGACCGCCGATTCCGGACCGAAAGTGTCGCGATCGAATGTTGCGTTTAAATGAACGGTAATCCCTTGGACGAGTATCATCCGAAATATTTCTTGATCGCTTTGTCGCTGACGGCATTGCGAACGTCGCGCGCTTTTGACGTTTCGCGTAGCTACTTTAGTCAAGTCGAGTACCGACCGGCAGCAACAGGAATAGTTTTCGTCCATTGAATCAACATATCCCGATCACGATGAGTGCTTTCAACTTAAGATAAGAATTTTACTAAGTGCCAAGAAACTTTTATTTCTCGAGCACTTACCGTTTTTCTTCGAAACGGTTGCTCGAATGATTGGAAAATAGACCTCGGTTTGAGTAACGTTGCACCCAACAGCCAAGTAATATTCAAACGCATTTTCCAAGTACCGAACATCAAAATCGGTTCCTTCTCCTTCTACCAGGACCCATTCGACGAGATCTCTCGACTAATGGGATCCGCACGATCGTAAAAAGCCTGCTCGCTCGACTTTGAGGCAAGTAAACGGAGGTTTCTTGTCATTTCCCAATAGGTGGGTCCCTCGGTGTGAGACGATCTCGTTGCAAATGGCCGCCACCAGCCGCCACGTCAAAAAATCACATCACCGCAAAAAGATTTTGGCATTTCTTGCATTTCCGTTTTTTCCCAGTCTTTGAAATCTCTAATAACGTGAAAATTACCAGCATGTTGTCTTTGGATAGCAATGGAACTCTTCACGAGGAGGTGGGTACGATATTTACGGCTAGCTTGCGCTTGCACTGGCGTCATTTTCCCTACTTAGGTTATGTTATTATATATCGTTGTAATGTACGAAGGTCTTATATATTTGGCGATGCGCACTGATCTACAGATTCTCTCTCGCATGAGTACATATCGTGCTACTCCTAGTGTCAGCAGTCGTACGAATTTGAACCTGTGCCTCTTTAACCAGGAAAATCCTTCCGAAAATGGCTCCGATGATTATCCCAGAATTCCAATTCCATCGCTGGGTGGCCCAAAAGAATGGACTTATACAATGCGACGAAGCATGCAGGTAAAAAGATTGATACCAACGAGTGATACTTAAGATAGTACATCCCCCTGATATGGCGTATTTTATTGCTTTATCGTTATTACGTTGTATAGGAAGTTGTCCCAGGTTTATACCTTGGACCTTACAGTGCCGCTAGTCGATCTAAACTGCAAGCCTTGTTACAACAAGGAATAACTCACATCGTCTGTGTTCGCCAAAATATTGAAGCCCATTTCATTAGAGCAAATTTCCCAGATAATTTCAAGTTAGTACGATGAATAATCTATTTCTTTTTCATGCATTTATTAAGAATTAAAACAAAAACTGACATACCTGTTGTATGCAGGTATCTCGTTCTGGACATTGCAGACACGGCAACGGAAAACATAATTCAACATTTTCAGAAAGTCAAGGCTTTTATCGACGAAGGATTAAATTCCGGAGGCCAGGTCTTGGTTCACGGAAATGCTGGCATATCCCGATCAGCGGCACTGGTTCTTGCTTATGTTATGGAAACATATGGACTTACGCAAACGTTCGTTTTTTATCATAGCAAGATCAATTAACATTTATAGTAAGTACAATTTATAAATATATTGTTACAGGCAAGCTTATGCTATAGTACAGCAGAGAAGGTTCTGCATTAATCCTAACGAAGGATTCATGGCTCAATTGAGGGAGTACGAACCGATTTATCAGGCGCAAAAGACTTTAAGAAATGGCCAGCAAAGCTCGACAAGGCAAAGAAGCAAGAGGACGATCCATCAAATGGATGCAGAACGTACCGACGAAAGACCGGATGCAATGGACAGTTGATAGCGATCGTTGGGATGCTAACTCACCAAAAAGACTTACCCTAGACTAGCAAAATGAAGATAGACCAGACTCGGGTAGTGTACCAATGGAGCATTCTCTGAGGTACATTGGATCATAAAAACCGTGTCCCTATACTTACCGAACATTTTGGTCTTTATGCATAGCCGTCGAAAAATACATTAACAAGAGACCCTAGAAATTATGGCTAGACTGATCGATAGACTGTTTGCGTATCAAACTGCAAATCGAGTTACCGACACTGCTTTGGAAGAGCTACTACACATAGAATTCTTTGGTACTTTCATGCCGATCACTGAGTGGTCGTACAATGAATCCATTTGTCGATTCTCCAAAAAAGAGTCTCCTTTTTCTCACCTTAGATAATCTATTTTTTATTTATTACTCATTTAAGTTGTTTGTAGCTGTTGTTACTCACTTGTAAAAAAAATACATACAATATTTTCAAGTTTGCCTTTGCTCCGAACTGTGATAAGCCGACACATCGTGGACTATGTTAACAATATGCACAAGTCAAATCGAACAGTGGAAAAATGTTTAACCGTTTTATTCTTTATCGAACTCTCATCGATCTTTACAGTTTTATATTTGTATGTAAGATACATTTAAACATACACCCATACAGATAAGTCGATTTGTGTTTTTTACCGAAGTGCTGCAGGAAACAAGACACACACGATCTTTTCATTGGCTTCATTGAGAAGTTCCCATTTGATGTTCACTCGCACCTATAATATCCGGGACATTAGAAACAACGTATAAATCAACGCGTTGATTCGAGTAATGACCATGTAAATACCGTCGGATATTTCTTCGACACTGGCAGCGAAGTTTTATAACGATACTCTCCACCTTTTGCCAGGGGACATGTGAGACCAGAATTAGTATCCGAGCAGGCATCCGAATTCGGTATCGGGAACGGCACGGGAACATCTAGGATAACTCCAAAGACTACCGCGCGGACATCCTTGATGTCTTGGTCTGTAAAGTGCCAGATTACCGGAATTAATGAACCGATGAAACTATCGAGTGATCATTAAGTATTCTCTTATTTTCTTTCTCACCAACAATAAATTGAATTTCAATAGTTGCGTTCGTGCCACGTTTTAGAACGCATACCGACTGGCTGGTCTCGCAACCCGAAACCGACACTTCTGTGAATCGGCCGAGCTTGGAGCCTAAAACAATAATTAGATAATTAGTTTAATAGAAAGACCTTTCCCAGTGATCCGTCGCTCAGAAGAACGAAACCCAATTAACGAGGGAACTCGAGAACTCGCAACAGTGGGGAGAAATTACTGGTTGTACGATTACAACATGCCTGCATTTGTGTGCTCTCGTGCAGCCTTCCGACGTCGATTACTGCTTCTCGGCCTTATTCGCTTCATTGAAAACGGACGAGCGAGTAGTTAACAAAAATTCCGATTGGGGACATAAGCAATGAAAACCTTTGATCACAAATTTATCATGGCAACCTCGAAGGTGCAAATGATGATCCACGGAAACGGTCTTGTAGACATCGAAAAGTAGAAGTATAAAGTTCACTTCTAACGTGTTAGATGTAACCAACGCCGAAAGAAACGAACGGAATGGACTCGTTGAAAACTCGTGGATTCTATATGCCGAGGATCGATCGAGCACACGTGTACAAAGCGAAGAAAGAAGTAAGAGAGGTTTAATAGAAGCTTGGACTCACCGCAATCGGCGAATTCGAAAGCCGTGATCTGCACGGAAGCGCAGCAAAGGACCGCGACGATAACGATTCGGAGCATGTTGTCCGCGCGACGTCCAACTACGAATTAAAGCAATTCCTGCGCATTCTTTGAACGAAACAAATATCGAAACTGGAGCGTGAATCAGCCGTTATATACGTTGCGCCATTGTCTGCGAACGAGTATACAACCGAATGCTCATTATGATAAGACAAGATTTCCCGCAAGAGAGATACCTTAAGGCATCAAATGTCACGGGTGTCACCCCGGGGGGACCGGTAAATGTATTTAGATAACGCATTCATTATTTCCTCCTGGTATCCAATGTGTTGCCCATGGATGGAAACGGCTCGCTAATCGCAGGTGCGGTGGAATTTAGCGACGAGCTCGCGCCACCTTGATGAGATAAACCGAAAATTCATTTCAGATATCTCCGATAATCGGATTAGCCACCGGCCGGGAGATGTCTTATCGAGCCGAACGTGCCGTAATCAGGATCTCGTCAAGCCTTTCGAGTCGTTTCACCTGCTGAAAATAGTGAAGTCGATCGTGACATAGCTCATTTTGAAGGTAGGCACAGGGACTGTAACGTAGTCTTCACGACCGATATCAATAATTATTATATAGTGTTGGAGGAACGATTGCTACCAAATTGAGAAATTACTTGATTTAGCATACGAAGGGTAGTCAAGAGTAAAGTCAAAGAGGGCGCCACGAGTGTTACCATGCCCCTTACCATCAAAAGCGAGCAGTATCGGTAAGCGTCAATAAGCCACCAACGGCGACTGGTAGATGGCACCGCCGTCGCGAGCCCGTCAGAAATTCGTTGCGCCGCCCTTGGCCATCTTTGTCCCGTGGCAGTTCCGCTGCAACGTCACATCGACCAGAAGTGGCTGGAAGTGACGCTGTGCGGCTCGACGTCCACGTAGATCGAATCTTCTTGTACAAGCGCGCAAGTGTACATTGCCCATCGAACGGCAGTTTTCTGTGGAATACTCAACGACGTACAATGTAAGTAACATATTCTAGATGAACTACGAATTTTCCATTTGAGCTCTCAACCACCTTGCCGTTGATCGTTATTTACGTTATAACCTATAAACTCTGTACATCGTGTAAACATTTTATCACGCGCAGTTTTCAATGTAGATACTTGGATACTTTTGAAAGTGTTAAACATCATTACGTTTCTGTTCGTATTTCATGGTACCTTAATACAGAAACTGTTAATTCTTTATTTCAAACTCGATTACTGGAAGTAGACAGAATGTCTTGTAAAATTAACAATATGCAGTGCATTGTTTTACACAAAGAATATTTTTGATTATCTGTATGGTTTTATTAACGTTTTAATTATTTTCTCATCTTAGCTTGCGTTGCAATGGATCAAGTAACAAAATTTGTAAAGCCAGCTAAAGAATTCGCAAAAGACAGTATTCGGCTTGTCAAAAGATGCACGAAACCGGATAGAAAAGGTATTTTCAAAACGAGATATTTTACAAGGAAATCGAAACGTTTAATAAATGTAATCTTTTGCCTGCGTTTGTTGCAGAATTTCAGAAAATAGCAATCGCTACTGCCATTGGATTTTGCATAATGGGCTTTATTGGGTTCTTCGTCAAATTGATTCACATTCCTATCAACAATATCATTGTGTAAGTCTTATAACATTTTCTTTTAATTTTTAAGGATAATAATTTGGTTTTTTAACTAATGCCAATTACTGATTCGTTACAGGGGTTCGTAAGAATGCGTGAAGATTAAATATTTATTTTTAAGAAGTTAACCTTACTCCTTTACTTCTTCCTTGGTGTTCCTTGAACGGATGTGTATTTATAAATAATAATTATTGTATATTACATATATTTAAACCAATTGCAATCGATGTAGATGCAAAAAGTATGTGTATAATAATGAATTTTTTAACAAACTAATTATTTAAAATCACTTTTCAGCACTTTTATTCTTTCATGGGAACCCTATGTTATTTAATGAATTTATTCTTTATTTTCAAACCTAGAATCTTATACGAGTGATCCTTACAAGATCTAACATTATTTAGATATAAATGGACAAATTGGAATATAGTAGTAGCAGTAGTAAAGGCACATTTATTGAAAGAATAAATTTATCTTCAGGTTACATTTGGAAAATTGAATTAGCCATTCCTTTTGCATTGATTGGTATTTGTTAATATACTTTTATTTCTATCGTTTTTCATCCCTCTTGTATTGAAGAAATGGCGATCGCATGGAGACCCATAGCCAGGTACAGAGTGTAAAAAAATATTAATATCATTTGAACGTCACTTTGATCGATGAGAATTGCGTCATTTGCATTTCTTTCTGGGCAAGGTTTTGTAAGATCGCTATAAGAGCTTGGTATATAAATAATCATAAAATTTTTTAATTAATGTTAATTGTTGATCAATATTTCAGTTCAATGTGTTATGGCATTAAGACAAAGTTACTGCTACTACATTAGCATTTTATAGACAAAGAAATAACGTAGCCACAAATTTTAGCAAGCTAACATAAATCTCTTGCGATCTTCAAACGAATTTCTACGATACCGTTTATTTTTGCGGTAAAAATTTAAGTACCAGACTGTTTAGATATTAACTGTTCCATTTTATCGAGTAACATTTGTTGCAAGGTATTCGATACTCATCGAGCCAAGTGAGTTCAAGGTGCTTCAATGGCACGGAGTATGTTTTAAAGCTAGAAAGCACTTCAACAAATGGAAGTTCCATCGACCCTGCATGTGATCAGATTTTTTTAAGTAACAAAAAAAGTGTCAATCAAACAGTTTTGGAATCGCTCCAGTGTGACGAATGTGCCTAAACACTAGTGTCATTGAGCAGCAGTTCTGGCCTTGCTGTGACTAACATAAAGACAATGTTGGAAACAAAACAAGCTCGTAAAGCATCTCCTTGGATTATGCAACGTTCTGCTAACCCGAAAATTAACTTTCGTTAATTGTGAGAACGTTCTCTGTCGTTTTTTTTTTTATCGTGCGCGTTGCCTGGATCTTAAGAGGCATTTATTGCGGGGCATTTTAAGCCCAAAACACTTAAAGTGCTACGGCAATGTTGAGATTTTTATGGGTTTGTAAAAAAGGACGAGCATCACTTAGCACTACGTTAAGCATCTAGTCTTGAGACTAACGTCATTTGACTCGAGCTCGTTACCATTTTTCATCCAGACTGTCCCTGTCACTCTTTCGAGACTCGAATAAAACTTCCTTGACCCGATGTGGTCTAATGCACGTGACATTCGCAAGATATCAAAGATATGTTTGACGGGCAATCAATTCTGAAGGCAAAAACCGATGTACAACTAAAGCATCGAGACACGTGGTTAATGTGCCACGTTAACATCCATGCGCGACCCGAGGGCCGATTCTATATCTTTGACGAGAGTACTCATCTCGCGCAATTTTATTTCAAAGACCTCATCTCTGTCGGAGACTGTTTATTTGTCCAATTTTATACGTGAAAACGTGAAATCCCTAGGGTGAAAAAACGAAATCCGAGATTGTCGAGTAGTCTCACGCGAAGTGTTTCACATTTTTACCATAGCAAAACTTACGGAATCGCTTCGAGAATTTTCACCAGATCGAATTACAGAATCGACCCCCGGCGAGCAAATCCCGTCGACTCTATTTGGGTACTCTCAAAATGACAAACATTTGAGCGTACCTCGTCGCGTCGCTGGGTAAACGAGGTTACATGTGAACCCCGAGTTCCCGGTTTCGAGCGCATCGTAAGAAAGTAACCAGCTGCTAGTTACACCGAGGTACGTTATTAGGCACGTGATTCTTACATCGACTAATAATATGCTTACTAGTTAGCGTTAAATGTTAACAGTTATATAAAATATACGTACGCATAATATTAAATATTATGTCATATAATTATAGGTATCCTCTGAACGCGGAGTGGCGGTTTGATTATCGCAACTTAATCAATATCAAGAAACCCTTTCGTACAGCGGGGAAACTTGAATCGTCCAGAGTCGAGAAACCGTTCTGCACGTCAACGGAGTAATGTCCCGCACTAACTCGATACGCACCTCGGTCTCTCGATTCCGTTCGACGTCTTTCCGCGATTCTTGCCATCTTCGCCGGAGAATACCCCTTTTTTCCAGGTAACGGGCGTAGACATTTGATGACATTTTGATCCGGCTCCAACCTTGACCGATCGCGCGTCGCGGGTGCCCCCTGGCCTCTCGGAAAATCCGACATTAGTCAAGACCGGCGGCCCCGATCGAGATCGGGCACGAGGAAGCCCCCGCTGACGCGTCAAGAGTCGCCGACGACGTAGACATCGTCCTACGATAAACTCTAGTAAACGCGGAACGTTCGACGTAACGTTAATATCACATATGACCGAGAATTTTGAACCGCCGCGCGTACCGCGCGCGACCGAGGGAAAACTGTCAAGACCTCCGCAACGGAGACGTCGCGGAGAAAGCGTTAAGTCTGCCAGGTTGAGACGTCCTCTTAGATATAGACTTTAGAAAGTTGGCCAAGCCGCAGCATCGGAACCCCGATGCCGGAAGATCGCAAAAATCGCCCTTCCCTTAACGCATTTCGCGGAACCTTACGAATGTCACAGTAGAGTTACTTTACTTCGGGAATGTCGTAGAGCGTGGTTTGCGTTCGAGCTCCCGTGTCCCGCCTCCGAGGGGAAGCGGGGGAGAGGCGCGTCCCGACGCGCCCCGGAGCGCTACACCGCGCAGCCGGCGTCGGCGGGCGCGGAGATGTACGGGCCCCCGGGTTGCCGGTAAAAGTCCTGTGCGGAGCCGTCGTAGCCCTCGACCTTGACGGGGAACTCGTCCGGCCGGCCCGGAGAAACGAAATTCTCCCGGTAGCTCGGCAGCGGGGGTGGCGGTGGCTGCTGCTGCTCCCCGTACTGCCCGGCGGCCGTCTGCTTCAGACACGTGGGCCCGTGCAGACTGAGCATATCCACGAGCCTGCGCCTCTGGGTCTCCAGCTCCTGGATCTGGGACTTGAGGTCGTGGTTCTGCGTCTCCAGGATCTCGGACTCCTGGACGAGGATCACCGTCTTCTCGCGCTTCTTCAGCCGGCACTTGGTGGCCGCGATCTTGTTCCGCTCGCGCCTCCTTCGGCGCCTCTCCTCGTCCTCCGGCGTCAACTGCAAAGCGGTCGGCGGACCGGTCAGAGGGGCAAGAGGGGGTAAGGGGGGAGGGTGGAAGGGCGTCTCGGTCTTACCCCTCCGCGAGCGCCGCCGGTGGAGGAGTCGTCCTCCTCCTCGTCGTCCGCGCTTCCCTCCTCCTTGCGCGTCCTCTTCCTTCCTTCGTCGCCGCTCCCGTTGACTCGCCTCTTGGTCTGCAGCGTCAGCTTCAGTCCTGCTTCGTTCGATCAAACGTTAGGGCACCGGAGCGCTAGTCGGGGGGCGAGGCGGGTCGTCACCTTCTTTGATGAGCTGACTGCAGGTGTGCTGCACGCTGGGTGGGCTCGGCTCGCCGCTACTCGTGGAGTCGGTCCGGTCCCGGCTCTTCTCGTTCGCGTACCCCTCGAAGGGATTCGTCATCGCGATCAGGGAGTTGACGATCTCCGGCGTCCTCGGGGTCACCTCGGCCGTCGCGACGCCCAGGAGACCCGCGGCGCCCGCCGCGCCCGCCGGGCTGGGGTTCACGTTCACGTTCAGGTTGTACATGGTCCGCTGCTCTCATTTAACCTGGAAACCGAGAGGTGAGTTCGCGACTCCTGCCGATCGGACCGAGGGCCGCGGCCCGAGTCGAGCGCCAGCCCGTCCGGTCGTTAACGTTATAAATAGAAGTCGTTTGATTTTGATGCATGGCTCGGGTGCAAAAGGTGCGCGGATTCTCCGACGCTACCCTTTGCAGAATCGAGGCTGCGGGACGGACGACCGGGAGCGGACGTTACGCAACGGGCGGCCCGTCGCGTCGGGGGCTTCCCCTCGCCGGGCGACGACGGAGGAAGGAAGAAGGTAAGGTCTCGCTGGAGGAGAGATAAACACCGTCCCGGGAGCGAGCGGAGGTGCGGGTCAAGGTCGTCCCGTCGGTTTTGATACGCCCGAGGAACCGCGTGGGCGGCGGCGAAGACGCGTCGCCCGCGGCCTCGCCACGTGTCGTGCCTCCGCGCCTCCGCGCACCTGTGCGCGGTCGAGCGGGTCGGCGGAGCGCTTTTCGAGGCCCGGAGAAAATTCGGACCGTTCTCCCCGTCCGAGCGGAGGAAGCGCCGACTGCGCTCGCGACCTTCCCGAGGCCCCCTCCTCTCCCTCTTTCTCTCCGCCGCGCTCGTCGACGTCCGACCGAGTCGCGGGACGGCGAACCACCTCCGCGCCTTCCGCGCTCCCGAAAACACGTTCCTCTCCTCCCGGCTCTCCCAAAATGTTTTAGATCCTTCGTTACCTCGGCATCGCGGTACTTGGACGATCGATACGAGGATCGAATGGATCGTAAACATTTTGCGAACTACCGTCCGCGACCGTTTCTATTAAAACGCTCGACGCGCGCCTCCTCCTGTGGCGCAGAAAATTTCGTGCAATGTGTTCCTACGCATCTTTCTCGATAAGTCGCTCGCAAATCGAGGCGAGAGACGGTCCTGCGAAACTTTGCTTCCGAGTTAACCGTGTCGCGGCGATCGGTTCCAATCGCGTCGTCGAGGGTAAACGTCACCGGCGGGTCGTCCGGAGAGCGCGCAAACACTTCTCGCGAATCGCACGGGCCAGGGCGCCCTCGAATGTACGTTGCATTCGACCCGGAACTCCTTCCTTTGATATTTCCTCGGCCCACCGCGGGCACCGCGTCGCGATTTCCCTCGTCCGAGGAGTCCCGGGCGCGACGCTTTCGAGGTAAGGATCCTACCTGGGTGCGGAACCACGGTCCGGGAGAGAGCCCCGAAACCCTCGCTCGTCGGCTGTCGGCGCACGACTGTAGCCATTTCGCGGCCGCGCTCGGCCTAGATACGTAAGAGCTATTTTTAGGAGCGGTCGCCACCGACGCGCCGCGCCATTGGCTCTCGGTGACGCCACTCCGGGCCGCCATTAGTCGGCGCGTCCATCTCGATGGCGCGCGGGGGGAAGCCAGCCGTTGGGTGCGACTCGTGCGACGTTTGTCAACGAAGGCTAGCGAGCGAGTGCCGTACGCATGCGCGGCGCCTCGCCTCGCCCCGCCCGGCGAAGATACCCCTTTCTGTCTGCCGGAACTCCTCGAACGCTCCGAGTTGTCGAGACCATCTTCCTTGGCATCCGGTAACGATACCCGTCCTCCGTCGCGAACGGAAACGCATGGAAGTTCCGGTTTCGCCTCGCGAGAAATTCCACCTTGTCCGTGATTAATTCCTTCCAACATTTTCTTACATTTTATTTATTTACATCTGTTCGATTATCCCCGGATAAGCATCTCGTTACTCGGGGCTGTTTCAATTTCCCGCCGTGGGACGCGATCGTTCCGTAGTAGGCGGAGCTTCAGGGATCCATTCGTGGCCGTAAATGCCCGGTTCTCTTTAAAAGATGTGCCCGAAAAGGCCATCCCGTCAGAAGTTTAAAACATTTAAATGTTATCAAGGGTTCCATTTTTAAATTATTTTCAACGAACGAACTGACTAAATCGAAACAAAGCACCCTGTCTTAAGTAGATCATTAAAATGGCGGAATGTTCATGGTTGAGAAAAGAGGGAAATCGCTAAGAGTCGGTAGGGTTTCACCCGCTGACGTATGATAATCGGCGTATATAAAATAATTAGATGGTAATTGGGGGCACTTTTTGAATAGGTAAAATTTACTCAGGATTTTTTTTTTAATATCTTCCCCCCGAGGTTCCAACGTGTTCTTAAGGAAAGAATAATAAAAGGGACCGTTCCCAATAAAAACGCAAACGAGCCGTATGAACCGATGACAATCAGGCGCCGTCTTAACGAACGATAGTTTGGGGCTTCGATAATTAACCCGGAATGAACGCGATCCGTAAGGTACCTGTAAGTGTCCGTGAAACGTTAAGAAAAATACATTTATCATTTCTGCATTGACATCGGTCAATCGGCCTGTACCAGGCTTAATCGAGTTTTAGGCAAACATCGCACACGCGAACCGGTTTGTCCCAACCGCGTCTTGGCACCGGTTTGCGATGCGCGGAACAATTCTGACAAACTCCACGACCGCAATCTCTACAGTGGTGTAGCGGAAGCGTATCGGAGAAATTCTGGAGACAAACGCAGCAACTGATCACCTCGGAGTCCGGAACCCAGTAGGTAGGTCGTACCGTGTCCTTGATTAAGGCTACGGGGAATGTTAAAATTGTGCATTATGTACATACATCTTTCGGAAGCCTTAATTGCCAAGGTACTTACATTTGGAATACGTTAAGACGGTGCCAACTGCACTCAGCGTAGAAACCACATGTTCGGTGACTTTTCTCACGCTGACATCTTCGGTAGTCTCGCCGAGTTGTTCGTTACAGTTGAAATCTTTCAGGTAGCACGCGTCGCACACCCTGACTGGTGTGTACCAATTTCTACTGGGCACGCACTTGGTATTGCTGGAGCACTGCGCACAGAAACCCTCTCCGCAGGAACGACAATGGTGCTTAGTGTCGGTAGAAAGGAACGGGATCCCGCACTTGTGACAGTGCTTGATCTCGTTGTTTGGTCTCCAATAAGTAGGAGCTACCTGATCGGCTACCCAAGCTGTGATAACCTTTGTGGGTTGTAGCGAGACGCTGGTGACAGCTTCAGTTATATAGGACACCCCGTCTATAACCCTCTGAGCAGTATTCTGAGATGTCATTGGCAGATTGATCTGAACGAAAGCGAGAAAAAGAGAGGGTAACAAAGATGAGCAGAAATGACGTTGGAGAACTTTTCTCACGAGTTACATACTAAATTCCACACATGGGTGATCTCCGTTCGTACTGCTGCATCTTCTGGATTCTTGTTGCCATACCAGTATTGTCGACTACGGTATATTTCTCCGCAGTGCGGACACTCGATTACATATCCTGACCAGGCATACTTAGCCAGGCCATACCAGCTGCTGTCACTTTGAGTCTGAGTACGACTGGTGACCACCACTTCACTGCCATGGCTATGACACTTTTTGCACACGTATACCACATTTTCGTACTGATGCTGATAGCGGCACCTAATGAACGTGCATTATCGATGATTACTGTAATTCACTTACTAATTGTTTTTTGGTATCGTCGAGTTATCGAGGAACTAACCTACTATCACTGGTGTGGGGCTTTCCTTCGCGAAGGTGTCCCATACTGTTATGGCATCTGCATCCACAACTAAGGCACTTCACCGGACACGTGAAGTACTGATCGGGAAAAAGAATATTGGAAATATTTTCTATTTCCCCACAAAACTTGTCATTGAGAATCTTCAGAGTGCTGTATACGAGATGTGGCCTCCTGGCTGACCTCACTGTAGTATTGTCCAATTCGTTCTTAATAGCATTTCTCAGAGGGCCATAATTTGTTGGTGGGTCGGCAGTCTGCACGCCGACATATTTAATAGAACTGAAGGCTTCTATCTCTAGCCTCATCTGGGTGAACCGAGCACGCAGAATATCCTCGGCGCTCTCCGAGGCATCTAAAGAAACACTTAAAGCCTTATGAAGTAATTCTACTTGTCGGTTAATCCATAGTTTCACAATATACGTACTATTTGTGAGAAGTCTGGTATGCCTGGTCTCATGGAACACTATAACGCTTGGACCAAGAGCGCTCAGACAATTTGAGACACCTTCCCGTTGACCAACAGCCTGCAGAGCAGTCTGAAAGTGGTGACTGTAAGCACGAGATGCAGCTCCAAGAAACGTAAACAAATCCCTGTGAAGTCTTTCGGAGCGTGTTCGATACACCACTATGTCCGACACGGCAAGAACCTTCAACAGCAGCCTGGTTCGCTCGTTCTCATGGATTGTTTCTCCTTGAAATTAATAGCTTTAAATGAAAACAAAGCTCCTCGATAAAATTTGACCGTAGTAAAAGTCAGGTCGCACCTAGGAGGCCTTCGGTATCTAAGCAGACAATGTTGAGGTTAGGATCGAAGGCTGCCCATACTCCGAGAGTGCACGAACTCTGTTCGTTAGAAGTTCTAAAGATCTCGCGTCCTTTGAAGAAGGTTTGATTCAACGTGTGACTCTTGCCATCCCCTGTATTTCCAAAGATGGATACCACCTTCACCTTTGAGTCCTTGATGCAACCCAGTTTCTCCGCAAACTGTTCGGCATTTATTACCTTCAAATACTCCTTTCCATCAATTAAGAGAAAGCTTCTGACTTTGTCATATAGTTGTGGAGATGCTTTTGTCGGTGCATTGTGTACCGAGGAATTATTGTCCAACAGGATATTCCCCTGTATCGATTCGAAACCTCGTGATGATGAAATACCATCACGAAGACTGATCGGCATACTGTCCAGACTCTCCATTATTGCAGGGCCTATGATATCGTTATTTTCATATCTGAAGGACTTCATCTTCTTTGGGTATCTTGAAATACTTCTGCAAACATTTTTTCAATATACATGGTTTGATTACATGTCGTATTTAATATACATAAATTTACCGATTATACCAAAGTTATTAGATTTGCGCAAAGTGCATAAGTCTTATAAATAAACTTCTATAGAGCCACTTTCGTGCAATCTACATAAGCAATGTTGAACAATGATGAACTTAATAAGCTACAAATCGTATGTAAAGAATTACCACGGTAACTAACTCAATCAGAGAAACCCTAGGTTGCAAGATTCTTTGCATCCATAGTGGTACGGAGATAGCTGCCACTTTCTAGGTACAGGAAGTACATCGCCGCATGAACGATACAGCTTGTAAACAAAAATGTAATGTCATGCAACAAATTTTAGTACTCTCTAGAAACATTACCGGTTAAGTAGTTTATTTCCGTACGTAACTCATGCATCGGTTATCACTCGCTCCATGATCACATTGTCCAGAGTAACCGATTAGAAACAATGGACGTTGCGTATGTAATTCTAGTTACGATTCAAGTCCTAGGACCCTCCAAGATCTTCGAATTCAATGCATCATCCCCATTCTCGAAAAAACTACACACTCATTAGCAGCAATCCAGAGTCCTCCAGAACCTCCAAAAGGTAAAAACCAAATCAATCATTATTATTTCGTATGCATTTTGCCAAGTAACAATTCCACAAACACAATTTCGTTAAACATGACAGCTCACTGGACAAGCCCACGCTTGATGAGTGTAAAAAAAAAAAAACTCAACCAACTGCGTACTGCTTGTATATAAATGCTGATAAATGCTACCAAACGCAACCATCCAAAAACTCATTGGATAAGCAGCCTTAAAAAGTAAATATCAGAGATGAATTGGGAGATTACTTACGAGCAGAGTCGCGAGTTCGCATTCCGTGCTGCCCTTGGTGGAGATTGCGAGCGGCTCGTGCACTTACCCCCAATGGCGGCCCAGCTGAGAGATAAGGAGAGATAAGGAGGAGATTATGGATCAGGATGAGTCAGGGTGAGTGAGGATGAAGTAAGGACGAATGGTTCTTGATGACGTAAGATGTAGAAGCGGAGACGAGCAGGTGCAAACGGTAAGACGGCAGGAGACGTTTAACGTTCAAACCTGGAAAAAATTGCAGCGACTCAATCCGAACTTAAGAACTCTGTCCGTAGGGCTGATGTGAAGGAAAGTGAAACGACGCGTTTGACAAAAAAACCTAGATATTTTTTACAAGGCATTTTATTATGTTCCCGTTTTTTTTCTTCTCGCACAATAGTTATGACTCACTTCTTTATGCAAAGTATAGTAGAGTAAGACGAAACAGGCGAAAAGCAAATAGAACAAAGGTATAATGCGATTGACTGGAAATTCGAGTGATTACAAGTAATTACAGTAATTTTAATTACATCATATACCATGAAACCCTAAAAGTGACATTTCAGTAATTCGTTCGCTTCCATGCGTAGCCCCTATACATGATCAAAAAATAGACCGGATGCCATGTAACACCAACGTACTCTGAATATAGACATTTTTACTTACAGACCATTTTTCCTTTCTTCTAATGTCTAAATTGATAACTACGATTTATGCTTTACATGAAAGATATGTATCTTTATGCACGTAGAAATGTTTCATGGGTCGAACCGATTTCTTCCAATGAAAAGTATGTCCGGGATATTCTTAACGTAACTTCCATTCACTGACACGAAGCATGTATTCTTACTTTCCGATGTGTCACTGTTTTTATATCGTGACACAACTATACGTAACCGCTTTAAAGGTTTGTCGATAGATCGATGAATGTAATACACAAACATAGGGTACTATGTTGAATGACAACTTGACTATTCGCGTAGTGATTCTCCTTCCAAGACAACCTTATATATCACTTTCCCGTTACAGATATCATTTGTTCTCTCTTTAAAATTTCTTCCATGAATTATCTTTAATCCGATAATTTTGCACAAATTGATTACAGAATGTTAACAAAGTTCCACTGTGACCTAGAAATTTAACCGTTATGATAAAAATACTGTTTGCTTCATTTTATACAGACTTGGGTACAAATCAGTTTGTTCGACTAATTATTATCCCTCTTAACGAATTTTAGTCAAAGGCGTAATGAAGCCTTCGTTGAATTTATCTTGAAAAAACTCGATCATAAGCGAGATCTGAGGGTGAATTGTGTGTGCGAGTATGAATTAAGGGACACCTCGAAGATAGTTGAGATGATTAAGCAAAGCTTCAAAAACCAAACAAAACATAGAATATAATCTCTCGGTAAGTACTTGCATCTTACACGCGATCGCATCTTTTCTAACGCTGGTTGTAAGGTACGACGAATCGGTAAACGACCGATGTGACCGGGACGTACAACGGACGTGGAACATAATTAATACCTAGTCATGCACGGATATTTTACCTGTACATTGCATCGACTGTTAGCTTCTTTTCCGAGACTTTGCATCGCAGACAGTCCCTACTCTATGGGTTTAACTCTGTGGCCCGATCGCTTTGAGAATGCTTATAAAAATAAATACTTTGACGATAAAGAGGCAAGGACAGAGAAATCGACAAAGAGAGAAAAAAGAAAAATGGGGATGGAAAGGAGCTTTCTGCTCCTTGCAATAATTAATTATATCGATACATGATTGCAATAAATAGACAAATAAATAAATAATTCCATCGGTGTACCGTCATATAGCGTTACCGTCATCCGCACGATACGATTTACAAAATACACGTCGCAGGTGGATTTAATAAGTTCTCGCGAGAAAGAGTTTCCCTTAAGCCGCGTTAAATTGATTATAAGAAAATATGGCGACCCTATCCCGACTTCCCGCCGCTAAATTTGCCAAATCTCTAACGAAACTCGGTAAATCCGAATTTAAGTGTAAATCGAGACGCTCGAGATCGAATTTGGGTATTTATTATTGCGATGGAGACATGCAATTTACTAGACTCGGATATGATAAATCCCAGACTGAGGAGTACGATGTAGAGCCGTGGTTACGTTCCCGCGTTAAGTATCAATGGAAATGATTTCTCTCGCCTGTACAATTTAGCCGGCTTCCGCAAAGAGATTTCTTTCTGTACTCGGCATAAGAATTCAAGCCAGGGTACCACTGTGGATCCGTCAATTTCCTCGTCCTTCCCCTGAAGGACGGAAAATAAAATCCACGGTATTCGGGTGGGAGTCGTTGGTCCCCTCATTACGGGAAGCATTCTGGGTGTCTCTCGGAGCGTACTGACTCGTGCAGTAGATTTACAGATCCGACTCGCCATAGAGAGCCGTCGAGAAGGAGCGGTAGTCTAGAGCCCCTGGAACGCCATTGGGTCCCTTGAACGGTGGCATCCGCTGGATGCAGTATTCGGCCTGATCCGGAGGTAATTCCCTCCTCAACTCGTCCGGCAGAATATAGGGCTGCAATCAACGAATCAACTCTTAGCATCTATCGGACATTTATCATCGGCGAATTTTCTGCCCATCTCCCAGAATCGAACCGAAATTCAACGGCGGTTCATCATTTCCGGCACCTAACATGGGAAGAAAGGATTCCTACTTTCGTTACGTTAAGCGAGAGAGAAACCTCTGTCTCTGACAAACACGGGAGAACGGAACGATAGGGGGCACGTCTTACCTTGTCCCCGGCGAGGATGCGGAAGCTATCGATGACCTGCTCTGCGGTGTCGGTGTCGGTGGATTCTCGGGTCATGAAATCGAGGAAAGCGTCGAAATGCACGTAACCGGAACCGTTCGGGTCGACAATGGCAAGAATTCTCTGAAAATCGATGTCCCCTTGTCGGTCTTTACCGATCGAGTATCCCAGAGACACCAGGCACGACTTGAACTCGTCCGGAGCCAGCCTGCCCGTTCTGTTCTTATCGAAGTGATTGAAACTGCTGCGGAACTCGTTCAGCTGCTCCTGCGTGATACCCTGACAGGAGAGCGGACAATTTGTTCGTTTATTCGTCTCAGGTAAGCGCCACTTACGGGCAGATTTTAGAAGATCCCGTCGACCGAACTGTACCTTAGAATCCCTCGTCAGTATCTGATTCTCAACCTCATTGATGTTGCGGTTGATCGAGGTCAAGAGTTGCTCCCATCCAACGCGCAAGGTCTCCATGGTATATTGGGTATACCTATTTTCGAAGATCATGCCCTCCTGGACGGCCTGGTGAATCTTCTCCAGCTCCTCGAGGTGAGCTTTGTATTGATAAACCGCCTGCTCGTATTCCTTCAACCGGTGAAGTTGGTCTTCCAGCGTGCCCTGAAGATCGTCAATCACTTTTACTGCTGATCTCCCATTCATTTTCACTTATATTAATCTACGACACTCCAATATTGCCCACCTGCAGTCCAAGGCCAATCGCAGTAACAGCGTCCAACTGGCGTTCTATCCAGGGCCCAACTGCATTAGCCTTCTCTGCGAATTGCCTGCGCAGTAACTCGTTGTCTGTTTTTTTTCTTTTCATTAAGAAAATATTAATAACCCCAGTATGCGTGTTGCACGCGCGCGGAAATAGATTAACCGTAACAAATTTTTTTTATAGCACATTTCACACGTCGTTTGATACTTGTAAAAGGATACTCTGTTGTTTACGAAGTTCCGCTGCCAAAGTTCCATCGCGTTGGGGTACCAGCTGTCTAACGTCGCTCCACTTTTTAGTGAGGTCCTATCGAGAATTGAAATAATGGGATTAAAGTCCACCGGGACAATGTATTATCCTAGAAACCTACCAATGCGGTCAGGGTAGTGTAAGGATTCTCCAATCCGCCAGGGATCTGGAATTGCTTGACTATGGACTCGACCTCGCGTACGAGACCTACAATTGTGTTGTACTCCTTATCGGCCTCTCCGAGAGTGGCCTTGAACGCTGCATGAGCATCCATCAGGCCTTGAATCTCCTCCATGGTGTGAACTATGAACATGTCCACGAGGTCTTCCCTAGTGCCGTCCAGCCAATTGTTGAAAGGCTAAAATTGAAGAGAAAGGTACTTTCACGGATCAAAAGGCATATCTCCGATACGAGGACAGGGATTAAGAGATCGAGGGAAAACGAATCGAGTCTGACAACATTCGAGACTCCGACGTACCGCGGCTCGTTTAGCGAACTCCAAGTGAAGAACGTCGATCTTCTCCAAGATGCGCTCGGCCTCGTCGAGTGCTTGACGTCTGCGCTGCGTCAGGGTGCCCAAACGATCCCATTGGTCGCAGATTCGTTGGCACCTCGCGTTCACCGAAGCGCTGTCGTGGTATTCCAAGGTGCTGAGAAAGCAAGGGGAACGTTAATCCATCGGTTACAAAGACCCACCAAAGTGGCATCCGCCTGGCCGACGTTCTTTTACGAAGCGCCGATATGGCAGTCGACTTACTTGAGTTCTTGAGCGATAGCGGCGATCTGTTCTACACGGTCCTGATGAGCGGCCAAATCGGATTCGAAGGCCTCGTGTTTCTTTTTCAAGGCCTTGAGCTCGTTGAGCTTACACTGGCGGAAGTGCTGGGAAGTCAGCATCTCTTCTTTACCGGCAGTCCAGTCCTCGTGTGCATCGGCCTTGTGCTTGAACTTCTGTGCCAAGTGCTCCAACCGCTCCAGCCGCATCATCTCGGAAAGCAGCCATTCTTCGAACGCCTTCTCGGCGAGTTCTAGGCCTGAAATTGACAATTACACTTGGCGTAATCCCAGTTCATCCAGACATCCATCCGATCGGTGAAGATTAACCGGTACTCGGTTTCACGAGAAAAATTATAACAAGATCCAACGACGTGCCATTTAGAAAAAGAAAACGGAACACGCGAACGGTCCAGCGCGTTCCTGTAGTTTCCCCCATTCGAACAGTTTTCGACGCTTGATGTTAAACCCTCGTTAAGATTTGAACCACTACCGATACGTCTTTCGTTATCCCGCCTAGGGGATATTAGCACGAGGAAGCTTCGACGCGCTTTTACAAATAAACGAGCGATCGTTCTCACCTTTCCATGCCTTATTGACGTCGGATACCATTTTCCCCTCCGTCGGCATGTAAGCCGGTCGGTTGCTCAACCTGAGTTTGGTTTGCAGGGTGTTGAAGTTCGTTTCTAGTTTGGCCTTCTGCTCGACGCGAGGCGGCTTGTGTTTACGCCTGTACGTCCTGTACTCCTCGAGTTTCTTCTGACATCCTGCTAAGGAGTTGTCGGTCTGGCGACTAGCTAGCCAAGGCATGGTTCGTCGAATCCACTCCAAGAGGTCGGATGCCAATCGTTCGTACTCCTCCATGAGCCTCTCGTTTTCCTGATTCACCTTCAGGACCTTGCAGATTCGATTGGCCGCCGTCTCGGCCTGCGATCACGCGGAAAATCTTGTTATCGAGCATCCCCTGATCGTCTAAACGGACATTTGGGTTGGAAACTGCTAGACAGGAAGACTAGAAAGAGACAGTTAGGTTCGTCTGCTGGTAGCATCCCTCAGACGAACTGCAAAGGAAAATCACTTAGTGGATTTGTTAAAGAGTTAAGGCCAAATGCAAGAAAACACACCTTTTGGGCGCCACTGAAACAATGGTAGTACGAGGACACGTAGGTCATCACGGCTCTCTCGTCAGGCATTGCGGTGTTTCGCATGTCTAGAAAAAACATAGTCGGAGGAACTCAAACCATGCATTGTTAGCTCAAACGTTCCGGGGTTCCTATTAATCGGCCGCTGGCGTATTAATCTAGCTACGAGTAGTTCTTTCGGTATTATCAATACGTATTAGAGCGAAAATTACTTGCTTGTGCAAGGACAGGACATTGTAATCGCGCGTAGAATTCGTCGTTCGGTACGCCCATTATCGCGTCACCGTGTCACGGCGTTCAACGTAGAGATTCGCGATTACGATCCGAAGGTGTGGGATAAAAGAAAACACTTGGACTTACGCCGACGATTCCCGAGGCGTTCTTTACGTATACCAGGGCTCCGAGAGGGCAAAATTAGTGCAAACGCGGTGCAGTTACCTTCAATGCGAATCTAGGAATTGCATGAAAAACCGTTTAAACGCGCCCACCCTGTGTCGGTAAAAAAAACTATCCCGGCCGGGAGAGAATGGGACGAACGACGAACCCGACAGCGGCGACGCGAAGCAGAATGGGCTTATCAATTCGACAGAGAAAAAACAACAAATGGGCAAATTAATGCTTGACGAAGTGCCGTTAGAACAAAGTGGTGGACGTTCCGTGTCGTTCGGCGAAGCGATATATAGCACCCGACGTGGGATAAATTAACAAGAAAACACGCAAGTTCATTGCGCTGACCTGCTGGGCACCCTGGAACGCGTGGTAGTAGCAGGACACGTAGGTCATGATCGCCCGTTCGTCCGGCTTGGGAGTGTTGATCAAATCTATCGAATATAACATTAAAGTTTCACATGGTTACCGTGCAAGAAAATCCGGAAGCGGAAACTGCTTGTCTATTTTTCTTTTTAATAGGGGCTGCTGATTCCTCCGTATTTCCCACCGTGGATCTCCTTAAACCGGCGAATTTACCGACTGTCCTATCTCCGAGACCGTCACGAGGCACCTCGAGATGCGGGGAAGGACGTTTCGTCGTTTCACCGAAGAATGTTCGTCATCGGGAAGGAAATGACAAGTTCGGAAGCGAATCCGTATGCTTGAATTCTAAGGAAGTTACGATTCAAAGACCTTGGAAGGGTTGTACACGTTATTTACTGCGTATGTCAATATGAGAGAGTCAGATATGAGAGAGAGAAAGAGAGACAGAGAGAGAAAGAGAGAGGGAGAGAAAGAGAGGGTTGGGAAGAAGGAAGGGAGAAAGGTTGCATGGGAAAAATTAGTTACCTCTCCTACAAGTTTCATACAGAAAAATAACGGTCAAAAGGTGGAGGGAAGATCGGAAAAGTAGTAGCAACGAGAACAAGTCGATCGATCTTGCCCCAAGATCTGAACTCTCTTTTTTCCTCGTTTTACCCCTTCTCCCTTAACCCACTTAGAAATAATAGTAACGCGCAAGAGAAAAACTCGACTCGTAATCGAATGGAGAGTCTCTCCCCGGATCGACGATCTCGATAGGATTTCCCGAGATCCAAAGGATTGGCCCGTAAACGAGACTCACCGTCGGGGTCCAACATGCGAGGAATGTCGAGATATTTCTCGGCGACGTCAAAGGCGGTGTTGAGATTCTCCAAGGGATTGTCCTTGCTGAGTTTGTTGTAGTCGATGAGGTCGGGTCGGTGACGATGGATCAAGGCGCAGAAGGCGAGGCCGTCCTTGAACGATAAGTGGAAGTTCTGGACGTTGACGTTCTTGTACGGCGCCGTTTTACGTTGGCACCAGAGCAGCAGGCCCTCCTTCGCGGTCATCTCCTCCACGGAGATGTCCTGGATCGCGAAGCGGAGGATTATCGTCCAGATCATGCCCAGCGTCATCTTCAAGTTCCCGTCGACAATCTCTAAATTGGTTTTTGCGGAATTCCAGTTACAGATATGCGAGTGTAGGATCCGCCTCGGCCGCTAACCGAGGCATCGAGCGAAGAAAGGATGCGGCGAACGCGCGGAAGGGAACGCTCGCTCGGAGAAGAGTTGTCCAGCTGAGCGATGCTCGACTCGTCCTCGAGTACGCAAAAGGAATCTCAAGGATCGCCTTCTCCGAGCGATCGATTCGGCCGCGAACGAATCTACGAGCGCATCTACGAGCGCCTGAGTTCCCGCATCGCCCTCGAGGACCAACGGAGGACCAGGGTGTAGAAGCATCCAACCGAGATAACTGACCTTCGGCACCGATGGAGACCAGCTTGACGCCTTTGCTGGCAATGTAGTCCAAGGCTTTGTTCACGTTGGCGATCTTGTGGAAGCGCATCTTTCCGCGGTCCGGCCTCGGTAACGTTTCCCCCGAGATTACCTCCAGCAGGAGCATGAGCTTCAGCCCGTTCCTGAAGTCGTCCTCGATCGACGCGATCGCGGTCCCCGCTTTGCGTAGATGGGAGTTGCACCATGCCGTGAAGGTCTGTAACAAGAAGGAGACGTTTAGTTCCTTAGGATCAGAACCCTTGCGCCGACCTCGTCGGGCACCTCTACGAAACCTTCTATCCCGACCTCTTCCCGTCCACGCTTCGCAAACCTTCGTGGAATCTGAAAATCTCGCTATCAGCCCCTCTATTAAGCCCCTTATCACCTTACGAATTCCCGATCAAAGTCCTCCCTCCGCGAGACAAAACGAGGCGGATTAGATTTATATGGTAGAATCGAGTTTAACTGTGATGCTGCCTAGGATGTATTTCGGTACCGACCCCGTTCCCTCTTACTATATATATCCGGTGTCCCGGTTCCTCCTCGGCTTTGCTTCCTCGCTCCCTCGGCTAAAGATCTCTCTCCTCGATTCTCGCCGATTGCCAAACCGCGTTCCGCGTTCCGCGTTCCCTGTTTCCCGCCACGGTACGAAGAGAAGCCCGGCGATCCGTCGCGCGCCATCGCCCTATACATTCGATACGCTCGACCGTCATCGACTTCGACTCCTCGATTCCGGTATTCAAATGACGGATCGTTCCTCGGAATGTCTCTAGCCGTTGGCTAACCAAATCGGGGCCCGTTATCTCCGTTTATCGGTTGCCATGGCAATGCCCTTATATTTATCGTCCCTTTAACGGGAGTCCAAATTCCACGTTTCCTATCCAGACGATTAATCCCGTCGATCGACCTAATTCGGGGGTAGGATGAACCGGGAAAGATCCGACGTACCGTTCGAGCTAAAAGTGGATTTTTTCCGGGGGGGAAAAATATTGCGGGTGAAACTCAATACGGCCGGCGTAACGCGCGGCCAGCCAAAATTGGACATGGGCCACCCTAACCTCAACGCGCGCACTACGGTCTATTTGTAAGACATCAACTCCTCCCGCGCCGAGCGGCAGCTGCCGCGCGTTACAAAAACATTGGCCCACGTCTCCGCCGTCTATTCTACGTATCATCTCCCGGTCCACCCCGCGCTTGCTTTGCCCCGGTCTTGGTATAAAACTGTCGAATATCGAGGACGGGTCTTTCTCGGCCTTTGTCGATTTTCGAGGAGCCGGAAAGTAGCTCGACGATCGTCCGCGGTGGCTCCGAAGCCGTCCGGAGGATCCAAGGGTAAAGTCATGATATCGAAATTGTACTTTAGACCCCGCGTCGTTGGTATCGGTGTCAGTGGCAAGCCAGCGACCGTGAGCTCGTGCCCCGCCATTAAAAAAAATAAAAAAATAAAATAAAGCGGCCAAAATTCATCCTTTAGCTGAATTTTCTTCAAGGGAGATTCAAAGCGAGACGCCGGGGCGTCGTTTGGCACGGAACCACGTGAAAAGATCTATCGCAAAAGAGCCGACAATTTGACCTTCTTCCCTGCGCATCGTCCCGTGCAAAACGAGGGACGCTCGCGACGCTACCTGGCGACAGGTGTTTACGACTACCGACCGAAGGAGTCGGTCAATGAGAATAGGTCGGCCGTTTTCACCCTCTGATTTGGCACCCGTCCTAAGCTCGCCAAGGGTTAACGATCCTCCCAAGGGAGCGTACACACTTTGGCGAGACGAGCTTTTCAACGTGTCGGACATAACAGGCATTACTCGTAGGCAAAAGACTTCCTTTCCGGTGAGAGGAAGTAGAAGGAAGACGGGAGAAAGAGATCGTCTCCATCGAACGTCAAGAAACGCGATACGCCGGGGGCCGGTGGAATTCGATGAAACCTTAGCCCCGATATGAGTCACCGGCCAATTATTTTCGTCATAAAGTCCGAAAATACTGTTCTAAGGGCCGCTCGGGGGACGGTTTAGCCGCGACTCGGCTCCGGGAGTCCTTGAGCCCCTGCCAAAAATTGGGAAAACGTCACGTCGAGGCTGCCTACGTCTTTTCGGGTCTCGAGCCGACCAAGGACCCCCGGCCGACGTGCGGAATGCGCCTTCCTATCTAGTAGAAAAAATTGGACGAACTCTGCCCGCGCCCAAAGGGAGACCACTTAGCTTCGCTGCCCCCTGCGTTACGGGTCGCGAGGCCTCCGACACGGCACCGTAAACGCTGTCCGATTTTTAATTACGGATCACCGCGACCGAGACCGAGACCGAGACGACGCGGCGTCTCGGATCGTCCCGCCCCGCGGTCCGCGGGCAAACGATAGAGCCGCGTTGACTCGTCCTAGTAAACCGCCACCTCGCGACCTCGATCGAACGGATTCCGATCCGTCCAAGACGTATTCGAGATTGCCGGTTCCTCGATATACGCGCTCTCGCTCCTCTCTTTTTCAAATCTCGTCATTCGACGCCAAGTCTCTTGCCGAGTTATCCTTACCTAGGCTATCCCATATCTTCACCATAGTGAAAGTGCTCACTTTGAGTATTTTCACTGGATCCGAGTTACGGAATCGACCCCCGGAATAAATGTGCTCGGCTATGACGCCAAGTCCCTTGTCGAGTTATTCATACCTAGGCTATCTCATATCTTCACCATAGTGAAAGTGCTCACTTTGAGCATTTTCACTGGATCCGAGTTACGGAATCGACCCCCGGAATGAACGTTCGTGCCCGGCTATGACTCGTCAGAGGCAACCACCGCGGGTCGATTCCAGCCATTACCGTCCTCCGAGATGTGTACGATTTCCCCTTTGCCACACGTATACAAGGGCCGGTCGACGCTCGGCCGCTAGCAAAATCACAAGCGTAATCGGACACCAGGCTCCATCCGCGATTCGACGAAAGAAACGGGCCGTTCGCGCAGAAATTCCGAGCGCGGTAACGCTCGATGCCTCCCGGTGATTGCAGCTCGCTCGAATTCGGATCGCAAATTGTAAGCCGAAAGCTACTCGCGCATTTTCGGAATGCCGTCCGACCGCGAGAGAACGTGCGGCGCGACGCCACGAAACGGCAGGTGGACGATCGAAATTCGCGCCAGCCGCGCCGATCCACTCGCCTTCTTCTGCTGCTTCTCCCAGGCAGGGTCCAGGAGGCCCTCGCGCTCCCATTCCTCTTCGGGCTCCATGTACCCGTCCCCGTAGGCCTCCATGTCGGTCATCCTGCCGTCCGCAGCGTGTACGTGTGCGTGCTTCTCCTGCGTGCCTTGAAACGGTTCAAACCTCGTGAGTCCGGGTGTCACCCGAGCCGGCTTTGCGCGCACCCGACGCCTCTCTCGGTCTCCCGACTCTCCCGACCCAACGTGTCGATACGACGCGCGACGCGAGACACGTGAGTGCCGAAATTACGCGCCGAGGAGAAAGAGAGGGCTGTCGGTAATGTCCGGGGGAATGGCTCGAAATTCGGTAGGAAGAAACAGATGGAACGAGGACAACTGGAGAGAGGAAGAGAGAGGCAGCGCCGAGAGAACGGAGGAAACGTACCCGCCGATCCCAGAAAACGGTTCGCGTACCGTTCCGTTCCTCCAACTGACCCCTCTGCTGCCACGAGTCCCCGACACTGCTCCGCGCTACTCGCGGCTCGAGCTTCTCTCTCCGCCTCTTCTTCGCTTTCCCCCACCTTGGGCCAGATGGCGCTACCGACCGTGTCGGAGGGTGGGGATACGATGCCGACGCCCTACGCGGGACGAATTCACCGACCGATCGATTCGGCCAGCCGATTGTTGCGCCTTCCGTTCAAAGAACGCGCTAAATTGTCATCCGTTATTTCTAGCTATCAGTATTTTAGGCTGGAATTTTAAGGAAGCAAAGTATATGCTTTTTAACTTTCTAAGTAACTTCCGAAACGTTCCAATGACGTATCATTTATTTACAAATAAATTGATTTCATGGTTATCCTACCTTATGTCGTTCATTTAATGGTGACCTTAATGAATTAACTTATTCGATTTTTGTACAAGTATTATCAAGAAAAAAGGAAGGCCTCGAACTCGTTAAATAATCCCGATCTACTAACTAATGAGCCGTTGCTTGGCTTCACTATGCGTGTTCGCTTATATAAAAATATATCCAAATGTGATATATCATGGCTCCAAACCAATTTCAGAGGGAAAACATTTTATTTCACAAGCGAGAAGAACACTGCTTTCGATTGCAACCGTTTAACGTAACTCTTATGTGATTCGGTTGTTAATTAATTAAGGATTTTTTTAACATATACCACACTGATTTAGCCATGTAAGGAAACTCGGTACGTCTAACCGAACCCATATAAACCCAACCGTCTTGGAGACAACTAGGAAGACGTTTCCCTTTCGGCAATCGCGGGATACACTATTCGTAATCAACTTATAAACTTCGGGTACCTATAGCTTAAGTCTATTTGGTCCACGGGTTTTCCAAGTTGTGTACACTGGGTTCCGTATTGACCGCACCGTATGTTACCTGTATATGAAACAAATGCCTGTATCGTCCTCACTGTCCCACCACGGTATTTAGCCAGGTTAAGGTAAAGTCAATTTTATGTCACTCGATGACTGACTGAATTTCAATGCACAATTCCAAGCTTCTATGCAACATAGCGACAGAGAAACGAAAACGGAGAGAAAAAAACGAAGGGACAACAGACTAGATCGCTTCAGGATGAATGATTAGATGACACGTGATTCTGAAGCGCAGTTTTATGGACAAACTTCTTCAAACAGACAGGGCACTCGAGGGCCTTTTCCGCTGCATGCACCGAAAGATGTTTGCGCAATGCCAGCCTATCCCTGAATATCTTTTGACAAGTGCCACATTCATAGGGTCTGTCCTCCGAATGGATCAGCACGTGACTGTTCAGGGTAGTCTTGAGGGTGAATGCCTTTTGACAAACAAAACATTCGTACGGCCTGTCACCGGCGTGCACTAACATGTGCTTCTTAAGGGCTGACTTCTCACGAAAGGTTTTCTGGCAGATGTGACAGGCATGCCTCTTGTCACCAGTGTGCACCAACATGTGCGAATTTAGACGGGTCTTCTCCCGGAAGGCCATATCGCAGAGGTCACAAGCATACGGCTTCTCCCCGGTGTGTATCAGCGTATGCCGATTCAGGTCGGACTTCCTGGTAAAAATCTTGTCGCACACCTTGCAATCATACTGACCACCGGTGTGCAAAAGCATGTGGCTATTCAAATCAGACTTACGGGCGCAAGCTTTGTGGCATATGTGACACTCGTGTGGCTTTTCACCAGTGTGCACCAACATGTGCGAGTTGAGCTTGGCCTTCTCTCGGAACGTCATGAGACACTCTTTACACTCGTAGGGCCGTTCTCCAGTGTGCACCATGGTATGTCGTATCAGCTCGCTTTTCCGCTTGTACGTCTTTTCGCAGATACCACAAGCATGCGGTTTCTCTCCACTATGTGCCAGCATGTGGTTATTTAGTGCTGTCTTCTGAGCAAATGATCTATAGCACATCGTACATTTATATTGCTTGGCCCCGGTATGGATTGGCATGTGAACATTCAGCTTTGACTTTTCTCGAAAAGCTGCAAAGCATACATTACACTTGAATGGACGCTCCCCGGTATGGATCAGCATGTGCCGGTTGAGGTTGCCTTTCTCTCGAAAGGTAGTCCGACAAACGTCGCACTCGTAGGGCCGGTCCTCTGTGCGAATTGCCTGAGGCTCCAGACTTGGAATCTTCGGGAATCCCTCCTGAGGGGGTGGCTCGCACGAGTCGTACTGTGTCTTGTCTACTCCATGTACCTGCATATGGTTTCGCAGGCACCATTTGTAGGCAAATCTCTTCTGACAAATATTGCATTCCAATGGGCTCATACCGACATGTGTCAGCATGTGGGCATGGAGGCTTGATTTATCCTGAAAGTTCTGCTCGCATACCCCGCATTGGTTACCGCTGCAATGCGTTCTCAGATGGGTAATCATCGAGTCATTGTTCAAAAACCACTTTTTACAGATCGAACATTGTATTTTATAGAATTTGGGCTGTTGCGTACTGCTCCCACCACTGCTACCTCCAACACTGGCAAAGGTGCTATGCTTTGTGGTCTCTTCTTCTTGCCTAATCTGTCCAAATTCTGGATTCATTAAACACCTCTGCATTGCCTCGTTGTCCTTATCGCACAAATTCGCAGCTGCTATCTCTGCAGCCCAATTCTGATGAGTGCTTGCTTCTCCGTCAATTTCCAGTTTTACCTATAAACATATTTTCCTCTGCTAGAACAAGTGCCTTAACCAGAAATTATAAGAGATGATAATTCTTTTCTATAATACTACAACTATAGAATACTGAACACAACCGTTTTCTACCAGTTCTTTTGATATTTTTTTTTTCTTTTAAATATTACCCATATTCTCTTCTGGAATTACCGATTTAAAATCTAAGAATGTACACGGTGGAATATTGATACTGTGGAAAGGAAATTACCATTTCATCTGGAAAATCGACATCATGATTTTCAATCGGCAAGAACACCTTCTCAAAGGTTCCAGAACAGATATCCTCCATGTAGTCGGGCTCGAATCTTTCACCTGGTTCTTCCTTAAGAACAACGCTTACAATATTTTCATCCTTGAAATAACGCTGCGATTAAAGGCTACGAAGAATTGTGCAGGCAGATCGTGGCCCCAACTTCATATATAAAGCTTACCATCGCATGAGTATGTATAGTTAGGGCATCCATCGGCTCATCTTTCGCGTTAGGATCGTCCATGTATCGCACAGGCCCCTGTAATAAATGGAAATAACTGCAAAAAAAGAACACGTCGAAACGCCAATCTTGACTCGATAGCAAAGTTAACTCGATACGTTGAACAATGAAACCCAACGCGAAATTCAACCAGAGAGATTAACATAACCTCAAAACCTTTATTAGTCGTTAAACCCCGCAACGACTCTGTGGCAAATAACCGACGCGGAAGCACTTCCACTTTCTACTTAGCACGTCGATTCCGTATCTGTTTTTGGATCTAGGGTGAATTTCCGCCGTGCACTGTAAATCGAATGGCAAACGAATATCAAAAGCTTTTACAGAATGACGACTTGGGAACCAGGTTAAGATAGTCTCTCAAACAATGTGAAACGCGACGAATCTACGATTTCCCGTCAATACTTACGAAGTAGATTACATACTTCACAGTTTCACACGGATTGACTGCGTAGAATAGCAAAGACTGATGGATGAAATGTCTGGAAGTGTCCACGAATACGCAAGGAACAGGTGGCTCGTCCCTGGTACCACTTATGACTTCTCGATTTAGTAGTCATATACGCGCGGAAGATGGTGCCGCGATCGACCGTTACTATGGTTGGCCATGAACTATGTAGATGATAGACGTCCTAGAAGAGATAAGTTGGGAGATTGCTCACGGGCGGGGTGACAAAGGATCGACCAATCACGGTCCTTTATCGGGTTTTGGAGTTTTTGTGAGTTCTTCACTTTTTCAGCCGGTTCTCCGGCTGCCCAGATTTGTATCAGGTGGCAAGTGCATTAGCCGTCTGCATCCTCCACCGGAGGTCGCACAGGACGCGGTCGCTCGATCCTTCCTTCTTGAATCTCTCAACTCATCTCTGCGATATAATGCTCCAATTATTAAATATCGATTAATTTTGTCTATCAACTTAATTAAGTGTCCCAAAAATTGAATACTTGCATATTCACTTGTTCTTCTAATGCAGGATAGAAATAGGAAAAATAAGTAATTTAACTTTTAAATAACCGATATGTTAGGCGAGATAAATAATATCGATGTTCGAGAGGAATTCGACGGGTGGCAAAACTAGGTGACCTCTGGTTGCGTTGAATCGAAAATCAATAAAGCACAGAAGGCACGGGGGCTTGCAAGACAGGAGTCATTTTGAGGTTATGTTGTTCTTAGTCCGACTAATTCCGACATCCACAGCAGCGAAAAGCCTATTTTTAGGGTTTGAAACGTTGATACCCCTCCCAGTTGCATTCTAGTTTTGTACCCGTTCTGAGTTATAATGAATCTAGGTGCTAACGAAAAAGTCGAAAGCACCGTAAGATAGCGCGAAAATGGGTAAAAAGAAACCTCATGCGTCTGCCAAAAGTAAACATCATAGCACACCACAGAAAAAGATATCGTCTACGAGGAGGAATGAAATTAATGTTCAGTGTGAAAAGCTCTTTCATCGTAAGTAGATTATCATTTTCCTTTCTTTGCTCCATAATTTGAGAAATCGAATTATTTTCAAGCTTTTATGCCATGAAAGAGTTCTTCCTGTGATACCATCTCTAATTAATTATGGTTATTAGTTTCCGTTACAATGTTCTTCATATTTAATTTTTCAATTGTTATTTAGTAAGTAGCAACCCAGCATACGTAACGCAAGTATGGGACAACTACTTAGAGATATCGGCAGTATTGGAAAAGGTTAAACGATTGGAGGAAATGAAGACCAAAACGTCGAAGCGAAGTAAAGCTATCGGGCAGTTTATGAAGTGGCTTAGGGAGAATGGTGCCGATGTAGATGGTGCTAGTATATCTGAATTTCCTGGATACGATTTGGGACTGAAGGCAGAACGTGACTTTCTTGAGAATGAATTGATTTTAACGATACCTAAGAAGCTGAGCTTTAGTACCCAGACGGCTGCTCCTGAGTTAGCCGTTTTGCAAAATGATCCTTTGGTACAACAAATGCCTCAGGTAGCATTAGCCATTGCCCTTCTTATCGAAAGTCACAAAGAAAATTCAAGGTGGAAACCTTACCTGGATATTCTTCCTTCTACTTATACGACCGTTCTATATATGACTGCTAACGATATGATAGAACTGAAAGGAAGTCCCACGCTAGGTAGGAGAGAATACAATAAAATTTCATATTTTCTATTTTTTTAATGGTGATTCGATTTGGGTTTAATGACTATTTTTTCTTTATTACAGAGACTGCTTTAAACCAGTGTAGAAATATTGCTAGACAGTATTCGTATTTTAATAATTTATTTCAAAATAGCCATGACGTCGTGTCAAACTTGCTTCGTGATGTTTTTACGTACGAAGATTATTGGTGAGTACTTGCAATTCAGATGCTTTGTTTCTCTCTTTCGTATGAATTCTAGTTTACGAGCGATGCAACAGGCAAATAAATATATGTTATGCTAGCACAGATCCATTGATGCACGAAAACGATATTACATAAAAAAACAATACTATATTTTCTTACGGCTACAATTAAAATTGATTAAGGTACAACGAAGAGTAACAATGATGTACAATAGCAGGTCAGCGGTTTAGAGCGCCTTTCTCCCACGATTTTGGGAATTCGCATCTAACGATATTGCACGTCCAGGAAAGAATTTCTCCAGAAATGAATAAATAGGAAACACTCAGATGGTAGGCTGTCCCATGTAGTAACAGTCCATACTTGGCGAAAATCACCATCGGAGCGTGAGTAAATACTGTCCAAGTGACGTCATCACGACACTACGAATGACTTGATTTCATAAAATCTGGAATCGTTTCCCAGCTGTCATTCGCGTCCAACGAGTCGTTTTCTATGTCGCTTCTGAAGTCAAAGTCGTCGTCGGTTTCACGAGTTTCCTGCCTTTCGGGTCTCTTCGTCGTCGAGGTAGCGATCACGTTGACCATTATCGTGTTAAGACTGCTCGAGTTGGACAGCTTCCTAGCCGTCATAGCTGGTGCCTGAAATACGGTCTTGGAAAATGTGTTCCTGTACGTGTACTTCTGCTTTTGACGGACTCTGCAGGCAATGAAGATTGCCAGGAAGACCACGACGGTGACCCCCAATATCGCCCCACTGGCAATAATGCTAGGCTTGACTTTCGATAACGTCCGCGGGTCGTTGTTCTCCCTTGCCACGATTTCTATACTACCAGGTGGTTGGTAGACAATGTCACTCGGTTCGGTTTCATTTTTCCTAGCCTCTTCTACCCTGTCGAGCTCACGAGACTCGGTCCGATTTACAGTTTTCTCTATCTTTTTCGAATAGTCCATATTACCGTGCTTGGACTCGCCGTCTTCCGCTGGAAATCTCACTTTTATGATATCGGTGTCGTACGATTTATGACTTGGCTCGATATCCTTCGAGAAGGGCAAAGAATCGAACGCTGTTAGTATGTCCAGAATCTCAATTGCCTTCATCATTCTAACATCGGAACCCTGTTCCTTGACACCAGTGGCGTTGTCCTTATCATAAATGTCTTCGTTGATTCCAACAAATGTACCGTCATTATCCCTAATCAGTTCCCTCTGTATATTCGCGTTTTTCAACTCGAGCAGCTCATCCGGTTCCCGCGTAATTTGAAAATCTACCCGATGGTGCCACTTCTTTCGACCTTCCTCAACCGTGCCGTTCAATTTTCCAGGATCAGGAGGACCATTCGTCATTTTCGGGGACCTCGAGTTTTGCCCTCGGTGACGAGACACCTCTGCCAAGTGCACCTGACTGGAGCCTCTCTGTCTCAGGGCGATCAGTTCATCGATGCTCATGTTCCTGGATCTTAAAATACGTTCCAGCCTCTTCGCACTCGAGCCCGAGCTGAACAGCTCGAATATCTCCGCCCTTGCTTCCGGCTCGATCTCGGAAATGACGTCGTCGTAAAGCCTCTGATCGTTACTCGAGTTCCTGTGATTCCGGATACCCTCGTCCTCGATCGGCGACAGATCTATAATCGTCGGCGGCTTCTCGCGTGTTTCACTTTCACCTTCCACGTCGGCGCCTTTTTTCCCTTCCAAAGTGGTCTCGGAAGTCTCTTTCCGATCCTCGTCTCGATCTTCCACGTTCAGTTGGACCCCATCGCTCTGGTAATCCACTTCGAACGTGTCGAACGTATTTGTAATGTTCAGACTATCGGAATCCCTTTCCGTGAAATTTTCTCTCCTATCGTCCTCTTCGTTCGTTTCGATCACTCCATTGTTCTCCGATTGACCGACAATTACGATACTCTGTACAGTCGGACTCAGGATATGCTCGATGCTGAGAGTAGATTCCGCGTCGTGGAAAATGTTGTTGGACTTGGCGACCTCGTAGGATCCCGTCGTGGAGTCCATCGTTACCCTGGAAGTGGTCGTCGAGGGCTTCTTCACGGTGAAGTCGGAGAATTCCATGATCTCGTCGTCGTCTTGTTTTTCCGAGCTCGTCCTTTGGTTAATGTCCGCGTTTTTGGCATCCTCGTCGTTTGGGAGGACTCCGACGAACTCTGGGGAATTTTCACGAACTCCTTCCGTCGTACTTCCGGTAAGTGGACTATCCCCCGAGGTGGTAAATTCGGATAAAATCACCGACTTCGTTAGTTCATCGATGGCGAACTTTTGACTTACTTCGGGTACTTCTTGGATTTTTTCTTCAACCTCTGACGATTTTTCCGTGGAGGGCATCCTCGAGATATCACCTGTGAGGACGTCGTACCTCGTCGTTTCGATATTATCGGGTTTTATTCTCTGACTCGGGGTCCATCTTGGCCTGGTGGTCGTTTCAAGTACCTCTTCTTGTACCTCTTTGTCATCTCCTTTTAGTACATTAATAATGTTTGCGGTTCCTTTCAACAGGTCGGCCAGCGTCAGGTTCCGCTGTTGAAGGATCTCCGAGAGACTCAAGCCCTCCCCCTGCTTCATCTTCAGCAAGGTCTTCAACTCCGAATTTTCGGACAGTTTGTCATACATGTTGGAGCCGGGACGATCCCTACTCCTGGAGAGTCCGTTCCGAGGACCTTCCCCAGGCTCCTTCCAGGCCCCGGAATACCCTGAGTGATCCGGTCTCGAGGTGCTCATATCGGGGAGGAACACCGGATAGGAGTTCTTCAGCTCCTCGAACTCGTAATTCTGGGGAGGCCTCCTCTTCCTGGGCCTGGGCTTCTCGTACTCGTCGTCATCGAACTCGAGAGCGTGGGGATGATTTTGGAAGGTCTCTCCGTACCTCATGGCAGCACCCTCCAGGTTCTCGTTGGCGGCCAGGAGGATCTTCCGATCCTGAAGAACCTTGTCCTGCTTGGACTCCCCCAAACGCGAGCCACCGATTTCAAGGTCCTCGTAGAGGCCTCCGGCATCTTGTTTCTTGTACTTCCTTCTTTCTCGGGGTCTACCGTCAGATCCCGAAGAGCTCTCCGGGTTCTCTCTGTACCCTTCTCGAGGTCCATCGTCCAGAGGACCTGCAGGCTCCGTCGAGGTTGATTCTCTTGTCGGTGAGTCCTGATAGCGAGCGGATATGCGAGGCCTGGTGACTCTTCCGGGTCTTCTTTCGCGGGCTTCCGGGGAGCTCTCCTCGTCGAGGATCTCCGCGCGGGTTCGCTCGGACTTTTCTTCCTTCGGGCCTCCTGGGGGGATGGTCGCCTCGTAGAAGGGCACCAGGGGGACTGAGTCTCCGTCTCTCCATTTTGGCTCCAGGGCTTCTCCGTTGTTCCTCCATTTCCCTATCAGTTTCACCGATTTAACGCCATCTTGCTCCGGCGAGAACTCCTCGCTCTCGTACTCCTCCTCGTAGTATTTCTGAAAGCAGACGGATCGGATTGGTGCTCTTTAGAAAACCTCTTATCGTCTTAAGTGGAACGCTACGAGGCGAGAGTGCTCGTTCGAGGATACGCCGAGAGAGTCGCGCGGAAAATATACGGCTGATTGCTATGCAAGGGACTGCGATTAAATTCCTGCTTGCACTTCCGAATATGCACTCGGCATTCGAGAAGGGATCTTCGAGTCTTCTGTTCAAGGAATAGACCAGACCGCTGCAAAGAAGTCTCGGGAATTGAACTCTAAGACTCCCTCGATACTACACTCTTTATATAAAATAATATCCCCTAACGAATTAATTATTATGCAATTTTATCATCGACGTATTTGCGTAATGGAATTGACTCATTAGAGGTGCGAGAAATAATTATCCCGCGAATGTTCAAGTAGGTGTGAAATTGACGTGGCACGCCACGTGGTATTGAGATCGCTTCGTGGTGCAGTTTTTGTGTTCTTTTTTTTTTTTTTGTTAATGAAAGAGCTCCTGGAAATGTTTCTATTTCGGGGTATGTCGAATTAAAGCATTGTACGCGTGATTATTAATCCAGGTGAATTTCGGCCGCTTGAGAAATGAGATTCGTGAAAGTCTCTAAGTGCTTCCCATCCATTACGGTGCCGAAATTTTATTCGGCCGGTGGTTAATGAATCTTAAATGGGTCAATAGATATTACCGGGCGGTTAATGAGCAAAACCTCTAAGACGCGGTTGCGGCACTGATTTAAGGGAAACGTTAAAGTTTATATGGCGCATAAATTCTAATAACCATTTATACGAACGAAGCTTTAAGTTATATCGCATAAATATTCAAGTTTCGCTGAAATTGCCGGGGCAGTCGGCTTAAAATGATCAAAAGACGAGACACGATCACGGGGGGACGGCAGATATAAAAATGTAAAATCGTTGGAATATTATCCTACCGTCGAAAGTGCGCGAAGTGCTAATCAACGTTGCATCGAAGTGCACGAGACGTTAATCGCGGGTTTACCGAGCGGTAACCGTATCCCTTGTTATTCCTAAATATTTTATTTCATAATAATATACTTTCTCCGTTATAGGTGATATCTAACTAGGCGGGGATCGATATTTAAGTTGGTCCTGAGATCGAGAGTTGGGCGAGATAACCGGAGGCCAAATCGACCGGATTTTAAAACGAGTTTAGGCGCAAAACTGCGTGAGAGCTTTCTCGTGCGTGCAAGAGTCCCGATATCGACCGAAAGCTTATCATACATGCACATAGGTGCACGCCTCGCTCGCCTAGAAAATTCATCAGGCTGCATTCGTTGGAGTGTTCCCAATTCCGAGTGCGGAATTTATTTATTATTTATTTTTATCTATCGCATCTCTGCGTGGAAGGCATTTTCGAATAAGCGAATAAGGAGGCATTCTCTTATTCGTTTCATTTTTAGAAACCCCGGACGATTAGCGCAAACTACGGCCTCGCGGCCTAACGAGCATGGAAAAGAAAGTCCTCGGTAATTATCATCTCAGTTGATTGCACAACTGGATGGGAAATAGAGGCGGCAAGAAGCTCATCGGATTTACCGG